ACGGACATTGAGAATAGAAAAAATAAGCCGATCAAGTTAGTTAAACATTCCCATAAAAGTTTAAATCTAAAGACGAATCTACGGGCGAAACTGACATTGACGGTATCGATTCACTTAACGAAATTAGAGCTTTGAAATTGCTCTTTCCAGAAAATCAGTCTAATGATTCTCATACTTTGTTACAATGCCTTTTTACTAACGATTTAATTTGAAAATTTACAAACATAGCAATAACGCTACGACTATTACTTACATTGCCAGTCACAGTTGCATGCGGTAAAAGGTCTTTTTGAAAGTTAAAGATTAAAAAACTTTTTGAGGTCAACAATGCACCAGTAAAGACTAAGTAATTCAGCTATAGTTTCATTGAACATGAAGTTTTAGACAGCTTGAATACGAAAAACTTGATAGCAGATTTTTCAAACATAAAGGCAAGAAAAGTTCAATTTTTGTAGGAATAAATATGTACTAAAGATAGTTGTTTTTTTTTGTAAGGTATTTTTTTTATTTTCTCATGCCCTTATATTACAATGGCTTTGGATTCGATTTGATACTTGGAATCGCAGAAGTAGTTGTGGGGCAAAAAGTGCACAATTCTTGTGTATCGTTGAATTATGTCAGAAATATTATATTTAAGGATATGAGAAATTGTTCGACAGATTTCGCTAATTCGGTAGATTAGGACTAAACTCGTTAGATTTACCGAAAAACCGATAGATCTGGAACACTGCCCCAATTCCAACTTTGCAAAGTTATGAAATGAATATGGGTTTGATAAAAATATTCGCGAAGCTACCTGTTTTTGAGCTCCTTTAATTTGAGCCGCGGTCCTGAAAAAATACTCATAACCCAGTTGGACGTTAAAATTCGCACATTTGAGGATTTTTAAGATTCCCTTCCCGCTGGGAAAATGTGCTACCCCGCTCTTCAAAAATTTTTAGGGGCAGGTGCACTTTCACAAAAAGTCATCTCTTGATGTGCGACTCCCATCTCCCCTGAGAAAAATTCATGCGGACACCCATGTCCGTGGCTGAAGAGTGAAACGCTGGCGTAGACAAGAAACCCCTCATTATTTTTGAAAATGCGGTGGATGTGCTAACAAGGATTAGCGATATTGCTCTATGGATCTCGTACCCGGCAAGATAATGGCGTAGAAGAACCATAACTACTTGCTCGTATAGACAGAAGGCAATTAAAGCAATAAAGGCCAGGGAACATCGATTTTTGAGCGAGGCAGCAGCATGCAGAAGCCGTTGCGCCGCAGCTGCTATGAGCTTAAAGACACTTTGTTAATACGATTCTTGAACATCCTAAGGTTAGTAGAATTGGGAAAAGCCCCCTCAAGCAAACTGTTCCACAATCACGACACCCTATAGACAAAGGAACGGTCGAACCTGGATGTACGAAGTTCATGTTACCTCTGATGAAGATTAAAGGTGACCTGGAACCATAAGCTATAGCACCCCAAACCATAACTCCAACAGTGTGATGAACATGTCTTTCAACAAAAAACTGTGGGTTCCTCCTTTCACCACGTCGCCTTCTAACCCTGGCACGACCATCGTGCATGCCTAAACAAAATCGAGACTCGTCACTAAAGACCATACTGTTCCATTCCTGATCCCAGAGTGACCGTTGTATGCACCACTCAAGGCGATTACGTCGGTGTTCTCGAGTTAAAGGGAGGACCCAGTGTGGCCGGTATGAAAACAAGCCAAAACTTCTCATTCGTCGGTAAACACTTCGCATGCCAATAGGACCTGGTAGTGGAGAAACGGTCCCTTAAGGCCAATAATCTTAGGCGGCGATCTTGACAGTCTGTTGTTCTACGGCGGCGTCCAGTGCCCCTTGCTCTTTGCGTACGGCCTTCTCGAAGCCATGCCTGACAACACCTAACCACAGTGTCTACACTTCTTTGCACTCTAACTGCAATTGCCCGAAAAGAAAGTCCAGCTTCCCGAAGTCCCACTATACGGCCCCTATCAAACTCACTAAGTTGACGAAATCGTACAGGTCTCCGTACTCTAGGCATCGTAACCGATCGTAAAGGATGTCAAGAACCAAAATCCGCCAACGTTGATTCTTTACTGCGGCTGAAATATTCATTTTTAGAGCATTAGTGAATTAAAAAAAAGCAGTATAAAAACCGGAATGTCCAACTGATAAGGCTGAAAATTTTTTCACTTATTATTTACAGTAAGATAAATACATTCACCAACTTTTATTAAAATAAAACTATTTAAACTGGGTGTTCGGATTTATATGTCACTTAGTATAGTTTCCTAGATTTTGTGACTAATTTGATCTTTCCGCTTTTATGTATACCTGCCCTTAGCCCCTTAATCCGGACCTAATGCATAATCCGTTATTAGCTGACATGCCCTGTCCATAGACTATCTCTCTGCCAAATTTGATATTAATAGGTCAAACAGTGCTCGAGATAAACTTCTATAGATTTGAATTAAAAAGTGACAAGGTTCCCCAGAGGAACATCCAACCCCCTCCCACCCCATCTTGAGGATATAATTTCTGAAACTCTTTGTCGATTATTTTAAAGATAAAATTGAGCACAAGTCTTACCCCTATTTCTAGGCACTCGTAATTTGAAAGATTCTAAGTTCTCTCAACTGAAGCTCTACCCCCTTAGTGCTGAAGATTTCAAAATTCCTTTGTAGGTATCCATTTATATTATATCAAACATATCAAACCCATATTTCTATCCCTAGCTTAAAAAAGTAGCGTTTAAACTCTATTTCAACCCCTTCAAGTTTAATTTTTGCAACAAATGGAAACCTATGTTCATCTTCAAGGTCCAATCTATATCTCTGTTGAATTTCGTCAAATTGTGCTTAGCTGTTTTGACGTGAAAACGGAACACAATATTTGTAGGGAAGCAGAGATACTATGGATGCCCGGACACGTGGGCATACGTGGTAATGAGATGGCAGATAGACTAGCACAAGCAGGGTTGAGTGAAAGATTATTGATCTCTAAACGGCTCTCAGATTAGCTGCAGACATAATTAAGGCTATAATGGAAGGTATGATTCAAAATCAACACTTTCTGATCTGGACAAATATCTAAATAATCTCCGACAGACAAGAGAACGAATGTATACTTTATCTGAAGTCACTTGAAATAGCATAAAAACCTTTGGTCGGCGCGTCCTTTGTAATTTCATGACGTATCATAGGCGTGCGGTCATTTATTTAGAACGATAATAATAATGTTTTTATATCACAATAAATGGATTTTACTATCTTCTTATTTTTTTTATTTGGGATAAAAAATACTTATATTGGGAGTTTAATTTATGTTGACTGAAAGTTAAGAAATGGAAAAATTACAGAATTCCAACGTTTGACATAGGCAAATATTTACATAGCAGGTAGGGATATAAAAAGGTATATAAAGACTTACATTATAGGTATTTATATATCATCCTCGCCTTCGGAGCTGTCGCTAGAGTCATCTTGTAGAGGAATTACAACGGGATTTACAGGAGGCAAAACACAATATTCATTTTCTTTTTCAATAATATGCCTAGAACACTGCTTCCATAGGTCTGTGGCAGCAATATGAGATACTGCATCTCTTATTGTGGCCAATAGCGATTCACTTAATTGAGGGGTCTGATTATGTTTTCTTACTTTTTTTTTAAAGCAGCCCAGACCAACTCAATCGGGTTAAAAATGCAGTAATAGGGAGGTAGACGTTCTTTTCTGCTCTCTATAGATTTTAACTTTGTGCAAAAATTCTTGGCGCAATTCAACGATACGAGACGGCTCCATAATCACCATTCTTTTATCTAATTTTTTGTATTGAAAACCACACAGTTTTACAATACAGTGCAGTGAGTCTAAGCATTTGTAATTATAAAAATCTTCAGGATAATCTTTTAATTTATCCCGTATCATTTCCAACGTGGACACCAAATTTTCTTTATAAAATCCGTATATTATACGACGAATATCTTCCTGAAAACCCACGTCTATTCTTTTTAATTTTTGCCCTATGCGCTTTCTGTGGAAGGAATGGTTGACTACATCTCCCCTTTTTATAACCCGATAAATGGTAGACCGACTGATTTTTGTCAGGATACAAATTCTGTTTAAAATTTGATTTTGCGAAGAATCTGGATTTTCGTTTTTCAGACAATCATACATATTTAGGATTACTCTTTGGGTCTGTTCCTCTAAATCTTTATGAAAGAATTCTGCCTGCACAGGTTCATCAACCATCTCCTCGTGGCTTGGAGCATTTTCCCAAGGTCTCCAAAGAGCCATATTTAGGACACACAAGAAAAATCAACACAACAATTAAATCAACAAGTAAACTGAGTATTCAAAAGTCAAAAACACACAAACTAATAAAATCTATGAAAAAACACGGACAGACTAAAGAAAACACGTTTATTCACCGCTACACGGCACTGGCTAAACTGTTTCAATTTTCAGTAGCCACCTACACTTGTTCGGAACTCTGAAATACACGCTTTCTCATTGGCTATGTCCACGCATAGGCGTGCTTTACTCCACGTGGACCGGTGAAACTGCCTTTGATCTTATACGGGGGATATTTGCTGCGAAATTTGGCGATTTTTGCAGCAACAGAGCGTGTTAAATATAGATATATAAAACGCACCCGGTATTTCACAGTGTTTCAAGTGACTTCAGATAAAGTATAGTACTGTAGGAAAGCTCGCTTTACTTAGGAATACTTTGCGATTGTTGGTTCGACTCCTAACTGATCACGTCTGGTTAATGCATCACCTCCATGTCACGCGGTTTGCCGCTTTGTGGGCAATTTGACGATGGGGTCTATTGTACTGTGATCACAAGACCCTCCTGGCTTTTGCGAAAAATTAAGTTCTCAGTATCCTGAGCATGCTTAACGATGTTGCGTAAATAGAAATAACTACAAGATGTTGTTCCATTTATGGATTTTTCTAAACAATCAATTTCAACTACATTTCGCCTAAATTATTATTTTTTTTTCAGAATTTGTTGCCTCTTCCAGCCGGTGCTAGCGCTGCTCTGGTTAAGCCTACCAAATACCATTACTATCCACACAACCAGCATATATATTTATTACCAGAATGTGCAATCCAGCAGGTAAGCATAATGTACAGAGTGGCCCAGAATGTGTGGCGAATAACCGAGATGCATGTATTGTCTTTTTCACCGGTATCCATTGCAGTAAAATGACAGCTGATTATCTAGTAATATTTCAAAATTCCCCATATCCACAAATGACATATTATTCTGCCGGATCCGTCAACGCAAGGTAGACAGAGCCGTAGTTTGTCTTGGTATTTTGCACTCTGCAGATCCATTTTGCACTTTCTAACTACTCTTTTATTTAGTAAAGTTCATTTGCATAAAAAACGCCACAAGCAAGTTTTACGGGATTTACAGACATTATAGACAAATACAAAAAGTCACTTGGTGATTAGCTGTTCACCTCAGTAGTCGTCAAAACGTAATGGATACTCGTGAAATAGGGACTAGAACACAAATAATGAAGTGAAAAGTTATTGTAAAAAAATGGGATTCCCCTACGGATGTACTGGCCAAAATAATTTTTGAACATTGACATCATACCATTGAGTACATTTTTGACAGGATAATAACCTATTAGGCCCTTGCATGACAGAAACTCAATTGTGATGTATACATTCCAAATGGAGGGTAAAATTCGATGTAAAGATTTTTCACAAAAGAAGCCAAAAACCTGCGTGAAATTGTAGGTACAGTTTACTCATTGTTTCTTTTACACGTTGGGGGCCCCCTGTCAGCTATGGGCCCCGTATCGTTGATACGGCGGTTGCTATGTACCTGCTTTAAACCCTACAAAGGTGTTTTTGGAAATGAGGAGCGTGACGTCACAAAAAAAGAAAAATACATACAAAAACAGACAGATATACAAAAAAAACATTTCCTGTATTTTTAGGCATCCCACAGGGATCAGTGCAGGGACTATTAACTTTTATTATTTTTGAGAACGATCTCCCCAAACAGCGAAAAACGGGAAAAGTAGTGATGTTTGCAAATGATACATCTGTAATACTGTATGGAGTATCCCCAGAAGAGATTAAAGGGAAAACTATCACCGTTACGTCTGAGATGGGTTCTTGGTATAAAAATCAACTAATATGAAATAGGGACAAAATAACATTTATAATTTTTTATTATAAAAGCAATTACCAGACCATATTTTCAATGACAGTGGGATATATTTCCAATCCAACAAGACGAATTTTTCTATTTTCAAAACGAAACTCCTAACCCAGGATGATCTTCAGCCATTTGTCATTTAATATTGCCACTTGGGGAGTATCTACCGACATTAAAAGGGTATTTTTAGCTCATAACAAGATAATTAGGCTCATTTTTGACTTCAACTATAATGAGTCATGCAGACAAACTTTTAAAGAACACGGAATTCTAACACATTCATCAATTTACATATTAAAATGTGTAATATTTGTGAAAAGCAACCCTGATGGGTTTACTCTTCTTGGAAGTAGCCACAACTATACAACAGGCGATACGCTTTTACGTTTTCCTAGGCATAAATCAACATATTTATGAAAGACCTGTATTCTACGATTGCATTCACATATTCAGCAGTTTACTAAAATATCTAAGAGATATCACAAATTATGAGTTCAAGCACAAGGTAAATATACACAGTGACAATGTCACTGACTATATTTTTCTAAACCAGAGCTGATTTCCTACTGTACAATAGCTTTTATCTTACAAATTTTAAATTGTCATTATCATATGTAAGTCTTCCTTTTTTCTAATTGTAATTTTTAGTATGTCTTATGTATCAATCATTTTTTCCTTCTTTGACTTGACACATTTATCAATTTACTAAGATGTGATCAACAAAAATCTATCCATCTACATTACTTTCGTCGCAAAATACTAGTATGGTACGGTATTGTGAGCAAAGGTCTATATTGTTATTTTTTACATTTTGTGTTTTAATCTCACCCCGATGATGTTTTTGAAAATCCTTTTTTTCTCATTTTAGGTGTGCAATGCTGTGTACGTTCGACTCAATTGGACGCAGCCCCTATGCGCCTGTCCTTCAAGGTATCGTGATCCATGTTCAGCGTCCCTAAACTCAGATGACCAACATACTACAGAATTAACTATCGACAGAAAATCCAAGGTAAGTTGCAGAGACATCACACAATAATAAATATTCTGATTTACTTCTGTATTCCACCATTCTACTATACGCAGACACTAATTCAAAATTTTTAATAAAAAAATGGCGTCAAGTAGATTGAATCTATACTTTCTACGCATTCGAAAGGCTAAATCGAATCGTGTCCAGGTAGGTTCGCTTAAGTACGATGAATCGTCCACCTCTGTATATCAACAAAATAGTATAAAGCAAATCTATCATATTTCTGTTTCCATGGCAGATATAGGGAAACTATGTGTGACTGAGGTGCATAGTATGTATCACTGAGATCAGCAGCTTCTTAATAATAGAAGGTCTTTCACTGACATCAAATATGCAACAATTTGCAACCATTTACCGCATACAGCTTCTAACCTACAATTTTCATTCCCTCCAAACAATATGCTGCAGCGTTTTTATTTTTTTGTCCGTAGTTCCGCCGCCTCTGAATCAACTTTCGAAATCTACGACTACCTAAACAATGGAAGTATTAAACTTGCGATAATACGAGTTTTCTGTTGCTTAAATATGTGTTTCTCATTTATGTCGGTTTGAGAATCGATATATTATTGCGTCACAAGTACTGAGTCAATCTACTGGACGAAGTATTCAGAGATCCATCACAGACGCAGTAAACAAATTAAAGGCTAGGCGAAATGGGATCAATTCGGAAAAATATATGTGTAGATATGAAAACAGTTAAGTCGTCATTTACAAAAGCATTTTAAAACGCTAAAGTGGTACGTCTCCGAGCGGCACTTCTCAAGTTATATAGTAGGCGGTTATAAGATAAGTGGCCAGACAGACGAAAATGATTGACATGTTTTTTTTTTGTACAAGTCATGGAACATCCAAAAACATAATATCTCAATTTCAGAATTCTTCGCGATAAGAATACTTTCTCGCCAGTTGGCATAGGAAATAAAACGCAGTGGTTTCCACCCGTTGAAGCCTTGGTTTCTGTCAGTGATGTAGAAAGTAAAAGCCATTTGGATAACTTCAAAACCAATAGAAATTTAGTATCAGTCTACAATCTAAGACCAAGTGCAGTTCTTTATTTACCTGCACTCAAGTAAGGATATCATCCAGAGTTCTAAAAGTGATAATGATCAAAAGTTGCCAGATCATGTCAAAGAAATACATTCATTGATAGTTTTTACAAACGACATTATATGAAGTTTTCATTAAATTTACCATTGTATGCTCTAGCAGAAAATTCTTATTTAGATGTTTTCTGTAATATTTTTATTTGTATTATTTTGTGATTGCAACTTTTGAAAGCCGTTTATATGTTTTGTAATAATGCTCATATACAGGGGAAACCAAATTTCTCTGAGATCTTGAGACATCACCACAATGCCTAGCAACGGTGACACAGAAGGTCGTTCAATCTGCTGCGTTGCACCAGAAAATGTTCGCATATGCTTCTACAGTAGGTTAGGTTACTGTCAAAGCCAAGGATGAGGTCTATTCGAACATTTAATTCAATATATTGGTTTAATTGTTATTAGAATTATTTATTTCAGTTTTGATGCGCTAGATAGGTAGATAGGTAACTTTGCCTTGAAAGGTACGAGCCAAGCGAACCAAAGATGCAATGTTGCAGAATTTGTGGCGATCCTGACCTAAAACAGAGCGCCGTTAGGACCGATCCAGAATCAATCCTAGACAGATTCGACCCAATTCAAAAATGTGTACGCTCAGAATAAAACCATTATTTGGGCGTAGAGAATAAACCAACGCATATTTTCAACATGCTAGGCAACGCGGTGATGAGCTTCGCTATCCAGCCGGCTTCTATCTCCTTCTACCATATGTGTCTATGTTCTGTTGTAGACATTGTATACAAGCCGTCAGATAAATTTGGTTCTCAGTGTAAATGCATAACAATTGCAACTGTTGATAAGTCTTTTTGATAATTGCATACTTTTGCAGTATCCATACACCTTTTAAGTCCGACGAAAATGAAGATATTTCATTAATTTGATAAGCAGGATCTTATAGCAAAATTTCCATTTTCTTCTACTGATAACTTTATGCCTATGAGCGGGAAGTGCCGAGCACACCTACTTGACACCATTTTCTATGGCATACGAGAGCATACGAGAATGCACTCAGAGGTTATGATATTTTTTGTAGGCGTGTTCTCAAGACCTAGAATATAAAGAGCCATTATATTCTCTTTAAAATACTGCTGCGTTGATCGCTTAAAGGTTACTGGCCCATATTTTTTCGAGGGCAATGCCGACTTGTGGTACTGTGGTCAAGGATACGATACCCGACAGAAAGGCAGTACTGATCGTACAGGACGTTTACACTTGCTTTGTAAAATAACAAGCGGACAATATTTTTACCCAGAAACTGGAATGTACTTTCCCGAAGGTTTTTGCTACGCTGAATCCGAATCCGTGGTCCATATATCTCAACTGGCTCTAGTTTCGGAGATGTACCAATCTAAATGTCCAAAATAGCTTCTATTTGAGGTCATGCAGCATTGCGAATTATACTAAGTGACATATAAATCCGAACACCCAGTTTAAATGGTTTTATTTTAATAAAAGTTGGTGAATGTATTTATCTTACTGTAAATAACAAGTGAAAAAATTTTCAGCCTTATCAGTTGGACATTCCGGTTTTTATACTGCTTTTTTTTAATTCACTAACGCCCTAAAAATGAATATTTCAGCCGCAGTAAAGAATCAACGTTGGCGGATTTTGGTTCTTGACATCCTTTACGATCGGTTACGATGCCTAGAGTACGGAGACCTGTACGATTTCGTCAACTTAGTGAGTTTGATAGGGGCCGTATAGTGGGACTTCGGGAAGCTGGACTTTCTTTTCGGGCAATTGCAGTTAGAGTGCAAAGAAGTGTAGACACTGTGGTTAGGTGTTGTCAGGCATGGCTTCGAGAAGGCCGTACGCAAAGAGCAAGGGGCACTCCACTACCAGGTCCATTGCAAATGAATGGTTTGCAGAACACGGAAGACCTATTGGCATGCGAAGTGTTTACCGACGAATGAGAAGTTTTGGCTTGTTTTCATACCGGCCACACTGGGTCCTCCCTTTAACTCGAGAACACCGACGTAATCGCCTTGAGTGGTGCAGACAACGGTCACTCTGGGATCAGGAATGGAACAGTATTGTCTTTAGTGACGAGTCTCGATTGTGTTTAGGCATGCACGATGGTCGTGCCAGGGTTAGAAGGCGACTTGGTGAAAGGAGGAATCCACAGTTTTTTGTTGAAAGACATGTTCATCACACTGTTGGAGTTATGGTTTGGGGTGCTATAGCTTATCCCTCCAGGTCACCTTTAATCTTCATCAGAGGTAACATGAACGCGCAGCGTTATATCCACGAAGTTCTAGAACCCCATCTTTTACCCTATCTCGACACCCTGGCAGATCCAACTTTCCAACAAGATAATGCCCGACCACATGTTGCAAGAGTCACAATAGACTTCTTTCAACATAATGATGTCACATTGTTACCATGGCCACCAAGATCTCCCGACTTATCCCCAATTGAGCACGTGTGGGATATGATGGGTAGGAGACTGCTTAATTTGCAACGTCCTCCTCAGACTCTAGAAGCACTTCGAGAGGAGTTGGTGGTTGCCTGGAATGAGATGCCACAGGAGGACATTGACCACCTGATCAGAAGGATGCCTAGGCGCGTTGGAGAATGCGTAGCACATCAGGGTGCATCCACACATTATTAAAGGTCAAAGGGCTTTAAAGCAGGGCAATCATTTTGAAATTTTTATCATTTACTTATTATGCTTCATTAAGTACTTATACAAAATTTTATTAAAATAAAACCATTTAAACTGGGTGTTCGGATTTATATGTTACTTAGTATATTTATATGTATTTTTCAAAAAACATTTACATTATTTTTTTCTCAAAAAATCATTCAGAAGCCTTCCCATTTCAAATTCCGTTAAACTCGGCCTTGAAAGTTGTGGTTTGGGTTATAATACAATATAATACAAAAAATTTATAACAAGTTTTATTTTTTTACTCAAAAATGGCGCATCGAAGGAAAACAATTCTAGAAATATCGTTTGTTTGAAATTGAACGGAGAAATCAAAAATAATTTTTATTTGGCAAAAAACCATTGGCGTACCGTTTTTTTCTTAAAAAATATCGAACTCACTGTTCAAGCTAAAAATTATTTTTGCATTGAAAAATATGCAACTTTATTAACTTTCACTACGTACTAAATATCAGTGAAATATCTGAAGCGGTTCTGAAAATATTAATTAATTTCCATTTTTTTCCTAAAACTTCAACACCCCGAGTTTTTGTAAGGAATCATTTTTGGACCATAGTTTATAAAGCAAACTAACATTAATTTTTCATGTAGATTCACACCCTTAAATATTCGCATATCATTAAGGAACACCCTGTATATTTCAAGTTCGGAGACGGTATACAGGGTGCTCATTTTAAAACTTCCCACCACAGATTTATCGTTATAGAAAACCATTTATTGAAAGAAAAACGCCGAGACACGTTAAAAGATTTGTCAAGGAGGGCAACTTTTTCACGAAAAAGCACTTCACTCCCTTCCACCCTCGAGCCCCCAGGGTCATTCCCTCAAAAGTTTCGAAAGACAAGAGGTATGAAGTAATACCTTGTTTAAAAGGTCTTTCGAAATCCTTTATTTTCAGTCGATTCGTAATTAATTAGAAAAATTTTTATTTAAGAGTTAACCTAAGATGATTTCGAGAGGTGAGCTGAGTTTTGTGAACAAATGACTGCAGTGATCAATGACAATACCATTCACGTGAAGAATATCTGCTTCAGGGATGAATGCACCTTTTATCTCAACGGATCTGTTAATAAGAATAGCTGCAGGTATTGGAGCAATGAAAATCCTCATGCTTTTGTAGAAGGGCATAACCAGTATCCCCAAAAAATAATGCATGGGCAAGCATTTTAGAGAACAAAGTGAGTGAGACATTGTTTATTAATGGGAATTTGAATGGAGACATTTATTTGGATATGTTGGAAAATACCATCAATCACTGAAACCGTTGAAAACCAAATCGAAGGCGATGGAAACCCTAACTTGATGGGGCTAACATATATTAACAGCAAGACGGCGCTCCTCCTCACTATGTTCTTCCGGTTCGGCAATGGCTAGACGACGAGTTTCCACATAAATTGATAGGGCGAAGAGGGCCTATAGAATGGCCTGCTAGATGTCCTGATTTAACGCAATTAGACTTTTTCCTATGGGGCCATTTGAAAGCTATTGTGTTAACTCCCCAACTTGAAAGTTTGGATGAACTTCGTCAATGCATCATCGAAAGCTGCCATGATATCCCACAACATGTTTTTGAAAATATCCGTCAGGAACTTGAACATCGCCTATAACTGGCAACATTTTGCACACTTGTTGAAATAAAAAGTGATATTTTCACACAAATTAAGATAAAGATTTTTCTAATTTTCTTGAAAACGAATCGACCGATTTCGAAAAATCAAACCTCAAAATCAAGGACTTCGAAAAACCTTTCAAGCAAGCTGTTATTCGATACCCCTGGTCATTTAAAATTCCAAAGGGAATCACCCTGATTGGCAGAGGGTGAAAGGGAATGAAGTAGTTTTAGGTTAAAAAATTGTCCCCTCTGGCAAATCTTTTGACGTGTCTCGGCGTTTTTCCTTTTAATCAATGGTTTTCGATAAATCCGTGGTGGAAAGTTTTCAAATGAAAATGAATGTTTATAGAGTGCTTATAGCAAAGCTGAATTAAAATTCAACGTAGATTTCAACTATTCCTAGTAATTTCTCATGTAATACATATTGATTCTGCTTGGGGAGAACTCTGCACACGAACAACTTTGTCATAGTTAATTTTTATAGAAAAAAATCACTTCATTTAATTTCGTGGTCATAACGGTCATAAGCTACAATATGTACATCGAGAGCGAAAATAGTGAGAAAAGTGAATTGTAAGAACGAACCTAATAGCATGGCTCCTTTTTTTCCAGAAAGCCCTCACTTTGGTGAAGACATGTGAACCAACAAATGACATGAGAATCTGCAAATCACCAAGAGACTGGTCACTCTTAGCTTTGCAGAACATCCGAACTGGCAAGTCGCATTATCTGGTTATTTGCAGATGTCATCACGACACTAGCGTATTGGGTAAGTAAATAACTCTAACATTGTTTCTAGACTCACTAAACCTTAGTATACTAAGTGACATATAAATCCGAACACCCAGTTTAAATGGTTTTATTTTAATAAAAGTTGGTGTAAATAACAAGTGAAAAATTTTTCAGCCTTATCAGTTGGACATTCCGGTTTTTATACTGCTTTTTTTTAATTCACCAACGCTCTAAAAATGAATATTTCAGCCGCAGTAAAGAATCAACGTTGGCGGATTTTGGTTCTTGACATACTTTACGATCGGTTACGATGCCTAGAGTACGGAGACCTGTACGATTTCGTCAACTTAGTGAGTTTGATAGGGGCCGTATAGTGGGACTTCGGGAAGCTAGACTTTCTTTTCGGGCAATTGCAGTTAGAGTGCAAAGAAGTGTAGACACTGTGGTTAGGTGTTGTCAGGCATGGCTTCGAAAAGGCCGTACGCAAAGAGCAAGGGGCACTGGACGCCGCCGTAGAACAACAGACCGTGAAGATCGCCGCCTAAGATTATTGGCCTTAAGGGACCGTTTCTCCACTACCAGGTCCATTGCAAATGAATGGTTTGCAGAACACGGAAGACCTATTGGCATGCGAAGTGTTTACCGACGAATGAGAAGTTTTGGCCACACTGGGTCCTCCCTTTAACTCGAGAACACCGACGTAATCGCCTTGAGTGGTGCAGACAACGGTTACTCTGGGATCAGGAATGGAACAGTATAGTCTTTAGTGACGAGTCTCGATTTTGTTTAGGCATGCACGATGGTCGTGCCAGGGTTAGAAGGCGACGTGGTGAAAGGAGGAATCCACAGTTTTTTGTTGAGAGACGTGTTCATCACACTATTGGAGTTATGGTTTGGGGTGCTATAGCTTATGGTTCCAGGTCACCTTTAACCTTCATCAGAGGTAACATGAACGCGCAGCGTTATATCCACGAAGTTCTAGAACCAAATCTTTTACCCTATCTTGACACCCTGGCAGATCCAACTTTCCAACAAGATAATGCCCGACCACATGTTGCAAGAGTCACAATAGACTTCTTTCAATATAATGATGTCACATTGTTACCATGGCCACCAAGATCTCCCGACTTATCCCCAATTGAGCACGTGTGGGATATGATGGGTGGGAGATTGCTCAATTTGCAACGTCCTCCTCAGACTCTAGAAGCACTTCGAGAGGAGTTGGTGGTTGCCTGGAATGAGATACCACAGGAGGACATTGACCACCTGATCAGAAGCATGCCTAGGCGCGTTGGAGAATGCGTAGCACATCAGGGTGCATCCACACATTATTAAAGGTTAATGGGCGTTAAAGCAATGCAATCATTTTGAAATTTTTATCATTTACTTATTATGCTTCATTAAGTACTTATACAAAATTTTATTAAAATTTATATGTCACTTAGTATAAATAAACCTAATATTTTGGTCCCTAGAATTTTTTAAATCGACTCAGTCCTATTACTTTCCGGACAAACCCTGTATGTACCACTTACAAGAATGCTGGCGCCGTTCGCTATTCCCTGACAAACCCTGAATTTAGTTATTTTTACGCAAAATAAATTGGCCAGCGGATTTGGCTACATCTACATTTTTGTCAAACATACCTAATTGATATCTCAGAATTCTCAGCAACTGCTTGTAAAACACTATTCGCAGTGTATTGTTAATGTTTTTGTATCAGAAAATGTGGCTCGTCAGCATGTCAAACTTTTTTTCATTGCTAAAATGACCGCCTGGCCTCTTGGACTATAATGAAGCAATATTAACAATACACAATAATAACAATACTCACTTACACTTATTTACGTCAAGTCAAGCATTTGTTTGCAACTCCGAATTAAAAAAAAAATAGAAAAAACGCATTCTTCCTTATAACCAAGAAAATAAATGTTACAAGTGACGCATCGTTGAATTCGTATAAAAAATGCTATTAGATACAGGGTGTACTTCTTTTTCGGACTATATGAAAAAATAAAGTTGATGTTGGTGTCTCAAAAATGGACCGTCGGGCACAAAATTTATAAGCACTATCATGTAGTGCCGAAAAAATGCCAGTGGAAAAGATTCCATAGTTTTTTTATATTCCCTAGAATAAGTTCAGAAAAAAATAAAAACTATTTGGCCAAATTTTATTTTTTCCCAAATATCTCAGTGAGCCATGACATTTTTCTCAATGGCATGCAAATTCGCCCCAAAGAATGCAACTTTTTAATTTTTATTTAACCTAAGCTGTATATTCCACAAGTACTGAGATCCCCATATACAGGGTTGACTTTCAAGTTCAGTCATTTATTTTAACAGTGAGTAGATCTGATCAAAAGAAATGTTTTTTCCTTTAACATTTTTCTGGTAAAATTAAAGTAACAAAGTTATAGCCCTTTAGAAGTTTGAGTACCGCCCTGTCTCAATAATAATATTATGTGCTCGTGTTTGGCAACAACGGATATAATCCGCCTTATCGGTTCATCGCATCGGAAACAAAAAAGCGAAAGAATTTGAAACGCTTATCACGATGTTTTTACTACAATTTTATTCAGTTGTATTCAGTCAATGTGTCAGTTGGTAACGCGTGAGTGAATAGTGGTGTTTGTTGCGTGGCTCAAACGAAATAAAAAATGGCACATGTTTACGAAAATGCTGAACTTGTGGACATGATTCTTATTTACGGGGGGGGGAGTCTTTACAAAATGCTGCCGCGGCATCACGGATTTACGCGGATCGGTTTCCCAATCGAGTGCAACCAACCCCTCGTACCTTTGTTAATGTAGTACAAAGGGCTCGTGAATCAGGTGACTTAAGACCTCACAGGGGAGGGCATGCCGGTGCTCCAAGACCGCACGATCAAATACAGGTCCGCACTGAAATACATTTTTTTTAATTTTTGTTATTTTTACACACATATTTTGGTTTATCTTCCTTCTTCAATCATTATCTGAAAATTAATGACTCAACTTCAAAGTCATGTATAGGACCCTTATCTTTGACACCCTGAATTCTGCCAAGACCTAGAGGTCTCCTGCTCATCGCCACATCGCTATCGTCCACAAACCGCGTCATAAGAAACCCCTATGATGATTTTTCCATATCAGTAAAACATTCAGTACAACGAACATACAGTTTGCTTCCAATTAACATCCAAACCTCGCAATATTCAACTTGAATAAACTCGATTTTTTAAATGAAATGCTAATGCCTTAAGCAAGAATTACCGTGTGTGTTTAGACTCTAATTGTTTGTTACAGAAGGTCCAATGTCTCATGATCAGCCCACATACGCAAGCGTTCCTGGAATAAGGGTATATGGAATGATGTGCGTTGACAATAATTTGAACCTTAGATCATCCAGAAGCTCAAAATACTTCCAGACTCCACCTTTTCCATGGCACAAGGCTCAACAGTTGATGAATATATCTATGTGGGATTAAAGGAATTAGTGCAATAAATATTGTGATTATTTATAGATATCCTTCAGGAAGATGTGCGTTAATTTTGCGACCTTTCGCAACAGAGATAACCAATGAATAAACCATAGGTATACAGGGTGTACTGTAGCTATAAGGAATAAGTGGAAGGACATGCTAAGTTCACTGAAGAAGAATGGAAGAGTACAAAAGATTGCGCACATGAGACATGAGATTTTGAGAGACCTGTCAAATTTCATGAAAATTTACCATCCTGTCCATATTTATCCTTGATTATAAGTACTTAGGGTACAGAGCTCTATAGATCCATCATTAGGTTCCTCGGCCCTATATCTATCGCAATATACCCATGCTTTATGAAGCTTGATTCCTGTTCCTATGCTCTGCCCCTGACCCCTTTGAAGATACTTACTTGATGAATGTTGAAATTTCTCAACAAATGTTTAAGCTGCTAAAAATTAATGCAAGCACTCCTTTTTCATACCACCACATCAGACCTAACTTCACAAGATTTTTGCCTTATTTACTGCAGGGGAGTGCATGGTCAACATATACCCTATTTCACGAGTATGCATCACGGTAGAATGACAGCTGATTATCTAGTAATATCTCAAAATTCCCCATATCGGCACAGGACACATAATTCTGACGGATCCGTCAACGTCAGGTAGTCAGAGCCGTATTTTGTTTTGGTTTTATGTACCCATCATTTTATACTTGCCAACAGCTTTTTTATTTAGAAAGGCTCATTTGCATACAAAAAACAAAATGCTATAAACAAGTTTTACTAGAGTTACACCAGATTCATTATTGCCAAAGTCGCAGACTAACACAAAAATGTCACTTGCTGATCGGCTGTTCCCCTCTGTAGACTTCAAATCGTGATAGATACTCGTGAAATAGGGTATACTTGATGCTATTTCTTGGACCAACTTGACCGGATCATTATAGTTTTCAATCCCCACCCACTAATAAGCAACGGCAACGTTTCCTACCCTCATATAAAAAATATGTTCATCATTCTACTAATAAATCTTAAGGGCACATGTATGGGGAAATCTTGTTTCAGCTTAGACCGTCCACCACCCCCAATTTTTCACACCGCAAAAGAAATGATCAAGTCTCTCTGAAACATTGTAGTATAAGTATGATCTACACAAAATACGAGTTGCAAAATATTTCTAAAGAATTGTGCTACAGCATGCTGTTTTAGAGGTATAATAAAACCGGATATAAATCTGAGGGACTTAAAATAAAAAAAAAGGACAGGTTGGAAATTTTCAGGAAATTTTGCTGGTCTCCATCATCTAAATTTAAATGTAGGTCAAGTATTGTAAGCATATATGTATAAGTACTGTAATCTCTAGCAAATAAATATGATATATCTACATACGTAAAATGCACTACTTACAATAGCAATACATTTTTTCTATCGTTGTTGCTTTTTTGCATCTACTTCTAAATAGGACACACCGTAAAAAATTTGTTTTGTATATAATAAAGGATTGGTCCTAAGACCGAACCCTGATGAACACCGGCTCTTACGTTGTTAACAAAACATTGTTAATTTTGAATCGAAACGTTCTTCCTTCTATAAAATAGTTTTAGTAGCCAAAATGAAAAGCCCTTTTGGATGCCACACCTTGTCAAATGCGTTTGATACATATAGAGCAAGACACCAGTATTTTCGTTGAGGGTGAAGCTCCTGGTTACATGTTCCACCAGTCTAACTGCTGTAGCTCCGTACTACGCTCATCTGAAAGCTGAATTGTCCGTCAGGGATCACATGGTGATCTGACGAAAAATTTTCAAGTTGACGATAAACCACCTTTTCAGTGAGCTTAGAAGGAGCTGAAAGCAGACTAATGGGACGGTAATCCTGCGGGAATATCGAACCTATCTTCTTTGTGACTTGAATTGCATTGATTATTGCCATCAGATAAGTCTGGAGCGGAAGCATAACAGTGATTTGTTGGTGATTTGAGCACCTTTACGTCCTTAATGTGGCCTTGGAGCTCTGCTGGTGTGCAATACGGAACCACAAAGCATTCTGCTCATGTCCTATGCAGAGATTCATCTAAAGAGCCTTCCGTAGAAGAATCTTCTGAAAAGTTGTCACCGACGTTAGCACTGATGTTGTCGCTATTCGCTATGAAATATCTCCTGACAGATCTAATAATATTGCGACAATATGTGTCAAAATTTCATGAAAACCCGAGCGGTACTTCCAAAGTTTTTTTCGCGATTACAATACTTGCTTACCAATGGTGTAGGAAGTAAAAATTGTGTGCTGGATAGGTACAAAATTCGGCGCTCAGGACTCCTCGTGGGTTCTGTTGTCAAACTGGCTTCTATTTACCCAGGAAATAAGCGTTCATTTATATTACAGATACTTAATCTTTTTTTTAATATTTCCTGTAAGGAACTCTTCTATTTTCGCCTCTTGTTACAATCGTATGAAACTGTTCAGTTGGGTAATTTGAGGGACTGAATTCGAATATGATTGCCGAATTTTAGGGAGAAATTATTTAGCCTTGACCCGTGAATCCCACGGGGTCTATAAATTAAGTGATGAGATTGGCGACATAGCATCGATCTGGCAACACTGGAGACACCGTGCCTGGAGGGGTGACATGTGATGCGCCATCAGTACCAGCAGTACCAGTTTGAATTCGCTCGAGTCATTTGGTTGTCAGTAGCGATTTTTCTCCTTTTGTGTTCTAAAAATGAATGACATTACTTTCGAGCAACAGTGTGCTATCAGGTTTTGCTTCAGACTTAGGCATAGTGCTACGGAAAGCTTTTGCTAAACTTCAGCAGGCTACGGAGATAGTGTTTTGTCAAGAGCCCAGATTTTTCGGTAGTTTAAGGCATTTTCAGAAAGGAGAGTGTCGATTAAAGATGAACCACAAAGCGGAAGGCCTTCATCTTCAAGAACAGATGAAAATGTCGACAGAATCCGGGAACTTGTGCATTTAGATCGTAGGTTGACAGTCAGAATGATCAGGGAAAGAACTAAATTTGACCCACACCACTGTTCATTAGATCAAGAACAACTGGGTGTTACATCACGATATACTCCTTGTCACACAGCAATGTCAATAAACGAGTTTTTGGAAAGTAAAAACATTCCTGTGGCTACGCAGCCTCCTTGGGTTCACAGCTGTAACCGACCATCTGAAGGCTATCCCAATATCGGAGTTGCAGCACTGCTATGCGTGGAAGAACCATCTCCAGCACTGTGTGGCTTCAGAAGGTTATTTTGAGGGTGACAATATAAAATTGTAATTATATTTGAATAAAGAATTTAAAAAAATCAGCGTCATCACTTAATTTACAGACCTCGTAGCATCCAACTGACCTCGGTTTGTGATCTATGCAGCTGCTAAAACCTGGATTGCAAAGAAATTATCCAGATCTCAGGTACCCAGGAGCTTTTGGAAAATTTCTTATATACAGAAGGTAAGACAGGCAACTGTTGAGGAGGACTGATAGAATAAAGGGTTAATAAAATATCCACAGTTTATTTAGAATTGTAAAATATATAAACAAAATAATAAATCCTATTCAATAATAAACATCCATCGAATACGTATTTAAAGTTATTGAATTCGGAAGATGTAGCAAACATGAAAAACGCGAAAACCAGCAAGTACAGCCACATGTAAAACTTGTGATGAATTTTGAATTATTTAGAAAATACACGCTTATTCCTTTGCATAATTTGCTACATATTCCATCACTTTCAGTTTAAATTCTTCTTTGGAGTGCCTAAACATTTCTGCAGCTTCAACATTTAAGGGGTCTTCAAAATTCAATAAATCCTGCAATGAACAAAAATATTAGCAAATACGGTAGGCAAGTTCCGCGAGCGTATAAAATACTTACTGTAAAAAGAGCATTCAGTCCCCATACAACATCATTAAGCCTTCTAATAGGTGACCAACCCATTCCATCAACGCTGTGTCTTCGCAATAAAGAAAGGCAAACTTCTCCTGCTTCAGTTATATTTGGATGCCAAAGTTTTGTTAAGCATTTGACTACTGGTGGCTGGAGATATAAAAAACATATTCATCCAGGAGATGCCAAATTCAATTGAAAGCTGAGTCTGTGCATAAATAAGCATACATACTGTGGTGCCACCAACCACTCATCCTTACACGTATAGACAGGGTGTTTCATTTGCATAGGGGCCACTGAGGTGATTATAAATAACCTATGGTTGATGGTTCTTTATTCTCAAAGCTGGATATAACTTACTCTTCAAGATCATATGTGCTAATTTAGTGTGATATTTAGAAGATCATCTTATCAATCAGTTACTTTGTCAAGACCACTAAAATTGTGCTATCGGCCTCCACATATTCAGAAATATTCATTGAGGAAGTCTCTCAAATTTTCATACACAGCATTCTTACACTCCTTATATGATCAGAGCATCATAAGCCATGCAAGTAGCAACGTTGGTTTTGTGTTACCCATTGAAATGGTCATGAAGCAGGGGATGGCTGGTTGTTTTCATTAGTATCACAAACGATTCAATAAGATAAGCTGAGTATGCATACCAAGTTAGAAAAGATATACAGATGACTGGAAAGTTATGAGGAGATAAAGAAAAGGTCCAAATGGATAAAACCCTGTGTATGCCATTTTGTTTGAAGCTTATGTATTCATTCTCAGCCTATCCTTCTCAGAATTGTTGTGGTACTAACAGGAAAACATACCTGAAGAAAACCTACCATCTCCTACTTCTTCAAATCACACAATTTGAATAGGTACCCCCAAGCCAATGCTGTCATTTAAACTGTGGGTGATAATCTGCCCATGTAATAATCATATGTAAATGTATGTAAATTTGAGAGACTTCATTAATGTACAGAGCTGCCAACCTATAGTTCTTAGTACAGACGTGGAAGCAGGTTCATTTTGCTCTAGATGAAGCAACTAATTGATATAAAAGACTACAAACCCTTCAACCATAGGCTATAACCCTCTTAGTAGCCCCTATCCACAGTTAAAATATCTCCTTCTCCCTATATATCGTTCATTCGCAGGAAATCCTTTGGTTTAGCAATCTGGATTTTCATCTTTTTCGGCTTGTGACGGTTTTCTTGCGAATGAATGATATGTTAAACACCTTTGGGTGTCAGTGTTTCCACCTCACTGTTGCTGCATGTTATGGTCTTGAATCATCGAGACATTCAGGGAAATAATTGTGATGGGGGGGTATTTTTCTTACACCAAAGCAGCCACAGCCTAAATGCTAGAGGACAACAGCTGCTATGAAGAGCTTAAATAAACTATGTTAATCCAATTCCTGAACTGCCTAATGTTGGAAGATTTATGTGAAATTTAAGAGCAATTACTTTTCTTTAAAATTTAATTAATTTGAAAGGAGTTACTTTGGTTCTTCTTGGCAATATAATATTACAGTGATGATGAAAATTGTATGTAAGCTCCAAAATACAGCATAGGGTTGGGGCATCTTCTTGGAAAATATGCTAATATTTATGCGACTTGCAAAAACTAAAAATTAACTGTATTACTTACAACCATGTTATATTCATCAGTAACAGTTATATCAAAACGAAATGTCCCACCCTGCCAGTATCCTTCTGTAGGGGTTACAATCAAAATAAAATTACTAAGATCATTTTCATTGGCGTAGTGTATTGAACAACATGCTGGTAAGAGTTGAGCCATTTCTTGAGCTTCTTTAACCAAAAGTCTATCTCTTATTGAAGCTCTGGAAGCCGTTGAGGCTTCGTCAGTCTGTGATTTACGTTTTAAACGTTGCGACAAAGTTATCATAGTTCACAATTCACTTGAAAAACTCGCTCAATTTAATAATAGTTGTTTGTCCATAGCATATTTTTGGCAGTTATATTTGAGGTTTAGGCTATTGTTTCGGCTGAATCTGAGTGGAACTTCTTAGAAATCATCTCTTTTTTCTTCCATTCATCTTCGCACATGTTTCACCATTTTCTCATTAGTAAAAATTCAAATAATCTCAATCGCTAATTCCAAAACTTAAAAATGCTAAGGAAAACAGATTTGGGTATAGACAAGTGACAGAATAAGAAACAAAACATGACACATGACCGATGACATATGACAGTTAAGGACTGAATCTGAACAACTTTTGACTAGAGATGAGCTTTATACATAAAAAGACTAGAGTAGGCGGTGGACTAGTGATCTGTGTACAGGCAACCAGTCTTACAAAAATATCTTCCATATATGTGGATTTTCCTAGCAACTTGCAAACTATAATCAAATTCAAGCGGATAACCAAATGGAAATGGTATTTACCATTTTGGGTTGGTATTTACCAATCCGTTCAAGCGAGTGTAGTTATCAGTTTGGTTATAAGATCCGTGACGTCACGAATCAGCTGTTATATGTCATAGTTATCACCGCAAAATTGTGGTATTTACCCAACTCAAGAGTAGTTTTATATTTCTGGTTATTATTTGAAATCTGACAAGTTAGAATTTTGCCGGGTATTGGATATTGTTATTGTACTTCAGCTTCATTTTTGAGAAAAACGATACAGGCTGACTTCAGTTTTACCATAAAGTGGAGCACCTTATTAGTTATACTCATTACGGTTGTTGGGGATACTTTAAATGTAGTTCCTATGCTTAACAAAGTATCCTGTGTAGCCATATACCACAGGAATATTAAAATATGGCCATATAAACTCACTAGATGATATCCACCTGTATACGGTTTTGCTAATTTCTTTTTTCATCATTTCTGCTGAATCAATAAATGTTTTCTTTGACATGCGGAAAAATTTAGAGAATTGAAAGTTATCATAGCTACAAAGCCATGGTTAGATCATTAAAAAAAAAACTGAAAAAAACATTTTTCCCATGAATATTATGAAAGGTTTCTTATTTAAACTTTCCATATACAGTTCTAGACGAAAAAGCACCGATTATTAAGTGATAATAAAAATAATCAGAGATTATATACGCGCTTTTCTAAAATAAACAACTTGCAACAAAACCGCGGTTAAAACCAACGCGTTCAAGCGATTCGTGTAACTGACGTCATCAACCCGTGTGTCATCTTGAACCATATTATAACCGCGGCACATAACACAGAAATTTTGGTTATTCGCTTGGATTTGATTTATGTTTGTGATGGTTGTTATGTCAAAAATAGTGTGAGCGGTAACGCATTTAAGAACGATGATCGCAGAGGTGGGTATGATATATGATGAACATGTAATTTAGGTAGGCATCATTTCAATCTCGCCACCTAAATATTTACTACACATCCTTTATTTCGAAATTGTAAAGAGGAGGAACTTTTACGTCCGAATATGACCTTGATCATGACCCTCAATGCCATTTCAAGACACGTCCTAGCAAAAATGTTCGACAGTAGATACAGTTGTGAGGTTACCCGGAGGTGACCTTGACCTTCAAAGTCAAGTCACGCTTTTTAAAGGAAGCCTCCCATTTTTATATTGGAATTGGAAAATACAGATTTGACGTCCGAATATAGCTTTCACCTCAAAGTCAAGTCATTTCAAGCTTGGTTCTTATGCCAAAATTGCAGAGAACATGAAATTTTATATTTAACTATTGATTAACGAGTACATTCTCAATCAAGTAATTTAGTGGAATATGCATTGGGTAAATTAAGTCCTTTATGAAGTGATCACAGCGTTGCGTAGGAAGTGCAGAGTCAACCTACTTGATGTCATTTTTTTCATAGTCCACGTGGCGTTAGGTTGTGTAGTAACTGATGACAGAATTACGTAGGAGCTGCAGAGTCAATAAGTACAGAGTCAATCTACTTGAACCCATTTTTTGTGCATATCCTTATTCGAATAGTCACGTTTAGTAGGCGAATCACTCAACTGTATTGGCTCCATTCAGAAAATTAGCAATTACATCACAATAAAACGCAATTAGCTTATTATTTTAGTATATTTTCATTGATGATAGATCGCTGATGTAAGTAGGTATACTCGAATATTGTTGAAAATACGGGTTGTGACTAAACTCTTAGTCATATTTTCTATGTAAACATAGTTATTATCTACTATAGGTACTATTGCTTATTTCCGATGACCGGTGAAATTGTATACGAGCATATGTGGGCCATCAATAGGTAGTTAAATACCACTTATGATCATGTGAAGTACCGAAACCGAAGCAGCCCCATAGGCAGGGCACCCCAGCAGCTATGAGGAACTTAAATGAAATTTGTTAATATGATTTCTGAACTGCCTCTAAACTTAGTAGAACTGGGAAAAGCATTCTCGGGTAGATTGTTCTACAATCTCGATATCCTACGAACAAAGGAGAAGTCGCATCGGCCAGTTCTGGATGGATTTCTACGCGGTTAGGATGGGAGGACGAGGTCTGGCGGGTCTGTCTGACAGGCTCAACGCGCGGTGGCATTATGGAGAGTTCTGAGCAACAAAGCCCGTTGTCATACTGGTTGAAGGATATCTGAAAAGAACTGGAGCAAGCTTCACTCCACATCTCGTCGGTACAACGGCAGGAATCAAGTCCGGGCCAGAAGCTTTGTTGATGTTGAGCGACAGGAGCACCCGTTTTACGGTCTTATGCCTGAAGGTTACTTCCCGCATCGTGTAGTGCACCCTTCAAATGGATTGTACTCAGGCTTTGGGGATGACGTCCATGGTGGAATTAGCGGCATAGATCTTGGCAAGGACTTCCGCCTTAGCCTTTGAGACAGCCATCGCTCCGTTATATTTGTTTCGGGATACATCGGCTTGTATGTTCTCTAGAGTGGGTTTTGTAAGAAGGTTATGTGTGCCTTGTTCTTCTGCTGACGAAGAGCAGTGTCGCGGGATTTGTTGAATCTTGCTTTAGGCATCTTCACTGTATGAGGGATATATTCCCCCATCCCAACATGGATAATTTCGGTTATTGACGAACACACAGCCGAGGCATCCGAGTCAGCGTAACCAGCATTTCTCTAAGGGATTGTGGAGAAAAGGTCACCGAGTTGTTCAGAGTCAGACTGAAACCTGACCTCTACAACACCGTGGTCTCGGTTGCCCCAGGAGACAGGACAGCAGCAATATTTGAAGTTCCCATAAGCGACCAATTTTCTACTCCAAATTCAACGTCATGACACTTCACGACAGTGGCATATATAGAGCTTGAGTTCGGTTGGGGTCCATAAGTTAGGGGATAAATGGACATCATCACGTGAACAAATATTTATAAATTCTGTTTCTAATTAGACAATGTTTGGAGCAAGTCAACAAATAATATTGACTGGAATGTTCTTTTAAGCCTAGAAAACCGGTAACCAGCTTTTTCGTTCGTATCTGAGAGAATTCACACCGTTTTCTATGTGCACCTTGAAGAGTTCGAAAATAGCAATGTGTGCTTTTCCAAAGGAAGCACGTCAAGTTTTGCAGCGAGAAAACTTTGTATTTTTCAGTATTTTTGAAGCGCCTTAATTCAAGGAAGTCTTGGAGGATAGTTGATCTATTTCATTAGGAAAATCGCCAAGGACTTTTATTTTCCTGTTCTTAACAAGCGGAATAACGTTTCTTTCCGTATATTTTGTGACCGCTCCGAAGATAAATATTTATAGATATATTGCATCTCCATATGATACGAAATGACTATTAAAGCTTCAGGAACAGGTTTTATATGTTGGAGGCTACCATCTGCGGGTTAGAAAACATACACAAAATGCGTCATACCCATCGATATCTAATCGCAAAGCGAGAAAATCCGATGAGAAAGTGCTATTGAGCCTATACTGGAATTTCTTGGGCCTAAACCCCTAACAAATACTTCTGTCAAAATATTAAAACCGAAATGGTTGGTGCCCTTCGCTTTCAAAGCATCCCAATTCCCAAAATTGAAACATGCGATTCACCTTCTGTTTTGAAAACTTTAGAATTAATAGATAGTTCATCTAAAAATTGACAAATCCTCCTAGAACATAATCAGCATTTTGTACCGTTCGCTCCTCTCCTTATATACGCCAGTACTTCACGATTTTTTAACGGTCATATCCAAATTCAGGGTCCCAGATTACCTAGATGTCCAAAGTGTCATTCGTTAGTAATAACGAGACACAAAAATTGTAAATTTTGCCCTACGAAGTCTTTAATTTTGTAATTTCTATGAATAACTTTTCTGAAGCTCGCTTAAGAATGTACCTGTCATTTGGACAAAATAAGCTCGTCTTCTGAGTGAATTGGATACGTAGTTCCAAATCTCGCATCAGTTTGGTGCTAGGACCTGATGAAGTGACCAATTTTGAGGATCAAACGCGATCCCATGATACTTCACGAATTTTTGAGGGTCATATCTGAATTACCAATTTGCCTTACAAAGTTCTACATCTAATATTTCTGACATTTACTATAAAAACTCCAAAAACCCTTACGTATCTATGATCTGAGCAAAAGCCCGATTTCTGGGTAAATGTCGCTTGACATCAACAAAGCTTCTGGTCCTGACGACCAATTTTCTACCTCAGATTTCCAGTGGCGTGATTTAGGGATATTTTTTATAGGTATTTGTCACATTATTTGGTGTCAAAATGTATAAGATATAAAAAAATATTCAGTATAAAATGCAGTATTTAAATACCGAATAGCAAGTTCTTGATATTAGTATAGCTATAATTACAAATGATAATTAAGCAAAAATAAATCCAGCGATTCTCGATAATCACTGTTATGCATGCAGTAACCTGTGTAAAGGCTGAGAAAATTCAAAAAGTGGGGAACTCGCGACCTTACTATGACGAATAATGAATCAATGGTTACATAAATTAACTAGCAACGCCACATGTTTAACCATTGTTGACAAGCGAAGTTTTTTCCGGAGAACTTACCTTCATATTTGTTATGGTCTAGGAGCTGATTGTAATAGTCTGGGACAATTACCTGAAAACGCAAGAAATATATGCCACTGTACTCCAAGTAGAAATCGATTCCATATATGCAAATATATGGGTGATATGAAAGTACCTAAGAAAGGTTCATATACGACGGTTAATCTCATTGGTTGATCTCTACTTACAATAAAACTACATTCAATATAAGTATAAATATTTTATTTTTCAACATAATCACCTGTCCATCACTTGAAGCTTTTTTATTATAAATATAATTTTGTAATTTTGAAAATTGTTCCAACTTACGTCTTAACTTCCTCCAACATTTCTCTTCAAAACCATCTCGCAATTTTGAGATTAAGTTTGCATCATAAGTCATTGTAATGGTACACGCTAAAAATTGGTATATTCAATGATTGAAAAGTCGGTTGAAAATCATAATTTTTGAGGTCGACAAGTATTTTTTATACCGAAGCAGCCGCGCAGGCAGAAGCCTAAAGGCCGGAACACCGCGGCTGCTATGATGATCCCAAAGAAATTTTGTTAATAGGTACGATTTTTGAACTGCCTAAGGTTAGTAGAACCGGGAAAAGCTTCCTCTTGTAGATTGTTCCACAATTTCGACACCCCCGAGACAAAGAAGCGGTCGTATCGGCCAGTTCTGGATGTACGAAGTTCGACATGGTTAGGATGGGACGCCAAAGTCAGGCTGGTCTGTCTGGCAGGCACATCGCGCGACGGCATCATGGAATAGAGCTCTGAGGAGCAAAGCCTGTTTGTGTAGCGATAGAAAAGAGCTAGATCGCCGACGGCCCGCCGGTGCGAAAGGGTCCCTAGACTGTCTGTTAGAGAAGAGTCATCGATCAGCCTCTGGACACCATCGAGCATAAGTAATGTAGTCGGGGCGGCAGCACCCCAAACGTGTGAGTAATACTCGAAGCTAGGCCTTATCTGGGCCTTGTATAGAGTGAGAAGGTCATGCGGAGAAGAATACTTCTTAGCCCTGGACAAATAGTCTAGCTTTTTCCCAGCAGCTGCCGCTATTGACGAGATGTGTTCGTGCCAGATCAGGTCCTCGGTGATCTGGACTCCGACCAGCCGAAATGAATGGCTCTTTGGCAGAACTCGGCCATCCATCGGAACCGGATGAGCGCTAAGACGCTTTTTGTTCGTCAAAGTACAGTACTGTGTTTTAGAAGCATTAAACTGTACAAAATTTTTGCGTTCCCAAGCCGTGACCTCCAGGTCTCTCGTCAGAGAGAAAGTCGTCGCTAGTCTTCTTTCTTCCAGCTCAGTGGCAGAGATCGGCTTGTCACTCTGAATTCCAGCATGTAGAGTGCTGTCAAAATCGAAGTTTAAGTTTTGCTTTATAAGGGTCCCTTATGCACCCCTAATCCTCAAGATATATATATATACCTCCCTATCAAGAACCGCTATTGGAAAATTGCGTTTCCAAAACCATATTTGAATCAAAGGAAGTGGGAGAACATCTGGAACCATAGTACACGTGTAAAGAAATACACTGAAATATCATATACTGACGTGTGACGCCTATCGCAGAGTTCTCGTTACCTGTACGTATAAAACTTTTTCTGTTTCAATTAGAAATCGAAATGATATACGAGTATCTGTTCCAATCGTTTTTGACGACTTCAGGATGAAACTGACTGTATCATGAGCGCGGAGTAATGGAATGGTAATAATAGCCGATGAACAGGTAGTACTGTAGTTCTCAGGTACTTAAGTCAAGTACGAGCTGGCAACGTCGCCGCAGCTATCGCAGTCGTGAGGTGTGGATGTCCATGAATACAACTGTGGTTAGTACGTTTACGCTTATCTTATTTAGTCAACATTATTTCCGGATAAACGAGCAGAATTTACGCGATGCTTTAGTTGAAAAGCGAAAAATAGTAGTGCCAACATGTCTAAGCAGAAGACGCGTTTGTGCCACATCCAGAAATGGGACCATTTCGATGGTTACGGATTTAACCTGCATGCTGAAAAAGGTAAACCAGGCCAGTATATCGGCAAAGTAGACGATGGATCTCCAGCGCAAGCTGCAGGTTTGAAACAGGGTGACAGAATTCTTGAAGTAAACGGGGAGAGTATAACTAATAAAACACACAAACAAGTGGTTGAACTTATCAAAGCCGAAAGTGGCTACACTAAGTTGTTAGTAACAGATTCAACTGAAGAAGACGGAATTATTTCTACTACAACTAACAGTGTTACAGACAAAAATAACCACGATCAGGAAAATAACAAGAAAGAACACGAAAATGGTACCACTGGCGGGCAGTTGAATTTAAGTATGACAGCTGCGGAGTTAAGAGCGAAGTTAGCCGCCAAAAAAAAGTTCGATCCTAAAAAGGAAGCCATGGATTTTAAACAAAAGTTCGACATAGTGCAAAAACTTTAAAATCCGGTTGCTGTTTGCGATGTTATGAACCAGTGTTTATGTGCAAATCGTTATTTTTGCATTTTTGCCAATTACCGAGTGTTTGGTAACCGTTCACTAGATTCATTTTGTACATTTTTGTGTGGGGCCCTAATTATTTTTGTTATGCCAGTTATACGTGGTATTTTTATAAATTCCATTTGCCATGTTTAAGTTCCAAATCCATAGTTTATTTTGACATTTGTTTTATAGTGGCGGCTTATTTTCTGTTACCTATGTCTAGTTTAAAATGAAAAATAGTCGTTCCTTAACTTATTGTGAGGATGCCTTATTTGTTTAAGCCTTGACATTTGACAGTTAACATGAAAATTGTCAAATATCTTATCTGAGGCAATGTATAGCCCATTCATTTCAAGTGTTCTTTGATTCACCACTTTTCTCAAGGAATGCAGATGTCTCTGTTTTAGTTCATATGCCTATAAAAACATATTTCCGCATCATGCGTCAAACTAAATTGATAACCGGCGGTAATAACGCCTCAGATCAAAATACCATATTTCATGATCCTCCTGTCACTCCCAAATGACAAGAGAATAAGGCGTCTTTACGTGAAGGTCTTGAGGAACTTCTATGTACTCGGCCTTGAAATTTTTATTCACACAACTTTATTCAATATGGAATTCCAGGATTTCAAGATACATTTTTTATGCAAAATATATGTTTTCCTAGGATATCTATTGAATGTATGCACTTTAGCTATCACACTGATATTCATAAATTTCTGATAACATATCTGATTATAATTGTGTACTAGGAACACAATAATTATCATTATTCTCTGTTCAAGAAATAGAAAAACCAAGATCCTTCACTTCTGTCAAGTTTGAAGTGAATTAAAAAAATGACACCAAGATTTTTATTGTATTTCACTTAAGCTAGACATAAATAACTACTTGAATTATTGTTTATATTTTAGGAAATTTGTTTTCAATATTTACGCATTGTTGTGATAGCCATAGTGAAAATTTTCTTTATAAAAAAATTCATTTTTCATACTTATGGTAACACACAAATAGTAAATCTTGAATTATACTCAAATGAGATTAGTTGAAATTGTTTCTGGTGTTGATTATTAAGACACAAAAATTTCATTGTCAGTATTACTATGTTTAAAATAGCCACGTTGTCATAATGTATAACAGAAAATTTGTACTTAATTTCAAAATACTAAAAACGCTTGGATATGCAAAAAGGCTGTAATTTGCGTACAATATATGCACGAAAAAGCTTTCGCAAAAAAAATCGTATTTGACATGTCATAGTGTCAAGGTATCAACAGAGTGTGATTAAATGTTCAGGAGAATTTAAGTGCAAATCCAGTACATGAGAATATAAAAAAGTCAGTTGGGTCCGAAAACTTGCCGCTTCCATGATACAGGGCATTTAAACTGTATCGAAAAAAATGATTTTGATTGAAAAGCGTTTCTTATTTGCCAGCTTGATTGCTATTTTTTACAGTTTGATGTACTGGTTAATAAAATAATTTCAATTTTGGTGTCTGAACTAAAATCTCCAATAGACATTTTCAAGTAGAATCAATTTGGCTCCAAGATTCTGCTACTATTTTGTGCAAAAGCAGTTGAATGTTTTTTTTTTTGCTAAAAATAGGGACTTGCCGGCACGAACGCTACTGATGTAAGTACCTAAGAAAACCGTTTCGACAATTAATCTGACATTTGATAATAAATTTGCATATGCCAAACCTTGTCTCAGTATCTCAAACTATAAATCGATAAATCAATGTAAACTATCAAAGACGGATAAGTTTTAAAACGAAACCGAAGCATTTTCCCAGTTGTTTAAACTTTTTTCATATTGAAAACGTGCTCAATCTACACTTCAATTCAGCTGACAACATTCTGTTTCACCATGTATACACGAAATAAAAAAAATTGTTTTCGTCCAAAAAATGCGCATTTGATATGTTACAGTATTAAGGTTAATAGAAAAAAATATGCAAAAATCCAGCGTTCGGCGTATTTTTATCACTCTCAAAGGTTTTTAAGCTTTGATGTCCTGGACTAAACTTCAAAGTCATGTGATCACACGTATATAGATCTGAACTTACTTATTTATAACTTCTGACATTCCTGTAGAACGTTGTCTTCTAATGGGTGATTCGTTAGGCACTTTTTTGAAAACAATCGACTGTATCAGGCTATCTGTATTATCAAACGAAAGCATTTTTTGGATTTGTTTTTCTTTTAAAGGTGTTTCGTGTAGGATTCCAATTTTTGATGATACTTCCGTGCATTTCGACCGGTATATGGCAAATTACTTGAGTAATGCTGTTTTCTAATTCGTCAATTTTACTCTTTTACCCATATAAGCATAGCGCTAGAGAAAATGGTCCAGAGGTGTGAAATCACTCGATCTAGGGGCCAATAAGGAATAATCGTCAAAAATTGTCAATAATGGTTCTTTACTTCGATAATAAAGATAACCCGATCAAGTTGATTTTATATTTTATTTTGACATAAATCACCCATTACATTATCTAGATATTAGTTTGCGTAATTTTGGAAGCTACTGTTACGCATCAAGAATGATTTCTTTCCCAATATGCAACCTAGTGCCGTATAGATATAGATTTTTTGTTGATGTGATTGGATTTTTTTGTTAGTATAAAAATTTACGGCTGTTATACACCTTGTTGTTCACTTATTTTGTAATGTTTCAATCTGACATCTGTTAATTGAAAATTAAGTTGCTTTTTATTACATAATATATAATTCAATAACTAGTGTGATTTTATTTATTACGACAGGCATGGTATACAGGGTGTTGCAATCCCACCTATCCATAGTTTCATTATAAGTTTTTTTAAGATCACGCACGATACCTGGAATTTTGATTCAATTGTGTGTTGACCGGAAGTTTATGATGAGATATTGATGTTTCGAAACTTTTACATTGTTCTTGAGTTTGATGTTCGAATGTTTGCAACGCTATCGAAATGTGTGGCTATAGGATAGGCATATGATACGTAAAGTTCACATAAAATCACGCCTATCCAAATTAAAAATAATTGCACAATTTGAAGAGTATTTTACAGTCTATTTGGAACTACGAAAAATGTCTAACTTTAATCACTCATAAGTCAAGAACAAAATACAAAAGTCAATTCGAAATTTTGGGAAAATTAAACTTTCATCATAAACTTTTTAAGTCGGTCTCCAAAACCTCGTCATAAGAGTGCATCATCAAACAATCAAAATTTAATTTTTTTCCTGTTTCATGAATTTGGTCTCTGTGAACATAGTTTTATGTATCCAATATAAAATTTTGTATCACCTTGTATACCTTCTATAGGAATTTATACATTACATGAGTAGTGCAATAAAATTTGATTTTAATTTGTGTATTGTATTCAATGTATGGAATGTCAATATGCTGTATCCCTCTCTAAGAGGTTGGAAATTTATATAGCTATGTTTCATATTTAGTAAAGATTTATTTTAGGTAAACTCCGTTTTATTAATGACAGTTGTTATCATAAATGAAAAAACTTCGGAATCCAACGTTAAGACTGCGATGTGCTGCAGTTTCATTCGCTGGAGATAAAAATAGAAAACCTGTCCTACTTTTAAGGTTTCCCACTAAATTCTCAAAAACCTCCGCGTATATCCGTGATTAAGGTGGAAATCCGATGCGCAGATTCCGAATCTGGCGTCAATTTGACGGCAAGTTCCAGCCAATCCACGACACATCACACGATTTTTTTGAGTCATTTTCGTTTTCAGCACCCCAAATTATCCACGTGTACAGTTCTATACTTGATTTGGACGAAAACTCGTCTTCTGGATAGATCGGGTGCGAAAATCGTGATTCCGATATCACTTTTAGCTGGGACTTATTCAGGGGCGAATTAACAAGTGTTTATCTTGGGAGAGAGCACGCCCGCTCTTCTCTCCCTCCGGTTTTCAGTTGCCAATCATTACATTATTTGTGCCACCCTCTCACCACCACCAAAAAAATTCTGGCTCCGCCCCTAGGCCCCTTGATATAATTTGCTACAAGCCACGCGCTGCCTTGATCCGGAGATCCAAGCAAGCCAGGGTGAATGTGCCAGTAAAACGGACACTACCAGTAGTCGGACAAATCTCGTATTATTGGTAAAAACTTGAATATTTGAAATCCTATACGTGCAAGTAATTTATACCTAATTTTTGACAGTTCACAAATATGTTATATCCTTAGTTGTCATATTGACAACAGTAGTAGCGCGTCAATAAAAGCATGTATTCGATTCCTCAATTTTTGTTAGTGTAGTGAGTGACAAACTTTAAAGGCAAGTGGAAACGTAAGCTGTCAATACATAAATACGGTTCTTGTTACATATGCGGACGATATTCAAATTTACGAAATAAATTAATCTTAATTTAATATTTTGAGGTCAAATTGGAGTGGTTGCTGACTGTATCATCATACTCTTCAAAATCCAATAGTCGGACAAGTAGTGTCCGACTATTGGAGTGGCGTGGTATTTATCAATCTATCTTTTCGTCTTTAAATATAGAGCCATTTGTACCGGTCATTTTTCTATTTAAACATAGAAACTATCAAACTTCTCTCTTGGAATTAAATAAACCAAAATATGACTGAAGGCACAGTAGATGGACAGCGAAAGATAACAAGTAATGTAGATTATGGCAAGTGATATTGTGTCCGACTACTGGAATAAACGAATTTTCATAGCATCCCAATAACCAGCCACTTCCATTTTGCCGCCATTTTTCACGGGGCTGTGAAATAAAATTTCACATTTTCACTTCATTCGGGAATGGATACCAAGAAAAAAATAATAATATGAAAAAATTCCGTATATATAGTGAAGGCAGGTTAAAGGAGACAGTCGAAGATGTGAGAAAATTGCCTGAAATATATAAACAGAATGGTATTTAAAAGTATACAGTGTAGGACCGGACCAAAGGACAAAATTAGTTTCTTGTATTCTTAATGACGAAATTTCTATTCTACTATCACAAATTTTTAAAACTGTTCTATCTAAATATCGCAAATCAGCACCTTTTCGATTAATATTTTGTTTATAAAAATACAAGGATTGTATTTGTTGTCGGCGAAAAGATAACAACATATATGATCACTCCCAAAACATTAGTTAGGTTATCTTGAACACAAAATTCGTTATTACACATTTGTATTTCATTTTTTTCTAAACTGCCCGGCCACTGGCATATTCACCAGATTTTGCTACCTCAAATTCATATTTCTCTCAATTGCCCGTATTATGAGATAATGAGGTAGTTGTATTTATTTGTTTGGAAATGCTGGGTTCAGTCATAAATCGATTTATTATAATGTATTGTTTTCGAAGCGACAGCTAAGGTGTATAATTCATTTATATTTTACGACTTTTAAAACAATTCATCATATCATCGATACCCACACACACTCGAATCTCGAATATTTTTGCATATTTTTCGCGCGACTATAAAGGTAACAAAGGACCCGGCAACTCGCCTATGGGAAAAGTGGTTTCGGTTAATCTCGCTGATTTTTTATATGGTATGCGTCTTGGCATCATGAACAAATGTTTCAATGGGGACAGGGCCCCAACCTCAACGGGTCTCAAGATACAGGCAGTCAAAGTTGGTATAACAGGGTTGCGGTTCTACTCAAATATAATGGAAGAACGGTTTCGGTCAAATGTATGAGGAAATATTTTTAAATATCAATTTTATATTTTGATGAAATATCTAATATTTTTCGTAAATATGTATGGATTTTCAAGCATTAATCTGATACATATTTTCAGTGTAGATATAAAACTCTTCATTGGTTATTTTAGCAAAACCTGTAGGAATGCTTATATAAAATTGGGTTTATAAAGAAAATTCATTCTAGATATAATGGTTTAATCTGCTAGAAAAATATTATCAAAAAAACATTCTAAGCCTCTTCTGCATCTTGCAAGTCCACTCCTCTGAAAAAAAAACAAACTTACTAATTATGAAGTATTATTGAATACATAAGCTGCTTTCCAGTGTATTTATTGGTGCTGAGCATGGCGAGTTACTCAGAGTAGCTCAGCTGGGTCACTGAAAAGCAGCTCTATAATGCACCCAAAAGGACCCCACATGTTATGCCTATGATAATTCTATCTTGAGGAAAAATGTCCATGGGCACAACTTGATCCTTTGACTAACACTTATTGATTTTGTTGAAATGTAAGTTTTTTTTAGTAGTACACTTCAAGGCTAGTTATTTATGGTTTTATGAATACCTTTATACTCAGCTGGCACAATAATGTTTACTTATCAGACAAATTAAGCTATGTAATTATCGAAAAACTTACCCTTTTACACAAAAAAAAAACACTATAACATGTTGTATCAGTCTTCTTCTCTTGGAACGATCTATCCGAAAATGCAATAAAATATGAAGCATTCCATTAAAATAAAAATCCTCATCAACCCAACGGTTTTTCAGCTTTGAAACTACAAGGTTGTAGTTTTTTATAATCACCATCTTATTTAATCATAGAAAAGCATGTACGTAGGTAAACGTTCAAATACAGAATATGGGTTGGACATCTTGCAGAATACGTTAATCAGTGATGAATTATAATAGTTACTGGATCTGGGGAATTATGAAAAATAAAAAGAAATGCGGGCACAACTGCTACATTTATTTAACAATTTGTATGTTGTATAACAATTAATTAATATACATAAGAACATGCTAAACACACAAAAGCTAAAATCGTACTAACTGCTATCATTCTAACACGTTTAAATAGCAACAGATTTAGAATGCAGTAGCACTATAACAAAAATCAGTTTACATATTATACAAGTTTTCAAATAATCTCATTTACAGTATCCCAATATATACAATAAAGTATCTAAGATGATATACTAGATAATTCATTTATCTTAAAAAACACTCGCAATTTGTGACCATTATTTTGAAAATAAATTATTACAGAATTCAAACCATTATAATTATTGATGACCTTGAAAACTACTTCAAGGTCAACGGCAGTAATCAAATAAAGATCCGTACTTTATGCACCCAAAATGAATGACCTATAGAGCCAAATCCCACGTTATTACTAACTGGGGTTTTGGAAACTTCTGTAGCAAATTTTGAAAAAACAAAATTTCAGTAAAGCTATTGATGACCTTGAAGATTATTTGGTCAACGGTAGAAATCAAATGAAGACATACTTCATGCTGCAGCAAGAGATTGCGACCTTCAAGCTGAACGCCAAGCTTGAACCAAATGGTGGTTTTCCAAAACTCATTTTCAAAATAACGGTATTTAGGTTAAGATGGATGAATTATCCAGTGTATGCTATATCTGTTAATTTTAACGAATTATTTACAAATAATACTTTAAAACTTTCTGGGGCATAGCAAATGGAAAATATATAGCATTAGCCTATGAAGGTGCAGACCACGATTTTTGTATATTCCATGTAATTTTTTTACGGGTAATGTAAGAAATCTATAATATAATGGAATAATATGACCCCGGTTACTATCGCAAATTTGAAATAATCTCATTTTTTATTTCTATTTAATTGATGGAAAGGCCCTAGAATACGCCTGTATTACCTTCAAAATGTCTCGATTTCAAAGAATTGTGCGTAAAGCATTTCAAACTCGTAATATATTTACTTTTCCAAAACTGAAACGGCGACATTATTACACATGGAAATATTTCAAAATTTGGTGACAGATTTGTACAATTAGGATTATTAGTGACCCATGGAGTAATTTATGATATACAGTGCTTTTCAAAAAGCACCCCTCCTACTCATTTTCTAAACGGGTTAAGTTTGCATATTCAAATTTGGGTCATGATACTGATGCATGAATACTATATTTTAACATGGCAGTTGAAAGTTACAAGATGGTGGCTGGGCCCAATATTGCAATATTTTTTAGTTGATTTATAAGTCGTGCGATACCTCATTTTGGATTCCTTATAGCCCTAGAATATAAAATCACCATTTTGGAAACTTACGAACTGGCAGGCTGTCAAAGTTGAGAGCATTTGTACATTAATTCTCTTATATCTCGACAAGCAAATTATCAAAACTCTGTATATCATTATTCTTCTCTTGAAAAGGTGTATCCGAATATGGAATAAAATACAAACCATTCCATTTGACAAAACTGTCTGAATCATGTCATTTTCTTAAACCAAACGTCTGATATCTTATTGCACATTCAGTTATACGATTCCAAATTAAGAAGATTGATATAACATTTTATAACGTTTTGATGATTACTTGTGCCAAGCCATCATTTTAAAGTTTTCACTGTTATTTTTACGTTAAAATATAGTATTTATGCGTCAATTTCATCATCCCATTCAAAAAATAAGTAGTGGAGGAGACTTTTTTGCAAAGCACTGTATTTAGTGTTGCGTATTGAATGAATAGGCCACTTAGTAGGTTCTTTTGCGCCTCTAGTTCCAGAGATCAACCTTTTCTGCAAAAGCCAAGATGGCTCTGGGTCCTGCATACCATATACCTTTTGGTTCCAGCACGATAAACCTCAGTATGGTACGTCGGTGATACCATAAGGCCTCACAGTGACCTAAAATGTGAGCTACTAACTCCACATTTCCATCTCGCTTACAAACCCCCATTATATGTATTGTGACCAGTTAGATATTCAAACAATCTTCGCAAACTTTTTTTAACAAGGTTTTTAAAAATGTTTACTCATTACGCAACACTTTGGTAAAATTATGTACTAATGATTTAACACACGTAAAACATTCACGGGAGAATTTGTTATAGAAAATGCACAATAATTTTCAACTAAACTCACAAACAAATACGTCAATCACGATACAATAGTTATATTAGTACGTACATCTAAATTTCACGAGAAAATAGGAAAATCACAGAATAAATATTACTACTTTTCTAAATGACGCTTCCGAGATTTTACGAATCGCGAGGCAATATGATCACATGGACAATCAGAATTATCTGTCAATTGTCAAACTGTATAAGCTGTGTAGCCCGCAATTCAATCTCAGAAGCTGCACAAATATAAATTTAAATATACTCAATGGTTCATCACAGAATATAGATATATGTATATGTTCAAATGTATGCACCTGTTTTTTAAATACTTTGATAACAAAAAAATCACAATGATTTAATTATTCGAAAGAAATTTCGAATAAAATTCACTATAAACTTCATTATATAGAACACATATCCTCATACTAAAGGAATGATTTCAGATATCAGGTACTTACAATACACTATGGTTTTTAAAAAACAGGTATAATTGAGTTGGTAAGAATAACAGAACAAACATGGAATATCATTTTATTCCAACAAATACAAAACAATTCTTAAACTGATAATTAATTAAACATCACCAACATATATATTGCTACTTGGAATATTTACGATATAAGCATCCCTATTTACCATTGCATTGGCTATATTTAACAGAAAACATATTTATAAGGTGGATGGATCAGGGAAGGCCACGCTAACAAATAAACAGTTATTAGTCCTTTATTTACATGATAAATCATAGAAATTAATTATTCAGTAACACTCTGTTTTATTATGTAACAAATTATTTTTCTTTATTGGCACCATATAATAAATCAGTCGCTTAACCAAAAACTAACGTTGTGATAAAAATATCTACTTATGTTACTTAAACAACATAATTATAAAGGTCTTTCATTAAAATGAAATACTAAATACAATAATACATTTTTATAAAAAACACTCAATGAACATTACTTGAACGCTATCGTAAAACTAGGAATGTATTCGTGAAAATACTTTCAAAATAATTTTAATGAGTTTTACATCAATATCAAATAAGTTACCAATAATCTTTATAATTTTTATTGGAAAAAGATTTTAAACCTACCAAAATGGCCTTCTTATGTAAGACCAAAATGCTCAGATAGCGTTAGAAATCTACAATTAAAAAAATTAAAGAAAACAATAGCTTATTTACTCGAAATAATAAGTTTAATTGTGAGCTTTAATTATGATTTTAACATCGGGGGCCGATGTCAACACAGCGAGGGACCACAAGGCCTTCTATGGTCCACCTACCTTATTTGGTTTTTACTAGGCCTCATAATCATTGTGGAGTCTTCATCACTTTTCAATTTCTTTTGTATAACAACGAGTTCTACCTTAGTGTGCAATTATAATGAAAGAAAATACATTTGGAATTCTCATAGTAGCATATACAATCATGCATAGCACCGCAAATCCATGCATCCAGCTTCTCGCTGTATGTACCGAGCTTTTAAGGTCGAATATACATAATCGCTCAAAAATTCAGTGTTATGTTTAGAAAGTAGTGCTGTTGTGTAGTATTGTATATGCTGTGCCAATTATCTATAGCCAATGAAGTAAAATAGGAGTTGGTTCTTTAACAAATAAAAATTACTTCAAATCTGACTCATCATCATGCAACAGTTCTTCTATATCATTCTCCCAATTGTCAGTTCTGTCGACCGTTTTATGTTCATCGATCAATTCATAATCTTGCAGTTCAGCCTCCAATTCTTTTTCCCAATCTTCTTCTATACAAAACAATGTACAAGGAAAAGAAACAAAAAGAAACAAAAAAGAAATATAAGACCAACTCGGTTAAGCAATCTTGAACAAAAACCAGATGCTCAGTGCTTAGTTTCCTGTTTTGTAACATAAAAAGCCTTCATATAATGCAAATCTATTATTTTGATTGACTTCTCAAACCACATATACGTCTGTCAAATTTTTATCCACCATAAATCTATCGATAGATTTGCATTATTTTAGTTCTTCCTTTCTTAAAACCAATCAATAGAACTTAGCCCATGGCAAACATATTTATAGGAGCATTTGCAAACTCGTAAAAGCACGAACGGGGTGCGTCTCATAAGTAATGAGACAGAGAGGTTACAATTATATCGGAGGATCTAGAGTATTTTTCACGATATTTGATTACGTCAAACATAACAGCTAATTATATAGTAACATTCAAAATACCCCATATCGACAAGTGACATGCAATTTCAAAATATCTTTCAACGCGAGATCTGTATACAGAGTCGTATTTTGTTGTCTTTTTTATACGCTACGAATTCATATTTTCTAACATCGCTTTTATTTAGAAAAGTTCCTATGTAAAAAAGAAAAACGACCTAAACAATATGGCTGTTTATGTTCATTACTATGTTCCAAGTAATAATAAAACAATAAACAGTTTTTGACTATGTTAACCGTCTGTACTTTCTAAACACGGTCCTGAGTTTCACGCGAACGTCACCAGATTCATTATTGCTAACAGGTACAAAGATGTTTGCGAACTCTTGACACTACTGGAAGCGTCGAAGATGGTATGCTAGAATAACGACACGTAATCCAAGGCAAACGTTTTAGGAGCAATTCTGTCCAGCCGAAATCAACATTTGATTGTGTAGCGGTGCTGTATGAAGTAATCCAACTCAAAACTTTTCCAAAAATATCATGAAATGGCAAACAACTTTATTGTCAGTAAGTTTCAATGCGACTGCGACTGTTAGCTTAGATTTCCAAACACATTTCTAACGACTGGACACTGTTTGAGAAGTGATTGGGTCGATCTTATTACTTATAAAACGCATCCCACATTCCCCTATATTGCTTCCTGTACACACTCTGGTCACGGAATTGTTCTGTTCTCTGTAAAATGACCTTGTGAAATACCTTCCATAAAAAATAATTATCAATTTCTGAGCAACTGGCGGGTCTACACCTTAACAACCAATCTCAAATGAAAAGTTGTACACATACGACATACAACGAGTAGGTATATTTTCATGGTTACACTATACACTGAGAAATTTTAAGAATTTTACACGTTTACTTCCACACTGTAAGAAAATTATAATACTGCACAGAATTATTTCGTAACTGCTTCAAATAGCGAGCAAAACATAAATTTGTTAAAAAATCCTCAGATTACCTGAAGTGTCTAGCGAAATTAGTGATATAGAAGGGGCCAGTTCAAATGACATCTTGAGAGTTTTATGAAATTTGAAATGTGCTAGACACCAAGGCCAAAATCACCATAGAATTTTAATACAATATGAAATATATATTTCTTTCATCCATTTTTTACTAGATATATAATTTTTTCACATGACCATACATTAAAATTCACTTTTCATTTGAAATGGCGTGAAACTTTTTTTATAAAGACATCCAGTAACAGTATTTCTTACATAACTCCAATTTGTATTGTCATTTTTTAGGAGCAACATCTATGACCCCTATTTATAAGTACTACTAATAATTTACAAACTTTAAGAGATCAATCAGGGGACACTGTTGCCCTAAAAATAACTAAGGAATATGTGCAAACATTTTCGACATATTAATCGCTCCAGAAAATGAATAATAACATTTTTTTCAGCTGTAGGATCACTCAAAAGTAATATTATCCAGCCATTAATAGGCTGTAGAAAAAAGGCAACCACAATTTTGACCTGTTAGCTAACCCCTCAAATTTGATTCAATTGTGTATTGTATGGAAGCTAATGATGTTATGTTAATATTACCAACATTTGGCAAACTATAAATATATAACTGAGGAATGAAATATGTAAAGCTCACATTATCCAACTAAAAGCTAAACCAAAATAATTTGACCTTATAGGTTTAATTAAATCTAATATAAAAATATTTTAAGGTAGCCTCAATTCTATGAAAAATATCCAACATGTCAAAAAAAAATGTAGAAATTTTGGGAAAATTAATGTTTAACATATACATTTATTAACCTAGCAAATTTTCGGCAGACAGGCCAAAAACGGTTTGTTTTTGCGAGAACTCTTGCAATATCACCTTACAATGTCAAAATGTCCACAAGTTAAACTGTCACATTATTTTTAAGTGTTCTACTTGAGTCAAAAAGATCGGATACATGTTCTGGGATGCCATATATTTTATTTAGTTGCCAAAATCTATTCGGAGGAGATTAAGAAAAAAACAAGGATGGTAGTAAATCTTTAACTTTAACTCAGACTATATTATTATTTGTTGTAAATATTATTACGCCAAACAATACAAATGAAAGAATTGTTGACAAGTTGAGACTGGAGAGTCTAATATAAAACGTATCTAAATGCTCGAAAGTGACTGAAAATGTTTGTACAGATCCGGCTAAAATAGGTAACAAAGTCAAATGACATGAAGACACATAATACAATAGTATTGACATGCAAAGATAGATTTCAAAGTCGATTTACTCGAACTTTTTTCAAGATTTAATACTGTTCTACCTTTTAGTCTATGCTTTATAATTATTAGTAAGAGTAATATATTAAGCAACATAATAGTAGCCTGTGAATCTATAAGGCAAAATAAGAGTTATGGTGACATTTTCGTTTCAAATATATGTATATGGAAAACAATGGGAAGCGAAGATGCCGTTGACTTCTTAGGCTACGACAGAACGAGAAAACAGGAAACTAACCACTTGTCTGCTAGTATTGTTAGTAAATATTAGTAGTACATTCCCACTAATTCTATTTTCTCACAAACATTTAAATTAGTTAAGCCTTTTGGCGATACATGTCAGAATGAACATAAAATTGAAAAAGTCTTCCTCAACTCGATAATCTAGAGAGATGCACACGTGGCTCATAGTGCGTTTTAACAGTAAATAACGACGTCTCAAGGGCAAAAGACTCTAAGGCGGCGGTTTGAATGAGTTTTTAACGGCCTTTTTAAGACCTGAAAATGGCCAATTTTTTGGGTTTTTCAGACTTCGTTTATAACCAAAAACAGTCAACATTATAGCTGCTTATATACGGTATTTTTCACCAGTATTCATCACGGTAGAACAACATGTGATTATCTAGTGATATTTCAAAAGTCTCCATATCAACAAGTGACACAAAATTCATGCTGAGAGATCCGTCAACGCCAGGTAGACAGATCCGTCTTTTGTTGTGTTTTTTTGTACGCTACATATGAATTTTGTACTTGTTAACAACTCTTTTATTTAGCATATAAAAAATAACGCAACAAGCAAAATGGCTACTAATGATCATGACTACATTTCAAGTAAGGTAGGAATAAAATGAACAGTTTTTCTCTGAATACGGTCCTGAAATTCATTATTGCCAACGTTACAGACTAATACAAAGATGTCGCTTTTGTGATTAGCTGTTCACCTCAGTAGACGTCAAAACGTAATGGATACTCGTGGAAAATACCATATGATCATATAGTTGCATACCGCGCCATCTATGAAACACTCAGCTTGTCAAAGATGATTTCTAATTATCGCGAAGAGTGGAAACATAGCTGAATACGTTAATCCAGGCCTCTCCAGCTCGAGCACTTGGTGCTGGTGCGCTCCGGTGCTGAACCCAGCGGCACCGGTGCCGTTCCCCCTCCACCTCGACCGCACAGCCGTCGCGACAGAGAGAAACATATTAGCCGACTGTCTCTCGGGCGCGGGCCATTTCTTAATAGGACAAGACAAAGTGGACATGTTTTTTAGCGTCTTAACGTACATCTTTTTTTAAACGATGCCATTCAATCCTGCATGGAAGAATCCTATTTTTTGTAAATACTGATGGAAAAGCCAAAGTTTAATTTGTCACACGGTATGGAGGCCAGCCCTTCTAAGTTCTGAAGAGGTAATTATTAATTTGGTCGTAGTTGATTATTATTAATGGTGTCGTAACGCAAGTTATATTGTTGCTTTGAAAATCGCAAAAAGTGGGAGACCATTTACTGACGGTGAACTTGTCAAAGAATGCTTAGTGGAGTGTGCAGAAATATTGTGCCCATCTCCTGTAAGACAATTAGTATGTCCGAGCAAACAATTTCTCGTCGGATACCTGAACATGGTGCAGATTTAAAAGAAAAACTGCGAGAAAATGTGCCCATTTTGTGCAGTATTCTATAGCTCTCGATGAAAGTAAAGACATTTCTGACACAGCGTAATTAGCTGTTTTCGTTAGAGGTGTCGAAATAGTTTTTACTACCACCGACAAACTTCTAGACTTCATCCCGCTCAAAGCTACAATGGCCGGAGAACATATTTTTGATGCTGTAGAATACACAATGAATGACATTGGTATACTACTCAAAAGTTTGCGTAGTGTTGTTACTGATGGAGCGCCATCAATGTTATCGGAAGCACATGGTTTTACTGGGCGAATGAAAATAAAAGTACGCGACCCTGGGCTACCTCCGATATCATCGGTACACTGCATATTACATCAGGAACAACTATGTGCAAAAACCTTCCGTAATTTCTAATCTATTACACTGGTCAACACTGGTTTTGCCACACGAACTTTGACAGCTAATTTTGTTTTATCAGTCTACCCTCATTATTACATGACAGCTGTCATATGTTTATTAGCCTCATATTTGTTGTGATACGGTAATACTCATAACTAGTACTACGGCAGTAAATTAACAGAAACGCTTACAAGTAAATCCTTATAAAAATATTTGTTGTTGAATTTGAACACTTTTTTGTGATTTATTAACCCTGTGAATATGTCGAGGAAGTGTAATAATGATCCTAACTCTTTTTGTTATGTCTGCGGAGAACTAACATTCAAAAAACAACGACGAAATTTTACGAATCTTGTGTTGGAGTGTTATCACCAATGTTTTGGTTTTTCTGTCGTCCATCAAAACAAATCCTGGGCCCCTCATGTCTGTTGCATAACGTGTGTGAAAAATTTAACAGACTGGAAGAAAGGTGCACGACCTATGCCGTTTGCTGTACCCATGATATGGACTGAACAGCGAGATCACGTTTCAGATTGCTATTTTTGTCTCACAGACATAAAAGGTATAAATTACAAGAAAAAAATCACAGTTATTTACCCTAACTTATCTTCGGCTATAAGACCAGTCTCTCATTATAAAAAATTGCCAGAACTAATACCAGTTGCAACTACGTCTGTTGAGAACAATTCACAACCGTCCACTTCAGGTGAATGTGTTGACGAGGACGATGACTTTGAGTTAAAAGGAATTGTAAACGAGCCACATTTGATAACTCAAGGAGACCTAAATGATTTGGTTCGGGATTTAAATTTGTCAAAAAAGCAGTCAGAACTATTAGGATCACGTCTAAAAGAATGGAATTTGCTACATCATAATACAAAAGTTAGCTATTTTCGAAACCGTGATCAACACTTCAGAACGTATTTTTCTCAGGATGGAGATTTGGTGTTTTGCAATAACATAAATGAGATTATGAAAATGTTGGACATAGATTTTGATCTCTCTCAGTGGCGTTTATTCATTGATTCTTCGAAAGCAAGTCTAAAAGCAGTGTTATTGCATAATGGAAATAAGCTTCCGTCTGTACCTCTGGCCCATGCTGCAAATATGAAAGAAACCTATGAAAATATGAAACTTTTACTTGAAAAAATAAATTACAGTACATATTCCTTCAAAATCTGCGGTGATCTTAAAGTTGTTGCACTATTACTTGGACTTCAGCTGGGTTATACAAAGTTTTGCTGCTTTTTATGTGAATGGGATAGCCGAGACAGAACTAATCACTATATAAAAAAAAACATGGCCTACGCGTGCATCGTTAGTTCCTGGGCAAAAAAACGTAAAGTATTCACCCCTTGTACAGCCAAATAATGTGCTTCTACCACCATTGCATATCAAATTAGGATCGCAATGGGAGTGGATTTTTGTATCTAAAAGAAAAATTCCCTAAAATAAGTGATGCAAAGATAAAAGAGGGTATTTTTGTTGGCCCTCAAATTAGGGAGTTAATAAAAGATTCAAGATTTGAAGAAAAATTAAGCGATTTAGAAACATCTGCATGGAAGGCTTTTAAAAATGTTATTTCAAATTTTTTGGGTAACCACATGAGTGACAGCTACAGAGAGTTGGTTAGCGAGCTATTATTGTCATATCAAGCATTGGGTTGCAACATGCCACTTAAGATCCATTTTTTAGACTCGCACCTGGATTTTTTTCCTGACAATTTAGGGGCTGTCAGCGACGAGCACGGTGAGAGGTTCCATCAGGACATTTCTAATATGGAAAAGCGGTACCAGGGCAAATGGAGCCCAAATATGTTAGCAGATTACTGCTGGACAATTAAAAGGGACCAACCAGAAGCTAAATATTCAAGAAAATCTTAGATTATTAAGTCATTTATAAAAAAAAATAACTTTTGATTTACGAGATCTGTGTTTTTTCTTAATATTTTAAATTACTCAATAGAATAAAATCCTTGTCTAGCAAATTTTTTTTAACTGTTTATTTTTTCTTACAATCACCAATTAAAGTAAAAAATATCAAAAGTCCGTGTGGCACGACAAAGTTAAAATTTTGTTGACCGGTGTTATGGATGTAGTAATAACGTGTCAATTTCTGCAGAAAGCAAGGTCTCAACCACGGCAGTTTGAAGTATTTTTAAAAGACCTGGAAGCAACTTACGCTGACATACCCTTTTATTGTGTTACGCGCTGGTTAAGGTGCCCAAAAGTGCTAAAGATTTTTTTTTAATCATTGACGACGTTGAGATGTCTATGCAAATGAGATTTTTACGACCCCATCTTCAGTGCTTTTCGAAACAGAACCGCCGCAGTTCCAAATGGAGCTGATTAAGGTCCAATGCGATACGATCCTCAAGGATAGATACTACCACTAGAACAGTAATTTAATTTCGTTTTATCAAGGTGTTAAACAGCAAGATTTTCCCAAAATTCTTGCACTGGCCTTGGAAATTTGCTCCATGTTCGGTACAACGTACTTCCGCGAGCAGATGTGTTCTTTAATGAATTTGACCAAAACTAAAAACAGGTCTTTGTCTGATGTGTCCTTAGAGGCGATACTCAGAATTTCCACTGCTCAAGCCACTGTACCAAATATTAGAAAACTTCTATCGAAACGCTGTCAAAGATCATCTTAAGAATAAATGTGTTTGCGTCGAAATAATGAACATTATTTTATCACCCGCGCGTTGACTCGATCAGACCAATTCAAATGCCAATACGAATGTCACTCTACTCATTTTCCGTTGGGGCTGGGAGCCGGCACAATTAAACCTTATCGCGGATTCGAGTAAACTTAGTAATAATATGTAGTTTTCAAGTAAATGAACAAAAAGGGCTTGGTATGCCGATGAAAGTACCTGTCATATCGACTTGAAAATACAACGTGACGGTAGGATTTTACCATAACCTATACGTATATCAACGGTCACGACGTTTCATATTCATTTTACATATACTTTCAAACATCTAGAAGCCTGGTGTCAAACTGACAGACTCAAATGAGCTTTTAAATGCAAGCATGAAGCATACAAACAGGATGTATTATTTTTATCTATTTGCATTGCCTGCTGTAGCTTTCAGTCGGTACGACAGAAACTTTTTGTCATACCATGTTTTTCCAAATGAGCCTAAAATTTCCATCAAACCTTGCAGGCTTCATTGGATTCGGTGAGGACGGTGAAATTCTCTTGTCACGCTGTATCTTTAAGTCGGTATGACAGGTACTTCTGGCAGGATGCGCCCCGCCCCGTCTTACTGAGCTCTTGTTCGTTTACTTAAAAACTACATATTATTACTAAATTTAGTCGAATCCAGGATGAAGGTATACTCAATCCCACCAGCTCCCGGGTCATTTCTATTCGCAGGGTGCTACGGTTAGCACTGGTGGCACCTGAGTTGGAGAGGCCTGCGTTAATCAATGATCCGGATTTGCCTAAAAATGACATCGATTTACACAGAAATCGAGTTTCTTTCTAGGTTACTTCATTCGATCTTTCCTACGAAACAATTTTATCAATAATTTTATCCATACTGACATGTAGCAGTGGGAATTATATTTTATGATAGTTGAAAGTGAAGAGAAAATAGCAATAGCGTTGTTAAACCATTAAAGCGAAAATTAAAATGAAAATAGAATCTTACCAACATTCTTAGATCCTAAAGCCAATTTTTTTATTCTCTCTTGAGCGTCGACTATGTCATCATTACTGGCTTTCAGTGTGTCAGATACAAACTCATGCACATCTTTATTTCCAGTTTCTACTCGATAAAATATACACGAGGTGAGTCAGAAATAAGTACATCAATTTCAACTGATATGTAATAGATCCCACTAAGGGTAACGACGTTTTTTAAAAGGCCTCTATTACGTATTAGAAGGGGGGTAATCAGTCAAGATAACAGCACTTAGGTCCCATTGGGCCCCTTGTACGTACTATTAATCAAGGTGTAGCCTCAGAAGGCTAACGTTCTGCAATACTCGTACTGATAGGACAGCTGGGCAGTAGCAAATCAAGTGCTTCACTGCCTCCTGCCTGGACATAGATACGTAGCATTTTGTCACATCTTACAGCAACACTGTGACAGCTAGAGATGGGGGACATCGTGAGTTTCGAATATCTGTGATATCTGATATCGTTACTTTTTTATATCAGTGATTTAGAACCGTGTCGTGATCACGACTTTCAAATAACGATAAAATTATGGGTATACTGATACCCTGAGCAAAATTCCAGGATCAAATCGCATGAAGCCTATACACGAGGTCTGTAAATTAAGTGATACGACTGTTTTTTTCTATTCAAATATAATTACAATTTTATATGGTCACCCTCAAAATAACTTCCTTCTGAAGCCACACAGTACTGGAGACGGTTCTACCACTCCTCACAGCAGTGATGGAACTCCGATACTGGAATAGCCTTCAGCTGGTCGGTTACAGCCGTTTGGATGTTTTCGACTGTCCCAAAATGAAGAGAAAAAAGTCACAAGGACTTGGCAGGCGAATAAGGAGGCTGAAGAGTCACATTAATGTTTTTACTGGCCAAAAACTCGTTTATTGACATTGCTGCGTGACAAGGAGCATCATCTTGATGCAATACCCAGTTGTTATTGATCTGATGAACGGTGGCCTGAGTCATATTTAACTATTTCCCGAACATTCTGACTGTCAACCGACGATCTGAATGCACAATATCTCGGATTCTGTCTATATTTTCATCGGCTCTTGAAGATGAAGGCCTTCCGCTTAGCGGTTCATCTTCAATCGACTCTCTCCCTCCTGAAAATGCTTTAAACCACATGGTCTCTTGACAAAATACTATCACTGTAAGCCTGCTGAAGTTTAGCAAGAGTTTCCGTTGCACTGGGCCCACGTCTGAAGCAAAACCTGATAGCACACCTTTGCTCGAAATTGATATCATTTATTTTCAGAACACAATATGAAAAAAATTCACAAAAAAAATCGCAACGGATAACCATGACTCGAACGAGTTCAAACTTGTACTGAAGGCGGATCACATATTCCCTGACTCTCCTCCAAGCCCGGCGCCTCCAGTGTTGCCAGATCGAACGCTACCTTGCCAGTCTTATCACTTAATTTACAGTCTTCCTAAGGTACGATATCGCTTGCAGGCCATAGCAGTCTTAAGACCGCTGCACAATTGACCGGGAACGGAAACGACAAAAAACTTCAACTGCATATTATCCGTACATATACATGTACCGTTGTCTTCTCGGAGCCAATCAAAATGCTTAGCATGTATACATACGCATCAAAGTCCGCCATAAGTAATAACCTAAATTTCTAAATGGGGCATTTTCCGTTTTATTTAGTACTCCTGTGCAGTAGGAAATTTTAAATAAATTAGTTGCATGACTTCCCAAATTGCAGTACGTGTTTCAAAGATCACCTTTGAAACAGTTGAATGTCCAACTCGGAATCGCCATCATAAATTTTGGGATGCCAACTTTAAAGCCATAGCCAATCTCAATTCAGGACAAATCTTCTCTCCTACTAGGCTCTAGCAGTTTTGACTTAAGAATACACAGGAGTCTGTCAAACTAATCTGGTAACATTCTAGTATATTTAAAAAACATTTCAGGATTTCATATGTGTAAAATTATTTCGAAATGCGCCTGTCTCATTCCTGTCCTTGAACATTGGTCTGACCCATCAACTATATACATAATTCCACTTATTATGTGATTCATTATTTATTCAAATTCAGCATACCTTCTATTTTTTTTCTTGTCATTAAATACGAGAAGACACATTGCAAACAAAGAAAGGACGCAATGAGAAATTATTCCTCAAAATCCATTTTTTATTTTATCGGATAAATAGTCCAAAAATGAGAAAATAGATGCTGTTTACAAGAAAGTGTCACAAAATTGCACAGAAGCTTCTGTCAAAATCTCTCGTTCCCGTTTACTACTACTTTCCGTTCCCGGGGAATTGTGCAGCGGGCTTTATGGTGGTATACGGTATACCATTCTCGAGCTTAGTGGCTAGCGCGAATGCGCATCTCACGTACATTCAATCATCAACGCCGTGATCTCATTATGCCGTTCGCCATAGCTGTGAAGCATCTGGTTACCAAAATCGTGATCACGTCACGCTTCTTCACGGTATTTGGAACAGGCGTGATTCTTGATTTAGAAATGTCAGTTACTGAGTCACAGTTCGTGGATTATCTGTCATCACTATCGTGAAGTATCATGGTGTCTAACTGGAGGCAGAAGTTCGGCAGGGTTATAACGTAAAAAAATATATGATGTCAAAAAACGGATGAAAAATAGTTCATTCCGCACTTGCTACAAGTGAGCATGAAGTGAACGACAGTTAGTTCCAAGTTGACGTCTTGTAGGAAAACCTACATAATGTCAAAAAACCGACATAATGTCACTTTTCAAGTTACGTAAAGGAAATATCTGCCGCCACTAGTGACAGCTGGGAAAATCTATAGGGAATACGCAATGTTTTGAAAATTTTGCGGGTGAGGCAGAATTAAAATATTCGTTTTAGGCGAAATAATGAAAAAAAAAGTTGCAAGTAGTGGAAACATTCACTGGTTGAAATAAATATATTCTTTCAGACTCACCCTGTATAAAAATCTCGAAAATTTGGCTTATTGAAACTTTAAATCAGAAACATATTTAAAAAAAGCAAGGATGTATTGAAAAACTAGCAATCATAATGGGTCAAGTTAGCAAGCTTAAGTTTGGCATGCCTAAATTGATGCATGAATACAACATTTTGGGGTGGAACTATCATTTCTAGACGTCAAAATGGTGGATAGGTGCTATCTTGGAGTTTTTTCAAGGAATAGTGGGTCATCTCATTTTGAAGCTCCAAATGATCACCTTATAGAAATAGAATATGCTTGTCAAAAGTTACAATATGTCATATGAATCTAATTTCCTTAGAAGGATCTATCGGAACATGAAATAAAATATCGATTTTGTGGTGCATCCAAAAAAAGGAGATTTGATATATTACAAATTGTTTCTACGTTAGAATATAGTATTCATTCATCATTTCATCACCCTAAATTTCAGCTTGCTAACTTGACCTGTTCAAAAAAATAAGTAGGGGAGACCTTTTTGAAAAGCACTATATCGAATCATACTCGGATTGTGTCATGAATGCCGTAATTTGCTCGTGACATCACGCTTTGTGCATGACGGGAAACACAAAATATACAGATTAACGATCAACTTTGAGAGTAGTTTTTTTTTTGGTTTTCACAAGTAAACATTGACAAATTTTCCAGTGTTTTTATTTGTGTTTGGTTGAATCAAATGTACGGTAGTAACACCATTTGGTAGCAGCTATAGTTTTAAATTTACACACAGGATACAAAAGTATATTTTACACACGTAACATTCTTGTCAATATCCTGGTTAAAATTTTCACCTTGATCTTCACTATAATCTCCCAGATTTTACATGTTACACCCTAGATGCTTCAAATTAGACAACATATCGTTGACTTATTCTGAATAGCTTTCTGATTTGTATATATATATATATAAGAACACTTTTCAAAAAATTTCGTTTTTCTTTTGTAGGCTAAGTACTTATCGGATCGCCCTTGTATATCTTTGTGCAAGAAAGTTGATAATGCACTAGTTCAAACTGAGTCAATACGTTTCATCGTGTCACCCTAAGCGCGAGTGGTCTGAAAAATCTCACAACCTAGAGCTTTATGAACACTAGATATGATTTTTAAAATAAGACACCAAAATACATATACTTTGAAGTTGAGTCATTAATTTTCAGATAATGATTGTAGAAGGAAGATAAACCAAAATATGTGTGTAAAAATAAAAAAAAAATTTACCTTGTTTTATAAAGTATCCTCCCGACAAGTATTTCAGTGCGGACCTGTATTTGATCGTGAGGTCCCCTGTGAGGTCTTAAGTCACCCGATTCACGAGCCCGTTGTACTACATTAACAAAGGCACGAGGGGTTGGTTGCACTCGATTGGGAAACCGATCCGCATAAACATGTGCCATTTTTTATTTCGTTTGAGCCACGCAACACACTATTCACTGACACTGACTGTATACAAATGAATAAAATAATTGTAAAAACATCGTTCCAAATTCTTTCGCTTTTTTGTTTCCGACGCGATGAACCGATACGGCGGATTATATCCGTTGTCGCCAAACACGAGCACATAATATTATTATTGAGACAGGGCGGTACTAAAGGAAAAAACATTTCTTTTGATCAGATCTACTCACTGTTAAAATAAATGACTCAACTTCGAACTATAATGAGAAACTATGCTGATAAAATTTTATAGAATAGATATATGTTGGACAGTCTTTTCATACAAATCAAGCGGCTGGATACGATCCTAGTATGATGCGATATAATGTGCAAGGGCCTCGATTCTAAATGTCTACCACAGAATTGGGAGTTTTTTATTATCGACCTATGAGGGGAATTTGAAAAATTCTCAAAATATATACGAAAATGCAAAGAACAATCATATTACTCACCTAATAAGTTATCAGAAGTTTTACCAATGGGCTGGCTGTCATCTTCCCTTACCGTAGAAGACAATTCACTGGCCTGACAGATTAGGCTAACGCGGTAAAAGTAGTTTTTCCAAAAGTTTTCTTCAGAGATTCTGGAAAATAAACGAGATAAATGCAGTGATACTATAAGAACATGAAACAAATATGAGATTCGGAATGAACGCTCCCGATTTGCCTTAGCATCTAGTTTTCATTCAGATCACAGACTCGCAGCAGCTTTTGAAAATTTCCTTATTGGAGACCTCACAATATAGGACTCTGCGAGTTAAAATTCCCATTTTTGTCTTCTATTTTTACAAGGAAAGTACATTATGCGGTTAATTAATTTCATGAGCTGAATCCGAACAATGAAAAAATTGGTGTGTCTCGAAACTGACAAGTCTTATTTTGTGTACGCCGTGATTCTATGATTATTCCTCTCGACGATCTGGCAATGATGGTGGATCATTGCTCAGTAATCCCTCAGCATTAGAAGCACACAGACTTAAGTTCGTTAAGTTGTCCGGGACGCGTAAATTGAAAATATATTTCTATCATTCAAGTTTTGAACGGGGGGGTACGGAAAATCTATGATGCATGGAGTATGTCTAATAGGTGCGTAGAGTTACCGGAGCTGAAAACGCTAGCACCAAAAAATTGACATATCCTCTCTCACCTCCTACATCCAGTTTTTAAATCCCTAATTCAAAATGTATTATTCGAAAACACTGTGGTTTCCAGTCGTCAAGTTCTCGATCCCTGTCAAAGTCACAGCCTACTAGAAACATTTTGCGAATTATTTCACGACGGATTATACTAGAAAAATTCCGAGGATCATTCCACAGCGATTGCATGTTGCGGTCTCGATCCAAAAACTCAATTCGTCACGATCTACTGAGTATTTCCGATTTACCCGGGAAACAAATTTTCGTCTAGATCACAGATAAGTAGAGGTTTTTGAGGTTTCTTTCCAAAGATCTGGAAATGTAGGTTTCTGTAGAATAATTCCATTTTCCTCTCCTATTGTTAGAAGCAAATGAATCTTTATACACTTAGGAAATTTTGGACGCTGCATATGTAACCGCCAAAAAATCGTGAACACTCATGAAGTATCATGGGGTTTAATTAGAGGTAGAAGAAAGGAGCCCTACCAATCCATACTTACATTTTAGGCACAAGTTCGTAACGCATCTTTTCCAAATTTGGGTCTTGCTCCATTATAGCCATAGCAATGGGGTATGAGACTTCATAGTCGAAGTCAAATTCAACTCCAGCCGGAGGGCTGCGTATGAAGTTCCTTTGATCAGTAGAGAGGCTCAGACATTCATCCTTGATGGACTCTTCATTGGCCAAACCTACCCACGGAGGTAACGGAGCTGAAGATGTAGCGTTTTGGTTTTTCATAAAAGCCTCTTGCTCTTTGTTGAATTCAGTTAGAATAGCCTATAAAGTAATAGAGGTATAAGGCCGACTAGACGATGCGAACACCTCTTGATTTATATTTTTAATTTTTACGAGTTTGTTACAAAGAATATATAACTTACATTTTTTTCAACAGTCTCCTTAATTTTAGCGCCGGCTTCACTTACAGTTTTTCCAGCTTTATTTACAGCTGAATACAAGAAACTACCAAAAGATTTAGCTCCTGCTAAAGCTTTAGTTTGTACTGAAATCATAAACACATGAAGTAAAGTAAAAAGATCTTCGTGAATTACCATGCTGGAAATTTACGCAAGTTCCTTCATATACACAACATCAGTTGTTACCACTAATGTTATACACAAGCATAATAAAAAGTGTAAATTTCAACAATGACAAGACTCGACACGGGAATGAGTGGTGTTACAAATTATTGTCAAGAAAATTGAAGGGCAGACTCAGCATATTAATGCAAAGGTAAAAAGTAAACTTGTCAATCTTTTATATTTCACCTTACATTTCTCGAGAACAGATACTGATATGACGTAAATTTGCGATGTCTGTAAGTTAAGTGATGAGACCGATATTTCTTTTTTTTTATTCAAATATAATTACAATTTTATTTTGTCACCCTCAAAATGACTTCCTTCTGAAGCCACACAGCGCTGGAGACGGTTCTTACAGTCCTCATAGCAGTGCTGGGTCTCCTGGTTGGTTACTGATTTTTCTGGAAGAGAAAAAGTCACAAGGATTCAAGTCGGGTGAATAAGGAGACTTAATAGTCTCACGAATGTTTTTACTGACCAAAAATTCGTTTATTGACATTGCTGTGTGACAAGGAGCATTATCGTAATGCAACACCTAATTGTTCTCGATCTGATGAACCGTGGTGTGAGTCATATTCTTGCTGTCAACCGACGATCTGAACACACAAGATCCCGGTCGATATTTTCATCGGTTGTTGAACATGAAGGCCTTCCGCTTCGTGGTTCATCTTAAGTCAAAATGTCTTAAACCACCGAAAAATCTGTTATCTCGACAAAACACTATCTCGGTAGACCTGCTGAAGTTTAGCAAGACTTTCCGTTGCACTGTGCCCAAATCTGAAGCAAAACATGATAACACACCATTGCTTGAAATTGATGTTAGTCATTTTTAGAACACAATAGAAAAAACTGTTTCACAAAAAAAATCGCTACGGACAACCAAATGTCTCCATCGAGTTCAAACTTGTACTGAAGGCGGATCACATGTTCCCCTGACTCCCCTCCAAGCCCGTCGCCTACAGTGTTGCCAGATCGAACACTACGTTGCTATGCTCATCACTTAATTTTCAGACCTCGTATTATCCGAAGTGACATCAAGACGTAAATTGTTTTCTAAAGCACTACATTTAGCAGCGAAAAAGGAAAAAATTCTCAAATCCAAATTTATTCTGCCTTGAGAACTTCCTATTAGAGCTTATCATTCAGACGCACCGATCTATGTATCGTTATCAATAAATAATAATGAAGACGGCATTTTTTTCACAGAACACAACGAAAAACCCCAATCAAATACTATTTAAAACTGCGCTAAGTTTTGCGAAAACCAGTGATGTCAAACCTAGTTTAAACACCTCGTATAATAAAAATAATAATAATAATAATAATAATAATAATAATAATAGTGCGTTTATTGCCCAACAGTAAATACCATTTACAGAGCAAAAAGCAGTAGTATAGCTTACATGGTAGTTACACCACAAAATGAAAATATCTTAGGAAAAAAAAAAGAAAAAACAGAAATAGAAGAAACATTAAAAACTTCACCAAAATCAATCATAGATGGGCTCGAGATTTATTCTTTGATTCACAGAGACTGCAGTGAAAAATATCACATACACTTGAAATTTTATTGGCATTTCGGCACATAAAATTAATTGGAGCCTTTAATAGTAAGTTAGTTTGTGCTCTTTTGCGCAGGAAAGTATTGAATTGTCTAGATGTTATTCTAGGAACCAGAATATCTACTTGAGCTAACAATACAGGACAATCTACTTTTCCATTGAAAAGCTTGTGCAAGAAAAGTACAGATAACTGATATTTACGGCTCTCCAAAGACTGATAATCAAATGTAGTAGCTCAGGATAACTACAACCTCTTGGTGGATACACACCATCGATTTTAAAAGCTATGAATTTCAAAATTTTCTTTTGTGCTTTTTCAATAGCAACGATGTATTGGCTATATATAGGACTCCATATGAGTGAGCCATATTCTAGTTTGGATCTTACTAGACTGAAATACAGAAACGATAATACTGAGGTGTCATGGAAATTCTTCCAATTCCTAACAATAAATTAAATGTCAACTGATTATCAAAATAGACACCTAAATCTCTAATGCAATCGGTTCTTCCTAGTGTCGAATTCCCAAAAGTATACCGATAAGATAAAGGCTTGGACTTGCGACTGAATGTTACTTCTTTGCATTTAGATATGTTCAAGTGCAGATGATTTCTTACACACCAGTTCTGTAGGAAAGTGGTTTGTTCCTGTAAGATGATACAGTCCTCTTCACTGGATACTGATATATATATATATATATAACTTGAGACGTGGTCATTGTCGTCTAGACCAGTTAATTTTTCACCTATATATATATATATATATATTTAAATCATCCGCAAACAATAGCTTATTGCAATTAAGTGAATCACACAAATCATAGATATAAAGTGAGAAGAGATCGAAGAGGTCCAAAATTGGACCCCTGCGGCACACCGCTAGTCGCAGTGAATACTTCCGATCTCACATTATTTACACATACATATCGTTGAAATTAGATAAATGTGATTTTAATAGCAAGAAAAACCTAGATAGCAAAGTTTCTTGAGGATAATCCCATGACTGATCTTGTCAAAAGCTTTGGAAAAGTCGGCATACATTACATCAACTTGACCCCTGCTGTTTCACATAGAAACTGTCTAAAAACCGCAAAGTTGATAATAGTTGGTCGAAACTTCGTGAAACCGTGTTGTTAAATAGAAATGCAATTTTTTGCAGACCGGTAGATAGCATCATAATGAGAACGGGGACCCATGTTCATATACATCTTTTTTATATGTAACAATACACACAATCAAACAGGCAGCACCGAGACAACGTTGTTATGTACATTTCTTATGACCCTTGAGTTGTATATATAGCATTTGTAGTAACATTGACATAAATGCATTTTTTGTTTGGTCATATGGTTTTAATGTAAGTCCGTCTATAAGTAAAATCAGTACAGATTTAGGATCTAAAGACAATGCAATATAGAGAAAACTAGAGCACACATACAACAATCATACTTCTACAAAAAGGCATTCCATATTAGCATTCACATATCGCGACAGCTCAGTATAAAGAGCAAAGTCAGGTCTTTTCTGGGGTAAATATAAATTTGTTTCAGTAAATGAACATCAATATGACCAAACAAAATGAAGCACGTACAGTAATAGAACACGAGGCACAATTATTAGGTACTGTAAGACACGTTACAGACAACACAAATGCAATAAAGTAGTTTTACATACCATTAGTGAATTGACTATCTTTTTCTTCAGTGGGAGATTCAGCGACAGATTGGGGGCCTGAGTCTGCACCACCAGTAGCACTATAATTCCTAGATTTAGTTTTGCTTTAGGATTCAAGTTAGAAAAAATAAGGAAGCATTTATTTTTGGACATATGTGCAGACGGTAATGTGAAATAAGAATAGTGTGTCTAAAATTTGAGTTGATAATCCATCTACGTTATACCAGCGATTAGCGCTTTTTTCAAGTGAGATGCCCAGCCCTACGCAGTATTTGGACATTCACGTACAATGTTCATCGTCACAAACGTGCCAAGTATGATAGCAGTGATTCTGTCAGAAGTAATAAAAGTATGCCCCAATTTTTTAATTTAAGCTTCTATATGAAAATCTTGCATAATGCGTATAATAAACGCTGGCAAGTGTGTGCCAAAATAATATGCTAACCACATGTCTTTGACAAACAATATTATAAAAACTCCAATCTTAAACACACTAATATCTGAGCATTCCTAACAATGATAATGTGCTATAAACTTATCCTGCGGATTTCATGTCGATAATTCCCAATGTTTGTCTTGAAGAAGATCACCATTGAGACCGAAACGGCGTACAATAAAGAGGAAATTTAAACATTATGTGGTTTAATTCGGCCAGACAAACATGAGGGATTACCATCTAGCGTATTTCGTCTAGAAAAAGGCGAGTAATCTAAATACAAATATATGTCCTTTTTCCTGTTCATCCTGTCATGTTCTAAACTTCACGTATTTAGCATGATTTTGATTAAAATGCCTAGGAACTCTGAGCTTTGTCTCCTCCCTGGACTAATATCTTATCCCCATTATTCAACCGGTCATATGTGATGAATATAAAAAGGTTTTATCTCTCACTAAACACATACACTGAGAACCAAATTTGTCCAACTGCTTGAGTTCAAGGTGTACTAGAGAGAAATGTGTATAGACACGTATGTTAGAAAGAGATAAGAGATTCAAGCCGGCTGGATAGCGAAGCTCGTCATCGCGTGGCCTAGTAATGTTGGCGCGGCAGTCTGTCGCGTTACACCAGTTGTCTGTTGAAAATATGCGTTACATTATTCTCTACGCCCAAATACAGGTTTTACTTTGAGCGTACACATTTTTGACTTGTGAATCTTTTTAGGATCGATTCCGGATCAGTCCTAATGACGCTACATTTTAGGTCGAAATGAAAAGTCGGGATCGCCACAAATTCTGCAACATTGCATAATTGGTTCGCTTGGCAACACCGCATCTTGTACATTCCAAGGCAAGGTTTCCACCTCAATGATCATAGTTGAGCGATTTTGGTCAGTAACCATCTAGCGCTTGAACAGGAGTGTTGCTTCAAAATGGTTCTCACCTACGAACACGCAGGCAGTGAAATTTGTATTGCGTAATGGCATTTGGCACATTTTCCGACCGCTAGCTGTCGCAAAATGTAACAATAACTTCGGATGTGTTGATTTTATCACCGTCGGTGGAAGTAAAACATAATTCTAAAATAAATTAAAAGACTAAGTCGCATCAAAATTGAAATAAATAATTCTAATCAAAATGAAAACAAAATAAATTGAATGTTCCTTTTTGGGTTTGACAGTAACCTAACATATTGTAGATTGGTCTAACATATTGGCAACGCGGCAGATTGCACGACCTTCTGCATCACCGTTGCAAGGCAAGTGTTTGAAAATGATCATTATCCACAATGTAATAATACTAATAATAATATTTATTCGCCAAAATAAAAAATTGTTTTGAGCTGGGCAAATAAATGTGAAAAATCCACAAAAGCCATTGCCTGTGTGTGGATTATACGTCTAATTTTTTTTCCAAATCTAAGTGCCTTTATTTCATTTCATTACATAATTTAGCTGCTATGAATTTAAATGATTTTTGAATAATGTTTCTATCCGAAATCGTGTGTCATGTTCGTGTTTATAGGAATTTTGTTCATCACAACATTCATGTTATAAGGTGGTGGCATGTAAGAAATAAAGTTGCCCAGCATCAAGTATCCCTGTTTCCTGATATAAGTTGTTCGACGGATATAATCTTGGCTTATGGAAAATGGCTTTTGAAAGTTTTTTGTGCTACATCTAGATCAGAAATATACGTCTTGCTGTGATGCAGTGAATTATATAGGTTTCAACTAAGGCATGGTACAGTATTCGGAGATAACTTTCTGTAAGCATTTGGAGTTTTTAGGAAACATTTCTGAATTTTTTTGAAAACATCGTCGGTCTCCGCACATATCGGCGTAACTAGCATTTTACAAATTTTACAAGACCTAGAAAACGAAAATCAGCAATACATAAGATTGAAAATAACAGATTTTTTAGTTTGCACGTTGCTGTTTTTCTGTTAGACTAGCATTATGTAGAACTTTGTTTTGGGATGGTTTATGTGAATTTACGGGTAGCTCGATTTTGGTTTTTTTTTTGTCATTTACGACTGTACGTGCGGAGATCGACGATATGTAATATGGCTATCCCAAATTTGAGTCCATAAATATTTTAACAGTGTTAAACATTTTTTTGACAGTCTGTGCCCGACCTGAAAGGTGATTCTTCAATAGGATTTCCATGACTTTGGGAAGCTCGACATGGTTCACCATATCCAAGGCACAACAAAATGAGAAAACTTAGGCTTTAAACACGACGAAGAGTATAAATGTAAAACGGTAAAACTGTAAACATCTTACTGACAATTATTCTTAACCTCACAAGATCTGCAATGTCACGAAACTAAACAAAAACCAACCGTATACAACGATGTTTCATGCTATTTAGACCTGTCATTCAAAGATGCTGGAAAACTGTTTTTTTTTTGTACCATATGATGGGGTCATCGGTGTCAGTGTTGCCTTATCACACATAGGTTATTTGGTGCGGTGAATTTGAAAATGACGATTAAAAGTATGAAGTGCTGTAGGGTCGAATTGAAAAGAAAAAGTGGATTGCTCGGTAGCTCCCGTGGGTCTGAATGTCAAATTGACCTACCCAACTTACCCAGGAAACGACTTTCCCTACAGACCACAGATACGCCTACCTTTTTCAACATTTTAGGCTGACCCCATTTTTTGCAAGGCAGAGTAAGATACAAATATTGGCTGGTTGTGGTTTTGTCTTTCTCGTATGGTGAGGTTCAAATTTTGGTGACGTCATAATGTGTACGACAGAGAAGCGCGAGGAGCGTGCAATATGTTAGAAAGAGTGCGCCGATGGCGTCCGTGACCTCGTCACTCGGGTTGCTAGGCAACGAAGTGTTTCTATCTCTTTCTAACACGCGTATTGCACGCTTCTCTCTCATACACATTATGACGTCAGAGGTATATGCAATGCAAATGTTTTTCGATGTTTTCTATAGTTCCGAGTAATTCAAGAAGCTGCTAATTATATTGAAAATAGAGCTTCTTAAATGATAATAAATGATGTGCTTGATATCTGATATGTGTTTTGTTAAATGAATTTCCACATCACTGTATGCACTATTTAAGCTTGAAACTCGTAAAAGATTTCACAAAGATTAGGGAGCAATATAACAAAGAGAATTCCAATTTTTCTTTATTCAATATGCCTTTAAATGATGCTTCCTTATCCGAAGTTGAAGAGAGAGAAATTTTAATATTCAAATTAACAACTAGTGAATCATGGATGAAAATGCTGTATATCTATAATATTGATAAATCATCTACTGATCAATTGATATATTTTATACTACTTCTAATCCTAATTGAAACAGATAAAATATCAAGGCCCTCAAGAAAATCTTGTTCAACAAAAGCAATGTCATCCAATGGAAAATATCTACAGTGATTCCCAAAATGTTTATCATACAATAATACATTCAACAAAAAATACAAAATTACAACAATCTAAATGCAGTTTAAAGAGACATCTGCTCTCCGTCTAAATAAAACTAAACTTTACTTTAACCAAGGCTACTAATTCATAAACTAGTAGACATCAAAGATCAATATGTTATTCACTAAAATTGATACAACTTATTATAGGAAATCTGTTTTATTTAGATGATTCAAATTCAATTTGACCCAAACACAATTGCATACTTTTTAGGTATTATTATTGTATTGGGATCATGACTACAGTAATCTTGAGTAACAATAAAAATGAGTATAGCCTACAACATTTAGATGCTTTGTGACTAGCAATCAAAATTCTTGGTATCAGGGTTGCTAATGATACATTGCATCAAGTATTGCAAAATTTGGCATCAAGTCTGTTACCAAAAAATGATGTTTTGAAGACCAATTGAAACAAAGAAAGTTGGAGGACATTTGTAACCACCATCTGATAATGGCACATATGTAAACTAACAAAATACTAAAATATTAAATTCTATCAGTGTGAGACTATGACAGTTATTTTTCATGTATAACTTCAGTGTTCTGCTCTTTCAATTAGGAAAAGAAATAGTATACTGTGAATATTGTTCAACTTAAGCAAGATAGAAGGTGTAAATGGTAGCACTGGTTAGGGACTACAGCAAAGCACACACCATTAAATAGGCAACAGCAAGTTACTGTTCCATTGTCTAACACTTCCTATGATTCTCAAGTTGTACTTGTAGTAACAAACTGTATATTATGTTCATGAATGACCAGGCATGAATCATGGCATACCTTGAATTGTCATCATCATCCTTCGGAACCCCAGTGTCGCCTGGCAGAACCGCCTTTTCTACAGCCTCAGGCTGTTCTTCAGGAAGGCCCTCAGTTTCATTCTTTCGTAATTTTGGGATGCTTGATCCTAGCCACCCCCCTATACCTTCAATCTGGTTCTTTACATTGGACAGCATTTCCAACTTACCACCACTAGCTTTAGTTGGACTAGAAAAAATAAGAACCAGCTGAAGAAAATGCCTGGAGGATATATTTAACAATCCTAAAATATGAAATTATGCAGGGTAGAAATGGCCTGCGATCACTACCTTGAAGAGGGTTCATATTGACTGACATACTTGACTGAATTGAGGAGCAGAGGCCTGACAAGTTGGTCTAGTAGGCTTAAAATGTGATATTATAACAAGGGATCCAGTGGAAAAAATTCCATTGTCATATTAGAAGAGAAGATGTAGATCACTAGGTTCAGACCCCCTATTACATATCCTCGATGATACAAGAAAAAATCGTAACTCTGTTAAGAATTTTAGAGGAAAGCATAAACACAAATTGAGTTATGCATTATATTGTTTTAGGAATAATAGCATTATTGTGATAAATGCAATATTACAGTTTAGTTGAGCAGTTTCTGAATGATACTTACAGAAAGCTGAAATTTTCAAAACAAAAATGGAAAATAGGTAAAATTAGGAATTACGTGTTTTTCCTATTTTGAACGCCATATAAAGTGGAGTTACGTGATTTTCTTGTGTTAACAACGATATGCAGAAAATATTTTATTTATGCTTTTAATCTGTTCAGATAAAACATCACAAAGGAATGATATCACCCAGTTCTCAATACGCAAAACTCAAATGAGTTGGACTGAGAAGCAGAAGTCTGGCAAGGTTGTTTAGCAGGCTTAGAATCAGATGATATTATGCAAGAGAGCTCAGAGAAACAAACATATTTCTCGAAAAGAATATCTGTCAAGTATGTGTGGGGAAAATTGAAACCGTCACTTCTGTAGAAACATTTTATTTAAACTTGCGAGCTGTCACGAAAAATTCGCGTATTCAAAAAAGTGCATGCTCAGAATACTGCTGACTGAAGCGATAAGAGTGATAAGACTGACGTGTAAAGCTTCGTCCCTATTTAATGCAGGCATAAAAGTTGGCATTGGCCCTGAATATATAGGGATATGTTCAACAAAGCTGTATCTATGTACTATATATGCTTCCATGTCAAAAATCAATAAAAGAATAATCGGCAAACCTTACCTTCCATCTTTCTTATCACTCCCGACTAAATCACTATTGTCTTCAGTTGGGGTTGGGACCTTTTCCTCTTGCTCACCCTTTACAGAGCCCATCCATGATGAGACTTGGTTTGTCAGCCCCGAGAACATTTTTTATACCTTTTTTCTATTAATTGGAAAGTGTCTCCCGATATGATGCTTATCTAGAGCGAATTTAGACGTCAAACTTTATTGTTAATCTACGCGGTACACTCAATATCATAGTATTACCGAAAAACGGGTTTATAAGAAAATTTTATTGAATCTTTAAAATGCAATGTCCGAATAAAATTTACTCCCGCTAGGTCTTCTCACCCTCTACTCAACGTCAGTAACGTCATAAGGGGTTCCTCTTCCTGTACGTTTATTGGACATTGCGCTGACACAGTGGCGATACTAACGGGCAGGACTCCAGAGGCTCTAGCCCCACCCTAGAAACAAGGAATAAGCTAAAAAACATGTAAAAAGAACTAGATGCGGAGTTTTATATCAAAATTTGAATCTATCGTTTCACGAAAAAATTCATTTTCCCACAGAGATGATTCTTTACAAGCCTGGGCGGATCTCTTTTTTCTTGTCTATTTTAGCCCCTCCTATAAGCAAAGCGTCCGCCACTGGAGTGACAGCTACCCTTGAATCGCTGTCAGTGTTGCCAAATCAACAGCAGATCCTGAGCAATAGAATAATGTAATCGATGAAAACTATAATCATTTATAAATGCCCAAGCGGGTACAAATATGATGCTAAAACCCCAAAAAAACATACTTTTGTATGAGAAATGATGCGGACACCATTTTCTAGAATATTTTGGAAATTGCAAACAAACATTCTCCTTGGGCTTAAGCAATTTCTTGCTAATTGGCAACATGCTGCCAGTGTTGCCAGGTAGGAACGAATTTCTTCATTGGTTCATTGCGAAGGGAGTTCTTATGTTTTAAGAACCCAGGAATTGAAATGTTTAGAGTGATATTTGCAAAGCAATTTTTGCGATATTTACACAGGACCATTGATGAACCTTGGAATGTCAGTATTACCGTGCGGTGTGAAATTGTTCCGAAGACGAAGATTTACGAACGGGCTCGGTGTCCGACTAAACGTCAGCATGTCAACTTAGTCCCCCCCACCGTATTTACAAAATTTAAAATGCAACTGAAAACTCTGTTCTGACAAGAACATGAGCGAGTTTAATGTAACGGAAAAACTAGTTAAATGAGTTATTTTATTTTGTTCATATATTTCTAAACAGATAAAAGATCCAATTACAGAGAAAAGTTCAATACAATTGATGAAAAAGTAATAGACATATGTACAGAAAATAGTATCGTGGATTGATGATATGAAAAAACCCTATATGTGTGTATCAGAAATCCAACACAAAGCCCGATCAGTCCAGAAGTAACACACGCAAATTTTTATATTTATTATCGTAATTATACACTCCTAGAATACATAATAAGAATTCTTACTAAAAGGTACTGGAAAGCTAAAGAAGGTTTACGTCACTGATCAGTTCTTATATATGACAATATTCTTCTTTTATATAGGAAAACCATATTTGTCTGACGGCTTGAGTTTAATGTGTTCGAGAGAGAGAGAGGCGCGATAAGTGTGTATGCTAGAAAGAGATAGAAGCCGGCTGATCAGCAAAGATCACTACATTGTCTAGCACTCAATTAATCTTAAACTTAATTCATCAGTCCACTCCATATTTATTATATATATTTAGCAGCAAGAAATTAAAAAAAAAACAAGAGTCTCCTTTCATCGAATGCAGACAAACGACTAAATACTAGAAGCGCAACAGATCCTGTCCAGACTATCCTCCTTATGATGTACGGATCAAGGAGCGAACGCAATCGAACGCCAACGCCGACCTTGGAAACCGTTGGCTTATGTTGGCTCGTGCTGTACACAGCGATTCGAACACCTCCAAATCTGTAACCACATGTGCATTGGCTTGCGGTGGAATCTTGGTCTGTACGCGGCTTTAGACAACGTGTTCGAATGAACATTTCCAACGCTCTGTTGGCGCAGTTTAGGCGCAATAAATCCGAGTTTTGGCGCCGATTAATTACTGTAGATGAAACTTGGATACACCATTATACGCCCGAAACAAAAATATAGTCCAAAGATAAAATGTCAACTTGTTGATTAAGTAAGCTAGTGTGCAAACAGTTCATTCCGCCTTTGCTACAAGCGGGCATGAAGTGAACGCCACCTATAGTCAAATACCAGAATTGATGACAGTAGCAGAAATCATCGTGCGCCACTGCTTTGACGCTGTACCTTTTGATTACAGCGACGTCTACCGACATTTCACAAAGAAGCGCCGCATATTCGAAGGCCTCCGCGTAATAGCAGTGGCGTACGATGAGTTTCGCTACTGCCATGAATTTTGGTATTCTACTATAGGCACAGATTATACAGATGCGACACCTGCTGTCGGTCCCTTTGATCTTCGTGTCCCCAACTGCTTACCACATTGCCTGCTTCTGTTCATTAACGTCCGGCGGATTTTTTCCTAGGGGTTGTTACGCGTTATTAGCCTCACGTCACGAATGTCAGATATCAAGCTACAAAATGAAGAAATTTGTGTTTATTATTTCCCCAAACGCATTTAGGCCAGATAATTGATTTGTATTGATAAAACTGTTTTGTGGACACGTATCAAAACATTCCACGGATAACCCCTAAATGTCACAGCAATAGGAATCCCACCAAACGCATAGAAATCAAGTTGGCGTTGATAGAACCTGATTTTTAACACAGTGTCGCCTCTGTGACCTAGTTCCAAGTTGACGTCTTGTAGGAAAACCTACATAATGTCAAAAAAACCGACATAATGTCATTTTTCAAGTTACGTAATACCCCTGCCGATTTACTCAGTAACCAAGTCATCGTCCACACTTCATTTATATTTTTTACGAAAACACATGGGAAGTGCTGAGTCAGTTTACTTGACTCCATATTGTGTGAAGTAATCGTAAAGTACGAAAAGATGCTGTGTTATTAGATTAATAACCTTACAGGAACTAACCTGTTATTACCCAGAACTGAGAACCAGCGATGAAAATGTGAAATAATTGACGTGACGCGAATGTTAATTGCAAAAATAGGCCGATCGACAGATTTAAAAAAAGAATGGGTATTTTTCTCAAAAATAAATGCATAGCAGTTTAGAGATTTCAATGATTAGTATGATAGTTCGGTGGCGTATTTAAAGGGGCAATGGGGGCCTGCCCGTCTCCAGAACAGTACAAAATAGTAATGAATATCTTTATTAATATACATCAGTGGGGCGAAGTTTAGCCAAAAGGCTACTCTTACAATTAACCGCACTGTGTAAGAGCAACTAACAAAGATAAACTCTGTACACAAACAAAAAATAATAATAATAATAAGGAAAAGAAAAGTAAGTATACAAATTGGAAATATGAAGTGTTTACAATACTCACACACACAAAGTGCAAGCCGACAAAGCAAAGCAATATGAAACAGGAGGAAAACGTGATTTAACAGATGCACAGATTAAACAGTTCACATCACAGTATCTTTGAACTATCGTATCAGCTGTTTCTTAACAAGTCTCTTGAAGGATACTATAGTTTTACTGAGATAAATTGGATCAGAACAGCATGAAAGGTGAAGCTTTTTCGGTCTGAGTAGCAAAATTTAGGTTATGGCTGAGATTTATCTGATTGATGTTACCTCTGGGTACCAGCTTTTATAAAGTATACGTGGCTTTTTAGTGCGAACAACTTCGTAGCATAAACAAACTGTGACGCACGGCGACTGCTCAGGAGACCGAAGAGTCTACTACTGCGGCCACCGCACGAAGTCCAATTACAAACCGGTAGCATTTGTTTTGAATGTTCCGTAGCCTATACTGATCCGACAAATCCAAATAAGAATAGAACAGAGATGACAGGATCAAGCTTTCAAATAATTTTTCCTTGTCTTAAAGTTTATAGTGGACCTGTTGGAATATGACAGTTTCAATTTGGCATACCTACGTTTTTTGAAACAGGTAACTGATGTGTTTCAAGCTAGAGTCTAAGATAACACCCAGGTTTTTAGAATGTTCTACTATGGGGATGAGTTCGTTATCTATACTAAGTGACATATAAATCCGAACACCCAGTTTAAATGGTTTTATTTTAATAAAATTTTGTATAAGTACTTAATGAAGCATAATAAGTAAATGATAAAAATTTCAAAATGATTGCACTGCTTTAAAGCCCTTTGACCTTTAATAATGTGTGGATGCACCCTGATGTGCTACGCATTCTCCAACGCGCCTAGGCATGCTTCTGATCAGGTGGTCAATGTCCTACTGTGGTATCTCATTCCCGGCAACCACCAACTCCTCACGAAGTGCTTCTAGAGTCTGAGGAGGACGTTGCAAATTGAGCAATCTCTTACCCATCATATCCCACACGTGCTCAATTGGGGATAAGTCGAAAGATCTTGGTGGCCATGGTAACAATGTGACATCATTATGTTGAAAGAAGTCTATTGTGACTCTTGCAACATGTGGTCGGGCATTATCTTGTTGGAAAGTTGGATCTGCCAGGGTGTCAAGATAGGGTAAAAGATGGGGTTCTAGAACTTCGTGGATATAACGCTGCGCATTCATGTTACCTCTGATGAAGATTAAAGGTGACCTGGAACCATAAGCTATAGCACCCCAAACCATAACTCCAACAGTGTGATGAACATGTCTTTCAACAAAAAACTGTGGATTCCTCCTTTCACCACGTCGCCTTCTAACCCTGGCACGACCATCGTGCATGCCTAAACAAAATCGATACTCGTCACTAAAGACAATACTGTTCCATTCCTGATCCCAGAGTGACCGTTGTCTGCACCACTCAAGGCATTACGTCGGTGTTCTCGAGTTAAAGGGAGGACCCAGTGTGGCCGATATGAAAACAAGCCAAAACTTCTCATTCGTCGGTAAACACTTCGCATGCCAATAGGTCTTCCGTGTTCTGCAAACCATTCATTTGCAATGGACCTGGTAGTGGAGAAACGGTCCCTTAAGGCCAATAATCTTAGGCGGCGATCTTCACGGTCTGTTGTTCTACGGCGGCGTCCAGTGCCCCTTGCTCTTTGCGTACGGCCTTTTGAAGCCATGCCTGACAACACCTAACCATAGTGTCTACACTTCTTTGCACTCTAACTGCAATTGCCCGAAAAGAAAGTCCAGCTTCCCGAAGTCCCACTATACGGCCCCTATCAAACTCACTAAGTTGACGAAATCGTACAGGTCTCCGTACTCTAGGCATCGTAACCGATCGTAAAGGATGTCAAGAACCAAAATCCGCCAACGTTGATTCTTTACTGCGGCTGAAATATTCATTTTTAGAGCGTTAGTGAATTAAAAAAAAGCAGTATAAAAACCGGAATGTCCAACTGATAAGGCTGAAAATTTTTTCACTTGTTAAGATAAATACATTCACCAACTTTTATTAAAATAAAACCATTTAAACTGGGTGTTCGGATTTATATGTCACTTAGTATATATTCAATACAATGAAGTCCTTTATCTTATTGTACATGTGTTTAGGAGGAAAAACATACCCTAACTATTAATTAGATCGATATTAATTTTAAGCGTCACTTCATTTAATTGAGAAAATTTAAACTGAAATGATAATTGTTTGTCATCAGCATACGTTTGTATAGAATAAAGCTCCAAACATGAGTGCAATTCAATCATATAAATTAAATAGGCCCCAGAACTAAGCCCTGCGGAATACCAGATGAAACTACAGTAGTAGAAGAGACGCATCTAACCGTCTCCACTACCTGTTTTTTATCAGCCAAGTAGCTTTCGAAAAATGTTAGCGGAATATCAGCTAGCCCTATGCACTCCAGCTTGCTCAACATGATTTTGTAATAGCTGATTTTTAATTGAACCATTATTTCGTCATGGTAAACGTTTAAATTTACTTGCTTTATGTTGTGTTACTATAGACCTTTTACCCAGGATATAGGACGATGATAATAATTTATTTCATTGTTGAATAGAACAGAAAAGGTCATAAAAACAGTGGCGGAATTAAAAATGTATAAACCATAAATCTGAACAAAAAAAATCCTCCTAGCTGTAAGAAAAATTTGTATACCAAAAAATTTTAGCTTTCTTTTGAAAACAGCTACATTGGACTCATTCTTAATTTCATCATTGAGCTTCATAAAAATCTTACGCCCCATATACGTACATGTTCTTTAGTATGAAGTAGTTAGATATCTCGGCGGAATTAAGAGCATTTTACATCTAGTTGGATATTTATGATGATGACTTCAAATCCACGCATATTTTTGAAAACAAGCACAACCAACTCACAAACATAAATACTTATGTCATTATCTTCAGGGTTCTAAAAGATTATCTGCAGGATTGGCGCCAAACAAGGCTATCAATAATTCTAATAGCATATTTTGCAGCAGGAGAATTCTTTCAGTTAGTGAACTATTTCCCCAATTAAGAATACCATAACGGATATTGCAGTTGATGGTGGCATAGTATAAGGTTATATTTATTATACAATGACTTGGTAGCTCCAAGATCATAGAAATTTGAACAAGTAACATTTATTTCACGAGACACTGTACAATACCATTCTTCACACACTGATTTGACTTCAGATCTGATATGAACCGGTTACATTCATTCCACGGAGTGTGAAGATCAGTAGTTCATAATTAAGTCTGTCAAAGGCTTTCGTGAGGTCGGTATGGTCAGTGTCTCATATATGTGCTGCCTATATGGTCGTCTATGCTTGCAGAATTGGCGCCAGATACGGCATGTGGCCACTTCTGCCCGGCCCAAGAGCCTCATATGTCGAACTAGACGACAATGTCTTGTCAGGAGACCCACTGTGGCCCTTATGGCCTTCCTATTAAAGCAAAGTAGGTCCTTTGCGAATGCGGGCCTTCGTTCTTTGATGAACTATTTGGCCTGCATTTGCCCAAATTGGCTGTTCCACCATTCTATGAACATGTTCTTGGTCCAATTTCTTATGGACTGTTTAGTGCGTCTTCTCGTCACGCCACAGAAAGGCAATTGGCCACACCCTGTCAGGCTAGCGCATCCGCCTTTTCATTTCGTTTGTGCCCTTCATGTCCTGGTACCCAGAGCAATGACACCAGGATTCGGTTTCCCCTACTAGTTTAGCTGGCGATCCTCTCAATACTCCAATCCACGATTAACAAGTCAACTAAAGCGCGCGAAGTGTGGCCAACCGCACGAACTTTGTCGCTACAAAACCCCCGCAAATCTTCGCGTTAAGGATCCCCCAAACCAACGCGATCAATCCCCTGCGATATTCGTGGCGATATAATTCTCGCGAAATTCGCTGCGAACATCTGATGGACTTTCATATCGACGCGAAAAGATCGCAGTGGATTGGCAGTAAAGGGTGTGAGAGTGTAGCTTGAAAATCAAATTAAAACATGTACTCTTCAGATGAAGACGAAGCAATTCTATATCTTGCTTTGGCGGAGGAAGAACGGAGTAGGTATGTATTTCTTGCAATATCTAGGTCTCAAAAATATAAATATAATATATATAATAATTTTTTACGCAGTAAGCAATGTGACGAACAGTATACACACCTTCTAGACGAAGATCCAGATCCATCACAAGCCTTTACCAACATCGAAAATGGCATTTTCTACACGAGAAAAATTTTTTGACTACTTCAACTCCTAATATTGTTGGTCAAGATCAGCTTAGCTAAGCCACTCATAAATAATAAACGTATTATAATAATTTCTCAGTAAAGAGTAACTTACCGGTGTCATTCAATTCCTATCTCATCCCATATTTTGTCTTTTTTTCGAACATTTTTATAGTCCTCGTTGTTCAAGTCATAGAGAATTGGAAATTGTTTAATTATTTCTAGAAGTTTTTCAGTGTTTGCCATTGCGATAGCGATAAAAATCGTGCAAGCAGCGAATTAAAATTTAGACGCTGCACTGTCGCACCGCTGTGAGCGAAATTGACGCACAGGTCTGTTCTTGTTCATTTGCTTCTACGAGAAGAGTCCCTGAGCGATAATGTCGTCGCGAATTAATCGCAGTCGCAGCGAAATATTCGCGTCGGTTTGGGGGATCCTTTATCGCGTTAGTGTGGCCTCAGCATGACAAACAGTCTCGAAACCCTTTCGTACCGGCGGGCCGTCGGACATCTAGCTCTCTTCTACCGCTACGCCGATGAACTTTGCTCCTACATGATGACATGATGCCACCGCGCGATGTGCGCTTGCCAGACAGACTAGCCTGACTTCGGCATCGTGTCGAACTTCATACATCAAAAACTGGCCGATACGAGCGCTCCTTTGTCCCTAGGGTGTCGAGATTGTGGAACAATCTACAAGAGGTGGATTGTTCTAGGTCTACTCACCTTAGGCAGTTCAAAAATTGATTAACATAGTTTCTTTGGGATCCTTATAGCAGCCGGTGCCCTGGCATTTAGGCGTCTGCCTGCGCGGTTGCTTCGGCGCACAAAAATCCTGTATAGCTGAACCGTTTCATAATCTTTCAAGTATTGAGAATGCAGAACTAAGGGTCCTGAACTATAATAAAGCGTCTTAGGAAGGAGATATCAAACTGAATTTTGACACAAGCCAGAAATACTGAGCCAAGGCTCACGGCTAAGCAAATTCACGGGCCATTTTTACGCATTTAAACGATATAATTGTATAATGACCATAATCACTCGTGGCTATTGCTGGACAATTGCGTATGAAGCAGTTAGAAGTAAGACATATCATCGAAAAGGTGATATCTTACACACCTATATACACATAACTTACTTATACAATATTATCGTTAGGAAAACGTACATTATAGCGCCCCTGTTGCAAGACTGTAAATGTTATAAATGTATAGTCACGGCTATTATGTTTAAAATGACTTTTTATCCAGTGTTACACACATCTTCAAGGTCCGGTATCAAAAAGTTTGCAGATGACTACAGGGTAAGTACAACTTCGATTTACTTAACGAATAACATGGACGCATGCAATACGGTGCAAGTGATGTAGTATAGTTAGGCCTGCAACCATTCGCCCTTTTTGCTGACTTCGGTCATCAATACTGGAACTGACAACCCAATCAGAATTAAACCTGGACGCCGAACCTGCCAAACCTTATATCCGATTAGTCTGCATCCTTTTAGCTACAACATTTGGAGCAGACAGTTTTCCTACTCTCACGAGGGATAGCAATGGCGTACCCAGCTCAAAACTGAAGGAGAGGCACCTAAAAATATTGTTGGTGGAAATTCCACACATCAAGTCTATTTAACTAGGCTTGGTATTATTCTTTCTAGTTGCATTTCATTGTTTTATCCATATATGGATATATAGACGACGATTTGACAATTCATATGGATATGGAAAACTAGTAGGATTACTTTTTGAAACATTATAGCCAGTATTGGACGAGATGCTTTTTTAAATAATAATCTAGTCATTTGCAATATTTGTACGTATGTGTACTGCAAATTTTATATACCTGTTTTTTGGACGTTCATATCAAAATTCAAATGGGGTGCTCTTTTTTTCAGTCAAGTACTGCAGATAAGTACTGTAATCACGAAAAACTTCAAGTGGAAGTATAATTTTCACATATAACATAGTAGGTACATTATTTGTGACGTTCATCGAGTAATCTGTTGCGATAGAAGAACCATCAAAAAAACCTAATTTAATCATTGGTACTTCTATTACTTGGAAAGTAACACTGGAATTTCGAAAGAGCTGTTTACTTTTACCACTGTTATAACCAACAAATCTATAACTACTCCAAACTTCACTTTATCTTTTTTTTCAGTTCTTTTGAACGCAATCAATTTTATTAAAGGAGACAAAATTCAGAAAAAAGTGTAGCTTTGTTTGTTGATAGAGCTCAAGACGTAGTCAAGAGTTTATTTGAATGATTCAAAGATTGTGAAATCCGGCAAAATTCGGTAAATATGAAATAGTATCCAAAAGTCAAAGCCTTTGTAGTGATTAACATGAGAAAATCTTCAAAAATGCTTAAGCCATCCAGCGACGTAACTGCTGCAACAAGTAATCAGAAATGTCATTAATATTGTGGACTTTTATACGCTTCCTCCTTGGAATACACCATTTCCTACAGGGTGACCGTCTAGTCTGCATGTCAGTAATTCATGCATAATGTTACGTAGAAATTCACTGATGGTGCAGATCTCCTTCCCCCTAGATACGCCCTTGAGATATGCATATATATACAGGGTGACTTTGAAGTTGAGTCATTAATTTTCAGATAATGATTGTAGAAGGAAGATAAACCAAAATATGTGTGTAAAAATAAAAAAAAATAAAAATTTTTTTTTACCTTGTTTTATAAAGTATCCTCCCGACAAGTATTTCAGTGCGGACCTGTATTTGATCGTGAGGTCTTGGAGCACCGGCATGCAGTCCCCTGTGTGGTCTTAAGTCACCTGATTCACGAGCCCGTTGTACTACATTAACAAAGGCACGAGGGGTTGGTTGCACTCGATTGGGAAACCGATCCGCATAAACATGTGCCATTTTTTATTTCGTTTGAGCCACGCAACAGACATCACTATTCAAACGCGTTACCGACTGACACTGACTGTGTACAACTGACTAAAATAATTGTAAAAACATCGTTCCAAATTCTTTCGCTTTTTTGTTTCCGATGCGATGAACCAAACACGAGCACATAATATTATTATTGAGACAGGGCGGTACTCAAACTTCCAAAGGGCTATAACTTTGTTACTTTAATTTTACCAGAAAAATGGTAAAGGAAAAAACATTTCTTTTGATCAGATCTACTCACTGTTAAAATAAATGACTCAACTTCGAAGTCACCCTGTATATATATATATATCCTTTAATTTCTCTGGGTAGAAGGCAGAGTAATGCAAAAGTACACTCTTATAACTTAAACTAACTCTCAACACGTGCCGGCCGACTGGATAATGTGGAGGTTATCAGTGGAAAAAAAATATGAAATCTCGAGGGAATTTTCAATAGTTGATAGTTTTGAAATCTCCAAGTTTCTTCCAAAATCAATCAACGCTTAGTTATAAAAAAACCTTTCAAAATGATTTGCCATTTAATAATAAAATAATTCCGTCCTAATCGAACCTCATCAGTCCAGTTTTTTATTCGTCGACAATGTGTTCCCTTCACTGTTGTTTTAAAAACAATTTCAGCAACAATCTCGCCGACTTACTCCAGACGATGAAGACAAAGATCTTCGAAAGCTTGAGAGTTTAATTTATAAGAGTGTACTTTTGCAATGCTTTGCTTTCTACCCAAAGAAATTAAAGGATATCTTCTCCTAACATTTAAGGCAATTAACTATGACTACTATATATATACAGGGTGACTTCGAAGTTGAGTCATTTATTTTAACAGTGAGTAGATCTGATCAAAAGAAATGTTTTTTTCCTTTAACATTTTTCTGGTAAAATTAAAGTAACAAAGTTATAGCCCTTTAGAAGTTTGAGTACCGCCCTGTCTCAATAATAATATTATGTGCTCGTGTTTGGCAACAACGGATATAATCCGCCTTATCCGTTCGTCGCATCGGAAACAAAAAAGCGAAAGAATTTGAAACGATGTTTTCACTACAATGTACAATTTTATTCAGTTGTATTCAGTCGATGTGTCAGTCGGTAACGCGTGAGTGAATAGTGGTGTTTGTTGCGTGGCTCAAACGAAATAAAAAATGGCACATGTTTACGAAAATGCTGAATGTAGTACAAAGGGCTCGTGAATCAGGTGTCTTAAGACCTCACAGGTGAGGGCATGCCGGTGCTCCAAGACCGCACGATCAAATACAGGTCCGCACTCAAATACTTGTCGGGAGGATACTTTATAAAACAAGGTAACATTTTTTTTTTAATTTTTTTTATTTTTACACACATATTTTGGTTTATCTTCCTTCTACAATCATTATCTGAAAATTAATGACTCAACTTCTAAGTCACCCTGTATACCATATATATAAAAAGAAAATGATCGCGCGGAGAAAGGTATATAACAAAAAGTAGGAAAATAATGAGCAAAATCAGCAAAAAGGAGGAAAGTGCATTCGAGCAGAAAATAGGATAGGTAACCCGAGCGATACGTATTTTTGCTGGTTGGCTCCATCAGGCCCGAAGTGAATGCACATATGCAACTACAAAAGTAGATACACATGCCCACACTTTCGGGTAAGGGTGTAACCTGAGGAAACGAAGATGGAGAGGAAAAAACAAGACACGTCCACAACAGGAGCCAACCTACACAGTATAAAATGGCTAGAAGACCTCGAATTTTCAAGGAGACATCTAACCCCAACCACGCGGCCGGTTCTAGCCCCTTGCTGTGGTACTTCAAGCCCAAAGGATCTAAAAAAAGAAAATGATCGTGCGGAAAAAGGTTTATAGCAAAAAGTAGGAAAGTCCGGATCCGATGATGATGATTTTGTCTTTATATATATATATATATATATATATATATATATATATATATATATGTGTGTGTGTGTGTGTACTGTAGGCGGATCACATATTCCCCTATCTTCCCTACAAGCCTGGCACCTCCAGTGTTGCCAGATCGAACGCCACGTTGCCGGTCATTATTTAATTTACAGACCTCGTATCTGGTTTACTCTGCAAATAAACATTCATCTATGTTGCCCATTAATAGTTGTTTTCATGATGACGATGCTAGTTGTGAAAAAAGGTCAAAAGACCAAAAAATCGTATTTTCAGTTGCATAATCTAAAAAAATATAATAACTGCAAAACGTCATTGGTGTATTGATTTTCTCAGAAAAACGTCAACGCATTGTACCTTAGGGCCGTATCGTCATTCGTTCCTATAATCGTAGGACGCCTTTATGGTCTCCTTGATTTTCATAGTCTCCTACTATTCCGTGTCAGCGCTCTATTTTGAGGTTATGTTACAAATATCTATTTGCGTTAGATTGTTAATGCTTTTGGTTTATATCTTTTGTGTTATATCAGCCTGAAATTTCCTACATTCAAAAAGGAAACATCACAATAGGACAGCGCTGACACTGACGTGGAAACCTAGTATTACCCCAGCCTTTCTGAAAGAGAGAAAAGACTATGCAAATCAAGGAGGCCATAAAGGCGTCCTACAATTTTAACAATTGTAGTAACTCCGGACATTTGTTCATAGGAACTTTTGTTTCTTAAAACGATCTGAATTTTCATGCCATATCTAGGAAACACCCTGTATAGTTCGGAAAGTACCATTCAGATTTTGATTAAACTTTGATATGGTGCGGTGTGTTAATACTTTGCCAAGAACGAAAGAGCATTGAAGGTTTTGAAAATCGGTCATATTTGCTCAGGCATTATCAGTGAAAAACAAAAAGCGATACCAAATTCGTTCCATCAATCAACTTTGTCGTTTTTTCTTGGAATATAATAAATTTGAATTAATTGTTGGTCAAGCTTTTTGCAATTTGTGCATTGGATTGTACATCAGTGTTATTTTTGCAGTGGCATATTTTTCCGAAACAGTATGCAGGAAATAAGCCATTATTATCAATAATACTTAAAATAATATTTATGGCCAGGCCCTTTCCAGTGGAATATCTTCACGATTCACGATCTTAAATGATATAACACCATTGCTTGTCTCTGGTTATATCTGATCCGTACCCTTGACCTAGTATACAAGTAGTACATCTAAGCCTTAGTTATAACAAAGAATACAGACTCACAGATAAGAAGCGTCACTGACGGAAGAACCGTTGATGTTCGGACTTCTTAAGCAGTTCCAACATTTTCGTAGGCATTGAACCTTTTTATTGAGATTGAGTTTCTGGGGTGTTATATCGGTCGCTAATCCTTGGTCCGTCTATAGTTTAAAAGGACTGCTCGGATTTTGATGCAATTTCGACACAAGGTTACTACTAAGTCAATGACAAAAACATTTTTTAGTTTTTCAAAGATTTGTTTGTGTTGAAAATCAGAGTTCGGGATTGTAGGGGGATTTTTTGGCGCTCCAACCCTAGTAATTCTACGCACATATTTGACCTATTCCCTGTGAATTTTAAAACAGAATAATAGAGAAATATTTTCAATGAACGGGTCCCATGCAACTTAACGAATGTACATAAGCCTTCCCCGATCTTTGGTCGATATCTGATTGATGGGTACCTGGGCTGGTGAGTGGCATGTGAGGTTGGTCATAGTGACGTTAGTGACCGGTTAGGGGAGAAATTTATATATCGCAATGTTGTCAAATGAGTGGGGACTATGGACTAATTGTATAAGCCTGCTTGACCGAGTTGATCCATTTAATTCTATTGTTATACATGTTCGTAACCAACTTTTTCTTAGAGGGGCTAACTTGTGCCGAATCCTTTAAGAACTGGGTAATGCGCAGCTAAATTGACTTTTCCAGGTCGACACAAACGTTTTGTAATCGCATGGAGCAGCTGTGTTCATACAGGGTGGTCTTTATCATTATTATTTTTAGGACCTATGCAATAGACGAAAAATATCATTTTCTGAAAAATATTGCGGCTTGAAAAATAATACTTTTAGCGCTTTATATCCTCCATGTCACTCATTGGCGATGATTCACCTGTCGTCCTGTCTTTTTTGTCATTGCCTAATGTTAGTAAAAGCTGTACCGAATTTGACAAGACTTGGAATATACTGTATAATCACAAGCTTGGAAATTAGTGTAAGAGCACTTACGTTAGTAACCAAATATGAAAACCAAAGTATCTCTCCTAAGTTCGTGCTTATACCGTACGCCTACAAGCTCGTTTTCGATATAGATGGAGAAAACGTAAAATTTCTTTTTTAAATTTTACATATTTATACTTGAGCGAGAAACAATGAACAGACAACTAAAACATGTGGAGAAATGTGGAAAAAACTGAAACGAGGCTTCTACTATCCATACATACATGGTGACCGAGAAGTCAGCGTCAAGTCGGAAATGGAGGACAGGCCAAGTCATAATAGTTGTCAGAAAAATATAAAAAAACTGTCGTGTACTTTTCAAATTACAGGCTTTAAAAGAAAGGAAAAATCTATACACTGTGATGATCTTTTAGTTCCCATTACTACAAATTTCAATTGTATTATTCTACGTAGTGAGAGCGAGACAAATAGTAACGCCACTTTCATTGACTCATGATTGTGTATTGCCACTGTGTAGGAATACCCCGTATAAAGGACTGAAAAGAGAAACAGACAGTGAAATGATCCCTAAAAGCATAAGTATGTTTTCATGTTCAATTTTTCAAGGATCTTTTCCACATAAAAAATCATGGTTGATTGTCGCTAGCCCTTGAAGTATGACCAGCAATAGATCTTACTACGCAGACGTATGAACCCAAAGGGTTGAACTTGAACTCCAAAGTCCAGCTGAATTAAATCGATTTGTCAGTCTAGCACAGAATGTAGTCGGTTCAACACGGGAGGGCTTCATTGGCCTTACCGGGGGTATTTTCGGGAGAATTCGTTACCTAAACGTCGATGACTCCCTACAAAGGTATGACAGTGGAAACTCTAATTTTGTAGTTCTTGTGTCACAAAACGATGGTAATATTTCTAGGGTAGCAAATATATAAAAAACAAAAAGAGCTCTTATAGACATAAATTCTAAACTTTGTTTATATATTTTAAGACGTGGTCAAGAGTTTATTTGAAAGATTCAAATGTTTTTTAAATTCTAATCAGCCAGCCACTTTTGTATTTCTCCAAACACAACACAAGATGTGGAGTGGAATCTGCGTTGAAAAATTGAGAAACTGCTGATCTTGAAAAGTTAAAAAACTTATTCGATCAGGCTAACTAACCAAATGTTAACCCTGTTGTAAAAGAAATTGTACAGAAGGATTTCTATATTCTTTAGCGTGAATCCCAAGGCCCCTCATCTCCAAATAAAAAATTCTGGGTAACTTTTTTTATCAAACTAAAAGGTTATGTCTATAGAAAAATTACGCAATTGATGAAAACACCTTCAAAGTCCAGTTTGTTGCAACAGTTAATTGGTCGTTCATTTTTTTCCGAAAGGTGCATAAGTGTATACATGAAATAGTAATCAAAAGTTAAAGCCTATGTAGTGATTAACATAAAAGAATCTACAAAAATGCTCAAGCTATCCAGCGACGTGACTGCTGCAACGAATTGGACATACAGGGTGAGTTTTAAGTTTATATCTAACATAGATTTCAACTAATCCAGTTTGTGGAGAACCCTGTACATGGATAATTTAATTATTGTAGAAAATGTTTTTTATTCAAATGTAGCTCAGGACCTGATTGTCCCGAAGCCCTTAAAATTCAAGGCGGCTCTTAAGACTGTTAATACGAGCCAAGAATTTTATTTCTTATCTTATTCCGCAAGAATAACAACCAATAAGATTTTTGTAGGCAATATACAGGGTGACGCATCGAAAACGAAACAAACGCATTTACTGGCAGCTCAGTTTTTTTTTTTGAAAAACGCTCAGACCCGTCGATTTTGTTTTCGAGGGAGACACAAGTTTAGCAAATAATCACGTTAGCACGTGCAGCCCCCTAAGCGGGGCTGACACCACCCCCAAAATCTTAAATGGAAAGGGGGGTCGAGTGATACCTTATTTTAAAGGTCTTTCAATTCCCTTTATAATGATATAAAATGTACTTCAGTTCAGTAGGTTTGAAGATTTATTGATTTAAAGCTTAAATAAAACTAATACATCATCATTAGTGGAGATCAATACATTTGGCAGCAAAGTAATTTAAAAATGAAGAATGAACTGACCCGCTAGGTAAGTAAATGTTGAAAATGGCCACCATGACCCTCCATGCAATAATAAAGATTTTGCTCAAAATGTTGCCGCACATTTTGCAATATTTGAGGAGTAATTTGAAGGCACTCATTCACAATTCTTTGTCGCAAGTCTTCTAATGATGTTGGCCGAGTAGCATAGATTTTGCTTTTTAAATGACCCCACATAAAGAAATCCAAAGGTGATAAATCTGACAATCTTGGGGGCCATTCAATGGCACCTCTTCTACCAATCCATCGAACTGGAAACGTCTGATCTAAAAAAAACGCTCCAATAGCTATGTTCAACAACAAAATGATAAACAAACCATGGGCGTAGTGAAGAAAAGCATTTACTTATTAAGTAAATTCTTTTAGTCAAATTTCTTCTGAAAGTAGTACAAACTAATCTGATGTACCTATTAAAGTCTACTTTAAGCTTTAAATCAATAAATCTTCAAAACTACTGATGTATTTTACATCATTATAAAGGGAATTGAAAGACCTTGTATTCGCTAGATGTAATGTATAGAAAGATTTATTTCGAATTCACATATGGACTCTAAGAAATAATATTTGCACCGCTATGGCAATTTAGCAAGCTATCGATGTATAAAACTTAGGAACAGGAATTCTTTTAAACCTATGAAAACTATTCACTTTCACCAGATATGAATCAAAAAACTCGTTGTGTCATTTTGTAAGTACCGCTTACACTAGAACCATTGCTACTGTAAATGGCTATTTGGAAGTCTAAAATAATGAATGCTTAATTGCTAATTTTTAAACGCCTACATTTTTTTCGTATTCAACATTGAATCCCTCCAGAAATGACATTTGAAAAAATCAAATTGTTTGGATTTGAGACTCAATATAGTAGCATATTTGAAACTAAAGAACAAAAAATGACATCAAGTAAGTTGACCCTGCATTTCCCGCTCATCAATTCATACAGGATTACGTTCAAAGCAAGTTAGACTCTCTGAGAAATAAGTTAGCTACGAACATGTAGAACAGAGAAATTAAATGGATCAAGTCAGTGAAACAGGCCCATACAATATACACATACTCCATGGTCATCTTCCGTTTGACAACGCTGACGCTAGTTTCTTCCCTGCTCTAAATATCGATCATCTGGCAACGGTGCTAAACCACACAGGTATAGTAACTCGAGAGAATCGGCGATGCAGTCAGAGTCAATCAGATGCAGACATGCAATGCTCAGCGTAAGAAGCTTGCGTCGCGGTCAACTGTGACCGCATGTCGCGTCTACAAATATTTTTCTAAGTTTTAAGTGCGTATGAGGAAATATATACTGATAGGTGCGTAAATTTAATGGGGCTCGAAGTGTATAAATATACTGCTGCCAAAAAAATTATGTATACCACCCTACAATCCCCAACGTCCAATTTTCAACCCCTGCAAATTTTTTCTGGAAATGATTAGGTACCTCTGAAACATCAAAAAACGAAGTTTCAACAATTTGTATTTTTCTTCGTGTTTTTTCCCTTTTTCCCACTGGACCGAATTTTAAAAACCGCGTCCTCAGCATCCTTCTCAAGTTATAGGCGGTTATAAGATTGGCGGACAGACAAGCTGACCGACGGAAATGGGTGACATGGTGTTTCGTGATATACATGTAATACAGGGTGCGGCAGAGAGGATGGACGGTTTTAAAAAAATCATAAAATAGTTAATTTTTACTCTAAAACAAATTTATTGATGGAATCAGGTTCACAAGGAAATAGCATTTGAGACAGTCAAGTGTGGAAAATCACATCAGGCATGTCGTGGCCGAAATCGTTGATGCAGTGCTGGAGGCGTTCTTGGAAGTTCGCGTAGACTCTCTCCAAGATCGCTCTCTCAACTTGGGCGACTTCCACGCGAATTTCGCCCTTCAATTCGTCCAGAGTTCGGGGTTTGTTCGCGTATGCTCTAGCCTTGAGGTGGCCCCGTAAGAAAAAATCGCATATGGATAAATCTGGGGACCGAGGAGGCCAATGAACATCGCCAAACCTGGAAATAAGGCGACCAGGGAAGAGAGGACGCATAATGTCCATGGATGTACATGTATATTGCTCAGTAAACTATAGTAGTGATCACCGGAAGACATTTTGGGATAAACAATTAGAAATTCTTAAAAACCACTTGACCAATCGACTCGAATTTTGTTGTGGTTATTTAGAAGTATGAAGCCTACGAATTTGAAGAATTTCATGTAGTTGCACGAAATTATCGCCGCATTAGCAAGAAGAGTTGTATGCTTACGTGTAGTCTCATTCTGTAGGTCTCATAAATACCTAAAAATGTTGTTTAAAGAGTTTTTTCGTTCCTGCCGACACTTTCGATTGAATACCAAAAGACGGGTTTTCGCATCGCTTATTGTCGAATAAAACATTTTTCCACAAAAATTGTTGTACCCATTTTATGCGTCCATGTTCTAAATACCCCCTTGAACAACTTGGATCAATAAAACCAGGCTTTACAATTATTTCGCAAACCAAGGGCATTTACCTCTGATATGATTAGACTATAAATGAGAAACACGGACTTGTGTGATGCAGATATCTTTAAACAACAGCAGATATTGTTTGGAAGGGATGAACATTGTAGATTTCACACTGTATGCGGCAAATGGTTCTGTTATTAAGAAACTGCTGATCTCAGTGATACTATGTTCCTGCTAGACATAATAAGTCACACGTTTCCCCTGCATCTGCAGTGGAAACAGAAATATGATAGTCTGATATGTATAGAGTCAATCTACTTGACGTCATTTTTTCCATTTTAGAGAAGGAAACTGCGGATCAGGAAGTGTCAACCACCAACACGCCCCCCGCTTACAAAAAGTTCAACAGATGTCAGAGAACACAAGCTTGAATACGTCAAATACCCTGGAATGTACAGATACCGCAAGTATAGGCATGGAAGTAACCACCTTAGTTAACAATCAAGATACCGGAGATAGTGACAATGGGACGCGGTAAGAATGAATAACATAAAAAATAGTACATTACATACCTAGGTTGAGAAGTCGGCCATTATTGATCGGGCTATTTTATATTCTGAGGCGTGTAGCGGCCAAGGAGCGAGTTCCCGAGCGAGATATGTATATATTTTTTTACTACTAACAGTTCTATATGTCTCTATGCTCGATTTTATTAGATTTATATAACTATATTGATTAGCGTTATATTTGCTCTAATGGTGATCTCTTAGGTTAAAAAACAGTTTTCCAACATTATCCCAATTGTAGAAGTATTTAGCTGTAGCTACATAACGCATTATACCGTCAGTGATTTCTCACTCATATTCAAATACAGGGTCCGTCAGAAAGAACGCATGTTTTTTAAATGAGTAGTACAATCAAAATAAGTATGGGAAAATATTTTATTATATCAAAATACTGGATGTAAAAAAATAAGGGCCAATAATCATCGTTGGGCCTACTGCACACCAAACTGTAACTATCGGGGTATGCAGGGGGCGCTCATGCAACTGTTGGGGGTTCACTGGGGAGCAATATCGACAATTTTGTTTATTGACGTATCCATGTAAATGAAAATGTGCTTCATCACTCATGAACAACGTCATGTCATTGTTATCCAACTGTTCAATCATGAGCTGTGCAAAATTAACACGTTCTGCATAATCCCCTGTCAACAGTTGTTGACAAACTTGGATTATGTAAGGATGAAACACTAAATCCTTCTTCAAGATGCGACGTACAGAGGACGCGTGGACCCCTAGGAAACTGGCACGAAAACGGGCGGAACGATTCAGGCTTTGCAGGGTGTCAACTATCACTCTGTCTACGTTTTCGGGGGTTCTAACAGTACGGTTTTTTCTTCATCGCATTACCTGTTATATTGAATGCTTCCACCCATCCCAAAATGGTGTTACGGTCTGATATTGTCCCACGACATGGAACACGAAAGTGAACGCGAAACTCACGTTGCGTTCGAACGTTCACCACTTTGAAAGTACCGACGTTCAGTGAACACACGATGCTCAACGTTCCGAACCGTCTTGCCAACTGAAACGGCACTTCTCCCACTATCCAACACGTCCTTCCCCACCGACACGGGACCAGCCCACTCGATGTAGTACCCATTCGAAAAACATGCGTTCTTTCTGGCGAACCCTGTAGTATATCGAAGTATAAAGTTTAGATGCTAAACGCACATAACGAAGTTGCAGGAATACAATTCTAAATGACATTTGTTATTTATTTAGGCGATTTTGTTATCAATATTTACCTAGGGAGAGAAAAGCTACTTCTCAATGGTCAATAATGGCGACTTCTCGGATAAGTAGTGAAAAAATTATATTTTAAAGGACCAGGCACAAATCATATGAAAAATGGGTCCCAGTCGATTGTCTAAAAATACAGTATGATATATTTTGTTATATTTGTTGCCTCTCCGAACAAAGTAATCCTATGATTAGTGTCTGAGAAATAGGCGGATAAAGTTTGGCTGGCTGAAAAAAATTTCGAATGTGCTGATTCTAGTTCTGAGACCAAAACCTCGGAGAATCAGCATGCTAGAAGAAATATTTACCTTGTATGAAGGTGTCATATTTTGATCGTGACGACGATCCTTACAAGGTCAGTTTCAGGGCTGATTTTTGTTTATGCTAGAATAGATCTTCTTTTATATACCGAAGCAGCCGCGCAGGTAGAAACCTAAATTCCGGGGCACCGCGGCTGCTATGAGGATCCCGAAGAAATTTTGTTAATCCGATTATTGAACTACTTAAGGTTAATAGAACTGGGAAAAGCTTCCCTTTGTAGATTGTTCCACAATGACGTTCGAGGTAGTCCAGAAGCTCGCGATTTATGCACCTCTCCATCACCTTACTTATAACAGAAAGCAGAGCTATAGGCCTGTAGTTGTAAGGGTCGGTCTTAGATCTTGGTTTTGGGATGGGTTCAACATGAGCAAATTTCCAGTTTGCTGGGAAGGTGCCGGATCCATAAGATATCTGGAAGAGACTTAGTGTAGGGAACCCTTTGAATCGACGGCACTTGGAGGTTGGGGGGATATCCATGGTGGAGTTGGCAGCAAAGATCTTGGCAAGCACTTCCGCCTTAGTCTTCGAGCCAGTTTTAATCGTTCCATCGTAGCACGTAAGTAGTGGGAGGCTAATCTTTGATAAGTTCCTTTCAGTCTGCTTGGCCAGCGTCCAGAAAGACAGACTACCATTGCGCTGCGACATTACCCTGTATTTGTTTCTGTACTCGACGTCGGCTTGTCTATTTTCTGCAGTGGGGTTTTGTAAGAAGGTGCTGTGCGCGTTGATCTTCTGCTGGCGAGCACTGTCACGCAATTTGCTGAAACAGCCGTTGGACCCTGGCTTAGGCACTTTCACTGTATGGGGGATGTATCCCTCGATCCCTACTTGGATAATTTCGGATAACGAAGAACAGATAGCCGACGCATCCGCGTCAGCAAAAGAAACATCTCTCCAGGGAAAGATAGAGAAGAAGTCTCTGAGCCTCTCCCTGTCGGCATGTCCGTAATGCCAAATTTTGCGGCCTGGGCAAGTTTCTGCTGCCTCAGCCGAAACCTTACCTCCACAGCTCCGTGGTCTGAGTTACCCAGGTAGGACAGGACAGCAGTGCTGTAAGGGACAGGATGCGTGGTCAGCAAGATATCCAGCAGGATACTGGTATGTGACGAGACGTGGGAAAAAAATTAGGACTCGTTGCCAGCTGGGTCAGCCCTTGAGTAAGAGCGAGCGCTTCAACTGCACGACCTGCTGTATCGGTCTTACCCAGGGGGGACAGGACAGCAGTACTGAAGGGGGCAGGATGCGTGGTCAGAAACAGATCCAGCAGGCTACTGGCGTGTGACGAGGCGCGGGGTAAAAAATAATACTCCAGCTTGGTCAGCCCTTCAGTAAGAGCGAACGCTTCAATTGCACGACCTGATGCATCGGTCTTGTTTGAGCCCAACCAAAGCTCATTATAGGCACTGAAATCACAGAGAAGAACTACCTGTGAAGCGGGGTGATTGATGTTCAGGAAGTTGATCTTGACAGCGAGGTATTAAGTAAGTCTTCCGAGTTATGGTCCGAGGGAAAGCGATAAAGGCAGCAAATAAATTTAGGGGATGTTTTGGAATTGAGGCGAAGGCACATGTCCTTCCGGTCTGATTCCAAAGAAACATTTCTGGAGCAGGAAAGACTGCTGCGGACAAAAGCCACAACTCACTCATTCTTTCTTAGATTGGAGTGCACCTCGTAATTTAGGATGCTAAGATGATTAATCTGAGATTTTTGTGTCCGCCAAGAAAAGCATTTCAGGAAGATTGGATTGCTGGTAGTGATGAACAGTATCAATGTTGCTGTTAATCCCGCATATGTTCGTGAAACAAATTTTATCTTGAATCGATGTTGTTCCCTCAAGTCCACCCTCCACCCGGACATTCCGAGAGTGGAGCGAGTTTACGTCCGGAATTCTTAGTACTCGAGGGATCCATCATCATTAATTTCTTTTTTGCGGAATATAACCGACTGCGTAGCTTAGGTGTGGAAACATGTGGACATTTATGAGACACCCTGGGAAAAGCTCGCGGGAGGTACCGTTCGGCCGACTGGTCCGTGTCTACCACCTTCTTTTTGAATGTTAGTAATGTTAAATTGACCTAAAATGAATACAACAACTTTAGACAAGCATTTGCTACGGCCCCTGCTCAGTAGGGGTAGTCTGGCATGAGTTGCTCGAGAATTCAAGAAACTTAAAGGTCAGGCAGCTTTTCAAGGGCACAGTTTATGTCTTACTTCTAATGCATTTTGAAATCTACAAAGACTAACTAACGATTGAATGCAAAGCTGGCGTTTTCCTTTTACTTTGCAAGAACTATTAAATCTCGTTTAGTTACCAAGACAAGATGGGTAGTACGAGAGTTATTCAAAAACTGCATGTACCAAATCTAGGAAGGTTTATAAAATAGCTCATGCTCTTATTGATAGATACCATCCTCCGATTATTATGGAAGGTAGATTAGAGCATCAGCTGTTAGCAACAGGGACGACCGCCAGTCTACTATGGAGATATTATCTAAAAGTTTATGAAGATACCGAGGATTTACCTGATAATCTTGCAATAATTAATGGGCATTACTGTAGATGTAAATCATCCTTTCCACGATACTGGAGTTTGATTATCCTCCGAAAAAGTTTACTCAAACCATCCAATATGTCAGAACCAGACCAAAACAATAAAACTCAAATTAATAGTCAATAAAATATAATATCCTGAAGCTACATCAACATTAAAATCAATATGACCTTAATATGACCTTGTGGAGGTCCCAATCAAAGACAATAACACAACCACGACTTTTCTGCCTGTCCTATCGAGTTTTCTCAATTCTCGAGCAACTCGTGCCTGATCTATTCCAGCATAAACATATAGAAATTTGACCTTGTAAGGGTCATGGTCACGATCAACATGACATCTCCCAACACTTTTTTACAAGGTGCGTCAACGAAAAAAAATTTCTTTGAATACCGATTATTCCAGTTTTTTTTTCTGAGAACACTTCCACCATTTTTGCAAATCAAGCAAGATTCGTACGCTTATTTCTCAGAAACTATATTCACAGGATTGCTTTGATCCCATGAACGCTTTTGCTCGGGAAGGCATATCATATTGAATTTTCACTCAAATCGACTGGGACCCATTTGCCACATGTTTTGTGTCTGGCCCTTTACATGAAAAGTATTGAGAGTATTACACAATGTTGTCAGAAAAATTTAAGTGTAAATTCAGCACGTGAATATATGGAAAAAGCTCATATAAGCGTAGGTTCGGGAATTACTCGTTTCCATAATGGGTGTTGCTTAAACTTTTCTATTTTGCGAAAAATTGCGCGTTACTATTTTTTGTAAAAATAACTGGCGGTTTGTCAAATCGATATTAATTCTGCTTGAAAAGCTCTTGGAATTTTTCATTACGTTCGTTTGAAAAAGTGCCAGCTCGATTAGGGGTTGTTGTTCGAGAGACTTGACCCCTTTTTCCACATAAGAATGCATAGATTCATGTAGACTGAATGTTTCCATTAAAATTGATTAGCAAAGCGCAGTCAGTGAGCTCTACTTTACTTAAAGACTTATATGGATATTTTGAGCAGTTTCCGCGTACTTTTAGAATTTCTTTGGATATGAAATTTGGCCAATATCTCCCGCGTGGATGGGAGAAATTACTTCGGGTGTCAGGAGATTTGATAAATGAAAAACCCACTGTAGTCAGTATTTTGCAAGAGATTCAGTTGCTTTAAATCACAAAAATCAGAATATAAAAAACGAATAGACAGTTATTTCAACATTAAAACACAAAAATAAGTACAATTTATAATTTTAAAATTAGTAATTCGTAACGAGCAACCTAAAAAATCCAATGAACACCCAATTAACTTTTGGACTTTTCTCGAACTTCTTAAGGATCGGTTTCAGTGTAAATCAATAGCAAATGTGTTGAAACAAAACTGTTTTTCTCAGATACGAGCCATTTTATCACAAACAAACTGGTTGATAAAACAATGTTAACTTCGAAAATAGCGCGTTTAAACGAAGAAATCCAAGAGGCAGTTTAAGTAATATAGTAATATAGTAATTATTTTGCAAATACCAGTGGCGTACTATTTATCGCTAAACATAGAGATTTGCCGGCACGAATGCCATTAATGTACGAGGTCTGAAAATTAATTGATGAGTCTAGGAGCGTAGTGTTCGACCTGGCAACACTGGAGGCGCCGGGCTTGGAGCAGAGACGAGGAAGATGTGATCCGCCTTCAGTACAAGTTTGAACTCGCTCGAGTTATTTGTGTGTCCGTAACGATTTTTTTTGTGAAACAGTTTTTTTCTATTGTGTTCTAAAAATGACAAATGCCAGTTTGGGCCAGTAAAAACATTCCTGTGGCTTCTCAGCCTCCGTGTTCGCCTGACTTGAGTCCTTGTCACTTTTTTCTCTTCCTGAAATTGAAAAATCACCTCAACGGAACTCATTTTGGGACAGTCGAAAACATTCAAACGGCTGTAACCGACCAGCTGCAGACTATTCCAGTATCGGAGTTCCAGCACTGCCATGAGGAGTGGAAGAACCGTCTTCAACGTTGGGTGGCTTCAGAAGGAAGTTATTTTGAAGGTGACAGACTTACAGACCTTGTGCTTTAGAAAACAATTTTGTACATATTAATGTGACTTTTGATCAAGCATTTGCGTGTATCTCAATCTGTTTCCGGGAAATGTAAGGGAGTATCAAAGATGGATAAAGTATTATGGAAACGAAGCATTTCTGAACCTATATCTATGTAGCTTCACTTACCAATTTATATTGTGTAGATTTTATATATTTTATACAGGTTACCCGATCTGGTAGTCGAAACCAAAATTTATGATGGAGAGCAAGTGCAAGAAGAAACATACTTCTCAGTTGCTATTCAAGTGTTCATTCCTTTTTTAATAGCTGGTTTTGGTATGGTTTTTGCTGGTCTCGTTTTAGATAAAATTCAGGTAATTATATTAAAACACTTAAATAATTATCACAGCACTCATCAGGCCTATTATATATCATCCCTTTAAGTTACTCAAGGATGTATCATCAGCCACCTTAAACTGTTGAAGATTGTGGTGATACGACCCAGCGGAATTTCTCTGACATCACCCAATTGGCATTACGGACATGCGGACTGGGAAGGACTAAGAGACTTTCCCTCCACCTTTCCTTGGTGACGCGATGCGTCGCCTGTCTGTTCATCAATGACGAAAATTATCCACGCTGGGTTGGAAGAAAACATCCCTCATACAATGAAGGTGCTTAAACCAGGGTGCAACGGCCGGTTCGACAAATTGTGCGACACTGCTCCTCAGCAGAAGATCAAGGCACACACAACTTTCTTACAAAATCTCACTGAAGAGGACAGACAAGCCGACCTCGAGTTCAGAAACAAATATCACGATGCGGTCCGCAACTCCAAAAGCCAGCATGATTTAAAAATTAGCCATAGAAAACAAAATGTTTGGGTCATTGTTTATTAATGGAAATTTGAATGGAGACATTTAGTTGGATATGTTGGAAAATACCATCAATCCGCTTATCACTGAAACCATTGAAAACCAAATCGAAGAGGATGGAGACCCGATGAGGCTGAAATATATTTCAAGCAAGACGTAGCTTCTCCTCACTATGTTCTTCCGGTTCGGCAATGCCTAGATAACACATAAATGTATAATGCAAAAAGGACCTATAGAATGGCCTGCTAGATCTCCTGATTTGACGCCATTAGACTTTTTTCTAAAGGGGGCATTTGAAATCTATTGTGTTTATTCTCCAACCGGAAAGTTTGTTTGAACTTCGTCAACGCATCATCGAAAGCTGTCATGATATACCACAACATGTTTTTGAAAATGTCCGTCAGGAATTTGGACATCGCCTATATCATTGTTTGGCCGATAACGGGACACATTTTGAACACTTATTGAAATAAAAAGTGATATTTTGGTGTGTTTTAGTTTTCTATCTAGATTTTTCTAATTTTCTTGAGAACGAATCAACTGATTTTGAAAAATCAAATGACAAAATAAAGGACTTCGAAAGATCTTTGAAGCAAGCTATTACTCAATACCCCTTGTCGTTCAAAATTTTCAAGGGGATGACCCTGGGACGCAGAGGGTGAAAGGGGGTGAAGTAGTTTTTAGTTAAGAAGTTGTCTCCCTTGACAAATCTTTTGACGAGTCTCGGCGTTTTTTCTTTTAGTCAGTGGTTTTTGGTAAATCCGTGGTGAACACCCTGTATGTAATTTAAATAATATAAGCAGATATTTCGATCACAACGATAATTTTATTTATTAGGTATATTGGCCTTCTATTCAGCCATGTTCCTTACAAGCACGTTCGGAAGAGTTTCATAAAATTTGGAATAAATAAATAATGATTAACTCGGCAATAAACAAAAATAGTTTAAAAGTTAAATAATCCACCCACCAAAAAACGCTCCAATAGCTATTTTCAACAACAAAATGATAAACAAACCATGGGCGTAGTGAAGAAAAGCATTTACTTATTAAGTAAATTCTTTTAGTCAAATTTCTTCTGAAAGTAGTACAAACTAATCTGATGTACCTACTTTAAGCTTTAAATCAATAAATCTTCAAAACTACTGAACTGAAGCTCATGTATTTTACATCATTATAAAGGGAATTGAAAGACCTTTAAAATAAGGTATCACTCGACCTCCCCTTTCCATTTAAGATTTTAGTGTTGGTGTCACCCCCGCCCAGGGTGCTGCACGTGTCAACGTGATTTTTTGCCAAACTTGTGTCCCCCTCGAAAACAAAATCGACGGGTCTGAGCGTTTTTCCAAAAAAAAAACTGAGCCGCCAGTAAATGCGTCTGTTTCGTTTTCGATGCTCCACCCTGTATATTTAAAATACGATCTTTTTAGCACTGGGCTGTGTTTGAAGAAATCACAGAACTAGTAATCCTAGTTCCTGCATTATTGGGTCTCAAAGGTAACTTAGAGATGACTCTGGCTTCGAGATTATCAACACAAGCAAACCTTGGACATATGGATACGACTAAACAGAAAATATACATCATTGTGGGAAATCTTACATTAATCCAGGTATTGACATATTGAATTTAAAAAAAAAATGCTTTTCGAACTATATATACCGCCTCATACTAGGATCGTATCCAGGGCGACATGTTTAATAAGCGTTCCGTTTCAATACAACTGTAGGCATACATTTTAAAATGTCATAATCTATTGTTTTTTGCTGCAATTTGGTAAAAGAGCGATAATAGCTAGAGGAATGGTGTCGTAAACCGGACTTCACCACTAAAGCAGACCCTTAGTCTCATTGGTTCTGCATTTTCAGATATTCCATTACTAACAAGTGTAAATAGTAGCTTAGGTATCTACAGCACACCGTTTTGAGAATGGAAGTTTTTGCGTTGTGTTGCAATTTTCATTTTTATTTATAGGCATTTGCAAGTAATCATCTATACATATATATTTTCTTAAGCAACAAGCTCCTGGGTTCATCGTTTTTGTTTTTTTTTGCCCAAACCGGACTTCTTTCAGTTGATGTTTTTTTCTGGTTCGGAAGGGATAATGGGAAAGACTAATAAAAAAATGAAGTCTGAATAGCTGATAAAGCTATTGCTGCCTTTCAAAATAAGGAAATAGGATGGAAGAAGGCCGGAGCAATAAAAACGTGTACGTCTGCGATATTTATCGCTAAGAAATTCAAACATGTGTCTATTTTAAGTATACCCACTCTGTATCCCTTGCTTAAGTGCAGAATCTTAATTGATAATCGACAATTCTACCAGAAGCCCGGTTTTGGCTTCTAATTTTGGAATCAAGCGTATGTCAGGTTTTTGTAAATTAATTTATAATAATAATTCTCAACTGCAATCTATCAACACGTGAAGTAAATGATGGTTACCACTACAAAGTGCACGTTATATGCTATATTTTTCACGTACATATTTTTACTTCCTATATAAAAAATGGCGACGAAGTATTGTCATCGCGGAACATTTCGAAATTGAGATATACTCAGTGATATTTGAAGTGTTACAGCCAGAAAAAAATAATTTTTTCAACGTGATTTTTTGGCAATGAGGTAGTCTTACAACAAGAATAAAACGTTAACATTCTCACGAAATTTTATAGACAAGTAATAGGACACAAATTAATGTGTTGGGCGACCCCGCAGCTGATTACACTCCTGTACACATCTAGACACGAAAAAAATCAAAATCGCTTTAGCTTCGTTTTTTACGTTTCAGAGTCTCCTGAAATGTTTTGTAGCTACTGAAACTTGATGGTTCGGGATTATAGGGGGTAGCGGGTTGTGAATGTAACGTCTTCAGTGTTAGTCAAACACGTTCTATCATTAAGAAGCTCCTGATCCCGGACAGAGCGGGAAATTAAATGATAAAAGTCCGATAAATAATTCGAAATAACTTTGCAATCGTTGGCGTTGCGAGCACGGCGCGATGCTGCATCGTCGTGGATGCCACTGCCGACTGTGCATTGGGTAACAAACTCCTAGTCTGCGGTGGTGTCGTCACTGACACACCGCTACAGGAGAAACATTTATGTATTTTAGCAACTTTTGGATATTAGGAGTACGTACCACTTTATCGTTCTGCGATGCTTTTCTATATGATCACTCAACTGTTTGTGATACTTAAATGTCTAACCTTTAATTTGTGTTACTCCGTCTATGATGGTTCTCTCAAGTAGATTGATTCAGTACTTATGACGCATTGATCTTCAACAGACACGGACTGACAAACCGCGGTAAACACGGACTTGTGTGATGCAGATATATTTAAGCAACAGTGAATTTGTGAGCCGAAGTTCGAATATTTATACTTCCATTGTTTAGGTATTAGTGGTCGATTTTGAAAATTAATTCAGGGGCGGCGGAAATAAAATTCTAGAACATAGTATTACAACGTTTCAGGGATGTCTGCTCATTTTCAGACATTGTTTGGAGGGGATGAAAATTGCAGGTTAGAAGCTGCTGATCTCAGTGATACTATGCATCTGTTAGATATAATGAGTCTCACATATTTTCCCCACCTCTGCCATGACATCAATATGATAGATTTGACTTCGAAGTTGAGTCATTTATTTTAACAGTGAGTAGATCTGATCAAAAGAAATGTTTTTTTCCTTTAACATTTTTGTGGTAAAATTAAAGTAACAAAGTTATAGCCCTTTAGAAGTTTGAGTACCGCCCTGTCTCAATAATAATATTATGTGCTCGTGTTTGGCAACAACGGATATAATCAGCCTTATCGGTTCATCGCATCGGAAACAAAAAAGCGAAAGAATTTGAAACGCTTATCACGATGTTTTTACTACAATTTTATTCAGTTGTATTCAGTCAATGTGTCAGTCGGTAACGCGTGAGTGAATAGTGGTGTTTGTTGCGTGGCCCAAACGAAATAAAAAATGGAACTTGTGGACATGATTCTTATTTACGGGGGGGGGTCTTTACAAAATGCTGCCGCGGCATCACGGATTTATGCGGGAAGATACTTTATAAAACAAGGTAACTTTTTATTCAATTTTTTTACACACATATTTTGGTTTATCTTCCTTCTTCAATCATTATCTGAAAATTAATGACTCAACTTCAATATAGTTTGATATGCAGAGGTCGAAGATTCACCGTACCTACGTGAACCTACTTAATCACGATTAGATTTCGCCTTTTGAAATGATTTGGCTCATCCTTCTTGTTTGAAACCTCCAACGAAGACGTAGGAAGTATAAAGTTAATCTACTTGATGCCAATTATTTTTGAACAACCCTCGTAAGATAGTAACTAGCATACTGAAAGATGAAGTTAAATAAAAGCTTCGTTCATGACACGATCTGAGTATGATGAGCAAAGGCCTTCCAGGAAACTAACCAGCTTTTTTTCAGTGTCAAGCGATAGTGGTCGGATTTCTGGGTGCTGTAGTAGCAATAGTAATGGGTGCTATAAAAAGTAATGAGGTGGAGTTGGACCATGCTTATCTTCTATGTGCTAGTAGCTTAGTGACTGTATCTATAGCCAGTTTTGTGCTTGGACTTATAACAGCTGGAGTGATAGTATTGTCCAGGCATTGTCACATCAACCCAGATAATGTAGCAACACCTATAGCAGCTAGTTTGGGAGATATTACATCTTTAGCTCTTTTATCGTGGGTTTCTACGGTGCTTTACGATTCAATAGGTGAGTTTTTGGAGAATAAACCAGAGCCGGCTTCAGAGTTTTGTGCGCCTTGAGGCAAACGATAAAATATGCGCCTCCCCCGGCTTGAGAATTTTGCACTCCCCATGACACTGAGCCCTGAAGCCGACCCTGCAAAAAATGAAAGTCGAAGTAAAGTCCCAGAATAGTGGATTTCAAATTATAGTGTGAAATTTTCCATAGCAAAGCTTAACATACTTGAAGGCGTACTTTGTATTTTATTTAAGATAAATAAAAAATTTTCTAATTTTCTTGAAAAAAAAATCGATCGATTTTACAAAATCAAACGCCAAAATAAAGGACTTCAAGAGACCTTTCAAACAAGCCATTACTCGATACCCCTTGTCATTTAAAATTTTTAAGGGGATGACCCTGGGGGCAGAGGATGAAAGAAGGTGAAGTAGTTTTTGGTTAAAAGAGTTGTCCCCCTTGACAAATATGTTGACGTGTCTCGGCATTTTTTCTTTTAATTAGTGGTTTTCGATAAATTATAATAATGAATTTTCGAAAAATATATTGTATATCTGTATATGTATATTCCAAATATGTAATTCTTATGAAATGAAATAGGAGGAGAAGGATAGGGAACGTAAGATGACACCTTTTTACAAAGTATTATTGTTATTATGCGATATAGGGCACATGACGCTTGGTTTTTGGAGGCTAGTTTGACATGGCTGGCTTGGCTGGCTGTTTGGATAATCTACTCGCGTCAAAATCGGCTTCACTGATTTGTCTTTCTCGGTGTTTTCAAGATATTTCTTGTGCGTCTAACTCAGGCGTGTCGCCACTCTGTCCTTTTGGTGCATCTTCCAAAGTATGTCATCTGGGATGCAGAAGGGAAGGAACAGGAACAAGGTTTCTTAGGCATCCCACCAACACCCCGGTCCAGGTACCAGGAACCCGTGTTCCTGTCGAACGCAACCCCACCCCAACAATTTTACCCTTTAAAATTTCACGTTGTCCCCCCTCGGAGTTTTTCCCCGCCGAAAAGTGGTGTAATATAATCTCGACGCGGGTGCACGATTGCGCGGAACAGCAGTGGGCATTTATGTAGTACCGACGTTCAGTGAACACACGATGCTCAACGTTCCAAACCATCTTGCCAACTGAAACGGCACTTCTCTCACTATCCCACACGCCCTTCCCCACCGACACGGGACCAGCCCATTCGATGTAGTACCCATTCGAAAAACATGCGTTCTTCCTGACGGACCCTGTATTTTGGTTCTACGAGTCGTCCTCTATTTGGGGTTCCATCGGTGGGACCTTGACCTGAGAAGGGGAACTGTCCGGCTCCTTTATATATCCTTTTAAGGCACCTCTCTAATTTAAGCATGCCGCTTTTACTTACGAGGTCTATAAATTAAGTGATGAGACTGGCAACGTACTGTTCCATCTGCCAAACACTAGAGGCGTCAAGCTTGGCGGAGAGACAGGGGAACATTTGATCCGCCTTCAGTACAAGTTTGAACTCACTAGAGTAATCTGGTTGTCCATACCGATTTTTTTGTGAAACAGTTTTTTTATGAGGCCTTAAAATGAGTGACATCAATTTCGAACACCGGTGTGCTATAATGTTTTGCTTCAGACTTGGACACATTTCATCGGAAACTTTTGCTAAACTTCGGGCAGGCATACCTATATAGTGTTTTGTCAAGAGCCCAGGTTTTTCGGTAATTTAAGGCATTTTCAAAAAAAGAACCACGAAGCGGAAGGCATTCATCTTCAAAAACCAATGGAAATATCGACAGAATCCGGCATTTTGTGCAGTCAGATCATCAGTTGCATGCATGCACGCTAATGCTCCTTGTCACACAGCAATGTTAATAAACGAGTTTTTGATCAGTAAAAACATTCGTGTGGCTCGTCAGCCTCCTTATTCGCCTGGCTTGAGTCCTTGTGACCTTTTTCTTTCCTCGAAGTTGAAAAATCACCTGAAGGGAACTCAGGCTTTCCAGTATCGGAGTTCCAGCACTGCTTTGAGGAGTGTGGAAGAACCGTTTAAAGCACTCAGAAGGAAGCAATTTTGAGGGTGCAAATATAAAATTATAATTATATTTGTATAAAAGACTTTTGAAAATCAAACTCATCACTTAATTTACAGACTTCGTATGCGTAGGAACACAGCATTAAGTCCATATGTTGGTACGACAAAATTGGAGGTAGAACATGGTTTGCTCTAAAAACATTTTTCCTTATTTTCAGGCACCCAGGACTGGCTAGCTCCAGTGATAATAGCGGCTTACATTCTTGCAATACCCCTTTGGGTATACATAACAAAAAAGAACCTGCAAACCCGCGATGTCTTGTACTACGGCTGGACACCGGTCATGGGCGCCATGTTGATAAGCTCCATGGGCGGCCTGATCTTAGACTTCATGGTATCCAGATTCGAAGGCATTGCAGTCTTCCAGCCTGTCATAAATGGAGTTGGTGGAAACCTTGTTGCAGTACAAGCTAGTAGAATATCCACCGCATTACATAAGCAAGCAGAACTAGGAATTTTGACATCAGAAAACAACGCTGATGAAGATACTGTTATTTTTATTTCCCCAGTAGCTCTGTTTTGCGGCAAAACGATGCATGCTAGAACCACTAGGGTGCTTATGACCATGGTACTTCCTGGACATCTCATTTTTATCTATACAATTGACTATATGAAAGATGGAGATACCTCACTTAGTACTTGGTTTGTTATCGTATATCTGTATGCAGCAGTAATGCAAGTTGCTACTCTACTTTATGTCGCTTATATTATGATTCATTGGATGTGGAAACGGAAAATTGATCCTGACAATTCAGCCATACCTTACTTGACCTCAATTGGTGATTTGTTGGGTATATCCCTGCTGGCTATAGCCTTCCAGTTTCTTTACCTTATTTCAGATCGAGATCCAGATGTTGCAGATGGAGAATAGAGAAAAGTTGTTCAATGGAGGTATTCAAAACATGGGTACACCAATTTTTGTCAACACTTTCGATTGAATACCGAAAAACACGTTTTCTCATTCTTTGTTGTCAAATAAAGGTTTTCCCACAAAAATTGGTGTACCCATTTTATGCGTCCATGTTTTAAATACCTCCTACAACTTGCACGAATGACACCAGACTTTACAATTATTTCAGGGAAATTTGCTAAAATGATTAGACTACTACTTTTGCGGACAATATTGGATATTTTTAAGCTTTCAAAATTTGCTACCCCCGCTATTCAAAATTTCTTTAAACAATTTGCTTGTGGCAATTCCAAGAAATTGTTTTTTTCGATCCAGGCAAGATTTCAAGGTTTTTTCAATTATCCTAGACAAAAAGGTTCATAGCAACTTTTCTCTACGGTTGTCAGTTTCCGAGTTAAAGACTGAAAAACTATTTTCAATGCTTAAAAACTCTACTGAAAAATATTTTGCGGTTGCCAAATCTTTAAATTGAAGTTGAAACATTCCCCATCAAGACCCCAAAGAATATTTTGGGTTTAGTTTAAATAATTGTTGCTTAATTGCTAATAACGCGGTATGGGCCACATGCAAGTCCCTGCAAAAGGGTGCTTTTATCAATGCAAAATACTTTTCAGGGTCTTGTAAAAGAAAACTTCGAATATTAATTGAGACACTTGGCAACCTCAAATATAGTCATTTTTAACAGTCTTTTGGTTTTTCAGATATTAAATCGCTTCTGGCTCGAAAACAGTAAACTTTAGACAGCAGTTACTAAGGATGTTTTTTGTTCAAAATGATCCAAAAAGCCTAAAAAAAAATTTGTGCGAAAAAGTGTTTTGCAATGTGATGAAAATTGTTTAACAAAAAAAATAACAAAAGAGAACATTGAAAAACATCTCACACGCCTCGTCTATAACGAAATAGAATTATTTTTGATTCAAGACACGGTGAAGCGACATAGACGTATGTAAAAATTTGTTGTAAACAAATGTGGTTACACTGTAACAATTCTATTGTTAATATTAGAGAGTTTTGGCAATCGCAACAAATACGTAAACGTAACGTTTTTCAACATGCAAGTCGATCTATATGTGATATACATACAATAGTGTGTTACACATTGCGACATCAGCAAAATTTGAGTCCAACCGTATAAAGTCGCCAAAACTATCAATTTAGACAAGATCTAGCATGTGATAAAAGGTCTTTATAAGGGCGGATTTAAGGGGGCAATGGGGGACACGCTCTAGATCTTGGTGTAAAAGTTACCTTAGAGCTGAATCGTGAGACGTATCCCACCCCCCGTTCTTCATTTGTCGCAAGGGCATTTGCTCTCAGAAGCTATGCTCAAGTGCTTAAGCATGCATCCCTTCAATTTTTAATTGCCGCTCCCCACTCCTAAGGCGAACATCTTACAACACATGAATGCTGCGTTTCCCCTAGACATATTCCTAAATCCGCCTTTCGTGTATTTTAACTGCGAGCGAGTCGGAAAAATTAACAAAAGTGTATAGAAACTATAGAATTTTGTCAATTCTCACATCCTAGGAGCAATTACATAAAATTACTCTCTGTGAAACCTTGTACAGTGGTGTATATAGATAATAGATATGTATAAAATATTTTGAGTAGGTGATGTTTGTTCATATATCTTGTTTATTTTTTTAAACTAATACCAAAACAATAAACCAACAGATGTAACCTTATTTCTTCTGTGATTTTATATCTGAAGAGTTGTTATGGTTATTTTTAAATCGTAGAAGTTCTATTTATATAGAGAAAGGTATAATAAAAGAATAAAAATTTGTTTCAGTTATTTAATTATTTCAAATACACAGTAAGTAAACTATTGAACAATAAGTAGGTTCTTATTTTTGAGTCATAGGAAACGGTCAAAAATTCAGCAAAATGAATTTTGATCATTACTATAGAAGGTGTCCTTTGACACCCGGTATAGGGTGGTTAAAATCTTTTAATTTCAAGTTCAGCGTAGAAGTCGGCGGTTATCACAAACAGTTTTTCATTCAACCTCAACAAGCAAAATGTACTGACAATAATTTTGTTCTTTTCAAAAATTTCTGGTACCGTCGACAAAAAATTATGTCCAAATGACGGTTTTAAAAACGCGTGCTAGTAAGTAAAACACGCACGCGACACAACGTTGGCACGTTATTCCCCTTGGAAATGGTAATGGATCGGTCCAAACTGGCCAAATTTAGTTTCTATTACAATCTTTCTCACAATTTCTCAATGATGGAAGGAAATTCCATAACTGTGGCAAAGGAAATTCTATAACTGTGGCAACAGTCCCTTAGGATAGTTGACGATAAGACTGGCAACGTAGCTTTGTACCTGGCAACACTGGAGGCGCCATGCTTGGACGGCGAACAGGGGAACATGTGATCCGCCTTCAGTACAAGTTTGAACTCGCTTGGGTTGTCGCAGCGATTTTTTTTTTGTGGAACAGAACCCGGGATCTTGTGGGTTCAGATCGTCGGTTGACGGTCAGAATGATCGGGGAAGAGTTAAATTTGAATCACACCACCGTTCATCAGATCAAGAACTGGGTGTTGTATCACGATAATGCTCCTTGTCATTGAACGAGTTTAATGTGGCTTCTCAGCCTCCTTATTGGCCTGAACATTTAAACTGGTTTCAACCATTTGAAAGATCTATAATGAGACATTTTCAAGAGAATTAACTAATCACCAAAATCCCATGTTCGTGTGCGTGGACCTATGTAAAGAATTACTCAAAAGTACTTCCGATACCTAGCATCAAGCTCAATTTTGGATTTTAATCACCCTCTATATGTAGTATAATACAAAATATCATCTGAATCTAGATGAATAACAAACAAAAAATGTTTTAACGAACAATGATTCAGATGAAATGCTCGATGAAAAACTGAATATCGTAATCTAGATAATATTTTACTTAATACAAATACATCCTAACTTTGATCCATCAGAAAACAATCACTATGAGTACTTGAACAATCCTTTTGAACTGATTCGAATATTGGTGCTAAGTCTGTTGAACCCTTGATTTGACTTACAAATTCTATTAGATGTGGATTCTTATCTGGAACAAAGAAACATATGACAGACACCGTTTTAACTAAAAAACAAAGTGCAATGTTGAAACACGCGTCATTTTGTCGGGCATGGCTCCAAATATTTTAGGACAGGAAAGACGGGTAGATGATGATCATATTAAAATTCGGCGCTCCAAATTACTTAAGTGCGCAAAGTTTCATGAGAAAAGGGAAATACTGTCTGTGAGGTGAGTAATAAATACCAGTGTATTAAATAAACACTCAATCTAAACAAGAAGTAAACCGTTAAAACAAAGTTTCCCTTTGTAAATACTCATTGTTACTTTGTGGGTTCATAGCGTGGAATCCTACATTATTTTAGGAAAATGTTTGCACATGCAAAGATTCGATATTCTTTCTGAGATTCTGTTCACTTTTGGACCTGGTCGAAAAATTTTGTTTTTCAACTGTCTGGTAACTTGACTGCATAGACGAGTGGGGAACCATTGAATAAATAATAACAGAGCAACTTAAAATCCAAGCCATGTTATATCAACAGTTTTCATTGAAATATATCCAAAAATGATATTTAAAAAAATGTATGTCTGCTTACCTGCATCAGGTATACTCAATAATGCTGCTACAGCTCTCATGGCCGATCTCTTCAACTCATCCTGCTTCTCATATTCTTGTTTTACAGAATTAGCTTTAACTTTCATTGTAAGCGTCGCCCTTAGAGGCTCTACTAACTTATCTAACACTAAAAACAAGATAAAAATATTAGACATCGACGGAATAGTCGATTCAAGCGTAAAGAACTTTTTCGCTCTCGAAGCGGTAGATATTTTTTTGCGCTTGTAGTACACGAAGCGACATTTTCAAACTAAACTCACTTTGGTATACGGCTCCAGGACATATTTGGGATAACCTAGCCACCATGAGGTAAGTTAGCATCTTAATGTCGTAATGATCCTTCAAACCAGTCTCTACGTGACTTATGAACTCAAATATATCCACTTTATCTAGACAGGAATCAAGTAAAGTGTACATGCACTCATACGCGGCTTTTCTTATGTCTAAACCATCATCTACCGTGTGTTTGAAAGGACCCATTTCTACTTCTCTTATTAAATCTCTCTGAAAAGAAAACAATGGTGTCAAGTAGACTTCTAGAATTCTGTCACCAATTAAATTGTTTTCGGTTTATTTCCAAAACCTAACATCATGTTAACTATGACTTTAAAAAATCGACCAAAGCAACAGAAACATACTAAGTGACATATAAATCCGAACACCCAGTTTAAATGGTTTTATTTTAATAAATTTTTGTATAAGTACTTAATGAAGCATAATAAATGATAAAAATTTCAAAATGATTGCACTGCTTTAAAGCCCTTTGACCTTTAATAATGTGTGGATGCACCCTGATGTGCTACGCATTCTCCAACGCGCCTAGGCACGCTTCTGATCAGGTGGTCAATGTCCTCCTGTGGTATCTCATTCTAGGCAACCACCAACTCCTCTCGAAGTGCTTCTAGAGTCTGAGGAGGACGTTGCAAATTGAGCAATCTCCTACCCATCATATCCCACACGTGCTCAATTGGGGATAAGTCGGGAGATCTTGGTGGCCATGGTAACAATGTGACATCATTATGTTGGAAGAAGTCTATTGTGACTCTTGCAACATGTGGTCGGGCATTATCTTGTTGGAAAGTCGGATCTGCCAGGGTGTCAAGATAGGGTAAAAGATGGGGTTCTAGAACTTCGTGGATATAACGCTGCGCGTTCATGTTACCTCTGATGAAGATTAAAGGTGACCTGGAACCATAAGCTATAGCACCCCAAACCATAACTCCAACAGTGTGATGAACATGTCTTTCAACAAAAAACTGTGGATTCCTCCTTTCACCACGTCGCCTTCTAACCCTGGCACGACCATCGTGCATGCCTAAACAAAATCGAAACTCGTCACTAAAGACAAATACTGTTCCATTCCTGATCCCAGAGTGACCGTTGTCTGCACCACTCAAGGCGATTACGTCGGTGTTCTCGAGTTAAAGGGAGGACCCAATGTGGCCGGTATGAAAACAAGCCAAAACTTCTCATTCGTCGGTAAACACTTCGCATGCCAATAGGTCTTCTGTGTTCTGCAAACCATTCATTTGCAATGGACCTAGTAGTGGAGAAACGGTCCCTTAAGCCCAATAATCTTAGGCGGCGATCTTCACGGTCTGTTGTTCTACGGCGGCGTCCAGTGCCCCTTGCTCTTTGCGTACGGCCTTCTCGAAGCCATGCCTGACAACACCTAACCACAGTGTCTACACTTCTTTGCACTCTAACTGCAATTGCCCGAAAAGAAAGTCCAGCTTCCCGAAGTCCCACTATACGGCCCCTATCAAACTCACTAAGTTGACGAAATCGTACAGGTCTCCGTACTCTAGGCATCGTAACCGATCGTAAAGGATGTCAAGAACCAAAATCCGCCAACGTTGATTCTTTACTGCGGCTGAAATATTCATTTTTAGAGCGTTAGTGAATTAAAAAAAAAGCAGTATACAAACCGGAATGTCCAACTGATAAGGCTGAAAATTTTTTCACGTATTATTTACAGTAAGATAAATACATTCACCAACTTTTATTAAAATAAAACCATTTAAACTGGGTGTTCGGATTTATATGTCACTTAGTATACATGTGAACCGAGGTCCAACATATTTCTAAGAGAATAAATATAAATTTAACGATTTTTTGTTTTCCTGGACATAATGTGGAATATTCTGTTATACTAGTAACTACCAAAAAGAAAGGTAGATCAAATTAACACCCTGATTATGCAAATGTATAACAAAAAGATAATGTCAAGTTTATTCGTCAATTCAAAAGACTCGAATGAAAAATAAATTTAATTGGGTATGTCTACTCAAGTAAGATGATTACAGAATGAATTTATGTTAACATCTTCGCCATATTTCTAAATACGAAAATAAACATATTTTTATTTCAACGACAAATGTATGGAAAATATTCGTGACTATAGACTTACCTTAATAACTGTCTCTCCATATAATTGTGGTAAAATTGTTTCTAAAAGATCCCGAATTAGAGAGGGTTTATTATGAGCTGCCGAATTGAAAGCTACTAGAGCCACCCTTCTCACATTTAGATCTGGATCTTGTAGAGTATTTAAAAATTCTCCTATGCATTGTCTTAGTAGAGGATCTATAGCTGCAGGCTATAAAAAATAAAACAAAGAAAAATCTACTTACCCTCTGAGTCAATGGAAATCAGACGAGAAATTCCGAAGTCCGTAGAAAGATGTTTACTTTTTATCATGCTGAAACGGTGGCGAAGGCAAGAGGCCTAAACACTGAGGTACTGTGGTCGCTATAAAGGTTACGCGTATCCAATGTTTGACCTGCCTAAAATGAGTAATGCGATTGAATAGCTTGTACAAGTTTCATAAAAAAACACAAGGGAATCTAGATTGCCAATCAATACGAAATTTCGTCTAACAATGCGTTTCAAATGGAAATGAAACACGTTACGACTCCTCTATCACTTTACTGTGAAACAAATAATTCGTCAATGATACAAGAAAAAATCGTAACTCCGTTTCTAAGCATTTTAGAGGAATGCGTAAAAACAAATTGAGTTATGCATTATATTGTTTTAGGAATGATAGCATTATTGTGATACATGCAGTATTATAGTTTAGTTGAGCAGTTTCTGAATGATACTTAAAGAAAGCTGAAATTTTCAAATCAGAAATGGAAAATAGGTAAAATTAGGAATTACGTGTTTTTCCTATTTTAAACGGCATATAAAGTGGAGTTACGTGGTTTTCTTGTGTTAACAACGAATTGTACTATTCCATGGCATGCTGGTAGAGTTTCACCAAGTATGAGCATCTACAATCTACAAGAATAATGAAACGGGGAAAAACTTCTCAAGACTGTTGTAATATAATCTCGCCAAGCTAGAATAAACGAGAGGCCATGCCGGCCAGTTCTCGGCAAAGTCTGGCGGGTTCGTCTGACAGGTTTAACGCGCGATGGCATCATGAAGGAACACTCGTACAGATTATGATATCAGTGGTTTATGGATTTCGCCATATGTAAAAAATTCGCTTTACGGACTTTGGAATTGATATCGCTCAAATGTTCATGTTTTTACCTGATCAGAAATGGTGAATTTAACCGCAGTTACGACAGTTGTCCTCATTAGCGGTGAAGGGGAATTGAGAGATCTTTTTAGTTTAGGTAAAAGATTCGTTGGATCTATCAATGTCAATTTTCCTAAACATTCCGCTACAACATTTCTAGTACCTTCTTCTTGGCATTCGCAATGACGGTATAGCTGTTGCCAAATGGCAGGTACGAATGGCAACAACTGTTTGACGCCTTCAGGGGTTTGAGAAAGGCAAGTAATCACCTAGAATAAAATGTTTTGTAGAATAGATTCATTAAAATAGATTAACTACTTATCATCCAAAGAATATTTTTTTTTTTTTTTTGGCTTTAGGACCAGGCCATGCAGCCAGAAACTAGGTTGAATATATATATTTCTCTAATTATGAACAATCACACGACGTCACAACATCCATGGCGAAGGCAAGATTCGAACTCGCGGCCCGGCCGGCCGGCTGATCAGTAGCACGACACTCTGACCAACGCGGCCAACCGAGGCCGAGAATATTAAAGCTATTTAATCGTTGTTTTGTGATTATACAGCTTTTCAAGTGTCCAATAAGTTTTTGTTATGATTGCTAATATTTCGCAGTTGGAAGAAACGGAGATTTACGAGGCTTTTTACAAAAGTGTCCCCTCTCTCACTTACTTTATGACCGGGTCTAGTTAGCAAAGTGAAATTCGTGGTGATGATACCGATGCAGGAAGATTATATTTTAGCATAAAAGTGGCAGTTGAAAAATACAACACGGAGGCTGGTGCTATATTGAAACATTTTTTTAAAATGAGTAGGGGTCATGTTATACCTCATTTTGAAGCTCTTTATAAATACTTTATAATCCATGAAAATGAATCAAACAACTTTCAAAATGACAGACGGGCGGTATGTCAAAGTCGAATTGCTTGTTACTCAACAACTGATCAAAATAATAATAATTGTATTCACACTGTACAAAAATATAGGAGTGGCTTGTCAAAGATTATTTTTTAAAAAATTTAATTCATTCATTTGGTCCACCCCAGCCTAGTATTGCATAACTCATACGGCTTTCGATCAAAGCATGACATAAAATTTGTATTGTTTAATATTTAAGATATTTGAATCCAAACAACAATGGTCTTAGATTGGTTATTACATGATCGATATCTATATTCCGCTTTAAATGTGGGTCTAAATATACACGTAGGTATTTTAATATGTTTGTATGAGTAAAATGCTATGGTATTTTTTTACACCGAAGCAGCCCAGCAGGTAAGAGCTTAAATCAGCAATTTTTGGGCACATAAAAAGTGTACTGGAAGGAAACGCTTACTAAATGGCAGACTTGGGTAGTATTCGAATACTCGGTGTATTGAATGCAATTCAGAATATTCGAATACTAGTTGACTACATTTGTGTTCGATATTTGGTATTCAACTGAATACTTTTTTGGTCAGTTCTCGGTATTCGCTATTCTGAATACCCAATATTCCAATACCGACTTTGTATTGAAATCCCGGTATTCAAATCCTGTATTGGAATCCTATTGTCGAATACTGTTCGACTAGCCGTATGGATATTACGCTACGCTTTACAGAACTTAAACGTTAAAACAGGTTCGCGGTGGTTGTGGATGGCACAAACAAAATAGCTACGCAAGGTTATTTTGTTTGTGTGTATGGTGGTGCTTCTAAGCTCGCGATGGCGACAAGCCGGATAAGGAACGAGAATAGATTACGTATGCGGTTGTGCTTGTGCAGTATTGCCATTCCATTTTATAATAAATTTTAATACCCTTAATAATTTGTATATGATACCAGATAACGTAGATATACAAAAAGGTAAGTTAATTTTTCAATTATGTAAGTACAATGTGTAAGATTCATATATTTTCTAATCAGGTTTTAGTCTATTAATTTTCTATAAAAATCTAAGAAAATGAGGGAATGTTTTTTTTAATAACTGATTTGTCTAATCTCACTGTGACACTTTTATATAACATAGTCTTGTATATTTTTTTTGTATATGTCTGTAACTTAAATACATAAAGATAAATCAAGTTTAACGTGCGCATATGTTTTATTGTTTAGTTGGAATATTCAAGAAGAAAGGACAAATTAATCTGAATAGAATAAATATGGTCTGCTTTGATCCGTCTGACCAAAGACAGCCAACCACGGATAGCTGTTTCATGCTTTTTGGCTACTCCTCGTGATCCCTAGGATTAGACATCTCAGATAACAAATGAAAGCTATACAAACTGTGTGATCTGTCGAAAAGAAGACAGCGCAAAGCACCATCTATCGCTAGAATCGACCAATGCGTAACAGTGAATTGCAGCCAACCGATTGGGACTGTATAGATCTCAGTACGCGAATTGGAGGCCCAGTCACTACGTAGACGGCGACGATTCTAGCTCGGAATATAACCGCGGCCTGAGCCTAGTGAGCATGCAACTTACTTCTTTTAAAGAATGCAGTAACAGATACTGACGCTTTGGTTGATCCTGACTCTCCTTCAAAATAAACGGTAAATATTGCTGTAAATTTCCAATGCAGATGCTTCCAAGTGCATAACTAGCTGCTGACTTAACTTCCTCCGACACAGCAGAAAACGAATTCAGAATAACTTGCTTAAGATTAGGTATTGTTGTCAAGTCTCTGAAAATAAGTATCCAATTCTAGAATAATCACACAGATAGCCCCATCTCATGTTATGCGCCGTAAAGGCCGTATGATTTTTTTACAGAAAATGAAATAACGTCAGATGCATGTCTTACTTACATTTCTCTGCCAATTTCTCCAACAACCAACAGAGCGAAAATCTGTTGGCTGTCGCTTTGCGCAGTCTGTATTTCGTTGATGAATTGTGGCACTACTGGCAACGCTTGATTGTGACAGGTGACAGTTATTGCTGCCACGCACTTTGCCAGTGAATAAAACGCTTGCTTATGTAACGTGGCGTTTTGACTCGTATTAAGATTTGAAATTGGCATTAGCAGTAAGCGTAACAAAGAGTCGTAGTTAAGACCTTGGAGATTGCATTTCACTAGCGATTTAAAGAAGTCTAACATCGACTGTAAGGCAGTACCTGAAAATAAATTTGATTATCGATATTTTTAGTACGATCCACGCTCGAAAAGATATCTACCTAGCAATGAAAAACAAATGACATGAAAAAGCACAATATGTCAAATACTGGCTTCTGTTTTAACCATGCTTGCAAAATTTGAGTTAATCTTGACAATTAGTTTCCATTTTATAACGTGAAAAATGAGTAAATTAAAACTAGAGGATCGCAGTCTCATAAATACAAATAAAAGTTTTGCAATTCAGCTTTATTTATTGACTTCGTTCAAAGTAATTTCCATCACATACAATACACTTTCCCATCCGCCAAAACCAGTCCTTAAACCAGCTCTGCCAAGTTTCATCCGGGAGTGCGGCACACCCGTTGTCCCAAGCTCTCGGAAGGTCCTCATCGCTAGAAAATCGTTTTCCTTCTAGATTCATTTTCACTGCGGAAACAGTGCAAAGTCGCAGGGAGCAAGATTTGGACTGTAAGGAGAGTGCTCAATAAGTTTCACTCTAGTAGTAGTCAAATACTCGGTGCAGGCTTTGGTGCGGTGAGCTGGAGCGTTGTCATGGTGGAGGTACCAAGTATCAACTCTTGACGTTGGCCGCAGGTTTTTCATAGACTCTGTGACTGCCTTCTGTGTGTCCAAAACGACACTCCACAATCCCGCTCGATTTGAAAAATACAGGTATCATTTCTTTTTTAACAGATCGGGATTTTCTGACAGCTACGGGTGTGTCCTCATCATCAAAGACCCAAACTTTGTTTTGAGCCTTGGCCGGCACATTGTAATAATAGAGCCAAATCTCGCCACCTGTCACGGTGCTGTTTACATAACGAGACTGTCCCTTATCAAACATCTTCAGCATCTTTCGCCACCAAGTCGTACGACGAGTCTTCCGTTCTTCCGTCAGGCTATGCGGTACCCAGAGAGAACAAAGTTTCCTTACGTGTAAATAAATGGTCATGCAGAATTGAATGAATTGCTGGTGCATGGAGGTGTAAGGTCTCCTCTATTTGTTGGTATGTCACTTTCCTGTCTTCGTCAAGCATTTCCCTCACAGCAGTAATATTTCCTCTGTTACTGACGTTCGCGGCCTTCCTTCCCTCTCATCGTCCTCCAGAGTGAAACTGCCCCATTGGAATTCTCTGTACCACCTGAATATAGTCGTTCGATGAGGACAATCATTCTTTAATGCATGCGTCATTTCTTCTAAGCACGGGTCTATGCTTAAACCACGCAAAAAGTTATACCGTAAAAACTGCCCTTATCTCACTACGTGACCACGATGCCATAGTTCGCACTTTAGACTGTCAATACGAATGCACAACTAAATCAACAGACGTGCTGGTGGCGGCTACTATGCACTCATGGACATTTCTCAACATGCAGTATCATGAGGCCTCCTGCGTCCGTTGTTAAGTGATGGCCTAAAAGCAGCCGTCGACGACTTTTTTGAGAGTCACGAGGAAACATTTTTTTTATAATCTGACTGGAGGAGAACTGGCGCAAGTGCATGCAGAAGGAGATTATATTGGAAAATAGAATTACTGCACATCTTTTGTTTTATGGCTGGATAGATTTCTTGTCTAGTGTCCTCGTACTTCGTCACAAATCATCAGAATTGACACAGAAAAACGTACAATATACAAGGGTTGATTCCTATGTAACCTAGACCACCCGCAGCAAGGAACAACGCTGTCTGTGGTTGGTGGTGGTTACAGATACGGAAAGCAAACATATCCATTTCAAGTCGAGATGATATTGAAATGCTGGATCACCGACTGCACTGTGTTGATATTTATAGGATTATGTAGAAAACTAAAAAGTATAAATCAAATGTAGCTTTACTGAAAATTATATGGGACGAAGCATGGGGGTCAACCTTGTAAATCAGAATTAGATACAAGAATCGCATGAAATAAAAACGAGTATTCATTCAATATAATCGACTTACCTTGTAGCAAAGGCGACTTGACCAAAAGTAGAATTTGCGGCATGATAGTATCATTTATATTCCGTAATGCTTTGGGATGATATGTAGCAACAGATTTAAGGATAATCAGCGTCCACTGGGCAATATGGAGGTCAGACTCGTCCAGCAAAGGGGGCACTTCAGCTATAATCGGTTGCAGTAATTGGACGCTCAAATCTCCATGATAATTGTTGATGAGAGAATTAATCAGCTGCAAGGTACTAAGTTTCAAAGCTCTCTGGTTCTTACGTAGGAACAATCCTAGAACTGGCATAGTTTCTGGTAGAATCGGTAGTTCAATGCCCAAAGGCGATCCAGCAATCTTGGTAAGAGCCTTGACAGTAGTAAGTCTCGTGATTTCATTCTTGAGTCTATCCAAAAATAAGGGCAGGCAGTAAGGTAGCTCATCTTTCAAGTGGTCTCCAAGATTACAAATGACTTGTCCCATTGTAGATATAGCTTTTTCTTTAACTTCTTGGTCAATATCGGCAGTTCTCAGACGCAGCAAGGTGCAACTGTAGATGTCTTTGGTGAAGGGGGTGAAGTCAAAGTCGGATTCAACGTTCAAAGGTCGGATAACCTTAATCAGTTCTTGCAAGACATTGAGTGCCTCGGCTGTTATTTTATAGAAGCTGTCTCCAACCGCCCCAATCACAGGTGGTAATAGGGTGCCTATATGAGGATGAAACACTTGTGGTTGATGACTGGTCAGCAGACAGTGTATGAAAGACAAAGCGTCGATTTTCATGTTGCTACTAGCATTTTTCTCGCTTAACGAATACAAAATACCGGGTATCAAGTCCCCAATATGGGTGCTGAGAGCTCCAGGTAGGACAGAACATACTTCTTTGAGTAAGTGGAAACAGTCTTGTCTGGTTTTCATGCTTTTCTCTCGCATTTGACCTTGGACTCCCTTAACCAAAAGATCGATTTGTGACTGGAGCAAAGTAATAGGGTTTTCTTCTTCCTCGTCCATTGCCATCGCGTTCGGGTCCATATTGACATTTACTGTCGATTTCGTTTGTTTTAAAAGGGCGATGTACGCGTGGAAAATATCAGACTTGACGTTCTCTTCACGCTCTGAAAAAAAAATTGAATGTCACTTTACGAGAGTTGGAATAGAACCGTGGACAGAGGGTTAGCTCATTGAGCTAGTGAACGGTCGACTCGAGGTTAACTCCGAGACATGACTGATGGCATCATAGCGAAAAGATCCCGAGACCCTCCGTTGCAGAAGCTGCAAAACTTCCATTTCCGTCTCCCGCTATTACAAGTCCATGATATTTTGTGCACTTATGTAATGTGGGGCGCCAAATTTAAATATGACCATGAAAAAATCCTGCGAGACAGAATCTGAGGTAGATCATTGGGAAAAGAACTAAAAATTACCTTTGAATCTAGCGATGAGACACGGCGAAAGTACTTTATAGAATTCAGGTAGGAGCTCATGCCTAGTTGATATAATAGCTTCAAGACATTTGGCAGCAGATCTTCTGACTTTCCAGCTCATGTCATCGTCATCACTGTACTCATCATTTTCCTCATCTTCATCCTCGTCATCGTCATGATCTCCCTCAGCACCTTCGTCCTCATCATAATTGTAGTTCGGATCATGAACCATGTATTTCAGACACAGATCAGTAATCTGGAAACATCGTGTTTTATCATTAACACATTGATCGCCAGAATAGGCCCTGGTGACTGACACAGAACTATTCCAATGGTGCTGTGTCAGTCATAGGATTGGACAACATATCTACTTATAGCTTGTTATTTTGCGCTGTCAGTCAAGACTTTGGTGTTAAATTATTTTAGGGAGAATGCATCGAAATAAATAAAATATTTATATCCTCGTATTCTACCTGAAGATACCCAGCCTAATGCTATATTCCCGCGTCCAAAAAGTTATCCGAAATAAAATGAGATAGCCTAGTGTTATTTATGACAATTTTTCCCAGCTGTTTCTCTATTTACTATACACTAAGAAAAAGTTAGTGTCTCATAAATGGTGTTGTCCATATGAGCATATACAAGCATACAGGTAGGTACAACGTCATCTATATGACACTAACCTTCCCGAAGTACAAACAGGGTGTCTCATTTTAATCTCCACACCTGAATATTCGGAAAAATGCGCATCCTATAGAAATGTGTCAATCAAGAGTAGGGAGCCGTGATCACAACCTTCAAGGTAAAATTAATATTCTCAAATCTAACCTCCTTTTTTAGATCGGAACTGGATAAAGGAGGAAATTTTACGTCCTAATATGACTTTCACAATGAATTTCAATGCCATGTCAAGGTTAAAACAAAACCCCTCATTTTCATACTGGAATTGGATAAAGTATGAAATTTTGTCTTAATGTAACCATGACCTCAAACAACATTTAAGCTTGAAATTCGGACGTAAATTTCCTGCTTTTTCCAATTCCAGCAAAAAATTAGAGGTTTCCTTGACTTGACCTTGAAGGTCATGATCACCACCATCTTTGGATGATCCTACAAATCTCACAACTGTGCTGTCAAATATGTTTGCTACAGCATATTGTCTTCAATGCCTTGATTTAACCCTGAAATTGCCTTGAATGTCGTGCTCAAGCTCATATTCGGATGAAAAATGTCTTCCTCCATTTAAAAATATTCACTTGACCATGAAATGATATTAAATATCATAGTCAAGATCACCATCATATTGCCATTTAGAAACTGAACAACTTTTATTTGAAACATTTTTCTAGGTTGCACAGTTTTAGAAATATTTAGCCGAGGAGATTAAAGCAACTGCGAAAAATTCTGATAGATGACGCTACGATATATCATTTTATCTCGGATAATTTGTTGGACGCGGGAGTATAGCATTAGGATGGCTATTCTCACGTACAATATGTTAATCAACAGTAAACATATTCTACCAGAAGATACACAATTCAATTGAAATCCGTGCGAAATCAAAATTTTCGACCACCATCCTGTTGACGTTGCTACAATATTTTTCACGATACTTCACTACTCCAAACGTGATAGCAAATAGCTGATTATCTAGTAAGATTTAATATACCCCACATCAGCAAGTGACACACAATTCTGACAGATCTGTCAACGCCCAATCTGTAGACAGAGTTGTATTTTGTGTGGTAAGAAAGCATACTTACTAACTAAGATTTTATTTATAAAAGCTCATATGCACAAAAGAAAAACAATACAAACAATTTGACTGCTAATGATCATAAGCATATTTCACGACAGGTAATGAAAAACATTTTTGACTCCATCTCTGATCTCTAGAAAGATTTTGATCATTCATAACCTATTTCAGTTATGTTAAGCTGATGATGGTCAATTAACCAGAAACACATGTTTATACAACATGGTGGATCGTAATGAATAAAATTTTACTGATTCAGTTGAATATACTATGTTGTATAGACGTGTGTTGCCAGATGTACTTTGTCTGTAGGTATGTCGAAAATTCATCAGTGTATGGTATATACAGATCTGAATATGGTGCCATCAGTACATATATACACTTTAATACAAACATGTCACTTGCTAATCAGCTGTTTACCTCAGCAGCCGTAAAGACGTAATTAAATATTGTGAAAAATTTTGTACCTCTCAGACTGCTAGCGAAGGTTATGGAATTTCCTTTCCTATCATTGAGAAATTCTGTCGCGGTTGAGGAATAATGTTTTCTTGGCAAAGTGATCTCAAGTTCAAGAGAACACAATTTTCCAATTGCCCAACCCTGCACTGTCTTTGAATGTTCGCATTGTCACAACCACGTAGAAGCATTAAAATCATTCTATTTTCCTTTTAAACAGTGGCGGGTTTAGAGGGGGCGCGGGGGGCGCCCCCCCTAGTCGTCTGACACTTCCTTTTCTAATCTAACACCCTTTTTGACACATCATGGCGACAGAGGCATACTAACTATAAGTTATAGCTATAGGAAGTGAAATGCTGTCCCTTATTGACATCACTTTTTTACGGCACAATTCTTACGATTTATACGTATATACGAGTATTATGACTTGTGACAAATCTAAGTCTGGGTAATATATTAGCTATCCAGATTGCACTTAAAAAGTGATTTATGTTCTGTTTGTTGCTCAATAGTAATTTGAAAAGTGTGTAAAACTTGACTGATCTTAGATGAACGCCAAAATTGGAAATAGACATTTATGAGATTTGCTTAGCGGTGCCTGAGGCCTGTCCAGAAACTGCGTAGATCGATGCTCGAAGTCAATACCACACGTCCCGCATCTCTTCTCGCGTATGTGTCTATTTATGTTGCTATATTGAATTCGTGTAAATCACAGAGCTGCTGCACTACACGTGAATATGTACAGCCCTGTATTCCTGTACTTGTTTCGTACATACATTATCAAAATAATTACGATCTAACAGATACATTTTTTCCCAAGGATTTCCAACATTTTTACATGCGATCAACACCGGTTCGAAAACTCAGAAAACAACAACTATGCCGTAAATGTAAGTTCGGCAACGAAAGTCTGAACAATAACTGTAACACCTATACTGAATTTCAAAAACTCCAACCCTTACTGAGCGGGGCAGTGGCAAATGCTTGTTCCGGAAGTTGTATCCAGTATACAACTTCTTCTCGTTCAAGTGATCGTACACGCGTTAAGGAATACCTCAGTACCGATTGCCGGGTGGCGGTACAAGTCCGCCAACGGTCCACCTTAGGTCTATTTAATGTCATTAACACACGATCTATAGATGGTCTATAGACATCCTTCTTTGTCTCGTCTAGCCTCCATACAATGGGATATGTCTCGGGGCCTCTCATGTTTTATTTATTGTTTTTTTTTTTTCAGGTAACAGAGCAATAAGGTTTTTTTATTTTAGTTAGTTAATTATAAATGCAACGTATTTATTTTGTTCTCATATAATAAAATATTGTCTTTCTGATGATTTCTGAGCATTTTCCATGTTTTTTTTCAAGATGCCTTGACCAGATAGAACACAATGGATCTAAGGAGCAATAATAGAATAAAATCTAGAAGTTCCACTGAGGTTAAAAAATGACCAGCCCCAAATATCGTTTGCGCCCCCCCCTAGACGAAATCCTAAATCCGCCCTTGCGTTTAAAGAAAATTGTAAATTATTAACCACTACACCAACCTGCCTCTTATTTGTTTCTATGAATTTGTATGCTCAGAATGTTTGAATGACAGAAAAGGAATGCCAATAACATGATGCAATAGCTTGAGAGGTGGCAGCGCTGGAGCCTAAAGATGTTGGACAGCACATATACAGGGTGACTTCGAAGTTGAGTCATTTATTTTAACAGTGAGTAGATCTGATCAAAAGAAATGTTTTTTTCCTTTACCATTTTTCTGGTAAAATTAAAGAATTTATTTAAATTTTTTTTTTATTTTTACACACATATTTTGGTTTATCTTCCTTCTACAATCATTATCTGAAAATTAATGACTCAACTTCAAAGTCACCCTGTATAGTTGAAAGCACAAGTGGTTGACGGCGCCATAGTACATACGTCAGTTTTCGCACAGGATAGCTTTCAACTGAGTTTTGGCATTTTCTAGCAAAATATGAATGATTCAAGGCAGTAGTTTATGCAAAATATAAGGGTGAATGCTAATGATTTTCCAAAGAGGAGGAAACGACGCTGTACACGCAGTGCTTATGATCGTGTTCCACTTACCGCTGGAATATTCTTTGTGATCTCTTTAGGACATCGTTTTATGAAACTTTCAAATGCTTGTAGGCAAAATTCTCGTAGTTCATCATCATCCACTTCACTGCATTGGAGAATGAGTGGCACGAATTTTGGAATATACTCTCCAAACTTATGGCCTGATTGTCGACTAAACAAATTAACAATTATGCAGTATTCAAGATCTGATAATACATCTCAGGTCAAAATCATACAAGATCTGTAAATTAAGTGATGAGACTGGCAACGTAGCGTTTGATCTGGAAGCGCGGGGCTTGGACGGAAGACATGGAAACATGTCAAACAGTACCCCTCTAGACGTCTGACATTTGCTTTTGTAATCTAACATCACTGTGTTGCTTTCGGACACATCATGGCGACAGAGGCATACTAACTATAAGTTATAGCTATAGGAACTGAACATTGCGATTTTGTTATCTTTTGGTATAGCAAACGGCCAAACACTCTTCGACATCACTTACGATTATAGCACAATTCTTACCATTTATATGTATACTAAGTGACATATAAATCCGAACACCCAGTTTAAATGGTTTTATTTTAATAAAAGTTGGTGAATGTATTTATCTTACTGTAAATAACAAGTGAACAAATTTTCAGCCTTATCAGTTGGACATTCCGGTTTTTATACTGCTTTTTTTTAATTCACTAACGCTCTAAAAATGAATATTTCAGCCGCAGTAAAGAATCAACGTTGGCGGATTTTGGTTCTTGACATCCTTTACGATCGGTTACGATGCCTAGAGTACGGAGACCTGTACGATTTCGTCAACTTAGTGAGTTTGATAGGGGCCGTATAGTGGGACTTCGGGAAGCTGGACTTTCTTTTCGGGCAATTGCAGTTAGAGTGCAAAGAAGTGTAGACACTGTGGTTAGGTGTTGTCAGGCATGGCTTCGAGAAGGCCGTACGCAAAGAGCAAGGGGCACTGGACGCCGCCGTAGAACAACGGACCGTGAAGATCGCCGCCTAAGATTATTGGCCTTAAGGGACCGTTTCTCCACTACCAGGTCCATTGCAAATGAATGGTTTGCAGAACACGGAAGACCTATTGGCATGCGAAGTGTTTACCGACGAATGAGAAGTTTTGGCTTGTTTTCATACCGGCCACACTGGGTCCTCCCTTTAACTCGAGAACACCGACGTAATCGCCTTGAGTGGTGCAGACAACGGTCACTCTGGGATCAGGAATGGAACAGTATTGTCTTTAGTAACGAGTCTCGATTTTGTTTAGGCATGCACGATGGTCGTGCCAGGGTTAGAAGGCGAGGTGGTGAAAGGAGGAATCCACAGTTTTTTGTTGAAAGACATGTTCATCACACTGTTGGAGTTATGGTTTGGGGTACTATAGCTTATGGTTCCATGTCATCTTTAATCTTCATCAGAGGTAACATGAACACGCAGCGTTATATCCACGAAGTTCTAGAACCCCATCTTTTACCCTATCTTGACACCCTGGCAGATCCAACTTTCCAACAAGATAATGCCCGACCACATGTTGCAAGAGTCACAATAGACTTCTTTCAACATAATGATGTCACATTGTTACCATGGCCACCAAGATCTCCCGACTTATCGCCAATTGAGCACGTGTGGGATATGATGGGTAGGAAATTGCTCAATTTGCAACGTCCTCCTCTGACTCTAGAAGCACTTCGAGAGGAGTTGGTGGTTGCCTGGAATGAGATACCACAGGAGGACATTGACCACCTGATCAGAAGCATGCCTAGGCGCGTTGGAGAACGCGTAGCACATCAGGGTGCATCCACACATTATTAAAGGTCAAAGGGCTTTAAAGCACTGCAATCATTTTGAAATTTTATCATTTACTTATTATGCTTCATTAAGTACTTATACAAAATTTTATTAAAATAAAACCATTTAAACAGGGTGTTCGCATTTATATGTCACTTAGTATATATTCGAGTATTGTGACTTGTGACAAATCTAAGTCTGAGCAATATATTAGCTATGCAGATTGCACTTAAAAAGTGATTTATGTTCTGTTTGTTGCTCAATAGTAATTTGAAAAGTGCTTGACTGATTTTGTTCGGGGTTGGTGTTGCAGTGTGAAGCACTATTAGTCTAATCATACCATCTTAGATGAAAATACCCTTGGTTCGAGAAATAATTGTAGTCTGGTTTTATTGCTGCAAGTTGTTCAAGGGGGTATTCAATACATGGACGCACAAAATGGATACACCAATTTTTTTGGGAAAAATTTTTATTCGACAAGAAAGAATGAGAAAAAGTGTTTTTTGGGATTCAATCGAAAGTATTGGCAGGAACGAAAAAACTGTTCAAATAAGATTTTTAGGTATCTATGAGACCACACTTAAAAAGATCCGACTAATAGCTAAAAAACTTATGGCCGAAAACCGAGGCAAACTGCAGGTTTTGGCACTTGTTAGTAATGCGACGATGATTTCTCGCAGATATTTGAGATTCTTCAAATTCGGAGGTTTCGTACTTATAAATAATCACAACAAAATTGGAGTAGATTGGTCAAGTAGTTTTTTGAGACTTTCTTATTGTTTATCCCAAAACAACTGTTTTCCGGCCATCACTACCAGCTTATTGAGCAATATACAGGGTTAGCTCAAAGGGCATATAAATGTTATTTTTATGCAAAAAAGGATGGGTTACGATTTTTCTTCTAAACAAATTCAAACTATGTATTCGTATTTTTGAGTAATTCGCAACGAAAGATGATAGACACATCCGCTTTGTTTTAAAATGCGTATAGTAACGTATGTACTTCGAATATCGTAGCGCATCTGTTCCATTACTCACAAATACGAAATGATTGAATTTGCTTAGAAGAAAAAACCTTTGTTTTTCGCATAAAAATAACATTTTCCTTTCGGAATGGTTAGTGATTCATAACGGCAAGGTTAACACGTGTATTTTGCTATTAAATGCTCTTTTAACTAACCCTGTATATTGCTCAATAAACTAGTAGTGATCGCCGAAAAACAGGGTGTTTTGGAATAAACAACTAGAAATTCCTCCTTTTATGCGCCCATGTTTAAAATACCACCTTGAACAACTTGCACCAATAAAACCGGACTTGACAACTATTTCGGGGAAATTTGCTAATATGATTAAAGTATATTATGATAGATGAACGCCTAAATTGGAAATAGACATTTATGAAATTTGTTTAGCGGTGCGCCTGTGGCGTGCCCAGAAAACGCGTCTTAGATGATCCCGCAATCCTTAAGCTTAGTACATGCTAGTAGACCCTGTTGCGCAATGTGTCTATAGGCAGTATGGAGACGGTCTCAAGACACGATCTGTAGATGGTCTATAGACATCCTTCTTTGTCACCCCAAGGTAACACAGTATCAGAGTTCCAGCTATAAGAAGTGGAAAAACCGTCTTCAGCACTGTGTGGCTTTAGAAGGAAGTTATTTTGAGGGTAACAATATAAAATTGTAATTATATTTGAATAAAGTAAAAAAAAATCAGTCTCTTCACTTAATTTACATACCTTGTACATATTTTGTCGAATTCTACTCAAAATAATTGAAAGAATATCTTACCAAACAGCTGCAATGCATTGAACATAGGTTCTGATTTGAGAGTTGTTCTTGTCAGAGCATAGTCCATCATAGAGATGATCAACAAGCTTAGCATATAGAAAATTATTGCAAGAAAGTACCAGGTTGCTACATGCACTGATTGTACGTTTTCTAACTGCCTGACGTTGAGAGCACAGTTGAGGTAACAGAGCAGCCAAAATGGAACCGTGGAAGTTTTGCAATGCAGGGCCAAATCTGAGCAGCAAATCGGTTATTATATCCAAAGCTTCCAATTGCACCGAAACATCATCTTGCTGGAAAAATCATTACATTGGAATAGAAATCTATAAATTAATTATGTGATCAAGTATTAGAGTCATGAACGCAATGCTGGATGCATCACATTTTTTATGTGTGACATCTGACAATGGTTTTTATCTCTAAGATAGTTTGGGTTATGGCTCCATACATTTCTAAACCTGCTAGAATGAGCTGTTTGAATTCACTATATTTTAAAGGTTTTACTGCATTCAACAAATTGCCAAATGTTCAGCTCCTCATAGAGAAAGAGCTACATGTATTTATTGATATTTGACTTTGTTTGTAGTGTGCAGTTTGCTGATTCATGTTTTCTTTTAAAATGTACTGTTTCTGCTACATATTTACTATTTTGATGCTGTTTATTTTCATTGATTGCACATATTAGGATTATTCTATTTCTTACTATATAAATCTTCATATTATCATAATGTGACCATGTCACAAGTTATGTAGTATGCCGAGTAGAAAATAATGATAATAAAAAGGGGCAAACAGGTATAATCAGTATAGGACAATGAAATTTGACATGTAAGTATCTTTTCTAAACCTCTAATAAGTCACTAAAGTAAAATAAGGCAGAGAGAATTCATTATGAGACTTACCCTTTCAATAGCTGCAGTTAATCTACCAGTGATTCTTTTACAAATGTTACCAGAAAATCCACCTGGTGCTTGGGGCAGCTCCGCAATGACAGTTTTTAGTCCAATACTCGAGATGTCTCGTAACTGCTCTTTATCAGCCACCATGTTCAAGCAAAGTGTCTCGACAATAAGCTCAACCTGGTATTCCTTGACTTTGTTCACTAAAGGACCCAGGCTGAAGAATAACTGAATATTAATTTACTGCTTAAATACATTTTCTCAATATAGTTACCATTTGACAGCTAGATTCTGCACTTCACCATTCTTGTCCTCCAGCAGCTTGAGTAGCATACGAACAACTTTTCTTTCAGAATCATCATCGAGTTTGATGCTATCTTTTTGTAATTCGGTCATAAGATCGTTCGTCGCCATGAATCTGAAGTCTTTGTCGGAAGAAGTCATCTAACAAAAATTGTTGGTTAGTTTTTTTTTGCAAACAATTAATATGCTAAAATATTACCTTCTCCAACAAATTGGCGATCTGGTAGGATACACTCGCCATTATTCCTTGCTTTTTTAGCCAAATATCCGCAATCGTAACGTAAAAATTTTCAATAAATAGTCCTAGTGTAAGAATGAAAAATCTATGTTCATCTCATAACTTTCAGGTTATGACATATCGATTCGAATTTATTTTGCAATGAACATTATTCAGCAAACTTTCTTTGATCGGTTTTAGCAAATATTGCTCTTTTATTCACGTTTGCTGCAAAATGCGGTATTAAGATCCTTAATATCAGCAGCAATTATCACAATTACAAAGTTGGATGGAATTTGTGCATCACCTGGAGGCAAAATACAGAACAGACACGAATTGTATGCAACCACTTAACCACCAACAACATTCTACAACCTAGAGCTAGACGCTCATTATTATGAAATGCATCTCTAATATTATGATAGATTTATTTTTCTCTAATTTCAAGGGTGAATACATAGGAAGATAGGCGTGGTTTTCCCAAAAATGTTCCAAGTAGACATGTGTCGTTCGCGAACGAGTCGTTCAATATGAACGACTCGTCTATGTGAGCGATGATTGAACGACTCTTTTGTTACATATGACTCGTTCAATTGTGCAAAGCGTGTCTGCACGTCTGCAGTATCCAGCAACTGAACTGCGAACTGACAACAGACACAATCTAGGGAACCCGGTTGTTTTGTTTTGAGATGTCTCATTAAATTATAGGTTGAAATGATGGGATTTGAGAGCAAAAATTGCATTTTGATTCATTCGTTACATTCAGTTTCAACCAAAAATATTAATACTTAAATAAATGCAATAACATCAGCAACCCTAACCCTTCACTTCATTTTTATAGTATGATATATATTCTGACTCAGTGAATCGTTACTATAGGCAACACAATACTCTCGTCAGCTTCGAGGCCGGTCTGTAATTCTATCGTTCAAATGAACGACTCCGAACGAACGACTCACTGAACAGAGATGAACGGAATGAGCGAGCTCAGAGAAAAGAGTTGTATGTCCCAGGCCTAGCTGATATGCTAGTATTTGTACACCGAGATACAATAAAATATTTGTAGGTTGAAGGTTTGATCCACTTTTTACTCATTGTTAATAATAGAGGGAAGCATGTGTGGCGCGGCGCGGCGGGCGCATCTCCTTGCAATGGTGCTGGGCTGATAAGCTTCCGTCATGTGACGTCATCTCACACGATCCTCCAAATAATAAACCTCTGCGCTGTACTTCATTTCACTTAGATTATCATTTTGCGTGTCTTTTGAAAAATAAGAAACTTCCCCATTAGCTCTAATAACAGTAGGAGCGTCATCTAAGAAATTATTTTTGGTATTTTTCCTATTAAGATAGAACACTAGTGCCTTTTCTCGTTTTCCCGTTCACTCCACCACTGGTAATATCGAATTTTGGGATATTAACTAAAAATAATTTGTTTAAAAGCCTTATTTAACATAAAACAACCCGTAGGAGCAATAAATACTAGTTTTCGAGCATATCGGCGCTCACTACTGAACTGGCCGACTGTAATTTCATTATATTCGAATCTGAATGCAGAGCTAACTTCAGGGGCGTCATTTTTAACTCTGATTGACTAATGTATTAAACGATATCTGGTCGCTTGGAACATTTTTGGGAAAACCACGCCTATCTTCCTATGTATTCACCCTTGAAATTAGAGAAAAATAAATATATCATAATATTAGAGATGCACTTCACAATAATGAGCGTCTAAAAGGGTTGTTGAATGATGTTGGTGGTTAAGTGGTTGCATACAATAAATTCGTGTCTGTTCTGTGTTTTACTGTTTTGCATCCAACTTCCAAATGATGCACAAATTCTATCCAACTTTGTAATTGTGATAATTGTTGCCGATTTTAGGATCTTAATACCGCATTTTGCAGCAAACGAGAATAAAAAAGCAATATTTGCTAAACAGATGAAAGATGTTCATTGCAAAACAAAATCGAATCGATTGATATGTCATAACCTGAAAGTTATGAGATGAACATAGATTTTTCATTCTTGTACTAGGGCTATTTATTGAACATTTTTACGTTACTTTTGCGGATATTTGGCTAAAAAAGTAAGGAATAATGGCGAATGTATCCTACCAGATCGACAATGTGTTGGAGAAGGTAATATTTTAGCATATTAATTGTTTGCAAAAAAACTAACCAACAATGTTTGTTAGATGTCTTCTTCCGACAAAGACTTGAGATTAATGGCTACGGACGATCTTATGACTGTATTACAAAATGATACCATCAAATTCGATGATGTTTCTGAAGGAAAAATTGTTACTAAGCTACTCAAGCTGCTGGAGGACAAGAATGGTGAAGTGCAGAATCTAGCTGTCGAATGGTAACTATATTGAGAAAATATATTTACACAGTAAATTAATAATCAATTATACTTCAGCCTGGGCCCTTTAGTGAAGAAAGTCAAGAACTGCGAGGTTGAGCATATTGTCGAGATTCTTTGCTTTAACATGCAGGCTTTTAAACAGCAGTTACGAGACATCTCAAGTATTGGACTAAAAACTGTCATTGCTGAACTGATCCAAGCACCAAGTGGCTTTTCTTTTAAAATGTTTGAAAAAATCACTGGTAGATTAATTGCAACTATTGAAAGAGTAAGCCTCATATTGAATTCTCTCTGCCTTATTTTACTTTAGTGACTTATTAGTGCTTTACAAAAGATGTCATGTACCTAGGAGCCATAACCTAAACTATTTTAGAGATAAAAGCCATTGTCAGGTGTCTTTGCGACAGATAAAAAATTTAATGTATTCAGCATTGCGTTCATAACTCTAATGCTTATTCAGATAATTAATTGATAGATTTCTATTTCAATGTAATTATTTCTCCAGCAAGATGATGTTTCGGTGCAATTGGAAGCTTTGGATATGATAACCGATTTGCTGTTCAGATTTGGCCCAGTATTGCACAAGTTCCATGATTCAATTTTGGCTGCACTGTTACCTCAAGTGTGCTCGCAACGTCAGGCAGTTAGAAAACGTACAATCAGTGCATGCAGCAACCTGGTACTTTCTTGCAATCATTTTCTATATGCTAAGCTTGTTGATCATCTCTATGATGGACTCTGCGTTGACAAGAACAACTCTCAAATCAGAACGTATGTTCAATGCATTGCAGCTGTTTGGTAAGATATTCTTTCAATTATTTTGAGTAGAATTCGACAAAATATGTACAAGGTATGTAAATTAAGTGAAGAGACTGATTTTTTTTTACTTTATTCAAATATAATTACAATTTTATATTGTTACCCTCAAAATAACTTCCTTCTAAAGCCACACAGTGCTGAAGACGGTTTTTTCACTTCTTATAGCTGGAACTCTGATACTGTGTTACCTTGGGGTGATTTTGTCAACTTTGGTAAGAGAAAAAAGTCACAAGGACCCAAAAACTTGTTTGCTGACATTGCTGTGTGGCAAGGAGCATTATCATCATGCAACAACACCCATTTGATTTTGATCTGATGAATGCTGGTGTGAATAAAATTAAACTCTTTCCTGACAGGGTTGAAAAAAAACAAAAATGTTTTTAATGATTTAAAATTAAAAATAAATGCCCAGAACTATTTAATAAAGTTAAAACAAGTAGCAATTGCCCTAGATAATATTCAACGAGATAATCCACACCATACTTCGTAATAAGTTGGGCACAGAAAAAGCGGCAAAATTTTGTCACAGTATTTAAACGCCTAAATCAAAGCGTGAAAAAGTAGATTATTACATCTTTTACTTGGAGGTGCGTAAAAAGTAATGAAAACTGAAAATTTATTTTATGTACATTTTCCATGGTTTTGTATTTTAAATATATGGTTTAAAGGAATTTTTTATTTGTTGTTAAATAAGATTGGTTTTATACTTTCATAGAAATTTATTAAGTAATTTATTTAATGTTATTATACAAGTAAATACATAGTCATATTATATGATTACTCTGCTGTTTGTAGTGTACTAGTATTAGAGTTCAATGCAGTTTATTAAATTCACTCGTTCGTTAAGAAAGCAGATTTTTTCCACTAGTATTCGTTCCCTAGTTTCATGTTTGATCAATTAACAAAACATTTTTTTTTCAATTCAAAGTTTATTCAAATTCAAAAACCAATATAACTTACAAATTAAAAAACAACCTTCAGTACAATTTAAATAAAAAAAGCTTCAAAAATACATGAGCTTGTATACTCTTGCTACCCTGAATAACCAAGATTGCAACAAAAATCTGAGCAAAGATACTAGCATCAGATCTAGAACCAGCAAGTAATGGTATATGAATTGTGAAAATTCTGTATACTTTCGTAAAGGGTAAATGTCTGAATCTTTTCGTCACAAATCCTAAATTACGTGTCTGCATAAACAAATCTAAAATTCATAACAATAGTACAGAAGCATACTAAAAACACTCAGAAGTATAAATATAGAGTACATAAAATATGAATATCTGAAATATGATAATATAGGGATATTTCGAGTAAGGTCAAACTATGTTGTTTAAACAATAAAAAATTTTGCGTAAAGGTTAAGCCGAGAAACAAGAGTACTACAATTTACTACAAAAGAATAAACACCTAAGCTATAAGCTTGTGTGTGTCATACAATATACAAATTCAATGCATGGCTAATGGTTATAAAGTATATTATGAGCAAATGTATATAAAAAAAAGAAATAAAAAAAAACATTAGATAGAAACGAAATTACTGAGTTGAGTCAAGCTACCGTCGATGCAAGCATGTCAAAGTTATTTAAGATGAACTTCTTAATTCTTTTTTTGAAACTATACTTCGAGAGGATTTTATATTCTAGGGGTAATTTATTATACAACCTAATACCATCAAACTTTATGCATTTTTGGCAAACAGATTTATTCACTCTGGTATAGGTGTAACTTATATTTATTTTAGTTCTTGTTTCATAAGCGTGGCTGGTTGGAACATTGTTTCGGGAGTGAACAAATTTTAGAGCAGCAAAAATATATAAACCTCTAACATTCAAAAGATCATTTTCAAAGTAAACAAATCTGCAAATTGACCTACATGGGATACGAAAAATAGTCCTGACAATATAATTTTGCGTGGTTTGTAGTATTTTTAAAGTACTAGTGTATGCGGCTCTCCAAATACTTTAGTTAGTAGAGACCCCACAAACGAGTTATATATTGAGAGAAGACTCTTTCTGCTTAAAATATTCCTAAGAATGAAAAACTTATGAATAATTCTCCATAATTTCGATGCCAAAAGCTCGACATGCCATTTTAAATTACTGTCAATAGTGATTCCTAAGTATCTAATAACTTCAACTCTTTCGACAGTGTCAGCACTATCATTTCTAATTAATGTTCGGTGGTGTGATGGCATGCCTGCTTTGGTTGGAGAAAACGTTACATACTTAGTTTTAGAGATAATAAGTTTAAGTAAATTGTTATCCAACCAGCATTTGACTTTATTTAATGACGACTCGGCATTCCGTATTGCGTCATCCCATGAATGACCAGTTCAAACTAAAATAGTATCGTCTGCATATGATATCATTTTACAGTTGAAATTACATCGAAGTAGTTCATTTATGTATATGAGGAACAGTGTTGGTCCCAAAACCGTCCCCTGAGGCACACCTATTTTGATCTTTTGAATGTTGCTTAAATCTGACCCTACCTAACTTGTTGTAATCGATCAGCCAAATAGTTCTCAAATAAGTTCAGAACTCCGCTACGCACTCCAACACTTTCTAGTTTCTTTAATAAAATTGTATGAGATACTGAATCGAAAGCCTTTTGAAGATCTAGGAAAACTGCAACAGTCTTATTTCCATCTTGAAAATTTTCAAGCACTTGTCCTGTAAGTTCTTGTAGAGATTGCTCTGTATTGCAATTTCAACAAAGTCTGTTATTTAAACACTTCTCAAAAATCTTCCCAAATACATTGATAACTGAAATAGGTCTATAATTGAACATATTGTCTTTACTTCCAGATTTAAATATTGGTGTCACTATGCTTTCTTTAAATTGGCGAGGAATTACTGAGGATTTGAAACAGAGGTTGATAATGTGAGTTATAGGGTGACTGATATACTTCATGATCATCTTGACAGTTTTAGTGTGTAAGCCATCTTTTCCGGGTGCGCTATTATTTTTCAGATTACAAACTATTTGTTGTAACTCTATGTTATCCACTGGAGTTAGAAACATAGAGTGAGCAATGTTGACGACATGAGGATCTGATGTATCAAGAATTGAGTATTGATCAATTTGACTTGTTATTTGCTCACCTATATCAACAAAATATTTATTAAAAACACAGGCTATATCAGTGGGAGCGTCCAGCTGCTGATTATTGTGATTAATTGATTGTACGTAATTTTTTTTTATTTTGCCAGCATTAGTTACCTCATTGATAACATCCCAGCTCTTCCTATAGTTATTACCAGCTAAAATGAGTTTTTATGTATAATATTGATTTTTAGAGATCTTAATAAGATTAGTTACTCTGTTTCTGTTGGAGATATAGGTCTGTCTCAATATCAAATTATCATTATCTTTCGTCAAACTCTGTTTCAACTCATCCCTCTTCTTGATCGAAGTAAGAATACCGTCAGTCATCCACGGCTTGCGTTTTCTAGTCTTACTATTTATTTTTAAATAATACGATGAATGAAACATAAAGTATATTTTTTAGTACCTATGTGATTTAACCTTTTAGTTTCGTTTTGCAAAATAAAATCAATTTTAATCATACTTAAAAAAATGTAAAAAAGACTTGGATAATTCACAGACGACAAAAAATCAGTGTTTAAAACATGTGTTAAACAGTTTAAAACACCTTCATTGATTTAAACAGTGTTTAAAACACCCGTTTTAAACATTTTGATTAAAACATAACAACCCTGTTCCCCGATCATTCTCATTTTTAGAACACAATAGCAAAAACTGTTTCACATGTTTCCGTGTCTTTCGTGCAAGCCCCGCGCTTCCAGATCGAACGCTACGTTGCCAGTCTCATCACTTTATTTACAGACCTCGTACGATTTTGACTTCAGATGTATTGTCAGATCTTGAATACTAAATACTTGTTATTTTTTTTAGTCGACAATCTGACCATAAGTTTGAAGAGTATATTTCAAAATTCGTGCCACTCATTCTCCAATGCAGTGAAGCGGATGATGATGAACTACGAGAATTTTGCCTACAAGCATTTGAAAGTTTCATAAAACAATGTCCTAAAGAGATCACAAAAAATATTCCATTGGTAAGTGGAACACGATCGTAAGCACTGCGTGTACAGCGTCGTTTCATCCTCTTTGGAAAATCATTAGCATTCACCCTTAAGTTTTGCGTAAACCACTTCCTTGAATCATTCATATTTTGCTAGAATATACCAAAACTCAGTTGAAATCTGTCCTTTGCGAAAACTGACGTATGTACCATCAACCACGTGTGCTTGTGTTGTCCACCATCCTTAGGCTCCAGCGCTGCCAGCTCTTAAGCTATTGCATCATGTTATTATCATTCCTTTTCGGTCAAAAATTCTGAGCATACAAATTCATAGAAACAAATAAGAGGCAGGTTGATGTAGTGTTTAATAGCTTACAATTTTCTTTAAACAGTGCAGGGTTGGGGGCAGGGGATTTGACCTTGTATTCTCTTGAACTTGATATCACTTTTCCAAGAAAACATTATTCCTCGACCTCGACAGAAATTCTCAATGATAGGAAAGGAAATTCCGTAACCTTCACTAGCAGTCTGAGAGGTACAGAATTTTTTACAATACTACAAAGACCTCTGGCAACACACGTCTATACAACATAGTACAGGAATACAGAGCTGTACATATTTACGTGTAGTGCAGCAGCTCTGTGATTTACACGAATTCAATATAGCAACATAAATAGACACATACGCGAGAAGAGATGCGGGACGTGTGGTATTGACTATGAGCATCGATCTACGCAGTTTCTGGACAGGCCTCAGGCGTACCGCTGAACAAATCTCATAAATGTCTATTTCCAGTTTTGGCGTTCATCTAAGATCAGTCAAGTTTTACACACTTTTCAAATTACTATTGAGCAACAAACAGAACATAAATCACTTTTTAAGTGCAATCTGTATAGCTAATATATTACCCAGACTTAGATTTGTCACAAGTCATAATACTCGTATATACGTATAAATCGTAAGAATTATGCTGTAGACAAGTGATGTCAATGAGGGACATCATTTCATTTCCTATAGCTATAACTTATAGTTAGTATGCCTCTGTCGCCATGATGTGTCAGAAAGGGTGTTAGATTAGAAAAGGAAGTGTCAGACGTCTAGGGGGGGGGGCGCCCCTCGCGCCCCCTCTAAACCCGCCACTGTTTAAAAGGAAAATAGAATGATTTTAATGATTCTACGTGGTTGTGACAATGAGAACATTCAAAGACAGTGCAGGGTTGGGCAATTGGAAAATTGTGTTCTCTTGAACTTGAGATCACTTTTTCAAGAAAACATTATTCCTCAACCTCGACAGAATTTCTCAATGATAGGAAAGGAAATTCCGTAACCTTCACTAGCAGTCTGAGAGGTACAGAATTTTTTACAATACTTCATTACGTTTTTACGGCTGCTGAGGTAAACAGCTGATTAGCAAGTGACATGTTTGTATTAAAGTGTATACTGATGGTACTGATGAATCGAATTACCACCATATTCAGATCTGTATATACCATACACTGATGAACTTTCGACATACCTACATACAAAGTACATCTGGCAACACACGTCTATACAACATAGTATATTCAACTGAATCAGTAAAATTTTATTCATTACGATACACCATGTTGTATAAACATGTGTTTCTGGTTAATTGACCATCATCAGCTTAACATAACTGAAATAGGTTATGAATGATCAAAATCTTTCTAGAGATCAGAGATGGAGTCAAAAATGTTTTTCATTACCTGTCGTGAAATATGCTTATGATCATTAGCAGTCAAATTGTTTGTATTGTTTTTATTTTGTGCATATGAGCTTTTCTAAATAAAATCTTAGTAAGTATGCTTTCTTACCACACAAAAAACAACAAAATACAACTCTGTCTACAGATTGGGCGTTGACAGATCTGTCAGAATTGTGTGTCACTTGCTGATGTGGGGTATTTTAAATCATACTAGATAATCAGCTATTTGCTGTCATGTTTGGAGTAGTGAAGTATTGTGAAAAATATTGTAGCAACGTCAACAGGATGGTGGACGAAAATTTTGTTTTCGCACGGATTTCAATTGAATTGTGTATCTTCTGGTAGAATATGTTTACTGTTGATTAACATATTGTACGTGAGAATAGCCATCCTAATGCTATACTCCCGCGTCCAACAAATTATCCGAGATAAAATGATATATCGTAGCGTCATCTATCAGAATTTTTCGCAGTTGCTTCTCCAGTTGCTTTAATCTCCTCGGCTAGATATTTCTAAAACTGTGCAACCTAGAAAAAAGTTTCAAATAAAAGTTGTTCAGTTTCTAAATGGCAATATGATGGTGATCTTGACTATGATATTTAATATCATTTCATGGTCAAGTGAATATTTTTAAATGGAGGAAGACATTTTTCATCCGAATATGAGCTTGAGCACGACTTTCAAGGCAATTTCAGGGTTAAATCCAGACATTGAAGACAATCTGCTGTAGTGAACATATTTGACAGCACAGTTGTGAGATTTGTGGGATCATCCAAAGATGGTGGTGATCATGACCTTCAAGGTCAAGTCAAGGAAACCTCTAATTTTTTGCTGGAATTAGAAAAAGCAGGAAATTTACGTCCGAATTTCAAGCTTAAATGTTGTTTGAGGTCATGGTTACATCAAGACAAAATTTCATACTTTATCCAATTCCAGTATAAAAATGAGGGGTTTTGTTTTGACCTTGACATGGCATTGAAATTCATGGTGAAAGTCATATTAGGACGTAAACTTTCTTCCTTAATCCAGTTCCGATCTAAAAAAGGGGGTTAGATTTGAGAATATTAATTTTACCCTGAAGGTCGTGATCAAGGCCCCATACTCTTGTATTACAGTTTTTTCTCGGATGCGCAGTTTTCAAAACATTCAGTTGTGGAGATTAAAATGAGACACCCTGTTTGTACTTTGGGAAGGTTAGTGTCTTAGATGATGTTGTACCGACCTGCATGCTTGTATATGCTCATATGGACAACACCATTTATGAGACACTAACTTTTTCTTAGTGTATAGTAAATAGAGAAACAGCTGGGAAAAATTGTCATAAATAACACTAGGCTATCTCATTTTATTTCGGATAACTTTTTGGACGCGGAAATATAGCATTAGGCTGGGTATCTTCAGGTAGAATACGAGGATATAAATATTTTATTTATTTCGATGCATTCTCCCTAAAATAATTTAACACCAAAGTCCTCACTGACAGCGCAAAATAACAAGCTATAAGTAGATATGTAGTCCAATCCTATGACTGACACAGCACCATTGGAATAGTTCTGTGTCAGTCACCAGTGACTGATCTGGCGGTCAATGTGTTAATGATAAAACACGATGTTTCCAGATTACTGATCTATGCCTGAAATACATGGTTTATGATCCGAACTACAATTATGATGAGGACGACGGTGCTGGGGGAGAGAATGACGATGACGAGGATGAGGAAAATGATGAGTATAATGTTGACGATGACATGAGCTGGAAAGTCAGAAGATCTGCTGTCAAATGCCTTGAAGCTATTATATCAACTAGGCATGAGCTCCTACCTGAATTCTATAAAGTACTTTCGCCGTGTCTTATCGCTAGATTCAAAGGTAATTTTAAGTTCTCTTCCCAATGATCTACCTCAAATTCTGTCTTGCAGGATTTTTTCATGGTCATATTCAAATTTAGCGCCCCAAATTACAAAAGTGCACAAAATGTCATGGGCTTGTAACTGCGGGAGACGGAAATGGAAATTTTGCAGCTTCTGCAACGGAGAGTCTCGGGACCCTTTCGCTATGTCAACGGGCTTTGCTCCTCAGAGCTCTCCTTCATGATGCCGCCGCGCGTTGGGCATACCAATGCGATCCGCTAGGCTTCTGCTTCCCATCATAACTCTGTCGAACTTGAACAACCAGGACAGGCCGGTACGACTGCTCCTTTCACTTCCCACACCTACTGAGTATTGTAATCGCAAATTTTTTTGAAAATTTCATATGTTTTTTGATGCATTGTGCATTCGAGTATTATACATATTTATTGATCACATTTTAGTAAATAAATCACAATAAAAAAGTAAGACCTACACATGATAATGACGATATAAAATGTGTAAGATAAAAACTCTTGTACAGTATATAGATACCTGTTTGACGGACTTGATACATTTCATTTCTCTGTTTTGCATTTTTTATTAGAGGATATAACTTGAACATACTGCTTTTGTCCGTCCAGCCAAAGATAGCAAACCACAGACAGGTGTTTTGTGCTTTTTTGGCAACTCATCAGCATGGTCTAGACTTGGGCTCTGGGCTCATGAATGAAAGCATGGCAACTATCCTTTCTCCAGGAAATAAGTTCTCTTTGTTGAAAGTTTCAATATATATATTTACTATAATTGTTCTTGATATGTTTGTTATATGTTATATTCCCAATATTTGTTCATTGCATCTGTAAAAATTCGTATTTGTACCTACACTTTGTTTTGTTTTAGCTATTTGTCTATTTCTTGACACTGATATTAATGAATACTGATCATGTCGTGCAATTTATTTATTTATGTAATGTATGTGGTTGGCAAGTCTTACGTCATAATGTTCTATGACCAGTAAGACAATAAAGATTATCTATGGCGCTGTCTTATTTTGATAGGGTTTGACTTGTGCTGAACTATCTTTTATGAGTGGATATTGACGTTGCGTGGGAAGTGTAGAGCTAACCTACTTGACGCCATTTTTTGTTGATCTCGTAGCACCAGCACTGTACTAGTCTACAAGCCATCTGCTGGTAACCAATTATTGACTAAACCAGTTCCAGCGATGCGATGTACCTATTTGATCTCGCAGCGATGTGTTGCGTAATATAGACAACACACGTCACATCAGTCATGTCTCGGAATTAACCTCGGGTGGACCGTTCACTAGCTCAATGAGCTAACCCTCTGCCCACGTTTCTATTCCAACTCTCGCAAAGTGACATTCAATTTTTTTTTTCAGAGCGTGAAGAGAACGTCAAGTCTGACATTTTCCACGCGTACATCGCCCTTTTAAATCAAACGAAATCGACAGTCAATGTCAATATGGACCCGAACGCGATGGCAATGGACGAGGAAGAAGAAAACCCTATTACTTTGCTCCAGTCACAAATCGATCTTTTGGTTAAGGGAGTCAAAGGCCAAATGCGAGAGAAAAGCATGGAAACCAGAAAACTCTGTTTCCACTTACTCCAGGAACTATGCTGTGTCCTACCTGGAGCTCTCAGCACCCATATTGGGGACTTGATACCCGGTATTTTGTATTCGTTAAGCAACAAGAATGCTAGTAGCAACATGAAAGTCGACGCTTTGTCTTTCATATACTGTCTGCTGATCAGTCATCAACCACAAGTGTTTCATCCTCATATAGCCACCCTATTACCACCTGTGATTGAGGCCGTTGGAGACAGCTTCTATAAAATAACAGCCGAGGCACTCAATGTCTTGCAAAAACTGATTAAGGTTATCCGACCTTTGTACGTTGAATATGACCTTGACGTCACTCCCTTCACCAAAGACATCTACAGTTGCACCTTGCTACGTCTGAGAACTGCCGATGTGGACCAAGAAGTTAAAGTAAAAGCTATATCTACAATGGGACGAGTCATTTGTAATCTTGGAGACCACTTGAAAGATGAGCTACCTTACTGCCTGCCTTTATTTTTGGATAGACTCAAGAATGAAATCACGAGACTTACTACTATCAAGGCTCTTATCAAGATTGCTAGATCGCCTTTGGGCATTGAACTACCGATTCTACCAGAAACTATGCCAGTTCTAGGATTGTTCCTACGCCACAACGAGACAGCTTTGAAACTAAGTACCTTGCAGCTGATTAATTCTCTCATCAACCATTACCATGCAGATTTGAGCGTCGAATTACTGCAACCGATTATAGCTGAACTGCCCCCTTTACTGGACGAGTCTGATCTACATATTGCCCAGTGGACCCTGCTTATACTGAAATCTGTTGCTACATATCATCCCAAAGCATTAGGGAATATAAATGATACCATCATGCCGCAAATTCTACTTTTGGTCAAGTCGCCTTTGCTACAAGGTAAGTCGATTATATTGAATGAATACTCGTTTGTTACTTGCTGCAGATTTTATCATATCGAGATTCATTTGGTGGTACTCTTTCAATTTTATCGAGTTATCTTTATTATTGAAGAAAAGAAGCATTCTTGGCTTCAGGGAGTTTTTAGTCCAGATCACCAAGGCCTTGATCTGACTGCTGGGAAAAAGCTAGGGTTAAGATGTTTTTTTCCGTATAACCTCACCCTGTACAGGTCTCAGATTAGACCTAGCCTTGAGTACTACTCAACAAAATTTCTTTGAGATGCTCATAGCAGTCGCGTTGTCCTGACATTTAGGCTTCTGCCTGCGCGGCTGCTCCGGTAGAACAAAAAAATATAAAACGTTACCTTTATACTAAGCAGAATGGAGTTCTGCTCTATTATCATCTGGCAATAGTCATGTTAAGGCATCATCAGCTGTTTTGTCGACGCCATATTTTTGGAGTCATCTCTTATCTCTCTAATTTAATTCGCCTTGTCTGTTTTCTCTATATAGAGCTACTCTTTAATTTCTCGGTTGGGACTGTTGAATTGGCCGCCTAGGTAGTGTGATGTGACGCCTGTAGACTTTTGCCTTTGGAGCTATGTCTACATGGATAATAGAGTACCATTAAGGAATTAGAAATTAGCGTTATTCGCCAAGTTCTGTTCAAAATGCAAAACTTGGAATTCAAAAATGAACCGCGTTACCCACAACATTTGAAAAAAATAATTTGCAAAAAATGAATGTCACAAGTGCTTCTTTTGTCTGATAATAAAAATAATCCATCTTATTTGATTGTTTTTATTTATTTATGCTTTAGAACAGCCACTACATGAGATTTTCTTGTATTTTTAGGAGGGGGCCTTTTCAGTTACCATTATAGACGTCTAGAGGGCATCTAAGTTCATTTTAAAATCCTCAAATTGTTTTATTTTAGCACCTTATCTTTCTTGCGAAATGGCTATGTTTGACTATGCGATTGGGTTGATACGCCAAAAGCTGTTTCAAGAGATTGATAATAATACCGATTTTGAGACCGATAATAATGAGGCTCACTCTGAGACCGATAATAATGAGGCTCACCCTGATCCCGATAATTATGAGGCTCAAACTGAGCCCGATAATAATGAGGCTAACCAGGAGCCCAGTAATAATGAGGCTAACCCTGGGGCCAGTAATAATGATGCCAACCTTGAACCCAATGATGACACCATTCCTGAAACCAACTGAACCATTTGGTATCCTGATTCTCCAAAATCCACTCCTTTCCTGATATTTTGGTAACGTTAGGTTCTTATTTCATGCGATTCTTGTATCTAATTCTGATTTACAAGGGTTGATCCCTATACTTCGCCTCATATAACTTTCAGTAAAGCTACATTTGATTTACACTTTTTTGTTTTCTACATAATCCTACAAATATCAACACAGTTCAATCGGTGATCCAGCATTTCAATATCATCTCGACTTGAAATGAACATGACTGCTTTCCGTATCTGTAACCACCACTAACCGCATACAACGTTGTTCTTTGCTGCGGGTGGTCTTGGTTACATAGGAATCAACCCTTGTATTTTGTACGTTTTTTTTGTGTCAATTCTGATGACCTGTGACCAGAAGTACGAGGACACTAGACAAGAAATCTATCCAGCCATAAAACAAAAGACGTGCGGTAATTATATTTTCCAATATAATCTCCCTCTGCATGCACTTCCGCCATTTCTCCTCCAGTCAAATTATAAAAAAAATGTTTCCTCGTGGCTCTCAAAAAAGTCGTCGACGGCTGCTTTTAGGCCATCACTTAACAACGGACGCAGGAGGCCGCATGATACTGCATGTTGAGAAATGTCCATGAGTGCATAGTAGCCGCCACCAGCACGTCTGTTGATTTAGTTGTTCATTCGTATTGACAGTGTAAAGTGCGAACTATGGCATCGTGGTCACGTAGTGAGATAAGGGCAGTTTTTACGGTATAACTTTTTACGTGGTTTAAGCATAGACCCGTGCTTAGAAGAAATGACGCATGCATTAAAGAATGATTGTCCTCATCGAACGACTATATTCAGGTGGTACAGAGAATTCCAATGGGGCAATTTCACTCTGGAGGACGATGAGAGGGAAGGAAGGCCGCGAACGTCGGTAACAGAGGACACATTACTGCTGTGAGGAAAATGCTTGCCGAAGACTGGAGAGTGACATACCAACAGATAGAGGAGACCATACACCTTCATGCACCAGCAATTCATTCAATTCTGCATGACCATTTACACGTAAGGAAACTTTGTTCTCTCTCAGTACCGCATACTCTGACGGAACAGCGGAGGACTCGTCGTACGACTTGGTGGGATGCTGAAGATGTTTGATAAGGGGCAATCGCGGAATGTGAACAGCATCGTGACAGGTGGCGAGGCTTGGCTCTATTATTACAACACACAGAAGACAATCACAGCTAAGTGGTACACGGAACAGTGCCTGCCCAAAGTCATAGAGTCTAAAAAACCTGCGGCCAAAGTCAAGAGTTGACACTTGGTACCTCCACCATGACAACGCTCCGGCTCACCGCACCAAAGCCTGCACCGAGTATTTGACCACTACTGGAGTGACACTTATTGAGCACCCTCCTTACAGTCCAAATCTCGCTCCCTGCGACTTTGCACTGTTATCGCAGTGAAAATGAAGCTAAAAGGAAAACGGTTTTCTAGCGATGAGGACGTTCTTACGGCTTGGGACAACGGGTGTGCCGCACTCCCGGATGAAACTTGGCAGAGCTGGTTTAAGGACTGGTTTTGGCGGATGGGAAAGTGTATTGTATGTGATGGAAATTACTTTGAACGAATTCAATAAATAAAGCTGAATTGCAAAACTTTTATAGTACCCTTTGCATTTATGAGACTGCGATCCTCTAGTTTTAATTTACTCATTTTTTACTTTATAAAATGGAAACTAATTGTCAAGATTAACTCAAATTTTGGAAGTAAGGTTAAACAGATGCCAGTATTTGACATATTGTACTTTTGCATGTCCTTTGTTTTTCATGGCTAGGTAGATTTCTTTTCGAGCGTGGATAGTACTAAAAATATCGATAATCAAATTTGTTTTCAGGCACTGCCTTGCAGTCGATGTTATTTAAATCGCTAGTGAAATGCAATCTCCAAGGTCTTAACTACGACTCTTTGTTACGCTTACTGCTAATGCCAATTTCCGATCTTAATACGTGTCAAAACGCCACGTTACATAAGCAAGCGTTTTATTCACTGGCAAAGTGCGTGGCAGCAATAACTGTCACCTGTCACAATCAAGCATTGCCAGTGGTGCCACAATTCATCAACGAAATACAGACTGCGTAAAGCGACAGCCAACAGATTTTTGCTCTGTTGGTTGTTGGATAAATTGCCAGAGAAATGTAAGTAAGATATGCATCTGATGTTATTTCATTTTCTATAAAAAATCGTACGGCCTTTACGGTGCGTAACATGGAAAGGGGCGCCTATCTGTGTGATTATTCTAGAATTGGATATTTATTTTCAGAGACTTGACAACAACACCTAATCTTAAGCAAGTTATTCTGAATTCGATTTCTGCTGTTTCAGAGGAAGTTAAGACAGCAGCTAGTTATGCCCTTGGAAGTATCTGCATTGGAAATGTTTATTTTGAAGGAGAGTCAGGATCAACCAAAGCGTCAGTATCTGTTACTGCATTCGTTAAAAGAAGTAAGTTGCATGCTCACTAGGCTCAGGCCGCGGTTATATTCCGAGCTAGAATCGTCGCCGTCTACGTAGTGACTGGGCCTCCAATTCGCGTACTGAGATCTACACAGTCCCAACTGGTTGGCTGCAATTCACTGTTACGCATTGGTCGATTCTAGCGATAGATGGCTGTCTTTTTCCGATAGATCACACAGTTTGTATTGTGTATTGTTGCTATGCTTTCGTTTGTCGTCTCAGAGGTCTAATCCTAGATAATGTGGGATCATGAGGAGTAGCCAAAAAGCATGAAACAAATGTCCATGGTTGACTGTCTTTGGTCAGACGGATGAAAGCAGAACATATTTGTTCTGTTCAGATTAATTTTTTATTTCTTCGGTCTGAAACACGCAGCCGACACCGTAAAAAGTATAATTGCATTTTTATCTATCTGCATACTCGGAGTATAACAGCGGCCTTATATTTCAAAGAGTTATCCGTTCATTATAAATCGTATCTTACAGAGATCGTATTCAGTACCACATGTAGCAGCGGATCAACTAAGTACTGTGTATGACACCTATTTAGCAGACTTTTTTCGAATACTGAAATCCGGTATTCGAATACCAATGCTGAGTACGATGATTTAAATTGTATTTAAATACTCAAGATTCATATACAAAGAAAAATAGTATTAGAATACCGCTGTCTTGAATACCTTGGTTCATTTAAATATGAATACTTTTTGAATATTCCAACTAAACAATAAAACATATGCGCACGTTAAACTTGATTTTTATTTATGTATTTAAGTTACAAAACTATAAAAAAAATTCAAAATACAAGACTATGTTATATAAAACTTAAAATAATATTTTGACCCAGTGTCACAGTGAGATTGGACAAATCAATTGTAAATAAAAAAACATGATTTTATTAGATTTTTATAGAAAATTAATAAAATTAAAACTTGATCAGAAAATATATGAATCTTACAAAATGTACTTACATAATTAAAAAATAAACTTACCTTTTTACATATCTACTTTATCTGGTATCATACACAAATTATAACAGGTTGAAATTTATTATAAAATGGAATGCACATGCACAATTTGCATACGTAACCTAATCTCGTTCCTTATGCGGCTTGTCGCCATCGCGAGCTTAGAAGCACCACCGTACACACAAACAAAATAACCTTGCGTCGCTATTTTGTTTGTGCCATCCACAACCACCGCGAACCTGTTTTAACGCTTAAGTTCTGTTAAGCGTAGCGTAATATACATACGGCTAGCCGAACAGTATTCGACAATAGGATTCCAATACAGGATTTTAATACCGTGATTTCAATACAAAGTGGGTATTGGAATATTGGGTATTCAGAATCCCGAATACCGAGAACCGACCAAAAAAGTATTCAGCTGAATAACAAATATCAAACACAAATGTATTCGACTAGTATTCGAATATTCTGAATTGCATTCAAAATACCGAGTATTCGAATACTACCCAAGTCTGCCATTTAGTAAGCGTTCCCTTCCAGTACTCCTTTTATGTGCCCAAAAATAGCTGATTTGAAATGATATTAAAAAAAAATGGAAGTATGTTTCAAAAGCATGACATTCACTTTGTAATGATAAACATCATTCACTTTGCTTAAATTTATGCATATAAAGTCATTGCTGGTGTGCTGTGTGAAAACTTGGCTGCACACAACATGTACTTTACACATGCCAACATCGCCTATCATGTACAGATCGTGGAGTCACCAGCAAAATTACGCTAAATTTATGACACGAGCTTAGTATGATACGATATAGTGGGCTAATATCCTTATTCTCGTACCTACCTGTTAACACATCCATTTTTAATGATCCTTTTGTTTTAGATCCCGTTTCTCGTTACGTCGACCCTATTTTGTTACATTTCATAGCTTTAAGGAATTTGTATTGCAATTTTTTGAATAAACGATCAGTTTCATTGTGTTTATTGTGAATTTTTTAATATTGTTTTAATTTCGATGGTAAGCGAAACGTTATAACTGTTATTGTGAAGATAATGGACAAGTTTACCATTTTTTTTGTTATAAGCTCAAATTAAATTTTAGGAAAAATAAATTTAAACTAATTTAAATTAGTTGACTACATATACGATCGGTTATGAGCGAAATAACAAAAAAAGTTGTTATAAATTCTGTATCGTTCCAAAATGCACGAGCACAACAATTACAACCGCTAATAAACATTTTTTCTACCTACCCTCACACGAAAATATCAGGAAGAAATAGTGCAAAGTTATGAAAAAGTACAACATATGTCTGTGAAGACCACCTTGATATACATACGTATATCACTTTACTATTTATTTATGATTATTAGATAATTAATATATGATTTCCAAGGTCATTTCACTGTACACGCAGATTTGGGGAAGGGGGGGGTATTTATCAACTAATATTACATATCACTTATTTCAACTCAGCGAGAATAACTGTGAGCTACTATACAGGGTGACTTCGAAGTTGAGTCATTTATTTTAACAGTGAGTAGATCTGATCAAAAGAAATGTTTTTTTCCTTTACCATTTTTCTGGTAAAATTAAAGTAACAAAGTTATAGCCCTTTGGAAGTTTGAGTACCGCCCTGTCTCAATAATAATATTATGTGCTCGTGTTTGGCGACAACGGATATAATCCGCCTTATCGGTTCATCGCATCGGAAACAAAAAAGCCAAAGAATTTGGAACGATGTTTTTACAATTATTTCATTCAGTTGTATACAGTCAGTGTCAGTCGGTAACGCGTGAGTGAATAGTGGTGTCTGTTGCGTGGCTCAAACGAAATAAAAAATGGCACATGTTTATGCGGATCGGTTTCCCAATCGAGTGCAACCAACCCCTCGTGCCTTTGTTAATGTAGTACAACGGGTTCGTGAATCAGGTGACTTAAGACCTCACATATGGACGGCATGCCGGTGCTCCAAGACCTCACGATCAAATACAGGTCCGCACTGAAATACTTGTCGGGAGGATACTTTATAAAACAAGGTAATTTTTTTTTATTTTTACACACATATTTTGGTTTATCTTCCTTCTACAATCATTATCTGAAAATTAATGACTCAACTTCAAAGTCACCCTGTATATATGGTCTCACTTACCCGCTAAAAAGGCGTCAAGTGGATTGACTATGTACTGCATCATGTGCAGTGTTATAACGTATATATTTTAATGAGATTTTAGAAAAGTAACACCTTTATCAAGTTAGGTTACTTCAAATTTCGACTTCGAATACCTTTTTGTGCCAAAAAGGTGTAAAGTATGTCATTATGAGTACTTGGGTATTATTAAGTTTTCTTGGTTTACATTCATTAATGAGTCTATCGAAGAAGTTAGGATCCTCTACTACGTCTAAATCTGTAGAACTTCCATTTTCTTATTGAAATCTTCCGCTTTAATACACTTAATATTAGTGCCAACTTTAGATAGCGCCGGATTCATCCAGTAAAATTCTACTGAAGTACTTGCAGATCCCTCGCTTCTTTTCAAAAGCCAGATCAAAAACGTTATTGTATGTTTACATCCACCAAGCTTAACAGCACTATAAATGACCCACAACAGTTCCAATTTTTTCCTCACTTTCTTCACAGACCAATGTGCAGTGGTAAGGCGTAGAGGTAATCGCGTAGACGAGAATCCCTCAACAAGCACTAGAGACGTGGCTAGAGACGTGCAAGTATCAAAAACTAAAGTGTGGCAAACGCTGCGTGAAGAGGGGCTGTATCCGTTTCACGTCCAACGTGTACAAGCCCTTCAACCTGACAATTTTCCAGCAAGAGTGCGGTTTTGTGAGTGCTTGTTGCATCAACATGACAATAATCCGGACTTTTTGAAGTGCATATTGGTGACAGACGAATCTACGTTCACGCGCAATGGGGTGAATAACTTTCGCAACACTCATGTTTGGTCAGTAGAAAATCCGCACGCTGTCCGTCGGGCACATTTTCGGTGAATGTTTGCTCATTGGACCATTTATTCTCCCAAATCGATTGGACGGGATGCAATACCTAGACTTTTTACGCAACATTTTGCCTTCCTTGTTTGCCTGCGTCTGCTCGGTAGCGCATCAGCTGATTTCATTTTCTGTTGGAGCGGTATGATTTCGAGCTGAGACGTACTTAGCCCTTCGCGTCAACTACTTGTTAAATTTCATTGAATTTGCACGCGAGGACTGAGGGAATTGAAATAAAAATCAAATTAATAATTTATCTTTCAGATAAGTAGAGCAATGAAAAATGCCTAGATTTAAGTACAGAAGCTGGTCCCACAATTTGTAAATAACCCAAAATTCGCTCTGAGGCAAATGCTGATCGAAAATTCCGTACACACTGCGCACGAACGAGGCACTGCTCAGCCGGTGCTCACTTTGATGGACCGACAGCCGATGGCTCAGGTCGCGCACCGCCTGAGGCAAACCGAGCCTGTTCGGCGCGCCGAGGCTGCCTCGTTCGGTGCGCGGCTTGCCTCGGCACAAGTGTATTCCCGGTGTAAGCTTTCTTCAGTGTGTATGTTTTGTGGTACACAACACTAGTCCTATGGTATATTTTTGTAAATCGTAGTGTTTCTGGTATTGTTAACACGCCTCTTTTCTACGGCTTTTTGGATGAAAAATGTCTAGTTTTTTTTTTACTTAAATTTATGAGATAGAGTTGAACCTACTCTCTCAAGTCGTAACCACGCCTATTTTTCTAGTTGACTTTCACACGGCGTACAATCCTGACACGTTGTCAATTGTCATTTATGTCATGTTTATGATTCCAAATTGCAATAATGGCTGGGAAAGAGTGGGGAAAAGTGGAAGGTTTTGTTTTAATTCAATGTACAAACAGTTAAGCTATTTTTTTAGTTTTTATTTAATAGAAATCCAATAACTCGATGAAAAATGAATGGGTTGAGTTTTAGTGAATTGTGTTGCCTGTTCTGTTGTCCGCCTTGTCCCAGTAGAATAGCTGCAAAATTGGCTTTCTTACCACCAGAGCCAACGTACGAATTTGTGTCAGATGAAAATGGAAAATGCAGTTTTGCTCTAACAGAACGTGCCGAATGGCAGTTTTCAGAAAGAGAAAAAGAAAATGTAGAAGTGTTTTTTACCAGAACCAACAGGGGAAACAGAATAGCTTGCTTATTTGTTAGATGTAGTAGTACAGCTAGGTTTACAATTTTATTCTCTCACGGAAATGCCGTGGATTTGGGACAGATGAGCAGTTTTTATTTGGGTTTAGGTTCAAGAATAAACTGCAACATATTTAGTTATGATTATTCAGGGTATGGTGTTAGTGCTGGGAAACCATCAGAGAAGAACTTATATGCAGATATTGATGCTGCTTGGCAGGCACTCAGGACTAGGTATGGTATTAGCCCAGAAAATATCATACTCTATGGGCAAAGCATTGGAACTGTACCAACAGTCGACTTAGCTGCAAGATATGAAGTTGGGGCTGTGATACTCCATTCTCCCCTCATGTCTGGAATGAGGGTTGCCTTTCCTAACACTAAGAGAACTTGGTTTTTTGATGCCTTTCCCAGGTAAATGTCGCATCTAACAACTCAAAACTAATGCTGGATGTATGCAAACCCTAGTTTGGAACTTGAGGCAGAACCAAGAAGTTATGACCTCCACATACCTTATTGGTCCCATCTTCTCAAACATGAAGATTAATACTTTAAGACAAGTCACACCTCTTTAGTTCTGCCTTATGTTCTAACTTGAAGTTTGTCCAAATCAATAATAGTATGCTAGACAATTTTTAACTCATTGTACTTGATATTTTATTAGACTTATTATAGTCACATAGATCATTCATCAAAAACTATATTTTTTTTTAATTTAAATGCTTGACAAAGAAACTTTTATCTAGAAAACAATGTTTTTAGACTTCAGACTCAATTGAAGCTAAAACTGTAAGGAATTAACAAAATATGGAATAAGATAAAGATTGTTTAGATCTTTTATTGTGGAGTGTAGTGATTATGGTCAAGTATTGAAAATTTCGTTCTCAAAAAAACACTAGGAGCAATAGAGTAGAAAATGCATCTTTACCTGTATGTCTGAATTTTTATGAGCTGAATTATGTTTGAAATTTTTATCTAATGGAGATGCTGATCAAAAACAGAAAATAGCTCAGCGCAAAAACATTCTGCCAAACTATTTTTATCATAAAATTGTCTGAATCGTCAATTAGTAACAGATTAAAATAATGTAAACGATCCCTTGAGTTATAAGCATTTTATTGTACAAAGCTCTACCATTTTGAAAGATAGTATTCATATTCTAGGGTTATACAGTGACCTGCCCGTGCGTTAAAAAATGTTCAGAGATTAAGCCCAGCCCCTGTCTGATCCCTTCTGATATTTTTATGTTGAAATATAGTATTGATACATCAATTTGATCACTTCAAAACTCGGCTTGCTAAGCATTGTATAAGTACAGCTCTTTAAAACATCTACCTACTTTGATCAGGAAACTGGTGTTTCTTTAACCCTTTCTTGTTGGAAGCACGTTATTTGACCATTATTCTTCGAACGCGAGTACTGATACTTTAGATATCTTACGTTAAATTTATCTTATATATCTAACAGATCAATGACGACGCCGAGGAATGGGAAAATATCCGATCAAAAAGTTCTAAACGATTGTTGAACAAACTAATACAGGGTGGGCGGGTCTTCTATGTAACATTTTTTCCTCAAGGGCTTCATTAAAAAGATACGGGGTGTTGAAGTTTAAAAGTAAAAAACATTTTTTTTAATTTCTTCAAAACTGTCAACTGGAATGAACTATATTTTGATATGTGGATTTACCCAAGTACTGTTCACATTCAAAAGTCTTTACTCAAGATTAACGTGCACCAGTGGCGGATATAATAGGGATTAGTGGCATTATTTGTCCAAATAAAAATAGTACGCCACTCTTTTTTTTCGAAACCCGCAATTTTCCGAATTTTACCTTCAATTTGCTACAAATAATCACTCTTGTGTTTTTTTCCTAGAGTGCACTGTTTTCGTAAAAATAAAAATAACACAAATTAGATCATTCATGAAGAGCCAAGATACAATTATGTAGTTTCAAAATAAAATAGGAGGCCTTGATACCAACTTGACGTTTCTTGGGATATAGTTTGTCAAAGTTATGTGTTTATACGGCTGTTATCGTTACTACTAGCATATTTTTTTTTTGTAAGAGTCAAGTCAAATGTTTTTTTTTCCATCTTTGAGTGTTGTGAAATTCCTGTAATGGAAATGCTTTAGCGGCTTCTCGGCAGTATCAACGTAGATTTCCTAACAGACGCCAACCTACCCCAAAGGTTTTTACGCGTTCATTTTTAAGACTTCTGCAATATGGAATTGTCAAACTTCGCTGAGTTAGAGGCCCCGGTGTCCGGCAGACTGAGGAACTGAAAGTGATTAATTTGGCGTTAGATTGCAGCCTAGTTACCATGCTCCCAACGTCTTACGTGGAGAATTTTAAATCGGGAAGTTTTACATCCTTACCACCGGCAAAATGTCCAATATCTGCAACCCGGCGGCGAAGTGCAACACTGTGTTAAAATTATAAACGTTTCATTCGTGTTTGTAAATTCAGATTTCGTTACTTTCGTTATGTTTTTGTAATTTACATATACTCGTATATATTTATATTTTTGAATAACATTTTTGTATGAAAATGTCTTTGTAAGAAATAAAAAGTTTTTTTTTTAAATTATCGCTACTTCTCTAAACAATAAAATGAAAATACAAAGACGTATACTTATTCCTAACAGGACGCGGAGCGGCGTTTTCCCCGTTAGGACAGACAAATTTCGTCCGTTGCGAAAGGTTTAATAACCCTAGAAAAGTATCCTTTATTTCAATAGGTTTTTAATCTGTTACAATCTTATAATATCCTCTCTATTCTATTGATAGATTTTCTATAAAACAGGGGCAAAATATTCTGTGAAATTTCTAGTAAAGGCCATAATTAAATGACAATATGTGATTTTTCTGTCATTTTAAAATAATCCACTGCATGGCTTATTGAGAACATTTTGAATATAAAGAATATTTTATTACAGTATTGATAAAGTTCCCAAAGTGATGTCACCAACTTTAATAATCCATGGTACTGAAGATGAGGTGATAGACTTTTCACATGGGCTTACCATCTTTGAAAAATGTCCAAAAGCTGTGGAGCCTCTCTGGGTAGAGGTAAGCATGAGCCTGTAGGTTAAATCAGAGTATAGTCTGGTGCAAAATAAATGTTTTGGAAACTTGAGGGAATTATTTCTAAGCAGATTTTCTGTCATGCTGTTAATGCGAATATTGCTATACCATTTATTTTACAACAATGTGAAAACCCGAGAATCTTTATTTGCTTATGAATATATACAAAAATATAAAATGACTTACATGAAAAATTAACAGAGAGAACATAAGATACATATTCTGAATATACAGTGCTTTTCTTTAATGTCCCCGTCCCTTTTGATTTTTCGAACGGATCAATTCAAAAAATTAAAACTTGAGGCACATCATTTTGAAGCTCCTGATGAGTACTTTATAACCCTAGAATATAAAGTCAATACTACGTTTCCCGAATCGTCCTACTACAAAATGGTGGTACATTTAATAATTACAATAACACAAACCCACTAACATGCATATCTCTACAAATAATTGTAATTCCCTGCTGTATCCACAGCAACAGCGATAAAAACTTGTTTTGTTATTTTTTGTTGACAGTGACAAGAATATCAGTATGGTAAAACAAACATCATTGTACAGTTAAAATATTCTTATTTGGCTTTTGGTTTTAGAACTATTTTTAAAATGGTCAATTCTCGTCCATTGAATAATTACTTTTTTCTTATGAACTCAACTTTGATAGCCCGCTTCTCCGCAATTTCAAAGGACAGTGATTTTATATCCTAGCATTATAAAGTACTCACCAGTAGCCTCAAAATAAGGTGTTCCATGAATAATAATAATAATATTATTTATTCTGCACTCAATTACAGGAATAACAATAAAGAATACAGTAGTAGTTTGCCTCATACTACTAGGCTCAAAAATAAGGTTCCCACATGTTTTTCAGGCACAAACAATTTTTTATTTAAGAAAACGAATTTACCATTGGAAACGTTGATCTCTAAGCTGTTTTTCTACCTAGTCTCCATTTTTTCTACGCATTTTATTATCTGGAATATTGTTCTTGTGTTTGGTCACCCAACTATAATGTCCATATTCAGGCAATTGAGAGAGTGCAACATATATTCTTAAGATTCATCTCATTCAAACAAAACGTTATGGTAGAAGATATTATCTATTCCGTCATTGAAAGCTCTCTCAATATCTCAACCCTTCAGGTAAGACGGAATCAGAGGGACCGGTCACTATTTTATAATATTTTGCACTCTCTTAGTTTTGCTCCAGAACTTTTGAAAAATATTAATCTCCATGTGCCTTCTCGTCAAACAAGACTGAATCAACCATTCCATGTGAGATCTTTTTGTACTAATTATGCTAGCAATTCCTTCCTGTCTAGATCTTCAAGGTTAGCAAATCAGTATTCTAACAAGTTGGATTTCTTCAGAAGTTACATTATATATCAAAGTAAGAGTAACAAATGAAGCAAGAACATAAATTAAAAGCATAATTATAGTAAGATGTGTAAGATATCAAAATAAGCTAAAAAGTAGCAGACAACCGTCTAACTGCAAAAAAAATCACACAATTCATTTTATAATTTTATTTTTTTTCTATGTAGGGAGCAGGTCATAACGACGTGGAGTTGTACTCAGTCTATTTGGACCGACTTAGGCAATTTGTGATGGTTGAACTGGATAACTGACAAATGTTGACTGGGGAAGAAGTGACATTTAGTTCGGGGACTTCAAGCTCAGTGGGTGAAAAGTTACTCTAGTGATTTATTCATTTACATTTCACCAGTGTGTCTCAGTATATGCATACTCGAGAGACTACCTGCTATATTGCTAATTTTGAATTTTCTACTGTATATATTGTTAACTGAATTTTATATCGATTGCGGAATGAGTATCAGATGACAATCTTTTTAAGGTGATGCAATATTGATACATGGAAACTTACCATTTTTTTAATACTTTTTCAGTACTTACAGCATATGCAGATTGGTGATATAAGTATCCACTGCAGTATTTGTAAATATGATCAGGATTACCTGCTATTCAGTTTTTTCAATACCATCAGACTTTGAAGTTATGTGTTTTGCATTCACGATCTTCACAGCTTGTTACTCTTGTCTATGATACATAAAAAAGAAGCTTGTAAAAGTGTATGTGGAAATATGGCGTAAAATAGCAAGTTATTCAAATTCTTGTGATCAAGACTGCATTGTAGATTATTTGCATTGGAATTTTAAAAAGGTTTTGGAACTGATGTGTTCCGTGAGTGTTTTTTTTTTGAGATGAGTCAATACTCTTCTTGTGAAAGGATCTCATTAATGTGGAATTTATATTTTAGTTTTCAGAGCATTGTGTTTCATGTGTGAAAATCAAATAGTTAGAAAAAACACTTCCTACATTTTTTCCATTCTTGTTGAGTTGAAAAGTACAGTTGCATGATAATTCCCTATTCAACGTGCAATACAATATTTTTAAGGTGCATAGTCTAGGCTAAGCTAAAATTCGGTGAAATTGAGAGACAGAAAAAATGGGAGTTTTTTCTACGATCTTATTGACCTCATCATAGATAAAAATACGCCACATTGCCATTTTACACACAAGATTTAACATGAGTGACGGTAGTTTGTTTCATTGGTTTTTTGACATACGAAAAATCGAGAGTCAATCGAGGTTGTAGGACAAAAAAGCCCTTTAGTTGTATCAGCGCAATGCTCTGAAACACGTGGCACAAAATCGACAAGTTTTTGGTTTGTGTTAACTATCAGGTACCTGTTTTACATCGACAATTTCTTCATGAACTTATTCAGATGGATTTCTTCAAGGTTATCCGGATTATACTTTGGGGTGTTCACATCGATGGACAATTTAATGGATTATTTGTCTAGCAAGAATTTGTTGTGTGGTTGGCACCATGGAATTTGACGTCCAACTTGTCAAAAATTAGAACCAATTTCGTGAAGAAATCCACGAATATCTTCATGGATTTAATTAACGTCAAATTCCTGTTTTATACTTTTGAAATTTGGCCATTCATGAAAAAATCCCTGGATTTTTTGTCAATGTAAAACGGGTATAATATATCTTATTTGTTCAAGCCGTTTATTTTTCTTAGAGGTTAGTTTTGTTTCTTTTATGGTATGATTAGAACACCAACAAATATAAAAATGATCTGGCTTTTATCTAAGAATCGGTGTAGTCATAGCATAGGGGATAATTTTTTGATTTTGAGTTAAAATTGCTTTATCCAAGACATTCTACTGTTAAGTATTGTCAAGTCATATGGGTCTTTAGTTAGCTACTACTTCTTGTCGTTTTTTTTAGTTTGAGCATTTTTAATCATGGAAATAGTAACTAATCAAAATCCCATTCGATTTTGTGGCTGGTCCCGGTACATTGGAAGTAACCCTTATTATCTGCATATTTTGTGCCTATCCTTCGTATTGCTAGGATTATTTGATATAATTTAGATGTATGAATCAAAATATCATCCAAAAAGATATGAGATGCATTTCAATTTATTTAAGCTGATGTAATGTTTAATGTATTAGTATTGAATCGACTTATTTATATAAAATACCATCTCATAACGTCGCCAAAAAGGTTCTAAACAAGAGATCGTGCACGCATATATGTAGTAGTAGTCAAGTTGAAGGGATTTTTATTCCCGAACAACTTACTCCAGAATAATCTGTCACATACCAACCAAAAAGCACATAACCTCAAGACGGTTTGACATATAAACTTGAAACATATGCTGAACTTTTGCGGAAACATTGTAATTGGAGATCTAAAAGTATCTCACGTTTTTATTTATTTTTCATATATTCTGAATCATGGAACATTTTAAATACCTTTTGACATATTTATACGTTTTCATATTTATTAACTTTCAAATCCTTGAACTGGAAGTTGGTGTTTCTTCAATAACCCTAGAATAGTATCCTTCATTGCAATATGTTTCCTGTTTCTTACAAAATACAAATTATTTTCTAAAATTCCTATTAAACACCTTATTTAGATTATAAATTTAACTTGTATCTTGAATGTTAACTTATTCAAGAAACATCATCTAAAAACTTGACCAACCAGTGAAAATAAAAGTATGTATATAAGTACATAGGACCCAGAGAAAAATTTTCCAATCTGATCAAAAATCTCAAAACATTCTCACAAATTTTTAACCGTTGTCAAACTCGATAAATCCTCTAGATCTAGTATATTATTTTCGAAATCTCCATTCCAATTTTCCCAAACACCCAAAACGTTCAATAACTACAAATGCCTTAAATGTATATATTTATGATAATTTCAAAGTTGTGCAATTAGCAAGCCAAAAAACAATATATACTCCTGCTTAGAACCTTTTTCGTACCATTTAGTTATAATCATTGAAGTTAATTTTTTACAGAAACTCAGCTGTGTAAATTTTATGTATGCAAATGTTTTTGTGTAATACGGATTTTTCATTGATAAATATAAAAACAATATGGAACAACTATTTGGCTTAATTTTTCTAGATAATCCCTCATTGATTACTATCATCCGTTATAAAAGTAAAGTGAAAGGATAAAGTAACGACAAATGGAAAAGATGCTAGTGGCGTGGCGTAAATAGAACTAAGAAAAAAGAATTTTATTGTGTTACGTCATCGTTAGTATATAAGTATTTTCTGTTTTCCTTTACCCGCGCACAAGGGCGACCCTTCTGGGGGATCTTCCTCTGAAACGAAACGAGTATTTACTATGCAAAAAAGAATAGTACATTTACTTCAAGGTCTAGCCGTAGAGCTTCTTTTAAACAGCTGGGAATACTAACTTTGCCATCCATATACTTTTTGGAGGTGTTATTACATGTATTGTAAACCCAAGCTTGCACACTAGCCGACCGGCACCGGAAAAAAGCCGGTTAGCAGCCGACTGTCCCGTTATGCCGCCAGGTATCGGCGAAAGGTGACGTTGCCAGATGAAGTACCGGTAGGGAGGGAAAGAATGTCTATTGACTAATTGTGTGGGCCTGTATGACTGACTTGATCTGTTTAATTTCTCGATTATACATGGTTATAGATGTTCGTGACTAACTTTTTTCTCACATGATCTGACTTGTGCTAAACACAATCTTTTATAAAATGATGACGGCATTGCGTTGCGTGGGAAATGCAGAGTCAACCCACTTGACGCAATTTTTTTTCTGGAAAAGGTTTGGATATTTTTTCAAGTTTCAATTTAGAGATAGGTATTGACTTATTAAGATTTTTCTTAGCAGTATTATTTTTACTATTACTGTTTTATATAAGAAAAAACGTATAAGGCTTGGAGCTATAGAGGAGGGTGTTTTGCGTTGAGTCCCATAGCTGAATACGCCCTGGAATCGGGTGCGTAGATTCGGAATATTGTAAGTATGGTGGATGTTTTGGCAAAAAGAAGGTGTAGAATAAATACACGAGCAATTTGAAATATATATATTATTTATTTTATTTAAATCACATAACATCTCACTTCTCATCTTTGTTATAAAAAGGTTCTGGTCTGTTGAAACATAATCTACAGTGGGTCAATATAAGAATGGTGATAGGAATTATGAGATTCAATGGTCAAAATGAATATTGGCACACTAAAAAAAATACACATGTGAATAAGTATTGACAAAATTTATTTACAGCTAGTACGCTATCATACCATTTGTATCAATTATGGCCTGAAGTCATCGTGGCATGAAGATTCCGAGTTATTTCTGGTACAATTTCGTCCCATTTCTGCAAAAGAACTTCTTGTAGCTTGTACTTTTTCGGGCCTTCAGGTCCAGCAAGAACCACAAATCTTTAATAAGATCGGTATCCAGAGATTGTTGTGCAGGAACATTGCAAAGTAACCGTTTGTAGTACTTGCTTGATCTGACGGCCCGGAAATGTGAAATTTCTACCAAACGGCAGCTACAAGATACTTTTATGCAGAAATGAGACCAAATTAGACCATAAATAACTCATCTCCATGCCGCGATAGCTTTAGGCCATAATTAATGAAAATTGTATGATAACAAAGTACTAAGTGTACATAAATGTTGTTATTACTTATTTAAATGTTTCTTTTGACAGTTGAATTTTATAATTTATATATAAATATATATATTTTTATATTATTTCCAATTTCTCCAATCCATTTCCATAAAAAATGACTATTTGGATGTTAATTTTCAAATGAATTTAGTATAAAAGATTCACCTTTTTGTTATTGACCCACTGTATAATTCTTACATCAATGTGCATTGGTTGAACTAAAGATATTGCACTGCTATCAGTTTGCTAAATTTTATAACGAAGCTTACCGTTGTTCAACGGGTATTGTATTTTGTAATCTCTACACAGCTTTGCCATACCTTAGTTCAAACATACCATAGACAGGCTGACTCAGAAGTGGTCGTCAAGTTGGAAACGGGGGATAGGCCAACTCATAATAGTTAAAGGCTTTAAAAAAATCTGTGATGATCTTTTAGTTCCCGTTACTACAAATTTCAAGTTTAAGAGAGAAGGTTTACATCCCTAAAATTTTAGAGGAGTTCAGGATCTTCATGAGCCAGATTATGCAGCAAGAATCATAGTTCGCACCTAGTTTCAACGGCAGCTGCGTCAAGACTGCAACTTCTGGGAAAAAAATCTGTGGACGGACGAAGCAAAATTTACCAGGCAGAGGATCATAAACCATAGAAGCAACCACTTGTGGTCTTTGGAAAACTCTCAAACAGTTCGACCGAGCACTCTCCAACAGGAAACGGAGTCTCAGTCGGCCCAGTTGAGCTATCTCCACGCTTAGATGGCCAGGGATTGTACGAGAACATTTGGATGGGCAACATTCTCCATGGACAGGTCGTGCAAGCACTGTCGTTTGGCCACCCGATCACCCGATGTAATGCCCCTAGATTATTTTTTCTGGGGCACAATGAAACAAAAAGTTTACTGTCATGTATCGGCGACATGGAAAGAGCTCGTGGAAGGGATCCATACCGCTGCGAACGGAATTAGAGCTGACACGGATATAGTCCGTCGCACAACACGACACATGGTTTTAAGAGCAACAATGTGCATAACCAATAATGGAGGACATTTTGAACAGCTTCTGTAGCATTGAACATGTCCAAACTCTGCAGGAGAAACATTGATTTGTCATTTTTATGTATAAAAAGTTTGAAAGCAATTTGCATTTTATTACACCCATTTTGACCAATGCTAGATAGCATCTATTACTTAAAGTAGAAGACTTAGGATAACAAATTTGGTGCCATTCTGTAGATTAGACAATTAGCTGTAACATTAGCACACAAAAAGTACAACTTCAATACTAGTTTTTAAATGGTGTGAGGAAATGCACAAAATAATATTTTTTTCTGTTTTTAAGTATGTTTGACGGTTAGTATCAATACAAATTTTTCAATAATCGCCAGGGCAATATGTTATCGTTCAAATGACACCAAATTTATCATTCTGTGACACGTATGTACTCGGTTATTACAATTTTCTTACATGCACTAGCGTAATCGTAACGTAAAAATAAAAATGGCTGCCATTTAAAGAGGGGTTAGGTAGGACATTGTAGGGGGTAGATTTGTCGATAAAAATAAATATCGGTAGGTCGTGACCAAACACAACACATTGTATAAGAAAAGTACACAACTTAAATTTTTATATAGATTTTTCTGAAAACTATTATGACTTGGCCTATCCCCCATTCCCAGGCTTGACGTCGACTTCTGGGACGTCCTCTATAGTTTATACTATTCAGATCACAAAACCCTCGCTAGGAATATGTTTCCGATGAAACATTCAGAGTTTATTTTTTAAACATATAACCACCTTATCTAAGATCAATAGGAATCCACATGTTTTTACTATTTGCGAGTAAGTGCATTTATAGATAATGAGACAAGAATGTGCACAAATGAAATTAATTTGAAACAATGCATATGGAATTCTAAACATTTTCATGGCACAAATAAATAAAATTATTTTCATATACAAGCACAATTTTACTAATTTCCACAAAACAACTAAGTTCAGTCTTGATTATTAGATACATACTCTATATGTATGAAATTCCGCGATTTTTAGATCTAGTTCAATTTGTTTTTTGACATAAAAGGTGGAAGTAAGAACGTTTAAAAACCAGTGTGCACTTTGGCAAAAAAATCATTACATATCACTTGCTAAAAATACAATCTTTTTGCATTTGTTGTATATACTTTACTCAGTTTTACAGGTTATTGAGGTCCCTGTATAATACTGCACTTTAAATATATATTTACATGAGTACAATTATTTCAGATATCAAATATTTTACATAAGATTGCATCTATACAAAACATAAATAATATACTTTCCATGTGAAAAGTTACTATTCAGCAACAACATTTAAGTATGAGATATCAAGGCAAAATTTTGTTTTAAGATTCAATAAGTATGGAAACTTGAAAAATGATAATAGCAAATTTTAAAGAGAAATTTATTCATACATTACTCAAAAAATTAGGGGAGCAATTTTTTCGGTGATTTTTGACAATAGTGGTGAAAAATGGTCGTATCTAGACTTTAAAAATAGCATTTTGAGCTATAAGATTTTAGTTTTACAGGTTTCTTAGCCGAAAAATTTTAGGGGCAATGGTTCTCATTAAATTTTAACAGATACCCAATACAAATTTTTAGCAAGACTTTTGCCTTCTTTTTAGTCCACAGGTTTGAACCATACAATAGATACATATGCTGTCGTGGAGGGTTATTACAAATACATTGAGGTATAAATAAAACCTAATAACATCACCCTTCTCATTAGCAGTTCCAAGAATGCGCTCGATTTTCCAAAACAAGGCAAAAAGTGACTTTTTTGACTTTTCTAAAGTCAACATATGGAAACAAAAAAATCCTCAAAGATTGCAATGAAATCTTATAGCTGGTGTATTCGAGTTTTTCGAAATACCTTTACATTCTCTGTGTGACCACTGGTTACCGAGATATCAGTGGTCAATGCCAAAAGGACCCTTTTCCATTCAAAGTCAGATATCTCCGCGCCAAATGATCGTATCGAGATTTTAAAAACAGGATACTGAAGCAGCATAAACGGTCTATCTAATCCACATAATGGCCTAACAGAAAAAAATGTCAAGCCCGTGGACTAAAAAGAAAAAGGCAAAAGTTTAACAAATGCTATTTTTTATTCAATTTTGAATTACTAGTCAACTTAAATTACATTTTGGTGGAACAAATCAGAGGACTATAAATATATCCTTGTGATATTTTACTCAAATATTGTTACAAAACATCCTGATAGAACACTCCATATTTTCAAGGGAAACAATACTGATTCATTTAGGTAACTTTCCACAGGTTATATTAATGTTGCAGTGATAGAAATTAATCCCCAACATCGCTATCCCTATCACCTATAAGATACAAAAATTGAAAAGCTATACCTAGAAGTAAAGTACCTAACAAGTCACCTATTGCTGTTAGATATGGTATAGCAGAATTATCTGGATCTACACCATTCTTCCACATGAACAAAGTCATAACTTGTGCAATATACAACAACAAATATACTTGGATCAGGGAAGCAGTGAGATACACCACCATAAATATGAAGGTAAAAGATGTGTGTCCAGCTTGCAGGTAGCTGATCATATATGAAAAAATTAGGTGTCCTGGGATAACCATAAGCATTAACATTCTAGCAGTTCCAGCATGACTGGTCTCACCTTTATCACAGAATGCAAAGCAAGGGTTTATGCACATTTTCATGTGGCTTGGTAAATGACCTGGAGGCCCGTACCTGTGCAGTTCTGTTGAAATTCTACTAGCTTGAACTGCTACCAAGTTTCCCCCTACACCATTTATTACTAACTGGAATACTGCTACTCCTTTATATTGAGATACGGTAAAGTCTAATACAAGCCCCCCCAAGCTACTGATTATCATTGCTGCAATTATGGGACTCCATCCACAAAATAGGACCTTTTTAGTATGTTTATTCCTACTTGCTAGCCAGGCCCATAAGGGTATCATAAGCAACCCTAAAGTTATGAAAATCGGGGAAACATAAGGATGCTTATCATGTATAAAATACAAAGCAGAAGCTAACCAAGATAGGCAAGCCAGTGTTATTAAATCTCCCAAACTAGCTGCTATAGGAGTAGCTACATTATCAGGGTTGATATGGAAATATCGAGAAAACATAATTACACCTATCATCACAAGTCCAAGAAGGAAACTAGCACCAAATGCTGTTACTATACTACTTGCACAAAGTAGACATGCATGGTTGATATCTATTGCTCCTAGAGAAATTAGTCCCAGGACCACAGCAGCTAAGGATGCTAAAAATCCAACTACAATAGCTTGGCACAAAATCAAGGCAAGATTTCCTACTATCAGACTGATTTTTTGATCGGCATTATCTAAATCTCCTAAGTTTGCATGAGTAGAAAGACGTGAAGCTAAGGTCATTTCTAAATTTCCTTTCAGTCCCAGTAGTGCAGGTACAAGTATGTAGATTTCGCTGACCTCTTGGTATACTGGCCAATGTTGAACTTTATCAAGTAGCAGACTTGCTGCTACCATACCAAAGCCCGCAAGTAAAAATGGTATAAACATTTGTATTGTTGTTACCCATAATGGTTCTGGTTGGATAATAACCTCAGTCTTTGCGATTGATTCTTCGGAATTAGTTGTTAATAAACGACACGTATCAGTCAGCTCAATATTCTCATCTTCCTGAAATAAACATAACCTTAAATCTGAGTATATAATTATATTGTATAACTAACGTTCACTATCATCCTAGATTTTGTGGCATTCGCATGTAACCTCTTACGTTGTTTAATATATAATTCCTGGGAATTATCCATTATTGATAACACAAAACCATAGTTTAGATTTGTTACATTTTATGATATAATAAAAAAATATTTCTGTGATAATCATCTTTTGACAATTGACAACTATCATAATAAATGCACAATTGAATGCACTTATATGCATAGAGATAGGGAACACGGAACACGAATAGGGAGCCCCTCTTCGTTTTGCAGTTAATGCGGGTCCCACACGATGCTTCCAGCGTTGTTTACAACGTTCGACACCTCTCAATTGGCAAGTGTGTCATATATGATGTGATGAACATTTTAGTCTCGGACGTTCGACGCATGGTGTAGCGGACGTCTGTTATCGGTTATCGGTGTCAGTGTCGCGCTTGAACCTTTAGAACTGAAAGAAAAATTATACCCAATAAACGAAGGAACAATTTTTTTAGCGCCTAAAAATAATTTCAGATCTGTCCTCATCGACCAAAATTTAAGTCTGTCAGAAGCCTCGAAAATGTCGAAAAGCGAAGTTTGACATTTTTTGTTTGTTTTTCGACGACAGCTCCACCGCCAGTGTACCGATTTTCAAAAACTGCAGAGCTTTTTCGTCATTTTCGTAGTAGTAACCAAGGGTCAAAATTTCATCAAAATCGTGAAAGTACTTTCAGAGTTATCGTTTATTTAATCTGTTTCGTTAGTTATGAAATGGAAGTCAATATATTTCTCAACTAGTCTCGCATTGCAACAGGAGATTATAATGAAACAACTGTACGCACTCGATAATTTATAATTTACTAAAATACAAATCCTTAGGCTAGCCATAACTCACCTGCAAAACATACAAAACATTAGCAATATGAAAAAAGTGTTTTTATGGCAGCCTATGGTTTGTATGTATACTGATTTAATCCATTCTCCTCAAAAGTTGGTTAAGGAACATACATTATTATGAAGAGGTAGGTATTCAAATCAAAATACTTCCCACATACCACTACTTCACCACAATCACAGCAAACAAATAAATAATGTTTTTCGCCGCTACTGGTTCTAACCTAAAACCATCAAACACATGACGTGTGGGAGCGTAACGAACCATGCTTCCAACGTTGTAACGTCCTTTGACGCGGGTCAAATTTACCGACAAGAGCCCGAACGTGCCATGTGGCGAACGCTGGACACATGCAATCCGTCAGCGCTCTCTCTCACGATGTGGCGAAAGGCCATGTGTCCAACGTTGTAAGGCATTCGCCACATCATGTGGGAGCAGTTTAAAACAACTTTCTTGCCTTTGGTAATCATTGATTAATTATAAAAAGCGTGTTCCAGTCCACCATTTTCATCCTACCACACACACCACAATCGCAGCACTAAAAAAATAGTTCCCAATTGATATTAGCAACATTGACACCCATCTAGTTGGTCAGAGCGACGAGCGACACTACTTTATGATTGGCAACACTGACACCATTTTATGTTGGTAATATAAGCTGAGTTCCAATAAACTATCGAAACAAGGAAGCGAGAGAGAGAGATGCCACATGCGCAGGACCTGTCATTCATTTTTTAAACAGTGTACTTACGAGAGACGTCGTAGACATGTTTAGCTTCACCCAGTCTTATGTGGTTTTGTGTCTTCACCCCTACCACATATTATCCCCTACTTGATGAGCTTAACCTCGTATCACTAGTCTTCGTGAGTTGGAGACACTGAGCTATTCATATTGTTGGCAACAATGGCGACACTGAAACAATTCTTCGGTCTGGCGTCTGGCGGATCTCAGTGTCATATTAGCAACTTGTCAATTATTTTTTTCTAGTTGTGAATTCTAGGGTTAAAAAGTTGAGTCTTGAATATTTATTGAAAAGAATTCCACAAAAATTAAGTATTTACATAGATTGTTGTATCGATGAGAAATTCAGATACTTTACAATAAAATATTTCAGTTTAAGGAATGGTATGTTTTCAGCCCACAACTGTAATCGTGCAGCTTTAGTATTTACTTTAATATTTACCTTTGTAATTAAAATTTGGATGCGTTGATCACACTGTAAATGGATTATTGTATAGTAATTACAAATATGAATTCAATAATTTTATAGTATATAACATACTTTTCAGGTGAAACCGTTTCATAGTATTGTGTAATATTTGCAAAGGATAAGGATAATATTTACAGTACATAATGAGTACCGAAGTTCAAAAATCGGTACGTACACCTAAAAGGACGCCAATAACCGACGACTACGACATTACTAAACAAGTTTTGGGCCTAGGAATCAATGGCAAAGTTGTTGAGTGCTTCAGCAAAGCTACTAAAGAAAAATATGCACTCAAGGTAAGTTCATCATTATATTGTTTAACTATTTGACAACAATTTTTTTTCTCATTACATGGGTGCTTATTATCAATTTAATTAGGTTAGATTACACAAAAATTGTGACAATAAATGACATTCTTTCATTTTAAAAGTGTCATTATAATAATTTCCTATGCACCATTGCATCTGAAAAAAAAAATAACCTGAAATTCCATTGTGATGAAATCATGTATGGTCTGACAAAACATTGAGAAACATTTAAATGATCATTAGAATACTCATCCTTATTTTAGACAGCTTCGGTTCAAAAACATTGTTATTTTTAGAGCTATGTTGCTATATATGAAATTCAATATATAAAGTAAGTTGAAATTATGGAGAACATCTGTCATTTTGCTTTTATAAAATACATAGTCATGCCATAAGTTCTGTCCCTTGTTTTCAAACAAGTGTAGACCTGTTAATACTCGTCCAATTGTTTACATTGAGGTGTCAGTTGATTAAGTGCTTTCCTGGTAATTACATAGACCTGTTTGTTTTGATCTCTGGAAGCATAACAATGGAATGGGGCAATGCAGAGAACCATATTGCAGTAATAGCTCTACATAAGTTTAATCACAGTGCTAGTCAGATTTTTGAACTTTTACCCAGCCTTCAAATATCGCGCAAATTTGTGTACAGGACCATTCAGCGGTACAGCAGATGGCCTGCTCCAAAGCACACTGGAATATAGAGTTATCTAAGCTGTAGTGCACAAAATATTTTATAGATGAATCCTAAATGAAAATCTGTCATTTTGAATTGGCTGAGAGGCTCTGGTTAATGCTAATTTTGAAAATTTATTTATTTTTGCTAATAGAGATCCATCATTTTGGCTTCATTAAATTTTGGTATACTTATACTATAATGTATGACCTGGTAGGATGTAAATTCTGCATTGGACCTTATCCATTGTTGTAGGGACACTGTACTTCCTGCCAGATGCCTTAAATGTCAAAATTTATTAGGCTGTTTAAGCCCATGATATAGAAATTTCAAAGTGGAACTTGCATTAAAAATCTGCTATCCTAATTTTATGAAATTTTAATATACTCAGTGTTACTCTTATTTCAAAATAAGAGATATCTCTTTTATATCAAAATCTATCTATATATTCAAGCTGTAGCAGTATCAGTCGCACTGCTAGGAAAAATCCAAAAACAACTTGTATGTCAAAATCCATAAGCTGTTTGGACTGCAGCTGGCCACATAGAGTTGCCTTGCATCCAGAGTTATGGTGGCAGTAATAAGTTATTCCTGGTATCATTTTCAGATTTTAGTTGACAGTGTTAAAGCCAGGCGAGAAGTCGATTTACATTGGAGAGTCAGCGGTTGCCGCCACATTGTAAATATCATTGATGTTTATGAAAATAAATACAACAGCAGCACATGCCTTCTTGTTGTTATGGAATGGTAAAATATATTTTCAACCAGTAATTATCCAAAAACCCTGCAGAAACCCAATGGCTTTTGAATACTTTTAAAAAAAAATTTTATGTTGTAGATGTCAACACAAAATTCTCAATAGGCAGTTGTTTTCCCATGAATAGTTTCTGAGATACAGGGTCTGCAAGATAGCAAGTCTGAACACTATTACAGCACACACAGCTCAGTAGTGAGACAGCCTGTATAATCCTAAACATGTTTTAAATGTATTTTTATAGGTGCAGACTTATTCTCTTGATAGGGCTATCTTAAAAAATGTTGAGTCGATTTGGGATCTGAGAGTAATATTTGATAGTTGTTAGTTAACTCTTGCTCAGCATATAAATAGTTGCTGCGGGGTCTATTGTGTCTGGAACCCCTACTATCAAGTCCATTGTGATAAATTGAATTCTATTCAGAGAAAATTTATCAAATATATAGCATTTAAAATCAGTATCCCCAAGGACTGCATAAACTATATGGATATGGAATCTGACTCAAAGCTCACCAGTCTGGTGAAGTGTAGAGAAAATTTTGACACCCTTTTGTGTCACAAAATTATTACCAGACTAATAAATAGTCCCAAACTCTTGGGAATGCTAGATTTCAATGTTACTCCTAGGACCCTAAGAGGCCAGAAGTCATTCAAACTTGCTCAATATCACACCCTTCACGGTCAACTCTTGAATATGTTGAAAAATGCAAAGAAATTTCAGGGCGATATTTATCATATACCAAGTATCCATCACACTTTGATGTCTACTGAGGTGAATACATTATCAGCAAGTGACACTTTTGTGTTCGTCTGCAATGTTGGCAATAATGAATGAGATGTAAATCTAGTAAAACGTGTTTGTAAGGTTTTGCTGTTTGTATGCAAATGAACTTTTCTAAATAAAAGAGCTTTTAGCAAAGACGAAATGAATCTGTAGTGTACAATAAAATCAAAACAAAATATGGCTCGGGCTACCTGGCATTGACGGATCCGTCAGAATTATGTGTCCTTTCATTTTACCGTAATGGATACTCACGAAAAAGACTATAATATATCCCATGATACCCTGAAACGAATCGTAGATGTTACCTAACCTTTTAGATATGTTATTTTGGATTGCATTTTACTTTATTCTTAAAACTTTGACTGTGTTGAATTTTAATTTAAAATGAATAAAATTGGGCTTGTGCCGTGAATGTATGAATAAATAAATAAATAAAACTCTTGTGGAAAAACTTTGAGCCACTTTTGTTCTACATGTTGAGATTTGTGAGATACTAATTTTTCTTAAACATTAGCAAAAATCCATTCCCCATGAGGTTTCTGCAGGGTCTCTATGCTGAAATAGTTTTCACATTCTTCAAAATTTTTGATGAAATTCGTAATGGATATGAAAACCAAGTCGTCCTACTTGACTAATTTTTTATGTGACCTTGAAAAATAATTATAACCCATTTCCAGCATGGAAGGAGGTGAATTATTCCAAAGAATCCAAGATCGACCTGATGCATTCACTGAAAGAGGTAAATTTCATATATTTACATAGGTTACATCATATATAGTGGGATTATATACAAACAAAACAAAAGCAAATATTTGGAGATAACTTAATGATATGTACTTTCCAGAGGCTGCTCAAATAATGCACGAAATATGTATAGCTGTCAAATATCTTCATGACAATAATATAGCTCACAGGGATTTGAAGCCAGAAAATCTGTTATACTCTAAAAGTGATACTTATGGTGTACTTAAACTAACAGACTTTGGGTTTGCAAAAGAAACATTACTGAAAGACACTTTGCAAACACCTTGTTATACCCCTTACTATGTTGGTAAGTTATATTTTATCATAAAAATATGTTAGTTTGTTATGATGGATTTTTATTTATTTCTACAGCTCCAGAAGTATTAGGACCTGAAAAATATGATAAGAGCTGTGATGTATGGTCATTAGGCGTTATTATGTACATTTTGTAAGTATCTTTTTAGATAATTAATTTAATATAATTTATTTTTGAATCAATTGTTGCTAGAATTAATTATCTGTAAATCTCTTAACAATTAGAAAATGGATTCCAGCATCATATTAACTTCAGATTCAAAATCTAGACACTTTTAAACTTTACTGACACTATCTCCTTTGCTATCTAGGTTGTGTGGCTTTCCGCCATTTTACAGTAACCATGGCCTAGCGATATCTCCAGGGATGAAAAAAAGAATAAGGATGGGCCAATACACATTTCCTGATCCAGAATGGCAGAATGTTAGTCAAGATGCAAAGGACCTCATCAGTGGAATGTTGAATATCGACCCTGCCAAAAGGTTAACAATTGATGAAGTTATGAGTAATAGGTGGATTGCGGTAAGAAAATATCACTTTCATATTGCAAATATGTCGAATGCGATTTGCAAATATGGTGCATGCTATTTGTAATAATCAGATTTGCGACGATTTAAATCAAATTATAGGTGCTATAAAAACAAGTTGCCACAGCAAATAACTGAGAATTCAAAAAGAGGAAGAATATTTGAAACTAAGAGCTTACATACATTATGTAAGTTTAAAAACACGACTAAGCCTCATCAGTCCATCGTAAATATTCATACACTTAAGAAAACACAGTTTAAAACAAAAACAATTTATAGTGTATGATATTACCCACATGAATAAATAATAAATAAAAATTATTAATGAATACATAACAATACAGTGAACAAAACATTACTCAGACTTACCTACAAAAAACAAACGTCAGTTGTTCTTCAGAAAAAGTAATTTGGCGGCTTTTTCGGGTCCCAAGAGATTTTCTTTAGGTTATTTCAAAGTACATTATTGTCATATTTAAGGAGAAAATCAGTACAGTCATAAAAAACAAAAATAAACACTTATTAATCGAAAAAATCATATTTTTTTATCCTTTCAAAAAACATCTTTATTTTTTGCAACACTGGTAATAATGCATTCAACATATACGCAAATTGCATTCACCAAATGTTTAAAACGCGTCTCAATTAGCTCGAGAGAGATATACAGTCTGCCAAACTTGAAATTTCTCGAATTGTTAGCCTACCAAGCAAGGATAAAAATTGCTTTAGATACTTGGCAACCTCAAAGATAGTAATTTTTAACTGAATTTTTAGTCGCAAATAGTCATTTTTAAACTTTTTTCAGACATCGCTTATAGCTCGAAAACGGCCAACTAAGAGAAAAGCTACTAAAGGCCTTATTTGTTCAGAATGATCCAGAAAACCTAAAAAACCAGTGCTACGTTACCAGAATTTGGAAGACGAATTTATAAATGCATGGTAGGATGACAAAATGCGAACTTTGGATATTCGTACATGTGAAACCACCTGTTTCAGTTTCAGTGCATACCTACCTGTGTGCACAGTTTGACAGCCAAGATAACTGTTGAGCTACAACAGCTGAAAATTACCCTGCAAAAAACTTCCTCGATTTGCGCCGTTAGACGTTGGGATAATCGAACTGCGAGATATACCCCGTTTCAGCGATGCCTTATTACGTCGTCAATTTTCATGATTATTTCTATATTGTTTCAAGTGATCATAAGCTTTCTCATTCATGATTGGTAGAGCATGGTACAAATTATGAATTGTTGTGCTCTTAAAAAAATAAAAAGTAGGAAAAAATAATGCAACAGCATAGTGTTTTCTATGCTCTGACCACGGTGCCACAGCTGACCAAGTTAAGTATCGAGGAGAGGTAACGTTTCCAGATGCACTACCGGCAGGGCAGGGAAAGAATGTCTATAGACTAATTATATGGACCTGTTTACCTGACTTTTTTCTCAGAGGTTCTAGTTTGTGCTGAGCATCTCCCTTTATTAATTGATAAGAGCGTTGCGTGGGAAGTGCGGAGTCAAGCTACTTGACACCATTTTTTTAGGTTTTACAATCAACATGTACAAAAAAATTTGACCATCCAGAATTCCAAAAAAGCAAATTTCCAATGCTTAGAGACTCGCAAGGATTATTTTAGGCCTAATTCAATTTTTAACCTTGTTTGGTAGTTTAACAAATAGCGAACTTACATAAGTACAATAGATAAAAAGCAGCGAGTTGATTTTCTTGGCTTAATTTTTACTATTTATTCACAGCAATATACTGCGGTTCCCCAAACGCCCCTTCACACAAACAAGATGTTGAAAGAAGGTGTAGAAATATGGCCGGAAGTCCAAGAAGAAATGACTCGATCACTAGCCACGATGCGCGTCGATTATGACCAAGTACATATAAAAGCTCTGGACAATTCCAACAACCCTTTATTGAACAAACGGCGTAAAAAGACAACAACTCCTAATAATGCCTCAAAGCCATAGTCTTAGGTTAATTTCAGAGTTAGTGGCTTCAAGAAGAGGATGTTACATAATTCCTTTGATTGACATATTCTACCAGAGATAGATACCAAATTCTGTTGAAACCCTGGAGCCACCAACAACGTACGCTTACGAAGTCTGTAAATTAAGCGATGAGTGATTTTTAAAAAAAATTCCATTCAAATTTAAATAATTTTATATTCTTACCCTCAAATTGACTTCTTTCTGAAGCCACACAGCGCTGAAGACGGTTATTCCATTCCTCCTAGCAGCACTGGAACTTCGATACTGAAATAGCATTCAGCTTACAGACGTTTGAATGTCTTCGACTGTCCCGAATTGAGTTCCCTTGAGGTAATTTTTCAACTTCGTGAAAAAGTCACAAGGACTCAATTCGGGTGAATAAGGAGGCTGAGGAGCCACATGAATGTTTTTACTGACCAAAAACTCGTTTATTGACATTGCTGTGTGACAAGGAGCATTATGGTGATGCAACATCCCGTTCTTGATCTGATGAACGGTGGTGTTGATCAAATTTAACTCTTCCCCGATCAATCTGACTGTCAACCGATGATCTGAACGCACAAGATCTCGAATTCTGTCTATATTTTCATCCGCTCTCGGAGATGAAAGCCGATCGCTTCGTGCTTCATCTTCAATCGACTTTCTTCCTTCTGAAAATGCCTTAAGCCACCGAAAAACCTGGGCTCCTGACAAAATACTATCTCTGTAGGCCTGTTTAGCAAGACTTTCCGTTGCACTGTGCCCTTGTTTGAAAAAATTGATCTCACTCATTTTTAGAATACAATAGAAAAAACCTTTTCACAAAAAAAGTCGCTTCGGACGAACAAATAACTCGAGCGAGTTCAAGCTTGTACCGAAGGGGGATCGCATGTTCCCCTGACTATCGTCCAAGCCCGGTGCCAGATCGAATGCTACGTTGCCGGTCTCATCACTTAATTTACAGATCTCGTATAACTATATACGTGTCGAACACCGTCTTTAGGCGCCAGCGTTGCCACCTCTCGGATTGTTTTTTTTTAATTCTGTGAATACGAAATCTTAGGAGTAATTACGAACGAGGTTGATGTAAAGAAAACTTATACCAAGAGAACACCATTAGGCAAGACGAATAAATTAGAGGGATGAGAGGACATTTCGTATAAATGTGTGTTCTTATTATTTGGTCAGAGATAGAAGCGGTGTTGCCAGATAGATAATCCTTCTGGATTAATTCATTGTTTATCACCTTGTCGTGAAAGCATTTTTCATTCAAATTTACTTTTGTTATGACATTTATTCATGATGGGAATATTTATTATCCGTTTTCAGTCTATGAAATTTATTTTCCATTCAATAAAGTTATGAATCACACTTTTTACGAGTGCTCTTCGCGTCGAGCTTTAAATTAACACATAGCTATTTAACTTTTAGGGTCCTGCGCGGAATGATACACGATTTAGTTTAGTAACAAAGAGGGACATCAGTTTGTCTTACGCTATTTATGCATCAATTTCAACATTCTAAATTGGAGCTTGCTATCTTGACCCATTCAAAAAACAAGTATGGTTTTTTAAAAGCCTGTATTCTCAGGACTCCTTTTAGTCGGAAGCTACGGTGGTCAAATTCATTCTATTCTAGATATTAACAGTTTTGCAACTTTTTGATAAGCAGTGATAGAATAATATGTTCTTATGGCTAAACACAGACTGAAACCACAGAAACCGTGTTTCTTTACACTCTCCTGTAAGTAAATAAGGATCATTACAGACCAATATTCTATTTTTTTCCTCTTCTAAAGGAATTCCTGCAATCCTATTTGGCAACATGGCTGCTACAAATTAAATTATATGTGAACATCCAAATACATCATGTGGTTGAGTATTTTCTTGGAGAATATGTTAATTAATGATAATACATGATGTTTCAGGATATGTGTATAAAAAATAGTATGAAGTTTTCATGGGCTTCCCTAATCCACATATTTTGGGACTCTGTATTCATAATTGATAGAATGTTATTCATGTGAGTGCCTTGTCTTGTTATACTTACATATACATGGTGCGATCCACTTCTTTTTGCCACGTTCTTGCATGGACCTAAAAAAACAAAGCTAGATTTTAGTTTACTCGATGTAATTTTGTTGTGCTAATACTATAATTTTTACTGATAGATGAGGATTGTCTGGAAGTGGTTTTTTGCAAGCACTGTTGAAGATACAAGTTTACATTTAGCTGAAATATACTAGTCTAATGTGAATAGTTTAATTTTATGAGAGATAAGGCTCAGTTCTCTAATAGTTGACACTAAACATGTGAAGATTTTGGTATATAATGATGGACTGTGTGCCTTCTTCTATCTGAAATGAAAGTTTAGAGTTTGTAATATTGTGGCTTTAACTCAAAGCCTGGTAAGTCCCTAGTTGATATCCTTGATGCTGTTTTGCTTTCCACACCAATTGGAGAGAACTTTCTTTACTTATAGTAATCACGAAAATTTTTGAAAATGAGATGTGTATATACATCACGACAAACCATGTCACTCATTGCTCGCACAGTCTGTGTGTCAGCTAATCAATTTTTTGTTTCACTTTCCACGCCAGTAGGTGAGGGGAGTATTGTAATCGAGAACATTTTCGAATTTGAGATACTTTTTTCAATTATATGACTTACATCACAAGAAAACATGTAACTTATTTCTGACTATACAAAGTGGGTCTGCGTGACTCTATATTGTATTACTCATTACTTGTTAACTTGCTAGTGACTATACTGTATAATTTGCAGGTTAAATTCGGTCTGCTATTTCACATCCACATAAAATGAGGATTATTAAAATGTAGTAAATATTAATATATTCTTATAAAATGAGTTGTGGCAATATATACGAGTATATATATTTGTATATGTGTATTTTTTGTAGGTATTACTGTGAATCAAATGATTTGTCAGGCAAAATCTGTATGGAATATGAATATACCCTATTTCACGAGCATTCATCACGGTAGAATGACATAGTAATATCTCAAAATTCCCCATATCGGCACAGGACACATAATTCTGACGGATCTGTCAGCGTCAGGTAGTCAGAGCCGTATTTTGTTTTGCTTTTTTTGTACGCTACAGATTCATTTTGTACTTGCTAGCAGCTCTTTTATTTAGGAAAGTTCATTTGCATATAAAAAACAAAATGCTACAAACAAGTTGTACTCGACACCCTATTCATTATTGCCAGCGTCGCAGACTAACATGAAAATGTCACTTGCTGATCAGCTGTTCACCTCAGTAGACGTCAATGCGTGATGGATACTCGTGAAATAGGGTTTAGGTGATTTGTTATGTATGCTAACTTAAATATTTTATTTTTAGAAGTATTATTACGAGTATATTAAAACTGTTGATTAAATCAGTAGAAGACAAACGTCCGTTTTTTTTCCTGGCACTGTCCTTATAGCTTAATTATACAGAGTGGCCCAACGAACAGGTTGCACCCCTCTTTGTGACTCTCCTGGTACATTTTGGGAAAAACGCTCAGACAAGTCAACTTTGGTTTCTAGGGGGACGTCTCTTCATCTATAGCCGTACAATACAGGGTTATTCAAAAATAAGATATTGCATTACACTTTAGATTTTTAAATGGATTGTTAATTTTCAGATTCTCCATGAAGTTTTTAGTAATTTTTGTATAATGAAGTTTATATCTATCTTCAATCGTTGTGAAGCTATTCGAACTTATAATAAAATTCTAAAAATTGTGATAAGGAACGATATCGTAAAAATAGTCAATATAGTTCCCATAGTAACAAAACTTTACTTTAAAATTAAAAACATGTCTCCGAGTATTAAAAAAACAACTTACAGTTTATACGCACATTATAGGTGAAGTAAAAATCAATTTGCTATAAAGAAGTAGGTCAATGTAGTAATGAGTGCTGAAAGTGGTGTGCGTTTACCTCCATGCAATAATAGATATTTTGTTCTAATCGATGCCTCACATTTTCAAACATGTCTTGAGTTATTTGTCTACATTCAGCCATAATCCGCTGACGAAGATCTTGAATGGAATCTGGTTTCGTAGTAAAACCTTTACTTTTCAAATGCTCCCAAAGAAAGTAATCTAAAGGTCTACGGTCTGGGTACTCGGCGGCCACTCGATGGGGCCTCGTGTGCCGATCCGCTGATTCGGTAAATTTTCATTATAATTAACGTCATTTCTATTATTTCGGTAATTCGTGGCTCTATTGTGTATTTTCTAACATATCCAAGTACGTCTCGCATTGGTCTCGCCCGTCAAGTCTCCAGGAACAAAGAAAGGTCCTACAATATGATTTCCGAAAATGCCGGCCCACACATTTATTTTTTTAGGATATTGCAAGAATACCTCTCGAAGGATTAGAGTCACTCCAATATCGACAACTACGTACACTCATCCGAGAAATAAATATTAAATAACAGATTTGCATTGTTGATCAAACGTTGGGATATTAATTCGCGAAACTCCAACTTTTTATCAAAATCGTCTTCATTATGGACAAGTTTTATCTTGTACGGTTCACATTTATTGTCTTTCAAAATCCTGAAGAAATAGCCAGCCCACGAGTGCTTTGGGTGTTGTCAAGTGCAACGTGTCCAAAAACTGCTACTTCTGCGGTTTCATTTCTTACTGGTCGATTTTCTCCATGGTGATTACGGCGAATATTAGACACAGATCCAGTTTCTTCAAATTTTCTCATCAACTTAACCACATGCTTATCGTTAATATTGTTGTCTGAATGTAAAGCATTAAACAACCGGGCAGTAGCGCTTGCAATGCTCCCATTTTCATAATACAGTTTTGATATTTCTCCACTTTCTTGAATTCAGTAAGTCATTGTTCAATATTTATCAAAAATAGGTAGGTAACTTAACACTTTGAAATGAAAGACAAAGTTTTTCTATGACATACGATGACACTGATGCTAAATGTTCTTGCTGGTATCTATGATTTTTATTTTTTGGGGTGCATTCCATTATTATCAGTATTAAGTTTTATAAACTATAATAGCTTCACAACGATTGAAAATAGGTATAAACTTTATTGTACAAATGTTACTAAGAACTTCATGGAAAATCTAAAAATTAAAAAAATGGGAGTTTCCATTTAAAAATCTAAAGCATAACGCAATATCTTATTTTTAGATCACCCTGTATTGTACAGCTATAGAAATCAAAATCGACGTATCCGAGGGTTTTTCCCAAAATATACCAGGAGAGTCACAAATGGGGGTGCGAGCTTTTCGATGGCCACCCTGTATTTTATATACATTAAGCCAAACAGAACAAAGTGTGTCCTGTTTTTTGGGTCGTTCTTTTCACTATGCAACAAAGATAACTTTTATATGATATTTGACTTGATATGACTAGAAAATGTTACGAGGTACTTTGAGCCATGTTATAAATAAAAACTCCATTACATATTCTATAATAGTAAAATCACGTTATATTGCTAAAAATATTTAATTGTCAAACAATACTCGTATAGCGTATCTTGACAACACTCATTTTTATTCCACATGAGGTTAAGAAAAGGTCAGAATTAGCAATTTCAAATCCATCATTTCGATACACTTTATAATTTTATACACTTTACGTAGATAAGCGGTTTCTCAAAAGTTTGTGGCGTAAAAAAATATATATATAAGGACGCATTTATCTGCTCTAATCGTCGGTTAGCCCTGAAAGCGGTGACATTTCCGAAGAGAGAAGTCTTCAGCACCGGACTGGTCTTAAAGAAATTGATTTGTTCTGAGTCTCTGGAGTGTCGGGTAATGAGAGGTCAGCATCATGGGATAGTTTCAAACTAACTGCCAAACTAAGACAGTTCTTATCGCCAATCCGCGATATTTATGGACCATGTTCAGCGCAAGAGAAAAGCTAGCTACAAATATGTACAACAGAAATTAAGCATCTAAGACCGACTCTTACTAACTGCAGCCCTATAGCTCTGCTTCCTATTATGAGTAAGGTGATGGAGAGGTGCATAAATCGGGGGCTTCTGGAGTACGTCCAATGTCACGGTTTGATTAGCGACCTGCAGTACGGTTTCCGGCACCAGCGATCCACAGGATACCTCCTAGCTTACGTCACGCAGTTGTGGACTATACTCATCCAGTCTTATGGTGAGGCTCATGTCGTTGCTCTTGATATCACAAAAGCATTGGATCAGCTGCCATCCTATCCAAATCTCCATTATATACCCTCCCAAGGAAGCTGTGCAGATGTATGACTGACTTTCTCTCTGGTCGCAAGATATCCGTCGTTGTTGACAGGTTCTCCTCTTCATCCCACAACGTCAACGCGGGTGTTCCCCAGGGATCGGTCTCGTGTCCACAGCTTTTTTGATGACAGCACTCTACAGCCAGGAATTCGGAGCGTCAGGCCGATTTCTGCCGGTGAACCGGAGAAAAGAAGACTAGCAGCGATGCCCTCTGACGAGAGATCTGAAGGTTATTGCTGCTTGGGGACTAAACAATCTTCGAAAACACAGCATTGTATCTTGACGAACAAGAAGCGTCCTAGCGCTCATCCAGCTTCGATGGATGACTGAGGTCTGCCAGACCCGTTAATTTCGGCTGGTCGGAGTCCAAATCAATGAGGACTTAATCTGGCACCAACACTTCTCGGCTAGGCTACTAGTTTAGGACTAAGAAGCACGTTTCTCCACATGATCTTCTCACTCTGTACAAGGCCCAGATCAGTCCTAGCCTCGAGTATTGCTCACATATTTGGGGTGCTGCCGTAGCAACTACGTTATATATGCTCGATGTTGTTCAAAGGAGGGCTCTGTCAGACTGATCGATGAGTTTTCTCTGACGAGCAGTATCGGGACCTTCTCGCACTTGTGGGCCTTCGGCGATCTAGCTCTCTTCTACCCTACGCCAATTTTCTTTGCTCCTTAGAGCTCTCCTTTATGATGCCGCCGCGAAATATGCCTGCCAGGCAGACCCGCCTGACTTCGGCCTCCCATTGTAACCGTGTCGAACTTCGTACATCCAGAACTGGCCGATATGACCACTCCTTTGTCGCTATTGTATCGAGATTGTGGAATAATCTACTTGAGGAGGCTTTTCCCAGTTCCACCAACCTTTGGCAGTTGAAAAATCGGATTAAAGAAGTTTCTTTAGGCTCCTAATAGCAGCCGCGGCATTTAGGCTTGTACCTGCGCTGCTGCTTCGGTGTAAAAAAATGGAATCAGTCAAACAGGCCAATACAATTAGTCTAAATACATTTTCTCTGTCCTACCGATATATAGTACTACCCAACAACGTCGTTCCTCGCCCATACCTCATCGCTTGACGCATCCACTTGGCAGTCACGGCATGATATTGTGGCGCCGGTATTGAAAATGCTGCAACTAAAACACCGTATTTGCTGTCCAAAGTCTAATTTATTACCCTACACTAATTTATAAAACTGGCAACTAATTTATGAGATATTTATAACCAGGTCGACTGGACCATTGCGTTCTGTTGAGAGTTATCGCTCCCTGTCGACTGCTAGACTGTCTTCCGCCAGTGGTGCAGTATCTTTTACGTTTAAATTGGCCAATGAGCGTTCCAGCGCTGCATGGAAGTCATCAAGACGTGGACCGAAGCTCCTCAATGGCTATCGAATGCTCCCGATTCGTCCACAAAGCTCCTCAATATGGGGATAATCGCTCACGCTCAGCCTCGTAATTCTGGTGGCCTAAGGATTGGAACTCTCAAAAAAATGAGATATACACTTCTCCACCCCCTTGTAACTCCCAACATCCAATTTTTGAAACCTACATCTTTTCTGAAAGCCAGCAAGAGCCTTTGAAACGTCAAATAAGGGAGTTTGAGCGATTTCTATCTTTTCGTTTTTGGGCTGCAGCTTCGCTGCAACTAAACCGATTTTCGAAACGACAACGTTTTTTCGACATTGGCATAATGTATGAAAATTTCATAATGATATTCTACTTTATTTGCCACCGCATAATGAGATAATATTGCAACAAAAATACAAAGATAATAATTCATATTGTATATGCGAAAGCAGAAGGGCGCAGTTTAGTTGAGAGCTAATCTACCAGTTAACGGATATCAATTTCCGAACGGTACTTTCCAGGTAATTTTCGTAATGTACATGTCATATAACATGCAAAAAACCTGATAGCCCACTTTCGAAATTTTTCGGGGTTACAATAGTTCCTCGCCAGTGATCTGAGAAGTAAAAGCAAGATTCCTTATTTTCTAAGTTCTGAAATTAGGAAAAAATAAGATTTCTCTATGTCCACCCTGTAAACACTGAATTAACGTAAACTGAAAATCGTTCAACAGGTTCGTGACTTTTAAAACACAATCTGCATTCAATAAGGGGACTTAACGCTATATTTATTACTTATATAATCTAATATAGTAGCCTTGGATTAGTGTGTGACTAGCAGTTAAGGAGGTAGGTAATCAAGTGTTTAAAGTGCTGATCACATTCGCGCGGGACTTTCAATCTTAGTTGCAATTCATATGTGGTTGTGGAAATTTTAATGTGACAGCCTGTCAATTCCCCTTATTTAGAGCTTTTGACTAGACGCAACTATTTGTCCAGTTGACGTTTGTCCACCTACATACAGTGGATGACCTAAAAAAACTGGGGAGGAGATATATTTTGAAAAGTGAAATTACGCAAAGATCAATTTGATAGAATAAATCTAAAGTGCAGCACTTCCTACCTTATTGAGTACCTGTAAGTACAATTCAGTATAAATCTATATTCAGTTGAGTTTGTCCTCAAGTACAAAAGTTAGGTTACATAATAATTTTAAACCAATAAATATTTTGAATTTGAACTTTTCTTTCCTGATAAGCCTAAGCTGGTATTTTAACAACATTTTTATTTATATTTTGCAACTAACGCCATGATCATTTTAATTTATAATATACCTCTATGCTTCAATAATATTTAAATGCATCAATATAATATCACTCTGATGTCAATACCTACATGGTTTAAAAAACTTATTGCAACATTTTATAAAAGTGGGTAAGATTGATTCAAATCATATAAGTTACTATTCTACTCCTTGAAAAATGTTCACTTTCACTTTTTAAAACTATTCTTTGCCTTGAATTTGTACTACCATATGTTGTATTTTTCATTTAATATTTTCCCTGTTGAAGCTTAGGAAACAATATATGTAGTATAAATAAAATGCATATTACAAATTACAGTTCTGTATTTTCAGTTATTTTCATGCTGATGAACTCAATGTTTTTCTTATTTGTACTTTGTACAAGGATTTAATATGTGTGTATTTCATTGATAATTCAGTAATTTAAAATTTTCATAAGAAGCAAAACAAATATAATCTAATATATTTTTGAAGGCACAATGTTACATAATATGTTTTTCATAATTTATTATAGGTTTGAAACCAGTGAAAATGTCTTGTCCCTTCTTAGGAAAACTAACTCAGAGCTACATAAAAAATTATGCTCATGTCCTTGTGGCCGTGTATGGCCGTCAGTGCCCTGTGATATCTCGTAACATGGGTAATATTGCTAATGCTGACCCAGCTCTTAAATGTCAAGGTAAAAATGAAAATTCATATGGCAGAAGCATCTTGGCTCATGTATGCTATTTCAGAGATTGAAGGCAAAAGTAAAACACCATGCCCATTTTTGAATGAAGTTACTTCAGCTATCAAGGAAGTGAAGCATGACGATACATTTGTTGAACCACCAGCTGCAATTGAAAACAAAAATGTTGAAGGTATAGTGCCTAGTTTCTTGTGAATGGTTGCATCAAGTAGATTAGCTCAACACTGCAGATTTTAGAATTTTTATTTTGCGTGATTTTTCAGATATTTTCCCTTACAATCAGTTCTTCCACCAACAAATCATGAAGAAAAAAAAGGAGCACTCATACAGAATTTTCAAGAAAGTAAACAGACTCGCAGGTCCAGGTCAATTTCCCCAAGCAATGGAGTACTCATGGGGTGAAAAACCTATCACTGTATGGTGTTCAAATGATTATTTAGGCATGTCTTCACACCCTGAAGTTAAAAATGCTGTCAGGTATGGGCTACAATATTTTTGAACTAAAATTAATTTTGTGATGTTTTTGTCATTTTAGAGATGCACTTGAAAAATATGGTAGCAGTGCAGGCGGTACTCGAAACATCTCGGGTAACTCCACATGGCATGAGAAATTAGAAAAAAACATAGCTAACCTTCACCAAAAAGAAGCTGGACTACTGTTTACCTCTTGCTTTGTTGCCAATGATTCAACACTATTTACTCTTGCAAAGTCTTTACCAGGTGCCAAGCTGGGAACATAAAAAATACTTATTTCTACTGACTGTTTATATTTTAGGTTGTCACATCTTTTCCGACGCTGGAAATCACGCGTCTATGATCCAAGGTATACGGAACAGCCAAGTTCCCAAGCACATTTTTAGACACAATGACCCTCAACATTTAGAAGAATTATTGAAAACTGTAGATAAAAGGGTGCCTAAGATTGTGGCTTTTGAAACTGTACATTCCATGACAGGAGCTGTGTGTCCTTTAGAGGTGAGTAGTCTTTCAGTGACTATCAAATCAATAGTTGCAATCTTTCTAAAATGTATTTTCCAAGATGCCCAACTCCATGCTATATTTGGGCATGGATATACAGTTTTCATCATCACAGCCATATTATACGTAAAAACAGACTTTATCTTCCTTTTTAAAAAAATGTTTCATCAACTTTCCAAAAGTTGCCTATTGTCCTATTTTAATCTCCCCACCTAAATATTTCGAAACCTCTGCAACCTATAAAAATAAGTTTTAAATAAAAGATGTAGTTTTTTGAGGGGGCAAAGTGCCTTGATGACGATCTTCAAGATGATTCTAAGGTCAAGCAAATATTTTTAAATGCACTGGAATCTTGAAGAGCAGGAAATTTTACTTTTGAGTATCACCATGGCTCCCAAGGTCAAATCAAGACATTGCAAACAATTTGGTGAACTTGAGAGGTTTTCTTTAAAAAATTGTCTTGACCTGGAAGGTCATGGTCAAGGTGACCTTTGGGTTATCCTCACAACTGTATTGTTGTGCTAGAGCGGATTGTTTTCAGTGTATTTACTTGAGCTTGAAACTTCCTTGAAAGTCATGGTTATGGTCAAGGTTATGTTCAGATGTAGCGTTTCCAATACCGATGTAAAAAAGGAGGTTGACCGTGGAGGTCGTGGTGAAGGTCATGGCCAAGGTCATCATCATTTTGCCTCTCTCGACACCCTACAACCTTGGTTTGAATCGTTTTTTTCTATGATGCGTAGTTTATTTAGGTGGGGATACTGAAATGGCCGCTCTGTATAGTTGTAACCGTAACTGGTTGGTGGGGCCACGGCACTTATGGTTATTTTCGCGCTGGCACTGCTTTCAATCGGATTGGGCAGCTTTACTGGAATAATGCAATGGATGCTATACCCGGGCACCAAAAAGGATGAGAGTAGGAAAACAAATCGTACGCTACTGCAGGCGCGGCGTCCTTTTGATTCGACAAAGTCGGAGCGGATATCGCCGGTCATGCCGCGCTGGCCAGTGGCGTGCGACGTGTCACTTTTCGGTCCTGGAGCATAAAAGGCATCTCTTTTTCAGGAATTATGTGACGTGTCGCACAAATATGGTGCTCTGACATTTGTGGATGAGGTTCATGCTGTTGGGTTATATGGAGAACATGGAGCTGGTATTGGAGAAAGGGATAATGTGATGCAAAAGATGGACATGATATCAGGAACATTAGGAAAAGCATTTGGAAATGTTGGAGGATACATTGGTTAGTTGACGTTGGCGTTCAGAAACACTACATGTTCGGTCATAAGCGATTTATATTATATTCGAATGAGAGACGAAAATGGAAAACTTGCTTTACAAATTTCAATATTTTCCGACGTCAAATTTTCCAAAACCCCTCTGTCATCTAGACGAAATCCAGTTTTGTGAGTGGATCGAGTACAGAACCTCAATTTAATGTTAGGGCTAACAGGTTCTGCCTCAAATACGGCACCACTATTATATTTCACTAATTTTTGTCGGTCATGTTTTCAGCGCCCCAAATTGCCTAAGTCTGGGCGTACCAAATTCATTTGTTTGTAAAAAAGGGAGACTGAATCAAAAATTTTGTACCACAAATTCATATGAGATCATTGTCAGTAATCATCGCGAAAAAGTACCTCTGAATGGATCTCCCTGTATACTCTCAGACTTATACATGAGTGTTTCTTAGGATCTCAGTTATCTTATCTGTAGTTATTTACTTGATTGCTTTCATCTACTGTTTATGATCAGTTATAGGACCTGAGTCAGCATAAATCCTCATGAGCTAGCATGATAAGTTATTTCACTTCATCATTTGAAGTAGACTGTGGAAAAATATCACAATTTAAAAATATACCGGGTGTTTCATCTGAAAAATGTATATTTGTTTTGCCACAATATTTTTGATGTGTCATCTACATACAACCTTTTTATATACCTTTTGTTAAAGATAGTTTGAAATATTGGTAATGTTTCAGCTGGTGATGCGATTTTGATCGACATGCTGCGTTCATACGCAGCTGGTTTCATTTTCACCACGTCTCTTCCACCTACGGTTTTAGCAGGTGCATGCAAAGCTATTGAGATCCTAGCATCGGAGGAAGGAAGACAACTGAGAGAAAAACATCAAGCTAACGTCAAGTAAATACTCAACGTATTATAAAGTGTCAATAAAACTGATAGTCAAATAGTAGTCAAGTCATAGTCTCGTCGAGTCATAGTCGAGTTAATAGTCAAGTCATAGTGAAGTTATAGTCATAGTCAAGTTATAGTCAAGTCATAGTCAAGTCATAGTCAAGTCAAGTCATACTCAAGTCATAGTCAAGTCATAGTCAAGTCATAGTCAAGTCATAGTCAAGTCATAGTCAAGGCATAGTCAAGTCATAGTCAAGTCATAGTCAAGTCATAGTCGAGTCATGGTCGAGTCATAGTCAAGGCATAGTCGAGTCATAGTCCAGTTATAGTCAGTATTCGAGGCATAGTCGAGTCATAGTCGAGTCATAGTCAAGTCATAGTCCAGTCATAGTCAAGTCATAGTCAAGTCATATCAAGTCATAGTCAATCATAGTCAAGTCTAGTCAAGTCATAGTCAAGTCATAGTCAAGTCATAGTCAAGTCATAGTCAAGTCATAGTCAAGTCATAGTCAAGTCATAGTCAAGTCATAGTCAGTCATAGTCAAGTCATAGTCAAGTCATAGTCAAGTCATAGTCAAGTCATAGTCAAGTCATAGTCAAGTCATAGTCAAGTCATAGTCAAGTCATAGTCAAGTCATAGTCAAGTCATAGTCAAGTCATAGTCAAGTCATAGTCAAGTCATAGTCAAGTCATAGTCAAGTCATAGTCAAGTCATAGTCAAGTCATAGTCAAGTCATAGTCAAGTCATAGTCAAGTCATAGTCAAGTCATAGTCAAGTCATGGTCAAGTCATGGTCAAGTCATGGTCAAGTCATAGTCAAGTCATAGTCAAGTCATAGTCAAGTCATAGTCAAGTCATAGTCAAGACATAGTCGGGTCATAGTCAAGGCATAGTCGAGTCATAGTCCAGTCATAGTCAAGTCATAGTCGAGTCATGGTCGAGTCATAGTCAAGTGATAGTCAAGTCATAGTCGACTCATAGTCAAGTCATAGTTAAGTCATACTCTAGTTATAGTCAAGTCACTCGTCAGTCTTATTTTCTTTTTAAGGCACCTCAGAAATGAACTGCTAAAACGCGGCTTTCCAGTGGAGCACACCCCTAGTCACATAATACCGATCAAAATAGGCAACCCCTTGCAATGCGGGGCCGTGAGTGATATGTTGCTAAAAGAGAAGGGGCACTACATACAAGCCATCAATTACCCTACGGTTGCGAGGGGGGAGGAAAAGTTACGGTTAGCGCCAACCCCGCACCATTCTAAGGAACTTATGAATAAGCTTGTGGAAGATCTTAGCGAAGTATGGGCAGAGTTGAAGCTACCTTTAGGTGGACTTCAATGTGGACAGGTATGTTTGGGTACACATCATAAAATACAGGTTTGTTTTTTCTTATTTCACACCTCACGGTTTTGGACGACGATAGTGGAGTTCAGCGACCCAATGTAATTCTCTTGTAACAACAGGAAGCAAACATTTAAAATCTGCCATATATTTTGAGGTTCATATGCAAAATTTCACGATTCTGAGATGCAGTTTCAACCTTTTCATCTCAAAAAGTCGGAATGGTCATGTTTCACAGACCACATTAAAGATCGAACTTCAAGATTTTTCATGCCCTACTAGCATGCCTATGCAAATATGACGTTTTCGCCATGGCGTACGATGGTAATATGATATATAATAAATAATAACTTCTATGTGGTGTCAAATGCTCAAAACACGTTTATAAGGCTCCGTATCTTCTAAAAAGATATCGATCCTAGATCAGAAGAAGAAACCTCTCATTCAAAATTATGGAGAATGTATGTACATCTTTATCGATAACGGACGAATTTTAAATAAAAGGCTTCTGGTCTGATTATTAACATCTACATGATAAATATGTTATTTCTGTCAGGTTTAGTCTAGCCATCTCAAATTCGGCCCTCCAATAGCTCACGAATATTTCACTGTTGTATTTGCTTGTAACAAACGAAAATAGGAAAAGTGTTCATAGAGACCTGAAAATAACACAATTTTCTAGTTGATCATCATCTATGAAATTTTTGCGTTTAAATATTTTTAAACATATGTTTTTTAAACTTGTCAATACTTTTCTTTTTATTGCAGCATTTGATTCTTGTTAAGAATTTTGGCATTTTTTGTCCGAAATTCACACAGTTTCGAACAGTTAACTTCTTTCTTTCCATATGAAAGCATGGTTGAAAGACTCTATACTTTAAAAATCTATAATATACTAAGTGACATATAAATCCGAACACCCAGTTTAAATGGTTTTATTTTAATAAAAGTTGGTGAATGTATTTATCTTACTGTAAATAACAAGTGAAAAAATTTTCAGCCTTATCAGTTGGACATTCCGGTTTTCATACTGCTTTTTTTTAATTCACTAACGCTCTAAAAATGAATATTTCAGCCGCAGTAAAGAATCAACGTTGGCGGATTTTGGTTCTTGACATCCTTTACGATCGGTTACGATGCCTAGAGTACGGAGACCTGTACGATTTGGTCAACTTAGTGAGTTTGATAGGGGCCGTATAGTGGGACTTCGGGAAGCTGGACTTTCTTTTCGGGCAATTGCAGTTAGAGTGCAAAGAAGTGTAGACACTGTGGTTAGGTGTTGTCAGGCATGGCTTCGAGAAGGCCGTACGCAAAGAGCAAGGGGCACTGGGCGCCGCCGTAGAACAACAGACCGTGAAGATCGCCGCCTAAGATTATTGGCCTTAAGGGACCGTTTCTCCACTGCCAGGTCCATTGCAAATGAATGGTTTGCAGAACACGGAAGACCTATTGGCATGCGAAGTCTTTACCGACGAATGAGAAGTTTTGGCTTGTTTTCATACCGGCCACACTGGGTCCTCCCTTTAACTCGAGAACACCGACGTAATCGCCTTGAGTGGTGCAGACAACGGTCACTCTGGGATCAGGAATGGAACAGTATTGTCTTTAGTGACGAGTCTCGATTTTGTTTAGGCATGCACGATGGTCGTGCCAGGGTTAGAAGGCGACGTGGTGAAAGGAGGAATCCACAGTTTTTTGTTGAAAGACATGTTCATCACACTGTTGGAGTTATGGTTTGGGGTGCTATAGCTTATGGTTCCAGATCACCTCTAATCTTCATCAGAGGTAACATGAACGCGCAGCGTTATATCCACGAAGTTCTAGAACCCTATCTTTTACCCTATCTTGACACCCTGGCAGATCCAACTTTCCAACAAGATAATGCCCGACCACATGTTGCAAGAGTCACAAAAGACTTCTTCCAACATAATGATGTCACATTGTTACCATGGCCACCAAGATCTCCTAGCCTTTTCATTATAGACTTCTTTTTAAAAGCCCAAAGTCGCGGTTTTAGTTTTTGTCCAAAATTCACCCATTTTTAAATGTTTTTTATGTGAGCACATGGTTGCAACACTTTTTACTTCAAATGTATAATAAAAACACTGATACACGAAATATACGAGTATATATGAAAATGAAATTGTTGCGCCACAGTGCTCTCAATAACAACAGTTGAAGTTGAAACGAATCAATGCACGCATATAATGACCTCAACTTTTGTTTTTAATGTGAACGCGATGTCCAGTTCTTGCTCCCGCTAGGCGGCCTCTGTGCATTTGGCCGTCAAACTGTCAAATGTTGATGGAGAAAGACAGATTTGATAGGGAGCTAAGGTCATCACGTTCTGATTGACGTGATCAGCTGATCAACGATTGCCATCTTTGTTTATAACCTTGGTCGTGACCTCCAACTCAACTAGCACTATCTGCTTCATCTTCACAGATTACCCCCCCCTCATTACTTAAGTATGGCAAAGTTTTATTGCTTGCAGCAGCAGAATACGAAAATTGAATTTTTGCAATTTCAATATCCTTTTCAAAATTTGACTGTTTTTTTTTCTTTTGTTCTAGGAATGCAAGTTTTGCCACCAGCCAATTCTCTTCGACCTGTTTGAATCAAGAGAGAATAGTCGTAATTCTATGCATAACTGTAACATTCCGAATTGCCCTCAGATTGTTGCAGCTCCCGCATAAAGGCTTTTTTCCCTAAAGACCGTTTCTGCAACTAATTTTTTGTATAAGATCTGGGATGAGGTTTTAAATAAAAATTGTTTTTACAGAATTTTTTATCAAGATTTTGCTTAGAAACTTGCAACAGTTAAGTGAGGTTATGGGCCTAAAGATTGCATGAAAAGCGTTTTGGGGTTCATTCTAGATGTTTATGAAAAAATATTATGATACTAATCTATTTAATAAATTCAAAAAAATCTTATACAAAAGATTGTATAGGTAAGGTGTTGGTGGAAAGATAATGCCTAGATAAAAATGTATAGATTCCTTTCAAGAAAATTTGTGATGGTGTATATTTATTTTTCTATGTTTATGTTTGAGAAACAAATTAAAGTTGGTTATCAGTTAGTGTTTTATTTTTTCTGCCCCTATATAAAATATATTTCTTGTTTCCATACCAATACGTGTGAAGATATTTCATAAAAATCCCAATGGTAGGTATAGTTGACAAGACCAGTAATATTAGATACTACTGTCAAAAATGATTAATTTTAGTTACCTATTTTTTACCACGCCCTAAAATGATCAGAAAGTTGAAAAACCAGTAAGTCGAAAATTTAGATATTTTGATACTTCTTATTTTTGAGTCATAACTCCGCCTCCAATGGACTAATTTCCAGAAATAACCTACCAAAAGCCCACAGCATATCTATCCAAATATCATCGGAAACCTTACAACCATTTTTGTTGATGCGATAACGCCAACAGACAGAGCCACAGAAATGAGTGACATGGATTTTCATGACGTATCTGAGCTCGTCGTTACTTACCTACCATATTTTTTTTGTTTCATTGCACATCCTACAATGTAGTCGAAACTTGGCAACGTTGCATTGCCTTGCAATTGCAATTATTTTTACGCTTTTCCTGCGAGACATAGAAATTATGCTTCTGTGATGTAGCACGTAGCTGTTATACTTTAATAACAATGCCCTACTTTACTAACAATTAATAAGGAATCTTTTTGAGCTAGGTATTCGGAATTTTGACGCCATTTTATTAACTGTTTCCTACATAGGTTTTTGAGCTGTACGGATTGAAAACGAGACCTCTTATCATGTTATTCGACGCCTGGGCAGAGGTTTAGAATAGGTTAAAGATAATGTTACAATATTTGAATTTTTTCATTTATGTGTGGGAAAGCAAGCGGATTGGCTCGCTCCTATCTAGTGTGTCGTATGCGCATTCGCATTCGCGAAGAGTATAACAAATAAGGTCGTTGCCATGTTAGTTGGTCCAAAACACCATGACAGTATTGACAGCGCATTTTAAAAGATCCAAATAAAATTCCGCGAATGAAAAGTCGAAGTTGGTGAACAAGTGTGGGCATTTTGTGAATTTCGCGTATTTATGAACAAAGGAGGCACTGAAGCAAAGCAAAGGCATCATTTCATAACGGGAGTTCTCCAGTGGCGTAGTTGATTTATAGGGGGTAGGGGAACCTCTATCCAAGGTATATCAAGTGGATAACAGTCTTTAACATTGTATTGTTCTCTTACCAAGTCGTAAAACATTCACCTATTGAATTTATCAGATTCTTTACAAGAAAATTTACTCCAGACGCTTATGCAATTTGGGGTACCGAGTTCGAATATGCTCATTAAATAATCGTGAATGATAGTAGAGCCGAATTTGAAGTATAAAAATGTTCTCTCAAGGGCAAATGCCCGGACTCATTATTTTTTTTTCATTTGGGATATTGAATTCGCCGAATATGATCGTCAAAAAATTATGAGATATCGTGGAGCAAAATTTGAGGCAAAAATAGGTAGCTGGAGACCCTTCGTAGATTTTTAATATGTAACTGATTTGCTCAGAAGACGACACAAAATCACGGGGGTGGTTGTCTGACTCTTTGGATACCATAGATGGTCAATATAACGTAAAAAAATATGTATAGCTCCTGTTTCCATGTAGACAATACTTGAGGGATACATTTTAGTTTTATGTTCATGAGCTTTTTCCAGAATGGCGAAGTGGCGACTTTCAAGTAATATTGAAAGGAACGTCAAAGGCAACTTTGCTTACTGGAGCTTATCTGAGAGAATTTGTATAGCTTCATATTCTAAACTTGTAGAGTGAAAATAGTGCAATAAACGTTAAAGAGGTTGAAAATACCGTAAGCGTGCTTTTTCGAAGGAGGGACGTAAATTTTTACTTTTGCAACGGAGAAAACTTACGTGTATCTTTTAGTATTTTTAAAGCGTCGTAATTCAAAAATGATGAGGAAATAAATATGTGTAGGAAAATCGGCAAATACTTATTTTTCTGTGTTTAAGAGGCAAAGTGACATTTTTTCCATTTATTTTGTGACCCACCATAAAATTAATATCTATAGATATTCCTCCATATAATATGAAATGACTACTAATGCTTTAAAGACGGTCTTATCATACTAGACGCTGCCGTCTACTAGTTTGAAGAATGCATTTACAAAATTATTGTCGCACATATATCGATATCTAATCGCAAAGAGAAAAAAAATGAAATGTTCTGGGTCTGTGCTGGAATTTTTTGGACTTAGAACCCCACATTTAGAGCCTTGAAAAATACTTTATCGCCATCAAAATATTAAAACCGAAACTTGGTGCCCTTGAATATATACTTTCAAACTTGAAACATGCTAATTACCACTGCCATACTTTTGGGGTGAATAAATAAATGGTTCATCCAAAATTTGACAAATTCGCCCATATACTCGACTGTACGTAACTGATTTACCCAGAAGGCTTTAGGTCCTAGTTAACGCAGGATTTTTGAGAAAAAACAGACTTTGTCGGGCAAAATTTCCATTTTCGTTTCCCATTGCTTCATGTTATTAGAGATGGGCTTCACGAGCAACAGTTGTGAAAAAACATGTTTTATTTTTCGAGGTAAAAAGTCTGTTGAATGAACCTTGCTGCCCTCTTGAGCTACGCCACTGGTAGAACTTGACGCATGCGCCGTAGTCAGTGTACTGGCGAGATCGCGTAGCGTCGAATGTCGAATAACAATTTTTGATTTGATTTGACGTGTTGTGTACTCCCAGCTTCTTTTAATTTATGTGTATTATGGTTATTTAGCCAAAAAGTGCAGTATCCTCTAACAAACATGTCGTGGTGTGCGGTGTGTATATGTATATGACTGTGCCGTTTACCTGCCGAGGTATTAGGATGAACCATATCTTTTATCATGAGGAACCAGCGTGTTACATATTCTACCTATAGTTGGAGTTTGAGAGAATATCAGAATTAAATACATGTGGGTTACGTTTATAAAATAAACTTTGTTTAAAATGTACGCGAAAGGAAAGGGGTCGACGGTACCATCAGATGCACAGGCCAGAGAAAAGTAAGTAAAAATGCCGGAATCGTTTATTTTTATTTTGTTTCTTCATTGCCTACTTATTGATTTTTTAAACTGCCAAAAAGTGTCTTGTAAGGCCTACCGTGTTATTTTATATAATTCAAGATTGCACATCACTGCACAATCAAAAGAGGCCTTGATAACGTAGCTTGTGATTTTGTTTATAGATTTACCGTTCTTTAGTCCTCGCTTTGTTGACCTTTTTATTATTTTATTAATAGCGCTATTTTTATGAAAAACATTGTTTTCTACAGGTTGGCATTGTACGTGTACGAATATTTACTCCACGTTGGTGCACAAAAAGCAGCACAAACATTTTTATCAGAGGTATGTTTACATATCCGTTACCAAATACAGGTTAAATAAAAGTATTTGTTGTTAACGAAAAACGATTAATTTTAGATTCGATGGGAGAAAAACATCACATTAGGAGAACCACCGGGATTTTTACATTCGTGGTGGTGGTATGTTGACATTTTCTATAGTTATAGCTTTTTTTAATACCGCCTATTTTTAGCGTATTTTGGGATTTATATTGCGCTGCCCCTGAAAGGCGAGATACATGCGAACATTCTTCAGAAGCAAAAGCTTTTCATGATTACGTGAGTATTTTTGTATTTATGGTAGTATTTTCGTTCGGATCAATACTCCATGGTCTTCGATCTGGCAACGTCGCTTTGAGTACGCGTTTGACCAGGTATACTCGCACAGCTCGTTATTGAACGTAAAAACGACTTTCATTTCTTTTTCGACTTTTTCTTTACTTTCCCTATGAACGTTCGTCGGCGTTGATATTAAAAAATATATGTTTGCGATGCAACGCTCATAATTATCCGCGTACTTTTAATTCAGCTTAATAATGGACGGACGAGTATTTGTCTGGCCGACATACACGTATCCCAAGTAGAAAACCTTGAATTTTTAGTCCTGTTTTGTTTCCTTCATAGAACCGTCCTAGAACTATTCTAAACTCTCGCCTTGTTTGGACATTTTGTAAACTTATGCTTCAAAGGCGTACTACCGGGGATTTTAGGGGGACACCCTCTTGATTCTTAGAGGTGTAGCTGCAAAGGAGATTGGGCTTATTATTTGAAGAAACTTATCATTTACAGTGAGAAATGATATGGCGTTACGTTCGATTTCTCTTCTTTTGAACTCTGATACCCCAAAAGTTTTGTATTTTTTCCTTCTGCAGAAAAGTCGTTTTTTATCATCAGTGTTCGTCAATAACTTAAAAAAACAATTGAGATTTTGATAAAAAATTAACAGAGAGTTTGTAATAGCTATGCTAAACATGAGGGACAAACTGTTTTAAATCGAAAATACATTCATAACCAGTGATTTATTTAGGGGTACTTTATTAAAGAGAAAAAAATATAGCTGCAAATCACGCAGCTGTATGGGGCTTTCTTTATTGTGGAAATAAAGAAGTGTTTTTGAAATCCAGCTTTTGAATTTTTTTTGTTATAAACGTCAACTGTTACCCTGGAGGTCAATATGGTCTATTCTGGAATTCCAAGTTTGCATATATTATAATATCCAATAATGCACTGTCTATCTGGAATCTTACCCCATGATCCTCAGAATATTTAGGCTAGAGAATAAGGAGATTTTGAATAACAAAATTCTACAATAAAAATACTAAATGTTGTTGGTGATGTCCTTAGAATATAGCTTTCTAATGTTAATTTGAAATTATGATAGGACAGGGGCGTCAGCCGCTACTTTGATAAACGCGATTGATCAAATATGTCATAATCTATAGAAACTACATAAAAAATTAATAGAAAAATTTTTGTATGGAATTCTCTATATTTTCTTTATGTAGAGCTTTTTCTTGTGAACAGTTTGCAGTCTGCAAAAGCCAATTTTGGCCTGGAAAACAATGTGGAAAGCACTTCAAAATAAAGTAATCTCAAAATACTCTTTAAGGTCTTGTAGAGCAAGGTTTCAATTTCAATTTAGATACTTGGTGACCTCAAAAATTATAATTATAATTTTTCAGCATCAAATTTGTTTAAAGTGATTTTTAACCTCGTCGTCGAATTTGCCATTGCTTAATTTTATTGAAAGAGAGAATTTAAATGAAACTTACAAATTAAATAAAGCATACACCTGTGTACATTTTCCGACAGCTCACAGTCGCAAAATGTAACAATAACTCAGGATGTGTCGATTTTCTCACCATCTGAGGAAATCAAAGATAATTCTAAAATAAATTAAAACACTAAGTCACCTCAAAATTTAGATAAATAATTCTAATCAAAATGGAAACAAAATACTAAATTAAATATATTGTTATTGGGTTTGATAGTAACCTAACCTATTGTAGAAGCCTGTGCGAACATTTTCTGGTGTATGTAGGCGATGTAGTGATGACCTTCGCTCTTCAGCTGGCTTCTATCTTATTCTAACATGTGTTGATACACACTTCTCGTGCTTCTCTCTCTCTCTTACACATTGAACTCAAACCGACAAACAAATTGCAAAATCTCCAATAGACAGACTAAAGGAAGTGAGTGGCTTGCATTTTCATGATGAAGATAACAAATTTTTCCGAAAAGATTACACTTTCCATACTTACACGTGGGGTAAAAGAAAGGATAAAATTCATGATCATAAGGAAACACCTAGACAACGTACGTAAAATGCGGGAGTATTATATCGCGCGACTGTTTTGATATGAGTTTTTAACTTTCACATTAAGGAATTTGTAGCATACTTTATTCTCTACAGTTGTAGTCTTTATATGCATAGATAGTTAGTTCAGGGCCGTATTGTCTTGTTCAGAAACGCTAAGGTATTTCTAGATTTCAGGCTGACAACTTGATTCGAATAGTTAGTTGTAACATAACTTCAAAATAGAGCAATGACACGGAACAGTAGAGAAAACTATGTAAATGAAGGAGGCCATAAAGGCATCCTAAAATTGTAGGAACGACTGACGATACGGCCCTTAGCCATTTATAGGCGAAAATATCATTTCATGAATCTTTATCCTTGAATTTCTCGTAAACTGTTGAATTCTCTAAAGCAGCAAAATGGTAATCAATTTCCCTACCAAGTTTTTTCTATTTTGACTAGTTTGCGAGATATTTGATCAAATGCGTTTATCAAAATGGCGACTAATGCCCAAACTCTTATCATAATGCCACTTTGCATTCATCAGTACAAAGCAGGATTCTGACGATATCAATAAAAAAGTTCTGTTACACTTCTTGTAAGTAAAAAATACCTATTTCTTGCGGTAATCTGGTTCAAGTCGGCGACGCGACTTGCAGCACAGCCCGTTAAACCATGGCTCAACTGCGGCAATGATTGGGTGAGCAGCTAATTTCTCGTTTTCAGACCGATAAATTGGCCGCCTAGATCGTGTGATCTTATACCTCTAGACTTTTACCTACCTGCAGTGATAGCGATTTGATAAAATAGTTTTCAAAAAGGAATGCCATGGATGCTTCTTTTTGTTTGATAATACAGATACCCGACACAGTTGATTGTTATTAATTTTTATTTCCCACGTCTACTGGCGGGGAAGTATTGCATTTGCGAAAATTTTCGAAAATGAGATATTGTTTTTTTTTTTGGATGTCATTTCCGTCGTTCTGTCTGTCTTATAACCTTCTATAACTTGAAAAGTACCGCTCAGATTTTGAAAATTTGTACACAATGTTACTACTATGTCAAGGAGGCAAAAGCTTTGTAGTGTTTGAACATCGGTCCAGTGAGAAAAAAGCTGAAAACAAAAAAAAGCAGAAATAAAAATCTATTTTTTTTGACGTTTCAGATGATTCTGATCAGTTTCGGAAAATGTTTTGTAGGGGTTGGGGACGGCATATCTAAATTTTTTGACGTTGGTATATTTATGCGCCTTCAACCCCAGTAATTCTACACACGGCATATTTCACTCATCATAGATCCCCCCGTACATTTATAGCTTATCGTGGGAAGTACAGTCATCTTACTTGACGCCATTTTTATGCTTTTGAAAAAAGTTCCTTTAAATAAAATGATCCATTATTTCGTTCCAGCTATCTGAAAAGCGCATTTTGATCGTTAAAAAATGTTCTTCTACGCCTCTGGTTGTACCCAAATACCTTTACAAACAGGAGAGAACCATTTCATTCAATTTGAGAAAGGCATATTGAATCCTAGTACTGTTATTAATTTGATACTGTTCCGTACGGTAATTACGTCAAAAATCTTCAACATTTCATGAAATGCCTTCCTCGCGGATAAAATGCATTATTAAATATATGAAGATTTAATTTTCTTTGTTCACTTTCTACAGATGGTTTCAAATCTACCAATCACCTACTTTCTATCAGCATTTTTCTCTGTTGCATTCTCTACTTTCATTTTTTTGTTATATTGAACTGGCTACTGGCGACGAAGTATTGTAATGGCGAAAAATTTTGATTTTGAGATTTTATATTTTTTGGATGTTATATGATGTGTAGATCACGAAAAACATGACACTCTTTCTGTCAGTCTGGCTGTCTGTTCCTCTATAATTTGGAAAGTACCGCTCGGATTTTGATGAAATTTTCACACAATATTACTATTATGCCAAGGACCTAAAAGCTTTATAGTTTTTGAAAATCGGTCCAGTGACTGCGGAGAAAAAGGCAAAATACGAAAATATCTCTCAAACTCTGTTTTTTTTTGACGTTTGACAGGTTCCTAAACATTTTCCGGAGAGGATTGAATCTATGTGGCATTATAGCTAGTAATGAAAGGAACAATTTTGATTCATTTTAGTCTGTAACTTTTTTTCTGGGTATGTGAAAAATGATGATAAATAATCATTATTCAACAATGCTGTTAGCTTCTTTAAAAATCCGCATACCTCTTTCTAAATATTTTTGAACTAAGGGTGAAATTACTGAAGCGACCCTAAAATTGGCTAGAAATACGATGCAATCATTAAAAAGTGAGTAGTTCGTACAAAAAATGGCTGCTAGAAACTGACTGCTAATTTCACGCCGGTGAAGCCACAATAAATGACTTGCTAACATCAAAGGCCATGGAGCTTGCTTGAAAATATTTCTACATTAGATAATACGTTTTAGGGTTTTGTGAACTCTGGATATGGAGTCAACGGAATCGCACATGTAAGTTATTTTTCACATAATTTTGTGTATACGAATACACCTCATGTTTCAAATAATACAGGTTGTTATATTTCACTTTAACCATTAACGTATTCTACCTGATGATGGCTAACCTAATACTGTATTCCAGCGTCCAAAAAATTATCTGAGATGACATCAGACACCGTAGCGTCATCTATGAGAATTTATCACAGCTATGTTTTACCTTTCCGCAATAATTAGACATTTACTTTGAAAATGTTAGTGGCTCATAGATAGATAGATAGATACATTTATTGTCTTGTAGATCATAAAATGACATAAGACTCATCCTAAGTGGGAGGTACATAGTACACGTAATTAAATGTAAAAGCAAAACAAACATAAGTATTTACAAAGTACAAACAGGAATAACTTAATGCGTAGATGGCGCTGTAGACAATTATATGTTCATGTGTCTATAGCGTCATCTATGGGACACTAACCTTTTTAAATTATATTTATAATTATACATGGCTGTAACAGATTCACATAGATGATAATTTTTTGGAGGCTGAAGCACTCAGGTTGGCTATCTCCAGGTACAATACGCTAATCAATGCTTTGACCGATGTATTTCCCTTTGTAGAACACTGGCCCAGCCCCAAGTCCGCTGGCTCAAATGCCACCAGCAGATGGAATGCCTAGTGGTCCATTACCCCCAGGTTTCTTTCCTGTAAGTGGATTTTTAAATCATAGGATCTACTATATGTAAAGTCAAGCATCACAGTGAGAGTAAATGGCAACACTGTCACGGTACTGCTTCGCCGAAAGTTACACAATACTGGACGGGCAGCATCGAGCTATCAAGAGTGTTTAGTGCTCTTGTTTTGCTGCTTGGTTTATGACCTTCAATATTCTGAATGCGCGGAGTCGCAAGACGATACTTCATTCTCTGTTATCAAAATGAGCTCTGTTGGTTACGGAGAATCGTAAGGTTATTTTTTTCTTATTCAGTGATGTTGCCAGAATTCGTAAAGTTGGGAATGTTTTTATTAAAATAATTTGAAGTTATACCTATGATCATATCGCTTCAAATATAATCTAAATATGAGTTTTAGTTTGCATATAGAAAGTGCAAGATATAAGTAGTGTTATAAAAGAATTAAATTGTCCTGTTTTTTATCTACATATGCAATTGTGACATAGTGTGTGTGTAGTAGTTCTGCTGGTTTTGTGGTCACTTTTAGTCCTGTGTCTATGATCTAAACATGTTTATTTTTTGACGGATTTAATAACTAATATTACCGAAACTTTTTCCATGATAAATTTTCATTAGGTTTCGAAATTTTGGGGTTAGCTTCACCTCAAAATAAAAAAATAATAAGCAATCTGTCATGATTGTCAGTAGTTACTACTGTTAAATGATTAAGGTTCACTTTAGTGGTCATTTATTTTATTTATTTATTTATATACAGTTTGGGGTGTTAACAGGTAAACCCAACACACACCCTCAGTGAACTAAAACTAAACTTATACATACATAAATATACATAAAATATCGTATACATATACATATATTACATTATTGAATACTTCAATATTAATATTTTTTTATCCTCCGATATTGTTGTAACAACATTAACTGAGTGAGTAGTTCTAATTATAAGCAATTAACTATTAATTTAACTTTTTTAATAAAAGGAGTATACATAATTTAACATTTACTTACGTTTAATTAAAACTGAAATCAAAATTAAATTGAAATTATTCCAGAAATGATATTGGAGGTGATAACTTGAGTTATGTAAAAAAATAAAACATTTCTATTTTAGTCTGCCATAGAGCTGTAATACTCATACTTTAAAGCCTTTTTCAGGGAGGTCAAGCTAATGTTAAATAAATCTATATTACAGAAATTATTATGATTTTTTTGAGCCCTGAACAAAGGGGAATTAAGACCAAGATTGGTTCTACGGAACGGTATTCTAAACAAATGATAGGTTCTAAACGTTCTATCAGGAGTGTTAAAGTTCAAGTTTGCCAAAAGATCCGGACAGTCAGTGAGGCCATTCAACAATAAATTTATGGACACAGCAAATGTCAGAAATCTTTCTTCTATCTTTTAAGGAAATCATATTGAACTGTTTCATAATTTGCGTATAATGATGATCTGTAACAGGTTGGTGAGTTTTATGTGCTAACATCTTCAAAAATTTGTGTTGAATTCTTTCTATCCTGACTATATGTACATTGTAAGACGGATTCCATATTACTGATGCAAACATCGGTTTGTTGTGTATATAAGCGTAGTACAATGAAAGCAGCGTTCTTGGGTTCGTAAATTCTCTGCATGTCCTGTTTATGAACCCTAGTGTTCTATTTGCATCATTTACGATGTGCTCTACGTGGGTGATGAATGAGAGTTTCTCATCAATGTATACCCCTAGGTCTTTTACTTCATGAAGCTTTTCCAGTTCTGCCGTCCCTATCTTATATCTGAAATCTATAGTGCTCGCTATGTTTCTAGTAAGCCTCATGTAATGACATTTTGTTAAATTCAGGAAGATACTGTTTTCAGTGCAATACTTTTGCAGAGATTCCAAATCGCTTTGAAGTTTTACACCGTAATTTACATTTCTAACAATAGTAAATATCTTTAGATCATCAGCATATAACAAATATTTACTGAAATGAAAAACAGAAGTAAGGTTGTTCATGTATATGTTAAATAACAATGGTCCTAAGTGACTACCTTGTGCTACGCCTGAAGTTACTAAGAATGTCTCCGAACGATACCCATTGATAGTCACCACTTGTTTACGATTACTTATATACGATGCTAGCCACTGCCATAATGGACCATCTACACCCACCTCAGCAAGTCTCTCCATCAAGATAGAATGATCAATCTTGTCGAAAGCCTTACTGAAGTCGGTATAAATAACATCCAGCTGCAGTTTCTCATCTATTGCGTGAGAGGCATATTCTATAAAACTCATCAAATTCGTCTCTACAGATCTTTTAGGGAAAAATCCATGCTGGTGTTACGTAATGATATTTTTTGTAATGTTTAAGGTAGGATCATAAATCAGCTTTTCAAAAATTTTTGAGAAAATACAAAGTTTAGTGATAGGTCGATAATTTTCCACAAGATGTCTATCGCCTCCTTTATGAATAGGCAATATTTCACCTTCTTTCCATCTCGTTGGAAAGACTCTTTGAGTTAATGATAGTTTGAAAATTAGGTGAAGTGGTAAACATAAGCTAGCGGAACAGTTTTTTATAAATACAGAAGGTATGCCGTCAGGGCCTACTGATTTTTTAATTTCTAAGGACACTATTTGTTGATATATTTTTTCAATGGATATTAAGGTAACATCAATAGGACTAGCATCCTTGTTTAAATAAAAATGTTTAGATTTAACATATACACTTGCAAAGAAATCAGCAAAGGCATTACACACCCCACTTCCGGTTTTAACTTCATAGTTTGAATGATTTATAGAACTAGGTATAGAGACATGACATTTTTTCTTACTTGAAACGTATTTCCAAAAGTATCGGCTGTCGTTCAATATATTGTTTTCCATCATTGTTATGTATTCATCCAGGTTTTCCTTAATTAAGATTTTTGATTTGGCTCTAAGGTCACAGAATATCTGATATGAGTATGGATCATTAAAACGTTTGTATAGTCTATGATACTTATTTTTTCTCTTAACTGTTTGTATTGTTTCAAGTTTAAAGTACATTGGGTATTTTCCTCGAATTTTATATGTTGGTGTAAATTTGTGAATAATTTCATTGAGTATGTTATAGAATATGGCTACAGCTTCATCTACAGATTTGGTACTAAATAATTTTTCCCATTCTATGTTAGAAACTTTTCCAGCGATTTGTTATTTTGGTTACACCAAAAACTCTCTATTGTTGATGCTTGGTTTATTTTGGTGGTAATTGTACCGTGCTTTTCAAAAATATCCGCCTAACTTGTTTTCGAAAGCGTCAAGTTATCAAACCGAAATTTGGAGTGATGATATTGATGCATGAAAGTTGTAGTTGAAAATTTTAAACAGTTGAATAGGTGCCATCTATTACCAGAATCGAAATTATTATTATTTCAAGTCACTATCTTTCAAAATGGCGTACTGGCAGGTTGTCATAGTTTTGTGTTTTGTACATTGAATCACTTACAACTCAACAAATAATTCAACACGCTACACTATATCAATCTTATTTCGAAGGATCTTTCCAAATATGTAATAAAATATGAACATTTACAGTAAAAAATCAAAATCTGTAATTTTTGAAGGGAATATTGTTTTATAACATATATATATAAGGAATATTAACATAACATACTATAGCGTTTTTCTAATCAGTTGTTGAATTAAATGGCATTCAATGCACAATAACGCTCGGCTTTAACATCCCGCCGGTTCACCATTTTCAACGATAGTTATTTTATATTATCTGGGTTATCAAGTACCGATAAGCAGCTGCAAAATGATTATATGAGCCCCCATTACATTAACTTCACAACCTCGAACTTTAGCTTGATACGTTCAAAAGATAAGTGTGGGGACATCTTTGAAAAGTACTGTATAAAAAACGAAAAACTAATACCACATTTTCCGCAGAACTCGACGCTACGTCCCTCACCACCAACTCATCCTTCGAGTCAACCCTCACCTCATTCTCAACCTCCCCCTCCCCATTCACAGATAATGACGCAACAGCCCTTCATGGGGCCCAGATACCCAGCGGGGCCCAGACCTGGAGTCCGGATGCCGCAGATAGGCAGCGATTTCAATGGAGTATGTACCGTGTTATTATACAATTTTGCATGAAATACGTCATACTGGATCCATAGTTTCACAACACGCAAAACCTATTTTGAACTTCCGACTCGTGTTTTATTGTCCACTATATTTATTAACCATAGCAATATCCTGTTTCCCAGATGCCTGGAATCGGCTATCGTCATATCTATCCCTAAAGTGCCGACTCCCACATCTGTAACGTAACTTAGACCAGTCAGCTTACTTATATACAAATATCCGAGTATACTTTCAGTAATGAAATCATTCCATCAAGCAGTCAAGATTCAGATAAAACCATAGCACAACTACGGCCCTAGCTCTAGCCGATATCACTGATAATGTTATAAGAGGCCTTGATCAAGAAAATGTCACTTGTTTGGATTACACAAATGATAGACCCTGAAATTTTGTTACTTAAGTTGTCTTACTTTTGTTTCACTGACGCTGCAGTCAATTTGATACGCTCTTATTTGTCAAATAGAAATCAAAACGTCCTATCAGGTTCATCTGCTATGAAGTACGGTGTTACTCAAGGTTCCATATTGGGCCCTTTGCTTTTCTTTCTGTATACATCAGATATTCCCCAATATTTCCATAATTGTAAAATCCATCACTATGCCGATTATACTCAAATTTGTTTTGCTTTTCAACTTATATATTTTATAATGGCAGAGGCATTAATCAACGAAGATTCAACAAGGCTAATTAGACATCTCCATCTAAATCTTCAGTTATTCTCGATTCCGACTCCATTCTTGAACCCGACCCGATTTTTTTGAAACCCAAACGTAACGAAAGTCCACAGGGCTGATTTTTTATGAACTTGAAAGGCACGCAAGGATTCATATATTGCTTTTCATTTTAAATACTCTGAATTAAGAACGATTTCTAATCTGTAGTTCTTCGCCTATTTTTAATTTATATCTAAGCGCACAGTCTACTTCAAATCTACAATAAAACATACTACGGCACACCACGTACACAATAGAAACAAAAGTTGAAACAATTATTGCATAAGTATAGTAAGATTTCAGCTTTTATTTTTAATGTGAATGCAGTGGAGCCAACGCTTTTATTTTATAAATGTTTTGCGTCTCGGTGTGTTTTATAATAGATTTGGGGTAGAAAGTTAGAATAAGTTAGATATTCGAAAATGGATAAATTTTTTACAATGGCAAAATTGCTGCCTTTGGGCTTTTGAAGGATAATCAAGTATTAAAATAAACAGAAAAGTGTTGATGAAAGTCTGAAATGCATATCTTCTAAAATATTCAAATTCGAAAACATTATAGATGCGATCAACTTGAAATTTGGAAACCATGCTTATAGTAAGTAATATGTCTTTATTGCATCATTAACATTACAATATAGCACTAAAAGTATGATGCAAATGGCGAGGGCTAGCCATTGTCCAATCCAATATTTAAAAATATAAAAATAATAATATACTGTAAGCTATAATATAATGCCTAGTACTGTCTACGTGATAGAATAAATAAAGTATTAAATGCTCTTAAAATTATTAATTTATCATGATTTCCGGTATTTCTAATATTTATGTCTCATGCCTTATAATATTTAGCAACGTTATGAGTAAGAACGCTGCAAAATGACTATGCGATGTCTTGGTATGGATAATGTGGTCGTATACCTCAAATTTAAATCATAAATGCTTGTTCTAAATGTTAGTTTGTTCCTTTCAAGTATATCGCATATCATCGCAGGTTTTCAAAATTTTGAAAATATCCAATTTTTTTAGAAATTTTCTCGATTTTCGACATTACAAATTTTTCAAAACTACCAAAATTCTCAAACTTTTCAGAACTGCAAATAGTTTCTTATATATGTAAATTTGAAAAATTATCCAAGTTTCCAAAATATCAAAATTACGAAAAAATTTGTTTTTTTGAAAGTCATGGTAGTTTTGTAAATTTCTGGAAATGTCCGACAAATTTGAAGATTTCCCAAATTTTGAAGACCTGTGCTGACAACTGTTGTTTGTTTAAAGGAACATCTATAAATGTGACAATTAGCGAAGTACGGGTCGGTTGTTACAAAAATCGGTTTGGCAAATGATGAACCTGTGTTTGAGAAAACTTTATTTAAAAATATTTTTTCATTCAAAGCCCCCAGGACAACCGTTAATGCCCAATAACATGGATCCTACAAGACAAGGTAAATATCCACTTTCTCACCACTGCCATGTTTTCTTTCATCTATGTAACTCAAACTCATTTTTTCTTGTACCAGCTGTTCCAAATTCGAACTTTACGATTTTGACCTCTGATACTGTCAGAATACAGGCGCCAAGGCTGTACAATTATTTTGAGAAAATTACCCACACACATTTTTGGAATGGGCGATGGATTTTTTTTTCAGAAAAAAAATGTTATACCTTCGTGATATAAAAGACTTTTTCCAAGATTCTAATGGTAAAAATTGAATCTGGGACACATGGTATCAGCCGCTTCAATAAATTTGTTAACGTAATGATAATGAAAGCTATGTGGTTCTGTTCGAAAAAGTGGCTTTGTAGTTACATGGTGTGAATCTGCAATTAATCGATTAATGATATTAATATACTTTAATAATGATTATAACAAAAAGAGATTTGCACAAGCATGAAGCGATTCCATGATATCTTACTGCACAAAATTAAATAGGGATAAAACAGTAGTCTCGATTTTTGTAATCGTTATTATATTTGTTCCAATGCCAATTAATATACTAAAAGAATTTTTTTGTTTCTAGGCAGTCTCACATTGATAAAAAGTAAATATGACGGTAACAACTTTTAGAAATTTTGTTATGATACGTATTATTTTATCTAATTCAAACAGAAACATTGGTCAAAATAAATTGAAATGGTTTACAGTTGTATGACGTTTCACAGCCTGACAACTAGGCTTTCTTTGACTCGAAATCGATCTAAACTAAATCCTAAATTACTTCTTTTTTTACTTCCCACGCCACCGGCGAGGAGGTTCGAAATTGAGATGTTTTTTTAATGTTACAGGACATTTTATTATCAAAAACCATGTCACTCGTTTTTGTCGGCTTATCTGTAATTGAAATTTGTAGTAATGGGATCTAAAAGATCATCACACGGTATAGGGATTTTTCGGTTTTTTAAGCCTATAATTTGAAAGTACACGACTTGAGATTTTTTTATGTCTCTTTGATAACTATTATGACTTGGCCTATCCCCCGTTTCCGGCTTGACGTCGACTTCTGGGACACCCTGTATACACACCATGAAACAATCGGATGAAAAGTATTAAGAACTGACTGTTGAAAAAAGGGATGTGCGTCCTTAAGCGATCAAGGATCGTTCTGAATCAGTGTTCATATGAAAACGTAATTCATCGAATACGTCGAATCTCAAGGCGTTAAAATCTCACAATTGTGATTGGTTATTCAAGATTATATTTACATTGGAAGTACTCACGTGTGGTATGGTTTAAAAAAGGCGTTCTATTTTTACACACTCGTTAAAATTTTACGATATCCATCCTAATTCTGTACGGATCGAAAATCTTGAAGCAGATTTCAATGTTTTGATATAATGAATGAGAATACACGCGTATTCGCTTGAATTCTATTTGAAAAAATGTAATACCTCACGTTTTACTTCTCTCGCCAATTGACGAGAAAGAATTGAATTGGTCAATGCAAAAAGTTCATAAGCACAGAGCTTGAATTTTTCATGAGAAAATATAAACTGTGTCATTAATAAATAAACCAGTGTTAAACAACCTTTTTGGGATTAATATAGTATTTGAGTTTTAAATGATTGAAATAACCTTTACAGTTTACTGATAATCGATCATGCACCAAAAATGTTTTGGACTTAACGTTGCAATAGCAATAAGCAATTGAATCATATGAATCTTATTTTTTGTTGCTACTATTGGAAATTTTGCATATCTTAGAAGTGTTGCACCCAGAAAAAATAATTTCTGATCTTGATTTTTTGGCTATTAGATAGTCTTACATCAAGGACATTCCCATATCAGGAATTTTATTGACAAGTAATAAGAAAAATAAATTAATGATGTGGTGGGCGACACCGCAGCTGAATACACTCCTGGCAGCTGAATACACTCCTCCCCATCATATTCCACATATGGACAAAGGACAATAACTAAAAATATTTTAACAATTCTAACAAAGGTAAACAAAAACAAAGATGAAACTTTGACATTGTTGCCACAGCATGCTTTAAATATCATTATGTTGCCAAAAAAGAAGTTGAAGAAATTATTTTTTCTGGGTGTAACACTTCTAATGTCACTGAGTATATTTGAGATTCAATCTGTGAAAACCAAAAGTTCGCCACTTTTGACAAGGTTAAAAATTGCTTTGAAATAACGCAACCTCAAAATACTCTTTGGGGCCTTGTAAAGCAAGATTTAAACTTTAATTTAGATACCTGGCGATCCATTTTTAGGACTTCTCAGAATACGCATCTACCTTTAATGAAGCGGTTTCAGTAAAAAAAAAAAATGTTGAAAAAAATGGGCTTGAGTGGTTTTTGAAGTGACCGATTCAGTTGTAATCGTGCAAAATTTTAAAACCCAAACATTGTTCTTTCGATGTCACTCATGTCAGATAACGAAAATCTCACAACGTCCCCAAACTTTGTTTTTCTGTATTCTTATAACGGGTGATTCATTTTAAAAAGAAAAAAAAACAATGCATTCAACTTTATCGGCTTATCTTTATTATCCAAGAATATGAACATTTTTAACATTCAGTTTTTGAAGATTATTTTTTTAATGTCTGAGGATTGCGAATATTTTTGGCGGCCGTTGTGGTACCATGATCACAGCATGAAATTCAAGCCCATAATTCTCAGAACATAAGGTTTCTACCAAGGGCGGATTTCGGAATCTGTCAAGGGGGCGCAGCATTCATGTTTTGGGCAGATGTTCGCCTCGGGGGAAACGGGTAGCTGTGATTAAAAATGATTCATGTCTAGCAAAGTAATTTTTACATTAAGATGTTGAGTCATTTATTTTAACAGTGAGTAGATCTGATCAAAATAAATGTTTTTTCCTTTACCATTTTTCTGGTAAAATTAAAGTAACAAAGTTATAGCCCTTTGAGTACCGCCCTGTCTCAATAATAATATCATGTGCTCGTGTTTGGCAACAACGGATATAATCCGCCTTACCGGTTCATCGCATCGGAAACAAAAAAGCGAAAGAATTTGGAACGATGTTTTTACAATTATTTTATTCATTTGTATACAGTCAGTGTCAGTCGGTAACGCGTGAGTGAATAGTGGTGTCTGTTGCGTGGCTCAAACGAAATAAAAAATGGCACATGTTTATGCGGATCGGTTTCTCAATCGAGTGCAACCAACCCCTCGTGCCTTTGTTAATGTAGTACAACGGGCTCGTGAATCAGGTGACTTAAGACCTCACAGGGGACCTCACGATCAAATACAGGTCCGCACTGAAATACTTGTCGGGAGGATACTTTATAAAACAAGGTAAAAATTTTTTTTTAAATTTTTTTTTTATTTTTACACACATATTCTGGTTTATCTTCCTTCTACAATCATTATCTGAAAATTAATGACTCAACTTCAAAGTCCTTACCGTATATACCTTTTTTCACATTTTATATTTTTTTTACTACTTCACCTCTATGCCCACGTGTAAGAGTTTCACAGCCGCCTAATAGTAAAGATCCACAGCGTGCTAAATTTGACTCGGATTATATACACGATGTATATTCAAGAATTTTAATTTTATCCGAATCAAAACTACGTTTTTCCACTACTCGAATAATAAAGATACCAGGGCGTACGAAAGTTGACAGTTGAAAAAAGTGCCTGTAAATGAATCGCCCATTAGAAAATAAAAATGCGTGTAATTATCTCGACGTGCATACGATCTGACCCAATTTATTTTGTCCAATGTTGTAATTTGTAATGCATTGTGCACACACAAATGAAATACGAGTGTCGTGAGAAAAGTATTCGGACGATGTCCCTATCTAATTGCGAGCAGTGTATGCCTCATGTAATGCATCTATTTCTGTCTCCAGGTGAAGGCGGAGAGTTTGTAGGTTGGCAAGGTAGGCAAATGCGCTCCTTCACCAAAACACATTCATAAGCATACACTTCTGCTTACGCTTCGCTCGATGCTATAGCTTTTTTTGTCGTTCTAACTGTATTCATTGGTTAACACTTTCATATCACCTCTTAAGCTGGCAACGTTCAGAACCCGAATACACGTTGCTTCTTGGCTAGTTCTTTCTCGATTCAGACAGTGAGAAGTAGCCCAAAAAGTTTTCTGTTATCCAAAATACGTCATATAATAAATTAAATTGAATTACACCACAGATAACATTTTTCATATATCTCAAAAAATAAAAAAGTTTGGTATTTGCACTTTCTTGTGAAATGACCTGTCAGCTGCTCTGCGTTCTGATACATTTTGTACAAATCTCAAATATGGGTGATGGTCAGTAGACAATAATTCCTGGACATGCTGAACGCGAAAAGAATGAACGAACAGTTGATGTAATCAGAAAATTTTTAGAAACCAGCTCCGAAAAACATTTTATTCGTCAAAAACTATGCAAGATGACCGAGACAAAAAATGAAGTAAATAAAAGGAACTTTTAAATTCAGAGTTATTGGGTTGCAAAAAGTTCCGCGATAATTCATGTAGGGCTGGGTTTAGTTTCCACCCCTCTCGAACCGTTTCAGGTTTTTTTGCGAAAGTCTAGCAAAACACATGTGTTCCAAATTTCATTCAAATTGGACTATCGATTCCAAAAATATCTGAAAAGATGTTTTAAAAAGGAAACGTTACGACAGAGATTTTGATATGGATCCTGTTAAGCAAAAAAACTGAAATCCATCAAAATATTGTGGTGCCACTTGTTGTAAAGTAATATAGTCAAATGTTGGTGTCGAGAGTTTAAGTGTGGAAGGACATCTTGTGAAAATCAGAAGGGCGGTGATCCTCCTGTAACATTCAGGATTGATGTAAACATAAAAAATGCATACGGCGTTACAAGATGGACGTTACGCCTATCTACTATGCAAGATTAACATCAGAATTGGTTAAAGGAAAACGTCGTATAGGCGTGTAGCTCGTAAGACCCCAATATACATCCTGCATTTCTCAAAATTCTTTTGGGCTACTTCTAGCATACTGAATTATGCAAGAATTACCGCGGAATCAACGAGTCTTTCACAGAATAATACGACGATCGAACCTCGCAGAATTTTGAGGTACATTAGTAAGCGAAACCTTCATATGGTAGTTTTAACGAGTATCCATTACGTTTTGACGTCTACAGCTGTGAACAGCTGATCACAAAAGCGGCATCTTTGTATTAGTCTGTAACGTTGGTAATAATGGATTTAAGACCGTATTCAGAGCTGTTGTTCACATATCTGGATTATACCTTTAAGAGACAATAAAATGTACGAAGTACAGATATAAGAATGTTTATTAGAAAATTATTATAGTACACCTGGGATTTATTTGTGACGACGTAAGTCCTTTCCAGAAGCTGTAATTTTACCTGAAAAAATAATATAGACACGTGTTTCTGATTTATTGTCCGTCATCAGTGTAACGTAATTCAAATACAGGCTAAGCATGTGTAGAACCTATCATAAAAATTAATAATATAGTTGTACTTTTCACATACATTTAATTGTATGGCTGTTTCATTGCCCATTAAAATCAAATGGTGTTCCAAGTTTTAAAAAGTAGAAATGATTAACATAGTCAAAAACTGTTTATCTTATTTTATTTCTACCAAACTTGAAATGTAGTTATGCAGCCATTTTGCTTGTAGTTTTATTATATGCAAAGGAACTTTTCTAAATAAAAGAGTTACAAAATAAATCTGTAACGTACAAAAAACCACAACAAAATACGGATCTGTCTACCTGGCGTTGACGGACCTCTCAGCATTAATTATGTGTCACTTGTCGATATGGGGATTTTTGAAATATCACTAGATAATCAGCTGTTGTTCTACCATGATGGATACTCATGAAAAATACCGTAACAAATGGGCACCAATTTTAAAGACCAGTGTTATTTGTGTGTATTTTGAGAGTAGCAAATATCTGAATGATAAAAGAAAATTTGAAGTGCTAACCATTGAATAATCGCTATCCAATCTTAACCTTTCAAAACATTCCATATATCTCTGTTCAACGCCCTGTTGTAGTCTCAATGTTAGATTTTTGATATGTGCTTTTGGTACGTTTTTGTTCTATAGGATGGTTCTAATTATACATTTTAAAAATAAATAAACTTCAGTCATACTTGAGATCTGAAAAGGTTAAAAAAATAATCAAATGACAAGGTATGTATTTTTGGACCACCCTGTATACTGCAATCGTCACAAAGAGACGTGTTTTATAAGAAACATCACTTGGGTTCTTTGGAGAATTGTTACTGAATTCCATTGAGGTTACCTAGTAAAACATGCATTTGTAGTTCTTGCATAATACATTTGTTTTTCGAGATACAGACAAGAAATTCGGGCATTTGAAAGTAAGGTGCTTAATGAAAAGTATCGCTAGTCGGTTTCCTTGGAAAATGTTTTTATAAAAAAACTATGATGTATTCAAAGTTGTACATTCCTGTAACGTCTATGGTTAAAGAATCAAGCATGATATCGGGAAAAGGAAAAGACTCTGTAGCATTCATTCCTCTAGAATATGATTTTATCTCAGATGACTTGATAATCTTGTAAAAGCGGAAAGCATTCTTTTGGTTTCTTCTAACAACGCACTCCAGTGCAATGTCTGGTCTAGGGACATGTCCAATTGGTCCAATAATTTTACCTGGGGACATGGTGACATTCAATTGCCATCTTATTTTATTTTCTAGTGGTCATAACTTGTAACTGCCCATATCAATACGAAGATCCATTCTAGGGTAGTGTTAGCTTTCATTATCTTCTGTAAGGGAAACTCCAAGAACCTAATCATGTTTTAACGATCACATTGAAAAAAGTGAAATCCTAAAACCGTCCGATCTACGCGTGATTTGTAGAAGCTGATATTTTCACTACGGAATTTGCCAAGAGAGATAAATGTTTCTCATCACAAAAATGGGATAACTAACAAGTTAGTGATGAAGAAAGCATATTATTGATTTTTCGAATTTACGTAGATCTGGCGGTACTGTGATCTAAAATAAAAATGGAACATGTTGACAGTCTTTGTGGCAAACCTTGTTGCTACCTATCGCATGCGGTGTCTAGGTGCTGTACATAACAAGCAATGGTGTTATTTAACCACACGTATTAACATGTGTCTATTCTCAGGTCCGCCGACTGCTATGAACAGGATGAACCCGCCTAGAGGGCCCTCGATGGGACCTTTGGGACCGGGCACGTATGGCCCTGGTCTCAGGGGGCCTCCGCCCAATAGCAGCTTAGGACCCGGAGGTCCTATGCCGCCTATGACCATGACAGGACCTGGAGGACGACCGCAGTGGCAGCCAAATACGTCTACGGTGAGTTTCAGAATATAAAATGATTTTGAATAATCCTCATGCGTTTAGGGCCTATCCTTGATCCGGTCAAATTTTTTTTATCCAGGTAAATTGGGTGTGCAGATTCCGAATCCAACGTCAATTTGAGGACTCGCAGAGGATTGGGATGCTGGCGACTCACTTTTTTCGATCCATCTCACTTTTCATTGAAAACATTCACTATTGTCGCTCTCGCTGTACGTTTTGTAGTTTATGAAGAGCTGTTCTCTTTCTCTCAAGCCCCACGAAATTAAATGAAGTGATTTTTTTTTATAAAATCAGCCATGACATTTCCATGTACAGGGTTTTCCTCAAGCTGAGCCAATATGTATTACATGAGAAATTACTAGGATTGGTTGAAATCTACATTGAATTTTAATTCAGCTTTGCTCGGAACAGATCCGCCCTTGTGCACTGGATGTAACTCTTCACTCACTGTACGCCACATTATCTGCACATGTCCGATATTGTCCCAATATCGAGTGATCTATGGACCATTTGATAACCTGACAGAGAGTCTCACACAACCAGAAAAACTGAAAAACGTCATATCATTCTTCAAAGTATCTGGTTTCTATTGGAAGATCTGACCTAATGAACTTTTTGGAAATGAACCATTCTAATTTTTGTGTATCTTATTCTCAACTGAGATTAAATGAATCTTATGTAACGATGATTTTGCATCATACCTACTTTAGCTTAGTGTTGTCATCTGGAACTAAAAGAAATATGTAGCAATAGAATTTGTATAAATCGAAATACTTACGTGAACGCAAACAAGATCGTGAAATGCAGATAATGACCACAAAAAAAATAAAAAAAGACAATTAATATTAATGAATATATGCCTGACAAATTTAATCGTGTAACATTTCCCAGAGATTATCTTTTGTTGCTAATAGAATCTGAAAGTAAATGACAATAGTATATCCTTTTCGATTAATATCTGGAATTTGCATATTTAGTTTTTTAAAAATGCGACATTTTCCACTTTTACATGTAAGAGATTATATATTTTGTACTATAGATTTATATATTATTGAATACGGCTAATAACCATAGAAGTTGACGCCGTCAAAAAAAAAATTCAGCTTTGCTAAAAGCATTCTGAACGGTCAGCAATACAATAGAAAATCGTTTATGACAGCAAAGTTGCGCATTTAGGTAATTAATAAAATGTTATTTAGATTGTTTGGCAATTCACGGATTCTTTAGATAGACAGAAAATATACTAAGCGACATATAAAATGCAACACCCATAATTATTTATTGATATTGATAAAAACTTGTAAACATATTTGCTATCATGGAAGTACTCGTATACACTGATAAAATGTTGAAGGCCTTCCGAGCCGCACTTTTTTGTTATATCAGGATCCGAATAATAAGAACATGTTTACTTAATATTCAGTGACTTTTCTGTGTTGGTTCCATTTGTTTCATTGTTGTTCCATTGCATTATCATGTTCGCAGACGCGCTAATTTCACTCAACTTTCCGAGTTTGAGAGGGATCGGTTAATCGGGTTACGTGAAGCCGGATTTTCTTTTAGAGAAATCGCTAATGGGGTTTATCGAAACGAAGCTACTGTAATGAGATGTTGTCGAGCTTGGTTCCAAGAAGGCTGAAATCGGCGAGTTGGAGGTACTGGACGTCAAAGACAGACTGTACACCGACAGGATCGTTATCTAAGGCAACTAGCACTTAGAGATCCATTTTCCAGTTTATCGCCCAGAGTAAATCTGCTCCAGTGGCCTCCTCGATCTCAAGACCTTTCCCCCATCGAACATGTATGGGACATGATGGGAAGAAGATTGCAAAATCAACCGCACCCTCCGCAAACATTGGAGGCTCTACGAAACCAAATTCAACACATTATTAATATTATGGTGGGATATCTCAGCTATTTTGCGAAATTTCGAGTTAAAATTTCAATCACTTTCTATTTATCAATAGACCTAAAACTTGTAAATGTATGCTCAAAATTGCTGCGCTCCTAGTCGGTGTTGCATTTTCTATGTCATTTAGTATACGAATTTATCCTGAACCGTTTTCATTTTCTCCTAGCTTAATTTGAGCTGGGATTTCAATATAAATTGCATTAATAGTGACACTTTTTACAAGCTTTGTTCAAGTAACTGTTAGTATGTTAGTCCGTTGGTATGTGTGTGTGGGACAAATCCTGAAATTGATTTATAATTTCCATAGTCACGTGACGTCATTCTAAAAATAAAATATCGATTTATAATTTCCAGAATTACCCCCATATCATGGCTATCAAATGACATGGATTGATAAAAGAAACACAACATATTGGGCAAGAATACTTGATAGATATAAGTACGTCTCCCGCATTTACAAGAATTTGCTATATTTTTTATATTTCTTGTATGCATCGTATGCATTTGATTTTGAAATATGCATACATATGAATAATTATTTTTGCTTACGTTAATGACACAGTAACAAATACCTTATATGAGTGATTCTCTTTCTTTTTCACTTTTTTATGTATAAATTCACTATTTCCCCCTACTTTTTTGAAAATCTCACTGTTCTCACATAAATTCATGCCTCGGGTAGCCAGCACCCCTGCAGAGGGCCCAACTGATCCATTTATTTTCATTTTAAAGAATCGCGCTGTCAAGATTTTCAATCTAGACTCATTTTTCTTATTACTCATTATTTTTTGGGGTACTCATTTTTAGTCATTTTTTTCATAAATCACTCATTTTTCTCATTTTTTTTGGAACGTTTCCACAAAGGCATTAAATTGTCCCGAAACCGAAAACTAAATATCATAATGCATTGAGCAAGCTAACACCAGAAGACCATTAATTTTGCTTTGTGCTTTGTGCTTTTTGCTAGTGATGATAGATCAGACAAGAACCCTCTCGTTCAAAATTATGTTGAATGTACACCTTTTGTGACTAAAGATGAGCGATATCCTTATTTTTGAATATCTGCGATATACGGTATCGTTACTTTTTTATATCAGTGTTTTAAAACCGTGGCGTGATCACGGTAACGTCATGATTTAGAAATATCGCTTACTAAATCACTTCGTGAAATATCTCCCACCACCATTTGTGAATACGAGAGAAACAATGAAAATTCGCATATTTTGTGATTTCCCTTGATAATATTTTCAGAAACCTCTGCGTATCTGTGATCTGAACAAAAACTATGTTTGGGTAAAATATATTTCGAATTCGACGTCAATTTAACGCTAGAACCCAATGGGGTGTCCCAAGGGACCCACTTGCTACTTCAAATTGTCCTCATGACACACGATTTTTTTGACCATCATATTTAAATTTAGCGTTCCAGTTTGTGTACCAAGTTTCATTTACTTGTAAGAACAGGAATCAAATATATAAAGGATCTGGGTCTATCAATTAGTGGCGCTGGAGAAAAAAAAAACAAAACCCAAGTAATAATAATAACTTTTTAGAGGGCCCTGATCATTTTCTGAAAAATTTCTGCAGGAGTTGAAAATGATTTTTTTATCTTATTATATTTATACGCTCTCAAACGAAGGTAATTCAATGCACCTAAAAAGCCATACTTCACACATCATAGGTTTCTCCGTATATTTGCCTTTATAACTGAAGTAGAAATGTTTTGGGCAGTAACTACTGGTAGTGCAAATTGCGAGTTTGGGCTTTTAAACACCAAAAAGAAAAACATTGATGACAGTTTAAGATGCATGTATCGAAGCAAAAATGTTAAAGGTGCATTTAAATTGAAATTTGAGTTATTTTCAGGGGCGAAAAGCTCGCTTATAGACCCTTTCCCCCCAAGAAAGTCGTGTAAATATTCTAGATTTCCTACTGTTGAGTCTATTTGACGTCATTTTCTGTTTCCAGCCGATGAACTACTCGTCTTCATCTCCCGGAAACTACGGGGGGCCACCGGGTTCAGGAGGACCAGCCGGACCGGGGACCCCCATCATGCCCAGTCCTCAGGACTCCAGCAATTCGGGTGGAGAAAACATGTACACGCTGATGAAACCTGCAGTCGCAGGGAACATGCCCGGTGACTTTCAGATGGGAGGGGGTCCCGATGGAGGGGGCCCCATGGGGCCTATGGGGCCCAACTCCATGGGGCCTGTGCTCAACGGAGACGGAATGGATGGCAAGTATCTTTGTTTTATTGTAGATCAACTCACAGGATGTCCTCAAAGTTGTGACTTTCCTTTACACAGAGTATAGAGCTTGGGAAATTGAGCAGTTTTTTTCTAGTAAATAAGTCAAACCTAAACAAAACCTGATCCGGACTTGCCCCTCGATCAGATCAAATGTGAACACGTACGATGCCCATCGGAAATCATTCCAGGCACTGGCCGCGTTGGTAAACAAAACCTTTACACATCGGTTCTAAAAAACAAAACAAAAATGGACTCGTACAGCAGTATCGGAATTCTACATATTATTTTAATTTACGGTGATTGTCTTCGATATGCTACCGAGGCTTTGCGAGTGCATGCAGATCCTTCGTGATTTTTTTTGTTCGGGGCGAAATGAAATGTTTAGTGTATAAAACTGAAGTGATCACGGTTGACGAACTATGTGTGCGAATTAAGCAATCTGCTGCATGTATTCAGGCAAGACAGTGCATTCTAAAAGCCTAACCGATGCTTGGCTCTATCGAGCGCATACTTATGTAGACAACTTTGAACAATACTTGAAAGTGACAGAGCTGTACCTGAAATTTCTTTTCGATGAACGGTCAGTACTTTTTCATTTGTTTTTGTTTTTGACTTTTTCGCCGTTGTTTGACCACACATTGGCTTTGTTATAAGAAACGTAGTTGTTTCTGGAAAGGAAAATCCCAACTTTCGAGACCATATACCGTTGCACCCATATCTCATAAACAGCAGTCAAAAATGGTTTTTATGCTCCAATTTCTCCCAAAATCTGTTTCCGGGGAGTTTTTGTGGTCAAGGTCATCATTTTCACTAGTATTGTATTTTTCATACAAGACAAGCAACAAGCGAAAATGAATCATTTGTGGGCACCTATTTTTAGTTATACAGGGTGACTTTGAAGTTGAGTCATTAATTTTCAGATAATGATTGTAGAAGGAAGATAAACCAAAATATGTGTGTAAAAATAGAAAAAAAAATGTTACCTTGTTTTATAAAGTATCCTCCCGACAAGTATTTCAGTGCGGACCTGTATTTGATCGTGCGGTCTTGGAGCACCGGCATGCTTTCCCCTGTGAGGTCTTAAGTCACCTGATTCACGAGCCCTTTGTACTACATTAACAAAGGCACAAGGGGTTGGTTGCACTCGATTGGGAAACCGATCCGCATAAATCCGTGATGCCGCGTAAATAAGAATCATGTCCACAAGTTCAGCATTTTCGTAAACATGTGCCATTTTTTATTTCGTTTGAGCCACGCAACAGACACCACTATTCACTCACGCGTTACCGACTGACACTGACTGTATACAACTGAATAAAATAATTGTAAAAACATCGTTCCAAATTCTTTCGCTTTTTTGTTTCTGATGCGATGAACCGATAAGGCGGATTACATCCGTTGTTGCCAAACACGAGCACATAATATTATTATTGAGACAGGGCGGTACTCAAACTTCCAAAGGGCTATAACTTTGTTACTTTAATTTTACCAGAAAAATGGTAAAGGAAAAAAACATTTGTTTTGATCAGATCTACTCACTGTTAAAATAAATGACTCAACTTCGAAGTATGTATTTATTGGCTGTAAATAAAAGAAGCTTTTGGTTAAATCTTTTGACGTGTCTCGGCGTTTTTTCTTTAAATCAGTAGTTTTCTAAATCCTTGGTGAGAAGTTTTCAAATGAATACCCTGTAATGAATACCCTGTATGTGGTTCCATTTAGCGGCTACATAGAGCTTGAAAATCACAGGATAAGATTCACTAGTTACATTTTACCAGCGTTGCCACCTCTTGGACTATAGCATCAGTTTGTGGAATTTCCTTTTCCGTCGTTAGGAAATTCTGGGAATATAGGAATAATTACAAGAGAGGTGATCTTTCCTTGGAAGGTTGATGTCATATTGAAAAGTAAACAGTGCTCTCTCTTTTTACTACTACTAACCATAAGGGAATAAGGGAATTTCAGCGATCTTTCCTGGCAACATGGCTGTGATAATGGGAATTGTATATGAACATTCAAATACAGCATAGGGTTGTTCATTGTCTTGTAGAATGTTAATCATTGGTTTCACTGAGTCAATATATATATTGGTGTTTTGTTTGACAGGAATGAAGAATTCGCCAGCTAATGGTGGTCCAGGGACCCCCAGGGAAGATAGTGGTAGTGGAATGGGCGATTACAATATAGGGTTTGGCGGACCAGGCGAAAACGTAAGTAACATTTGGTGGTAGTATGCTTGCGCTTTCAGGGGTCCCACTAAAATTTTCTGTTTCAGTATTTTATCTTTCTCCCCCTACTTATCGTTCGTTTTGTCAAGTGTCAGGGAGTAATGTAGATTTTACTAACTAGGAGTCTTAAGTACAATGACGCCTAAAATCCGGTACTTGAATTTGACAATTAGGAAGTTTTCTATGGTCGAAAATTTTATTTTAGCAGATAGTATAACTGTGCCTTTGACATATCCAAATGAATCATTCGGATATCTATCTTAAAGTTTGAGGAAACCATTTTATATGCGGCTGGACGACGCTCAATGGTCTAGGATACCGAAAAGCAAGTAAAAAATACAATTTCTACGCCATTTATATGTTTTTTTGTAAAACAGGTTTTTATGGGGCGCTGATGGCAAATCTGGGGTTAGTTTGTCTCTGTGGGGGCATATGAAGATTATTGCAAGTTCGCATCTAGGACATTTTCAAAAGAAGCTGAGCAGTTAAAGTAGAATTTCTTTCAATTTTTTCTTGAATTTGGATAATGAATTTGATTATATTGACATTTAGATTTTTTTTAAATCATGTATCTTTCGAAGTTGCTTTGTCCTTGGGCACTTGTTCATATGATTTTTGAGCCAAATAGAGAAAAGATCGCTTCATTATGGTGTGACGAGGCTTAGGGACAGTTTTTTCATTTAATTCATATCGAGTATCATGCCAATGTGTGATTTTATCGCGGTCTCTGCCAAATCTGTGATAATGGCTGATAGTATGTTGAAAATAAATTTGCTTGATATAATGATGAAACACTGCTATTTGGCGGTACAATACTAAAACGGATAAAAAATGATACAATAACCAAATTGATTTCCATTACCTAACAAAATGAATTGTTTCACGTATTGACTATGTTCGTATTTATTATGAATCATAGTTTCTAAAAGCTTTATATCTAAAAAATCGTATTAACTATCAAAGTGCCAGCAAGACGAGATTACTAATACCAAACTTCTGGATAGCCCAACTTTTTTGAGATGTATGAAAAATAGGCAACTTCCTCATTCTGCTTTTCTGACAAGCACTGAGAAAATATGGCAGATAACAAGTACCGGATTCAAGTTCCTAGTGGTTTTAAGAGCTGGTTACAGTACAACATATCTCGATCCAGAATGTATTTCAATTGCAAAATATTCGATTTGTGCCTGCAAAGCGAATGACCAATCTGAAGAAGACAAAAACATAAAAGAATGTCGACTACCAAACATGATGAACAAGGGTGAAAGATTTGAGACAAGTCCAGAAGAAGGTGTAAATTCAATTTGAAAATTTTGTAAAATTCAAGTCTACATAAACTTTCATTCGGTATATGTTTGACGCAAAAGACCTCGGTAAAATCTTAAGGGGAATGGATTTCGTCTACTATAGTAGTTGTAGTTGATAACACTTAAAACAAAAGTGACCATGGACATAAAGTTTTTCCAGAACTGGTTTCCGAGATACAATGCCTTGAAGTTGGTCTGTCCGTCCGTATTACAGCAGGGTTCAGTAAATTATATCTATGTTTGATATTTATTTCTCTTATCATCATCCTTACTCACCAGTTCACCAACATTGCAATTCTATCACATGCACAGATTGGCTCAAACTTCGGAATACATTTCAAAAATGTTCAGGATTATACGGAATGTCCTACTGCTGAACTGGATATCACAGATGTTTCTTATAAAGTCATATTTTTCATTATATACTTGGATAGACCTAAAAACTCTGTGGAGTTTTTTTCTGTATTACATATTTTGTCATTACAAATTACAAATAGATTAACTCGTATCTCAACGACAATAGATAAATTCAAAAAGTTGCATTTTTTAGAAGTATACAGGGTGATCTATTGTTTTAAGGAACAATGTATAATGTGTGAAAGAGAATTTGGTATAATTGTCTGAAATAATTAAAGCAGTGGTAGCTGAAGATAAGATACAAAAATGTAAAATATAGCTATCTTAAAATAAGTATCGTTGTTATGCAGGTCATCAGTAGAACACCCTGTATAATCCTGAGTATTTAATAGATTTATTTTCACATTGCAAGATAACCCTAAATAGTTTTTGAAAGAGTTTGTATCCTGAAGAAGTATCTCCTCTGTAAGTTTGGTCCACCTTGTACATGTGACTTGCACTGGTGGAGTTAATGATAAACCCGTAAATAAATATCGAACATTTATTAAAATATCTTGTACTGAATCTACATTATCCCGTAATAGGGTAGTCTGCGAAAACCAAAACTTCGCCAATTTTGCCGTACAAAAATATTTAAACAGGTTTAAAATAAACTGATCTCAAAATACTCCTCAAGGTCTTGTAAAGCAACTTTAATTTACATGAGTACTTGGCAACCTCAAAAATTGATAATAATTTTTAACAGAATTTTTGAGCATCGCATATACCTGCACGGTATTCCAGATGAATTTTTTTTAAAATAAATTACATTTTTTTTCGTGTCTGGACAAGTTTTTTGGATTAATTCGAACAAAAAGGCTACCATTAACTTTTCCCCGAAGAGTGTTTTGAGATTACTTTATTCTGAAGCGATGTTTAGGCTTGTCTATCAGGCCAAAATAGGCCAACTTTCGGTTTTCGCAGACTGTACATACTGTTGAGGAACCCTGCATCTCGGAAACTACATGTAGAAAAAGTTTTGGGCCTATGGACATTTTTGATATACGTGTTGAGAATCCAAAAAAAAATATAACCCTCAAAATAGAGCGCTTCCTTGTCATACCTCTCCGGTCTTGTGAAAAAGTTTCATCCTTGTCCATCTTCAGGTTTTGCGCCATCTGCCGATCGACCATTTGTTTTGAAGGCATCAATCGCACTGAAGCTAGCTCTCTATAGTAAAGGGTGTGTGGTTATACGTGAACGGGGTTATACGTGAATAGTTACATTTTTGATCTCATGTTTTTAGTTAGATATGGTAGGTTGATACTGAATGGAACCATTTGCTATATCGCATCTCTCATCTGCTGTTTGTGAGGACTGTGACCTAAGCTGAAATACAGAATTATCGCTTGACTTGAATGGATTTGAGTGTAGATCTTAGAGCATAGCAAAGCCTGTCTTCTGAAGTAGGCATCATTCCACGCCACGGTCATATTTATTTCACCATATGGCACTCGTGATTTTTTAACTTTCAAATTCATGATGAACGACACCTGAGAAATTTTCGCATACGATTGCACGAGACATCCCCATGGTCCTAAAGGCAAACTGACTGGATGCCTGTACTTAGACAAATACAGGGTGTCCCAAAAGCCATGGATCAAATGCAAGGAGGTGATAGGGAAGTTATTTCCGATTAGAAAAAAACATATGCCCTTATCCGATTGTTATCGCAATTTTGAAGAATTTGTAGATAATTATTACTACTTTTGAGACAGTAATCTTTTTTCTGAAATTATCTCCTGTCAGTTCTCAATCAACTTTACAGGATATTCTGCCAAATAATGTATTATTGAGAAATAGATACCACTGAAAAAATGGTGCTGTTATCAGTTCATAAAGGATATGTTCAGCACAAACTAGGCCCTCTGAGAAAGTCAAACAGGTCCATATAATTAATAATAATGATGATTATAATCGTCTTTATTACCATTATCTACAAGAGAGAGATTTAGCTTAAAGCTTCTCTTATAAACCGGGAGCACCAGGTAGGTATGGTGTATCTGAAGTCACTTGAAATAGCATAAAAACCTTTGGTCGGCGCGTCCTTTGTAATTTCATGACGTATCATAGGCGTGCGGCATTTATTTAGAACGATAATAATAATGTTTTTATATCACAATAAATGGATTTTACTATCTTCTTATTTTTTTGATTTGGGATAAAAAATACTTATATTGGGAGTTTAATTTATGTTGACTGAAAGTTAAGAAATGGAAAAATTACAGAATTCCAACGTTTGACATAGGCAAATATTTACATAGCAGGTAGGTAGATAAAAAGGTATATAAAGACGTACATTATAGGTATTTATATATCATCATCGCCTTCGGAGCTGTCGCTAGAGTCATCTTGTAGAGGAATTACAACGGGATTTACAGGAGGTAAAACACAATATTCATTTTCTTTTTCAATAATATGCCTAGAACACTGCATCCATAGGTCTGTGGCAGCAATATGAGATACTGCATCTCTTATTGTGGCCAATAGCGATTCACTTAATTGAGGGGTCTGATTATGTTTTCTTACTTTTTTTTTTAAAGCAGCCCAGACCAACTCAATCGGGTTAAAAATGCAGTAATAGGGAGGTAGACGTAATACTTCATGGCCATTTTGCTGAAGCAGATTGTCAACAACATACTCTTTTTCAAATTTTTTTCTTTTAATAAGATCCAATAATATGGCTTTGGTTGATTTTTGTGGTATTTCCATTCCCTTATCCTTCATAAAATCAATAATGTCTTGTTTTTTTGTGCCTGTATTCGGAATTTTGTTTTTCTGTCGGGAATGGTATAGCGCATTGTCTATAATAATCACTGAATTTGGGGAAATGTTTGGTATTAACTGCTGCTCTATCCACTTTTCAAATAAGTCGGAGGTCATGTTCTCATGATAGTCGGCACATGATTCTTTGATATTTTTGGCAGATAACAGCAAGGCATTAGGTATAAATCCATTTTCACTGCCAGCATGGAGAATAATGATTCGTTTTCCACGGTTGCATGGTGCATTTAAAATGCACTTGTTGCTGTCGTCAACCCAGCCGTACTGCACAACATCATGAGTATCATACCACGTTTCATCCAGGTAAATCAGATTTCTTTTCTGCTCTCTATAGATTTTAACTTTGTGCAAAAATTCTTGGCGCAATTCAACGATTCGAGACGACTCCATAATCACCATTCTTTTATCTAATTTTTTGTATTGAAAACCACACAGTTTTACAATACAGTGCAGTGAGTCTAAGCATTTGTAATTATAAAAATCTTCAGGATAATC